TCACCACCAATGCCGTGACCTTGCCTGCGGGGATAGTCAAGCTGAAGTCCTCTAAGACAGTGACATCTGGACGCGTCGGATAGCTGAAGCTGACATTGTGCACATCAATACAGCCGGCCGTTTCCTCCGGTTGGTCTCCGAATTCGTCGAAGGGGTTGATCTCGGATGGTCTATCGATGAGAACGAATAACTCCGAAGCTGCCGTTGCCGCGCGACTGAAGGTGACCATGTGCGGTGCTACTTGCATGACCGTATTTGCAGCCATGATGATGGAAAAGAGAACCCTGTTGCCCTAGTTAGTCTCTGGATCTCTCTCTATCCACGAGTCGTAGCCTCGCTGCCCGCTCGCCTGGGGTGAGAGACTGACGTAAAGACGGTGCCTAGATCGGATATCTCGCCGCGATCGAACATGGCAATACCCTGCCAGAAGGCCAGGCCCATGCCCGCGTAGACGACAAAATACTGTCCTCCGAAGACGATGCCGTATAGCTTATTCTTTCTCATTCCTTGGGTGTACGCATGCTGGAGGTACGAGTCGTACTGGGCCATCACCCTTGGTTGCAGGCTAAATGCCTGCAGGGTCCGGACCCCTCCCAGGACGCTCTCGGCATAGCTACCGGCTTGAGCGTAGATCTGCAAGATCTTCGTCTCGATGATGGCGTCCAGGCCACTGGCCGTGCCGAGCACTATGAGCAGAGTGGGCACGATAAAGATCAGAATCAACGTCAGCTTCCATTGTGTTACAAATGCAATGATGAATGCTGCCACGAAGGTGGCCATGGCTTGGATGACGATGCCGAGTTTCTCTGCGATGCCGGATTGGATGAGCTTGCCGTTCGTCGTGGCTTGTTGAGATATGGAGCCGGTGACGCCTCGGTCATAGTATGCAATTTCCTGGCTCAAGGCAGCCCGTAGATAGCTTTGTCGGATATTACGAGTCAGGCGGTACGCGACATAGGTGAAGAGAGAGGCGTAGATATAGGTAGCGACAAAGCGGACGATACCTATGCACACAAAGTACAGGCTATAATTGCATTAACATCTCATCCGGGCCCGTCGTTTGAGAACAAATCTGCAGGGGGGGGGGCAATATGCTCTTACGCTGACGTCCGCACCGCTGCCATGAAGTCTCCCGGCCTCGAGGTCGCGTCGGAGAAACTAAAGTCGCTCAGCAGTGTCAAGAAGTTTCCCATAACCAGGTTGACCATCGCGACAGCAACGCCCGACGTAACAGCCGCAACGAAAGCAATCCATTCCAGGACGTAGAGTTTCGGATCGCCGAAGGTGAACACTCTCTGCCAGGGAGATCGTCCCCACTCGTCAGTTATCACTCGGACCGGTGCGCAGTCAGACCTCCTATTTCCGATCAGGCTTACCAGGAAACCACTTATACCGTTCTTCTTCTCGGCAGCTTCCTCCTCTTCCTTTTCCGGCTTGATTAAGACTTGAGTATCGTTGCCTCCTTCGGCAGCTCCCTCAGCGTCTCGCCGGTCTAAACGAACGACCATGTTGAATATTGAGAAGCAGAAAAATCAAGGCGTGGACGATTCCAGTGAGATATCGAGCGTGGATGACTCGAACCACCGTGACTGACACAATCGAAGAATGGTGGACGTAGCGATATCAATATATATAATAGAACGAGAAGAAGAACGGAACCCGTTGGGGTGACTGGAACGAACGACATCCCCGAATCTTTGCCTGGAGAGTGTCCACATTTTATCTTCTCAACCTGAAATACCTCGGGAGCTTGGAGACAACCACATCCGGTCTCCATAGTGTGGGTGTGATGAGGTTGCTGGCCTGGAGAGGAAGAGAGGACGCTCGATGGAGAGAGGGCGGAGTCTCCGAGCCTCCGAAGACCCGACGACCCGCGCCAAGCCTTCCACATTGGAAGCGCCTTTCGGAGCCTCGCGCTCACGTTTACCCTCCGATGCGATGCCTCCGCCTTCTTACAACTCCTCGAGACTGACACGAACACGGACCCGGAATAGTGGAAATTCGCCCCTGCCACTACTCGCTCACACACTCGCAATGGAAGACAGTCCAGATATCTCGTCCGTGCGGGGGGACGAAGACGACGACCAGCATCCTGCCGCCGCGACCGAGAAGTTAGCAGTGAGCTGACCACGATGTACTTCATCTGATGTGAAACCAGATCATGTCACTGATCAGCTTCTGCGCACACAGTGTTATCGCTGCCGCCAGCGCAAGGTGAACGACGACACGCCCTCCATTCGTCGGTGGGGTTGAATGTCTAATTGCGTGTTCAGGTGAAATGCGACCGGGCGAGCCCGTGTGGTCACTGTGTGAAAGCGGCGACCCAATGCTCATACGCACACGGGCCCAAGCCGAGAGAAAGGCGACAGAGGGTCATGGTCTCGAAGACATAGTAAGTACCTGCCAGACGCCAAGGCGGAGGGAGACCGAACACCCAGTTAAGGGTCATCCAGTGATTCCAAATTGGATGAAATATCAAGGAAACTCGACGAACTCAGCCAGAGGGTGCGTCAGTTGAGTCAGGAACCGACTAAAAGCCGAACCGATAAACCCTGCGACTTTATAGACTCGATCAACAGGCGCCCGGAGGAGCGTTGTTCATCCGCCGCGTTCGGACCAACCCCAGCAACTCCATCACTCGGCTCGACACCTCCCCAAGGCTCCCTGCCGGACAGTCCCACCGGCGCAGGGGTTCCTGGAGGACACGGCAAAGCCGAGTACGAGGGGGAATCATCTCTTTTCGCCCATGCCATCTTCGCGAGTCGATTTCTGCAAAATGCCATTGACAGTGCGACGAACGCCGAGGTTGCGCACGAGATGCAAGTCGTCCTGAACGGCCTCAAGACTGCCGTTCAGTCGGGGAACCACAAATCTGATACGCTCCGTACTCTGTATCCTCATGCCAAGGAGATCCCACCCGGCTCAACGACTCGGAATCTCCCTCTACCGCTGATTGACAAGGTGTTCATGTGTTTACGTATGGCCAGAGAATGCCCGCAAGTGGCCACGCTATGGTTGGGGGACTATATTAAACCCAGCCAGTTCAGCGACTACTTGATCAAAGTCGCATCGCCTGGTCCTGCGAGCGAAGCCGACTTGATCATCGTCCATTGCGGTCTGTACTGGCTGTTCTGCGAATGCTCCAAAGTCGTCCCTGACGAAGACACAAAACACGATTACGACGCGCAGGCGTTCATCTGCGCGACGAACCTCGAGACGGTCCTGGCAAACCTTCGCTTTCATCAGCCAACCGATATGGACTTCGCATATGCGATGGGCATGGCGGTACGTCGCTTGCTTGTTCTTTTGTTCTTTCTACGCGTCCATCGAACGGCCCCGTGCCCACTGACCGGACATACTAGTCGCTGTACTGCCTTCAGAAGAACAAGCCATCGGCCGCGTGGAACTTCATCAATTCGGCCTCCCACATGGTACAGGCCCTGGGCTTGCAACATAACGTTCCTGCCGACACTGAGGGGCCAGAAGAAACCGCGCAGAAACGGAACCTCCTTTCCACCATCTATGTGACCGAGAAGATGCTGTCGCTCCGCCTCGGCCGCTCATCGACCTTCCGAGACCAGGACATCACCCTGAGCCATTTTGGTATGCAGCATCCCCACGGTTCGTTCTTGGCGGAACTGGCCCCCGGTTGGATCAACATGGCGAGTATACAGGGCCGGATATACGACGACATCTACAGTCCCGGTGCCCTCCGGCAACCGCCACCCGTCCGGACGGCTCGTGCCCGGGCTCTGGCAGCCGAGTTGACAACGGCGATGCAACATGCGCAAGATATCCACGTGAGTTCATGCCAGCTACCTGCCCAGGATCATTGCCGTGGTCCTCTTCCCCCTCGAGACAACAACACCGACACCTGACTGGCTGCAGGACCATTACGAAGCGAGCAAAGGACACGTGTTGGGCCTGGATTACCACGAAATCGCAAGACGTTCCGACCGAGTCATCGGCCTTTCCATGCTGACGCTGATCTACCGAAGCATCCCCCCTGAGGAGCCATCGACGTCCGCATTTTGCCAAGAATGCATCGACGCCGCCAGGGAGACCCTGCATGAACACGACCAATGCGTCGCGGTGATTACCAAAGCACGAGGGAAGACGGTGTTCCTTGAAGCCTACCTCAACTGGTTCGTTCCCGGTGATGCCCCGTTCCATTCTCGTCCCGATCGATCTGACCGGGAGACGCAGGACCATCACCCAATCTCCCTTTATCCCCTTCATCGTGCTGTTTTGCCACATCATTGACACGTCGGAGGCCGCAGACCTCGAGCATATGAAGGGACTCGTCGAGACGCTCGAGTCGACCTCGAATCCTCGCACACATAGCACATGTAGCAAGCAACGTCGCCTCTTCCGGGTGTTGTACGACGTCGCAGTCAAGTACGTTGAGATCCAATCCCGCCCGAGCATTGGGCCAGGGGGAATGTCTGGGCCGATGGCTCGGCCGCAGTCTGCCGACGCATTTGCCGGCACGACCGTGAACGGTCGTGGGCAGGATGCAACGAACTCCGGCGGGATGGTGGGAGACCCGGGGACCACGAATACTCCAGATACCCCTAGCCACATGGCACCACCGGACGAGGTGAGCGGGGACAGAATAGGCCTTGTCGGTGGGCTGGTCGAGCCTACGGTATTTGGGGATGTAGACATGGGGATGGATCTTTCGGGAGCTCAACTGTGGGACTGGTTCAACAAGAACCAGGCCATCATGAGAATGCTTGAGGATACATAGAACATGGTCGGGATGGACTGGCGGAGCGCACAGGCATAGTACAAGTGATGAGGTACGTAGCCGTTGTGTGATCCGACATACTCTGATGATACCCCTGTATAAGAAGATCGACCCGGATTCCTTTCAGTACTTACGAGCCAGCATACCAAATGATGTATAGACAGGAATCAAGGCAGAGGGGGCTTCCCTCCTTTCTCTGTGACAGTGTATGCTCTCGTTCGTATTGAATCCTATCAATCCGTCTCTTGAAGTTAGATTCGCCTGGTTGTTTGTCCATGATATTGATGTCATCATACATCGATTTTCAGGCTTGCTGATTCGTCGTACTATAACTCAGGGGGACTATTCACGCAGATTGACCGTGCCTTGCTCCGTCATCACGTTCCATCGTTGCTAGCAGTTCTTGGTTGTGATATGATGGTTCACCTTGAGTTGAGCGTTGTTGGTATCGGAGTCCCCCTTCACATCAATTCTGTACCCATTTAAATTTCGACCGTTGGTTAAGAATACTAGAAGGAGATAAGTCACTTAATTTCTTTTTTTTTTTCTTTTTTGCCACAATGGGAAAGAACGCAAGACGAATATGCACGCCGGGGGTAAGCAAAAGGTACGAAGAGATGGAGCGAAGCCACAGAAATGGGCTGCGCTGGCCCAAGCGTATAGCATTAGCTACTAAGCAGATCCGATATCTCGACGGGAGGACGATCAGACACAAATACATGCTGGCCTGTATTTAAAGCCGGGGTAAGACACAACAGCGGAAGATGATCAGAGAGCTCAAGAATGAGAACGAAAAGAAGAGACAATCCATTGGCAGGCTTGGGGGATTCGAGCGAATGCTCACTCTACTTGCTGGCCCTACATCCGAAAGTCTTTAGTATTCGTTGCCCGAGATATCACACGAAGCACAACCAGGTACGCGTTGGGAAGCACCTAATACCAACCACAATTATGCTATCTTGATGAAGTGGCGCAAGTGAGTATCGACTCGAAAGGAGTATATAATTATAAGTTCGCTTCATAACTAGCAAATACATGAGACATTGATCCCAGCATCAAACCGGACAAGCGGCTTGGGCTGTGGTGTATAAGATGGCAGAGTCTGCTAGATTATCATCCACCAGTGGAATACCCCGTGATTTCAGCCCTAGAGAGACATTCATAAATACCTTGCATTGTGTCAAGGATCGAGCTCCAGTTGTCGAAGGGGATAAATGGAATCCCCCTTTCCCTGCAATGATCTACGAGGTCTACCTCCTACGTTAGGCTCTTGTATAATCAATGGCAAGGAACCCCGCCGTGCAGTTGGATATGAGATGGTGAAAGCAAGTCAACGGGAGAACTCACCCAGACCCTCCTTTGCAAAAAGAACGTGAGTTTGCGATGCGGCAGATAAATCCGAGACGCCATCTCCAGCGTAAAACAGTAGAGGACAATGTCCGCTGGGTAGTCCCAGGTACGGCTTGATCTCGAGTGATTTATCATGACCGAAGGCGCTGTGTAGTGCGTCATTTCGGTTTATTGAAGACTCAGCCAACGGGTCAGTACATCTGTTGCCCTTACCTGTCGTCACGGTATTTAATCCGCCATCCACCCTCGGTCGTCTTGTCCCCAAAGCACTGCGGCTCAACATCATTGGCAACAACGAATATATTTTCTGGCTTGCTGCCGAGAACGGACTCCAGCAACATGGTGATGAAAGGAGTCATCCCCGAGGAGAGAACAACGATAGGGATATTACACCGTTTTGCCCAAGCATAGAAATCCAGGAAGTGTGGATCAAGCTGAATATTATCCTGTACAAGTCGCAGGCAATCCGCTAACGGGACCTGTACACTCTGGAGCATGGCGTGGAATGCATCTCTATTGGTGAAGTTGGTCAAGCTGCCGTGAGAAATGACAGAAATGTTGTATTAATATCGAAGTCTTACCTGAAAGCCATATTGCCTTTCATGACTTCCATCTCCAGTTTCCGTCGCATTTCCATCCCAAACCCAAAATTATCCACCTTCAAACCGGGTAAGCTACGGTGAACGTATACTGGGGTCGACATAGTACCAGATAATCATTGCCTAGAGTGCATTCAGCGACGAGTGTGTCTGAGTATCATGACGGAGTAGAAACAATACGATGGAAGGAGGAGGGAAAGATCCAAGAAAGCCTTAGGAAAGAGTATCATACAGTCTTTCAGAGTAATAGTTCCATCAAAGTCCGTAAAAAAGATAGCTTTGGGGTTCTCTTTGAGGTAAAGCAGTTCATTTTCAGGGGACTCCATCATGTCGCCTGTGACCAGGATTGAGGATCTTTCAAGAGCAGCCGAACGAATCAAAATGGCGCCTAAACAGATGATGGAAAGAAGCAAGGTTATAGAAACGTATCCACCGGCGTTGTTAACATTTAAGCTATCGAAGGACAATTGGGTACCCCTCTCCTAAGTCAGCCTGGTGGTGGGTGGGTAGCTATGAGAGCTAAGATTTTTCTAGCTGCGTGTATGATCATTACATGCACGACAGGGACATCTCTATGAGGTAGAGTACTACAAATGTTTCCTATTCCGAAGGACCTATCACGAAAGTTTGGCCCAGCCGGGAACTACGATCTTATGACATTTGCGCCGGTGGCTCCGTCTGTAATGGCTACTATCTCTCGTGTAATGAGGAGCCTTGTCTAGCTTGGAGGTATACTGAGATATGGACAAGATAAAGATCGAGCTTCTCAGAGGGCCAAAATCCGGAAGTGGCCATTTGCAGCCATCCTTCTGGTGTCACTAGCCTTGGGAGCAGATCCAGGGAATGTAACCACATTTCCGGCGTACCCAGAGCTCAGTGTCGGGTACTTGCCTGTCATATCCCACAATAGCTGTGCTCGAGGTGGGTCGACTAGTCCGAACAATCTCTGGTTCACTCTACATATGACACCCTAATCCTGTGGGTCTTGTCCTGACAGCCGATATCTATCTCCTACCCGAAAGGGACTGCTTCCACACCCTGAGCGACCTAGACATTAACCAGTGGTATATAAGATCTGATCATTTTACTCGATGACCAGCTTATGTCTGTGAATTAAACATTTGTCATATAGCGAAGGTTGAACTTAAATCTCCTCTCCATTTACCTTTCAAATGGATTGCTGTCTGCACTCGACGCAAACGGAGCATGCCACACCATAGGAACCCTGGGAATGCAACATTCCGCTATTCGCGATGATTTTAATTCACATATGCAATTCAGCACTAGGTGCGAGGTGTCCTTTTCGCAAGTCATTGCACTCGACATCACTTTCGACACCGTGTTACACATCTTCGAGGACAGTTATACTCGATGAGTCATTACTGTTAGTGTGAACCTGCAAGGTAACATTCTATCGGGGATGTTGATGCAACCTATGCTATCTGTGGATATTGAATTGCGCTAGAGGATGCTAAGAATTGCAAACACGCCTTCAGCCTTCCACACGGACCGCAATATCGTGACCCATGGTCTGTCAGGGTTGAGGAAGGAATTCTAAATCCGAGGGATGTACAGATGTGGAGTCGGAATAGGTAGTATTCCACGAAGGAATGGTTCATACTTGTCGCATAAGGCCTAGACTTGCCACAGCCTCTACGATAAACGTATTGATGCGAAGGTCCCAATTGCATCTGGCCATACTGACTGGCTACCGCAGTTACTTTGACCATGTAGACTGAAATTGATCGGAAGCTTCGGTAAAAAAGAAAAAAGCACCTGATGTTGAGATACCTCTGTATTGCCCAAGACCCAACTATATAATCGAGCGTGTGGAAGGCCCAACTGTTTCACGGTTTCGTGATTACCAGATTCTCATCAGTTAAACCCTTCGCAAGATACAACCTCTACTATTACAATGGGATCCGCAGCGGAGCCAGCATACCTGTACAAGAATGTCTCTCATGATCCAACGGTGCCTCTCGTAAAGTCAGCCGAGGGCATCTATATTTCCCTCGAAAATGGACAGAAGATACTAGACGCCACGAGTGGAGCGGCTGTTTCTGCAATCGGCCACGGCGTAGGTCGTGTCAAGAAGGCAATAATGTCCCAGCTTGACCAAGTGGAGTACTGCCATCCGGGATTTTTCCCAAATACACCAGCAATGGAGCTGGCAGATCTTTTGGTGGAGTCCACAGGAGGAAAGCTGTCCCGGGCGTGCATTCTTGGATCTGGTAACCAATCAGCTCCCCTCGTCTGCTTTTCCATCCCTCGCATCAAGGGACCATTCGGTAAGAATTCGTGAACTAAACCCGTGGGCTACATAGGTTCCGAAGCCGTCGAAGCGGCCATGAAGCTGGCGTATCAGTACTTCGAGGAGCAGTCGCCGAACACACGGCGAACCAAGTTCATTTCCAGGCACGGCTCATGGCATGGTTGCACTTTAGGGGCATTGGCATTAGGAGACTTTAAGCCGAGGAAGAGTCGGTTCGATTCCATTTTGACCACTAATATCTCCCATGTCTCAGCTTGCGATCCATACCACGGCCGCATGGAAACTGAGGATACCGAGACATATGTAGCTCGACTCAAGGAGGAACTGGACAACGAGTTCCAAAGACTTGGCCCTGAAACCGTCTGTGCGGTCTTTTTGGAGCCGATGGTTGGTACGGTAGGTGATCATAAGCCCGAGCTAGGTTTCGTTGATTCGGATATGAAATTGATCTGGCTGAATACTTAGGCCCTGGGCTGCGTTACTGCATTACCAGGATATCTACAAGCCGTGCGGGATGTATGTGACCGCTACGGTGCCCTCCTGGTCTTCGATGAGATTATGTGCGGCATGGGCCGGACCGGAATCACACATGCCTGGCAGGAGGATGGCGTCGCTCCAGATATTGAGCTCGTAGGAAAGGGTCTCGCCGCCGGATATGGGACCATTTCTGGGCTCCTTGTCAACGACCGTGTCTTGGATGGATTGAGACACGGTGGTGGGTATTTTATCCACGGGCAGACCTACCAATCCCACCCCCTGGGCTGCGCAGCAGCAGTCGAAGTCCAGCGCATTATCAAAGAGGAAAACCTCATTGAGAACTGTCGCAAAATGGGTCACTATTTGGGTCAGCAGCTAAAGCTACATCTGGGTGACCACCCATACATCGGAGATATCAGAGGGCGTGGTCTCTTTTGGGCAGTTGAATTCATGGCTGATCCACCCACCAAGACTCCGTTTTCTCCGGCATTCGCTATCAGCAAGCGCATGCAGTCTAGGGGAATGGAAAGGGGATACGATATCTGCCTATTTGCCGCCACTGGTGCGGTTGATGGTTGGAATGGTGACCACCTGTTACTGGCACCACCGTACACTGTCCATAAAGAAGATGTGGACGAGATCGTGAGTAGGCTTGTTCGCACTATTGACAGTGTATTTGAAGATGTAGCGGCGCTAGTTATGTGAAGCATCAGTGGTCGTGAAAGCTTTTGTTGTCTAGGCTGTCTTGTTCTTTTGCCTATGTTGATTTACCTTGTTCTTAGTTGAGGTATCCAAGAGGGAGCAAAAAGAAGAAAAGAAAAGAAAAGGGTAAAAAAAAAGGACGGACCGAGAGCGAACAAAAGTATAATTCTGCGAGTATTATGCTGGTAATTACCTCATGACCACTGTATTCGTGGTATAATCTATATCCAAGTGAAATGAAGCATCCCGGTGACACTCCCTAGACACAGATGTAACCTAAACGTTTACTACCCTCAGTATTCTGATGTGTTGCATGCAACCCTTCCAGCAGTGAGGGTTTTGATAACCATGTTCATCTACGCTTAGTAAGACTAGATGCGTAGGATTTGCCTCTGCCTCCGTCGGCTGTGTCCGTTTTTTCTCTTATTTCCATTCCTTTCCCCCTCTCCCTGTCTTTCCTGCTTGCTGGGCCTGCTCGCTGCACCTCCTACCGTCTGAAGGTGATATCTACAGCAGGCATTTTGGTGTAATTAGAGCCTAAATCCTTGTCTTATTTACATACAACATCGCATCCCTCAAGGCACGATAACGCATGAATGATGAGCACACAGCAGGACTTGGCGTCACAGGCTCCTTTATTATCAGACTCGGCTTATGTATCTTACGGGTCTTACCAGGAAAATGGACGAGACCGAGATAATGTCAGTGAAGAAGGTGTCTCTGACTCACTGCACCAGCCGGAAAGGTGGAATGAACCTCCAGTGAACCTGTGGCGTGTCCTGGCTACATTCTACAGCTTCATTGTGGTCGGCGCAAACGACGGGGCATACGGGGTAAGTGGTTCACAGAAGTCCATTTTCAGGGAGCTTGTACTAATAGGCCTGCTATCGGTAGGCCATGATTCACTATGTAGGTTCATCCGTCGGATATATGCGTGGCACCCTCTGAATATTGGCTGCTGACCACTTTCTATTCCCTTCATCTCTCAATAGCTGGGCCGATATTACGACGCAGACTATACAACGGTTTCAGTAGTGTTCCTCTCGCCTTTTCTTGGCTACGCTACCGCTGCCATGGCCAATAGCTGGATACACGAGCGCTTCGGTCAGCGCGGAATTGCCTTGCTGGGCACGGGGATGCATGTTATCTCCTACTTTGCCACAACCCAGCACCCTCCCTTCCCGCTTCTTATTACGATATTCATCCTGGCTGGCCTGGGAAATGGCATCGTGGATGCATCGTGGAATGCTTGGATTGGTGCAATGCATAACAGCAGCCAGTTAATGGGGATTCTCCACGCATTTTATGGTCTGGGAGCGGCCTTGGCACCGCTTACGGCCACGTACGTGATTACCCAGAGAGACTGGATGTGGTACCACTTCTACTATATAATGGGTATTGCAGCAACCGTCGAGTTTGTGACTTCGGTCGCTGCATTCTGGTCCGCCAGAGGCTCGTTAGTTGAAGCCAGTGAAGTGGGTGCTCCTGGGGACAACGTGCAACAAGATGGCCGAGACTCGTCGAGACACCACACCACACTAAAGAACCCAACGCTTGAATCATTGAGCTTGGTCTCGACATGGATCATTAGTCTATTCCTTTTAGTCTATGTGGGCATCGAGGTCACCGTTGGAGGATGGGTCTTCACGTTCCTCGTGGATCTCCGGAATACACCACCGTCTGTGGCAGGCGTAGTCACATTCATGTATTGGGGAGGACTGACCGTTGGCCGTGTGTGCCTTGGATTCATCACGCCCTACTTTAAGAGGCAACGTCTTGTTATTGTTGTGTACTTAGTGGCCTGTGTGGTGTGCCATATTGGCTTCTGGCTCGCCACGGAACTCCACCTATCCATGATCGCAGTGACCTTACTGGGCTTCTTCCTGGGGCCCCTTTACCCGGAAGCGGTTATTGCCCAGGCCGCACTCTTGCCAAAGCATCTCCATGTTGCAGCCGTCGGCTTTGCGTGTGCTCTGGGGAGCGCCGGTGGATGCATTTTTCCTTTCATCACGGGCGCAATCGCAAAAGCCCACGGTATCAAGGTTCTTCACCCTGTTGTCCTTACGATGTTTATCGTGTGTTTGATATTGTGGTTTGCTCTTCCAGCGCAGCGCCGAGGAACTAAAGAAGCCGCATCACCTGGATGGAGCAGTTCACCTACACGGTCCTAGTGGCTGATGCAGACACTGATTTCTTCCTGTGATGATACGAATGATATACGAAATTCTGGCCGCAATGTCTTGACCATGATCACAGCGATATTTGCAACACGTGTTACTCAATATATGTTTCTTCGCATGCGATAGCTCTTAGCTCTGAATACAATTACCTCAGACGTAGCATGGGCGCAACCGCCTTGCTTTCTCCACGAGACAGCAGGGTGTGGGACTCAAAAAGCAACTGCACCGTCCTGAAAGTCATGAATTGGGTCGTGACGGCATTAAACCAGAAGCATAGAGATGTAGATTTTTGCACACGAAGAGCAAGTCACGGCAACCATACTGGAACCGGATATAGCTACCAGGCTCAGTCAATACGTCACAACAGGATCTGAATGACAGCTGGAGCAGGTGTGCTGATCATACACAGGTGGTGACGACGTGATTCACAATCCATCGTAGAACAGACTAGACCCGGGGAGAATAGCCAACCAAGAGCGGTGCCAATCTACCTCGTCACGGAGAGGGAGCATCCATAGTTCACTGCCACTTTACGAGCCTGGAGTCATTGAGTCATGCGGGAGTGGGCGTACCAGCAGGCGAAACCAGACACATCGTTCTGGCATGGCCCCAAAGCAACTCCGATTGTTCTTTTCCCATGTTCGAGGCATCGGTCCACCAGAGACTCGAGACACAACGTTCTCATCATCAGACGCTTCTTTCGGTAACGTCCTCAGTTGAACATACAGCCCTCTCACCATGACAACTATGAACAAAGTATTTTCCGGTTATTACGAGCGCAAGGCCCGTCTAGATAACAGTGACAACCGCTTTGCCAAGGGAATTGCCTACGTCGAGGGATCTTTCGTCCCACTCGCCGACGCACGAGTCCCACTCCTCGACGAGGGTTTCATGCATAGCGACCTCACGTATGATGTGCCATCGGTCTGGGATGGGCGCTTCTTCCGCCTCGATGATCATCTCCGTCGATTGGAAGACAGCTGTCAGAAAATGCGACTGAAGATCCCACTGTCCAGGGACGAGGTGAAGCAGACCCTAAGAGAGATGGTTGCTAAGAGTGGAATCGAAGATGCGTTTGTGGAGCTGATCGTCACCCGTGGCCTGAAAGGGGTCCGTGGCAATAAGCCAGAGGATCTGTTCGACAATCATCTCTATCTGATCGTCATGCCGTATGTCTGGGTCATGGAGCCCGCCATGCAACATACCGGAGGCAGTGCGATCATTGCCCGTACCGTACGGCGCACTCCCCCCGGTGCTTTCGATCCTACCATCAAGAATCTCCAGTGGGGGGACTTGACCCGGGGTCTATTCGAAGCGGCTGACCGTGGCGCGGATTACCCATTTCTCTCCGACGGAGATACCAATCTCACCGAAGGATCCGGTTTCAATATAGTATTGATTAAAGATGGCATTATCTACACACCCGACCGTGGGGTTCTAGAAGGGATTACCCGTAAGAGTGTTTTTGATATTGCCCAGGCCAAGAAGATCGAGGTCCGCGTTCAGGTGGTGCCACTCGAGCATGCCTATCACGCCGATGAGATATTCATGTGTACTACAGCTGGTGGCATTATGCCTATCACGAAACTCGATGGGAAACCGATCCAGAATGGCAAGGTCGGCCGCCTTACTACAAAAATATGGGATGAATACTGGGCGATGCACTATGACCCGAAATATAGCTCTGCTATCGATTACAGGGGCCATGAGGGCAACTGATGCTGTCTCATTCTGCTCGTCCCTCCCCTTTCGCCGGATCCGGGTTTTTTGAAGTGCGATGGCCAGCGACGAATCCGCCGGAGTGTGTGGAGCATGCCTTCCTGGATATGAGGGTCTTGTTGGTCCTATCTTGATCGAATACTGTGTACTGTTAAGCCTCCTCCTAATTGAGGTTCGGAATTGCAGGCTATGTATGTATGATACATGCATAAAACACAAAGCTTAGTGCAGCAAATGAAAACGAATGACGGTTTTTTTCAAACATTCATGTTCAAATCCGGGTTGTAAAATCCTACATACGTGTTGTAGAGCTTGCAGTTACGAATGGTCTTGCACATTGCGCTACACGTTGTATAACATTCTCCACAGCAGGCCTTGCCAGTCACAAACCCGAAATTAAGTCACAGGTGTTTCTCACCATCAAAAACGTCTTGCCCGGCTCATGAATCCTCTGCGGGGGTTTCCGATCTGGTCCAATCCAAACCATCTCGATGTCTGGAAAATGCTACTTCTTACAGGGTAATTTGGACGTTTTTCGACACGCTAGGCACTCCATTTGCGTTGATAACAAACAGCATGTAGTACCCAGGAAGAGCAACGCCAGGATCATTGGGGATGTCTGCTGTGTACATGTTGGTCCCGGCATCTTGGAGCACTAGTTCAATGCGACGCTGGTCGGTGTTCACCGTGTGTGTGGTGCTGCCGTAGCGGATCAGGGAGGCATTACTGATAGGGGAATCAGCGGTGATCGTAATTTGACCGCCATACCGAAGGCTGGCTGGGGCTACAGTCTCGATTTGAGGACGGGGGGCACGATTGCCATCCGCGTCAAACAAATATGGCGGAGTATAGATCTGGGCATCGTAGTGGTTAGCGGTGCAGTTGGCACACAATCCCCCGCCACCGTTAATCACTGTCGCGTCAGGGAGAAGAAGGGACCAGCTGTGGTAAACGCGGACGATATTGTTCGGAAAGTGTTCGACAAATCTATCCTGGCCAGGGATGTATCGCTCGGGCGTCAACTGAGCAGTGCTCTCGTTAAAGGGCAGGCCATGCGCCTGGCCGCCGGTGATAAACACACTTCCATCGGGCAAGACAACTGACGTGTGAAACGTCCGCGCGTAGGTCATATCACCACCTGCTTTCACCGTCACCGGCGGAGTGTTGGGGTCCCCTATCGTGATGAGAGTTGCATTCTTCGTAGCATCCGAATCCTCATAGTTTGGGGACCCTCCAAACGTGAGGATTCGCCCACCGGCGGCATCAAACATGACCGCATTGCCGGACATCTGATCGTAGTCCGTGCTTCGATTGCCGGCATTGGTCACATTTCCTTCGCCCTGCGCGAAGTACCAGTGCATGGCCTGGCTCGGCCCGGCATGGAAGATCGAGAGGTTCTTCCAACCGAAAATCCAACCATGATTATCTGCATGATAAGGGCCCAGGTTGTCATGGGTTAACATGGGTTGTGAGCCGGCGTTCGGCAACTCAGTCCAAGTGTCGGCCGTGACATTATACACCTCACTGTTCTTATTCTGAAGCTGCGGGCCGTTCCACGAACCGCCCAGCACAAACATATTGCCGTCGGACAGGATGGTGGAGGCCTGGTAACCACGTTCGACGTTCATGGGTGCTCCTGCGATCCAGCTGTCGCTGAAGGAGTCGTAGATACTCGTCATGGTATCATCATTGCCTCCAGTGACAATAACGCGCCCATTGACATCCATGGAGATACCCGAACAGAACATATCGTGCTCAGTATCGGAGACTTCCCGCCGCGAGACAACGCCCGTAGTCGGATCCCACGTGGCCGTTTGCGTTAAGCCACCACTGGTACCCCCATATTGGTTCTTCCGATACGAAGACCAGACGAGCACCTTCCCCGAGCTGGGCTCGATGGCCGCTGAGGCCGGGACGAGAGGGAAGTCGATCGTTGGCCCCCAGGCGCCAACCTCATTGAGGCGTTTTCCCTGTGGCGCTGTGGGAATGGTGTTCGCCGACCAGATTTGTAGGTCTGCAATACTGGTTGCATTGTCTCCATTGGACGAGGAACGCGCAATGAGCCTGACATACTGAACCGCTTTGGGCTCAAACACAGCCAGCTTCACGGTTGAATCAGGCCACCATGCCCCATGTGCGACTGGGTCTCCCCAGGTTACCCCATCCGTGCTGAGGACAACATCATGGGTCCCAATCCAACCGTCCTCCACGGCTCTTGGCCAGATGGCAATCCCACTCACATTCTGTACTGTCCTGAGATTGATCGTGATGTTGTGAGGAAGCGACGCGATGCCGTTGGTATCGTAACCGCTGTGCCAGTACGTGGTATTGTCGCCGTCAATCGCATTGATACATTCATGTCCGACCTGCTCGCTGTCGCATGTTGCTATCCAACTGCTCCGGTCGATCCGCGCGCTGTTGTACGGCGGAGACTGATACAAGCCTGTATTCTCTCCTCCCGTATCGACGGGGGCACCACTTCCCTCAATTCCCAGCGACAGCCCTTGTGCCACTGCAGATATGAGGGACCCATGCACGTTGCCTTTCTCCGCTTGGGATAGCCCGATGAGCAACAATACCGATGCCCACTTGAGACCCATTCCTGCCTTCTGCTTCATCGTGTCTTTGCAGGCGGTTTAGAGTAAGAATAAAGGTATTGTCCCCAACCCGTATTGTCTCTGGGTGGAGGCTAAATTGATATATATATACTTCATCGTGGTCAGTAGAAGCTCGAGCAACCAATTCAGAGTATCTGTATACGATCAAGCACTAGAATTCCCGGTGTTCAGGAATGAAGGGATTTCGCCGTGTCCCACACCGTGTGACACATGCCGCATATCCCAACATCCACTTAAAAGACAGCGACACTCCCCATATGGAATGCACGGTCTAGTCCCTGTCACCGCCCTAGTTTTACGAGCGGCTGGCGATTGGGATGGCATGTTAAGAGGAATCAAGTCAAAGTCGCCCATAAGTAATTCTTTCCCTCCTGATCAATGTTCTCACACGCTGTTCCCAGGATAAACCCCCTCGCAACATGTCGTGTCAGGGACTCGTGGAAAGTTGCGTTCGAGAACACATCTTTATATTACAGACGGCAGCAAGTGATAAAATCCTAGGACTCTTGTATGGACTCGCGAGGTGCTAGAGGGATCTGCATTGCAGGCGTAGCAGTGGAATGACCAGCGAAATGCTGAAATGCGGGATATTGACAGATGGACTGAATTCTCAGAATAGAATGTTGTATTATACAATCGAACCTGCTCAATCTCGCCTGTCTCCTCTCAACCCATGACTACCGAGGCCATTCCGTCTCTGGGGCAGAACTATATGTCACTACAAGATATATTCGAGATTCTTGAGCTCTCGGATAGGTAGTCACCTCATTCAATCCTCATTCCTGTTGTGTTTTGTAGGCTGGTCGAGCGTTTCGCCCCACGGCATTCAAAAAACAGACAAACTATGTCCAAGTAAGGGCGTCGACCTGAGATCATTGTTTGTTGTCATAACCTCGTCGCGTTATGGCTTACCAGGCGCTGTACCCAACTGTACCTGGTTAGTAGAGAAGGCTGCGAACTCCCTGTCTCCTCGGGAGATGGAGAAGGTTAGTGATTCCCACATAGCGTCTTGCAGTGGCTTCATGCACGATGAGCTGACATGGCCTGACCCCATGATTCCACAAATGTTGTACAGCGCTGTAGGAGCAGTTCGGAGTGATGACCTCATTTTCCAAAACATATGACTCGAATCGGTGGGCATAGCTGGACTGGTTATTAATCCGATATATTGCGTCAAGTCATGTTCTGCAAGCGGCATATCCGTTTCTCTGTCCGCGACGCCCAGTCCGTGCATGTAAAGTCGAAACCCTCGTTCCACCCAAGCCTTTCATCAAAGCTACCCAGAAGTCAGAAAGGAAAAGGGTGTTACTTCACTTGGATATACAGATCCGGTCCTTCTCGACCAACGCGTCAACCGCTGCTTGACTCCGGGCTCAATATTGGGTCGGTTACAAGAGACCACCAACCAAATCAAAGAAAGATGAGTTTGGCACATAAGGATGCAACCTTAGCCAATTTTGGCATCTTTGCCTTACAACCTCTTTAGGTTTTCCATCCAGTTCCGATCAGAGTCATACACGCAATGGCGTGCCATCAAACCATGGTGTTGCATACCCCAGTATTGCTGGCTGTTCAGTCCGGCATTGCGCGGAACATGTATGGACGGTTCCGATAATGGCCTATCTTCAAAAAGTCGATTTAAGCTATAAAGGCAGCTCTATTGGGGCTCCGTGTGTGTCGATTATCTCGCGTGCGGCTATTGTATTACCGGCTCGACTACTACACTCTCATTATGAAGATGGCATCTCAGGAGAATCTGACGACAGGAGTGAATAAGGACAACGTGCAGGGTAACATATGGTGAATGCTCTGGAGGCGGTTTGTCTTCGCAAAATCATGTTAACCTCACATAGGCCGGGTTTGCCCAAGGAGTTTGAGTTGTTCTACTTTTTCAAGATTTCCAAGACGGACAGCTTCCGGCGCCATCTGCGCTACCTGATTCCGCATATAACTACGGCAAATAGCGCCCTCAAAGCTCGAGACCAAATTGCGCAACACAAGGCTGCAGTATCGAATGGGCGTACCCACCCCGCAACGATTCCACTGGCCGGGGTAAATATTGGCTTCAGCGCTAATGGCCTGAAGAAGGTAAGCGAGTGGTCATCCCCACCCCGGGACCCATCCTGGGGTCAGAGATATCGCTAATCTCAGGCTCTAGCTGGTGAAGAACGAGAATGACCGCTTGAAGGCCGGTCCCTTTCTTGGTGGCATGCTTGCCGATCTGCAAGGTGGGACTGCTGGGGGTGAAGGCCGGGATAATCCAGAGGACTGGGAGAAGCGTTTCAAGGAGAACGACATCGATGGCATAATTCTAGTCACGGGCGATTCCGAGAAGACCGCTTATGCGAAGCTATATGAGGTGAAGTCTCACTTTATCGGCTTCTTCTGGTTCAACTCCAGCATCGAAGACCGCTTCACGATCCCTGGATATAAGCGTCCGGGCCAGGAGAGCAATAAGGAACAGTAAGGCACTCCGCTTCCAGTGCAATACATTCCGATAAGATTTAACCGCTAGTAGCTTTGGGTACCGTGAACATATCTCCCAGCCCCAGCTTGTCGGGCTGGACCCGTCCCCTACTGGGGATAAAGAACCTCCGCCAGTACCACCAGGGTAGGGACAGCTTTCTGTACAAACCGTATCGAAGTGTGAAGGGACACTTACAGGGCACCAGTTATATTATCACCAACACCGACCAAGACCCTTCCCCTCAGCCGGATTGGGCGACGGAAGGTAGCTTCCTGGTCTTCCGCAAGCTGCAACAGTTAGTGCCGGAGTTTAACAAGTAAGTCTCCAATACTTACCCTATCTTCTCTCATCACGAACTCATTAGTGCCTAGATGGTTGAATGAAACAGCCCCAAAGCACGACCTGACCGCCGATCAGCTCTCTGCACGCTTGATGGGCCGGTGGAAGAGTGGTATGTACTTGGAAAACTCCTCTCTCCCATTCCGTGCCAAGTTCTGAAGGACAATAGGAGCTCCCTTGTGTCACACACTCTGGGAAGACAATCCCGCTCTGGCGGAAAATAACGATTTTGACTTTAAGCCAACTAATACCCAAGAGCATTGCCCTTTCGCCGCGCATATACGCAAGGCTAGACCGCGTGGCGATCTGGCAGACAAATTCAGCAGTGCAATCATACGGCGGGGCATACCATATGGTCCGGAGGTTACAAAAACAGAGCAAGACCAGCAAACAACGAAGGAAGATCGTGGAATGCTATTTGTCTGCTATCAAAGCAATATTTCAAATGGATTCCGGAGGATCCAAGAGCGTAAGCCATCCACATTGATCCAACTCCTAAACGCTATAATGGAAGACGTCCTCTGACAGCTACATCCAGAGTGGTGCAACAAGAACACCTTCCCCTCAGGCAAAAAGCGTATCACCGGTGATCCAGGACCGGGAGCCGATCCAATCTGTGGTCAGCCTAATGGGCCAGACCCGTTTGTGATGGGATTGTGTGATGGCAAGAATAATAACATCCATGTGGATTTGCATTGCTGTGTGATTCCTAGAGGAGGGGAGTACTTCTTCTCCCCTTCCATTGCCGCACTGAGGAAGATTTCGAATGGCTCAACTTGAAGAGTTTCCTGCCAGGGACTGTCCTATGGCTTTTGTCGCTCTCTTTCAACTAGTAATGAATCTGATATTGCACAATTGAAGCAAATATTCGGCCTTAAAACCGACTTCCCGGGTGCAATAATCACAGCATCCATTTCACCTACTACCACGAATGCGTAGACTAGTTTCCCACATTTACTCCTGTGCCCCACCATATGAGTTAGTTTACGGGTTGGGGCTTCAGCCAATGTGATATGGGGCAATGCCCTCTCACGTGTCTCAATCTGCTGGTTCCGTATCACTTTGTAATATACTGTTTCAAGTCCACCAAAGCCAGCTTCTTGTCAAGATTGGCCCGATTACCCGTTACAAGTCTTTCACTCGCTGGTGAAATATCATCTTCGCATAGGGCCATCTTGCGAAATATCTAAGTAACTGTCGTGGGACGGGATAGAGCTCTGATGACCTTCACACGTTATGCATATCTGCGGAACCATAGTATGATACACTGTTATCTACGGACCAATTCGACGGATTATGGGGATAAGGGGTCATTAGGTCAAGAGGTATGGGTACTTAATCTAAGGTAGACCACGCGAGGAGGTATGGATATGAGAATTGGAACACCATAAAATAAGACGGGATTAGCTCGAGGTGAAGTCAGCCAACATGCGTCGCTTTCGCCAAACTATATGCCTCAAAATCGAGATCGGCACTGGGATACGAACGGATAGGGGTTTGGTATGTTTTGAATGTGAATTGAAGTTCAATCATGGTGTGAATCCATCGCCATTCGATCAAAGGAAAGTGTGATAGTCCGAAAGTGACAACATACACAAGCATAACTCGACAGGAAGTCCGAAGCCTTTAACAAGACCCACAATATAGTACAATGTCGCCATGCTAGTAAGAAAAGATGGATTTCTGCTTCTCCGGCAAGCCCAGAGTTGCCCGCAGGCCATCCTCGCTGCTTGTCTGCGTCTTGGGCACAAACCGTGCCAGACCCAGGGACCTCCGTTCCAGCCGAGGCACCATGCCGTCGATCACGTCGATGGTAAAGTTATCGATGTTCATCTGGTCCTCGGATCGAATGATCTGGCGAGCCTGGATGGTGGTGAGGGTGCGTCGTTCGTCAGCCGATAAGCTGGCATGGAGCTCTTTCAGTGCGCCCTCCGTTCCATTCTGCGAGTTGATCGCAGCCACCTTCGTCATCACAGCATCTTGTTCTTCACTACTAGCGGTTTGGAACGCCTGCATGCAAAATTCGATCGTCTGGGCGATCTCAGCTTGGGTGAGATTTTTGTCTACATCGGCTGTGCCTTGGATGACTGTTTACTGAGTTAGTGTAGTGCTTCAATGGCCAATACGAGAAAAGAGCTTACTTGGTCGGAAGAAGTCAAAGGCACGGTTGAAGCTGTCCTCATCGAAGTCGGTCAAGACAGGTTTCTCGCGGTCAGAGATCTGTTTCAGTGCACTCATCACCACCAGAAGGAAGCGGGTATAGCCCTCGGCCACCTTTTTAGAATGCCAGCTGACGGCGGCCTGTTCCTTGCAATCACCTCGCTGTGCAGCCCGGATCGTAAGGGCAGCTGATAGTCCGCTAGCAAGGGCCAGGTGGACTCCGGATGAGAAGAACGGATCGATGAAACACCCGGCGTCACCCACAATTCGTAGGTAAGGACTGGCGTAGCTCGAAGCGTTGTAGGACCAGTCGGAGGCCGATTTGAGGTCTGACTGCAGCTCGGCCTTATCCAGAAGCTGCCAGATTCCGGGGGTGTTTTGGATTGTGTTCAAGTAAAGATCCTTCGTCGTTGAGCCTGTCTCACGCTTTTTCGCCGTTGCGGTCTCCTGGTTCATGACGACCCCGATAGATGTAGTGCCATTGTGCAAGGGAATGAGCCAGACCCACCCGCTTCCATCTGCAGAGTCATTGTGAGCTAACATGCCTGGCACGAAACCAATTGCTGAGCACCGTGCGTACCTTCGATTGCCTCGAAATACGGATCCCCTTCACGAGGAGTTCCGACTCCGTACGAGCCGGCGTTGGTCCAGTAACCCCAGCTGGCGACATTCTTCAGGCCTTGGTTATACCGACGGTTCTTCATGTACTTGGTGCTGACCAAACCAGCCCGTCCGGTTGCATCAACCAAGTATTCGAAGGCGATCGATCCTTTTTCGCTTGTAGCTTTGCACGACCACGTTGCGGAAACGGGACGTCCCAGCTCAGCGAGCGATGGTTCCACCGTCATTTCGTCGATCTGTTCAAACTCAATGCTATTCACCTTGACGCCATCGAACACTTGGGCGCCGTTCTCTCCTGCATGCTTGAACATGAGGTGATCTGCTTCGGACCGCACGACGTTCCACGCATGGCTCCCCGGACCTCCAGCAGCGAGGAAGTCGGTGTCTATAGCCCATTAGTTCCACCGTCTCTTGTGGACTTCTCAGGAGATTACTTACAAGCTTCCGGCTTGGAGTTGAGTTTAAAAGCAGCCCCATTCTATTAGAACATTAGTTCTGTTGGCGATTTCCAGCCGGGCACCAAAGTGGTGAAACCAACCTTATTCACAAAGCCATAGCTGTCGAACTTGGAGTCCAAATCAATAAAACGAAGGAAATGTCGGATCGATGGCAACATGCTCTCGCCAATATGGTATCTGGGGAAGACATCGGCTTCCAGGAGAACAGTGTCCACTCCCTCGCGGGCCAACGCAGCAGCGGCGTAAGAGCCAGCTGGACCGCCACCCACGACAAGTACTGTGCACTGGTTTGGAATAGGCATCTTGATTATATTCTTACTGTGTTTGGGAATATTGACTGCTATACCAGGGGTGGTATGGGTCTGCTTTAATATAACTCTCTCGACGGTCATTGTTTGCTTCGCCCGCAACCCCGGGAACCGACGAAGAGGCCGGTCTCCGACGTAACAGTGACATCTCTCAGTTTGGGACGCATAGTTTAGGAAGCTTGACTCAATTCCGACTACATGGTCTCCCCATAATTCATATGGCTTACTCCGTGCATCTAATGACGACCCTCCGTAGCATTTCCCAGCGACCGAACCATCACCATCGCCAGAGGGTTTGGCATGATGCGAACTCCATCCACCATATTCGGGGGCCTCTCAAGTATGCCCGTCTTTTTCATTTCTGCATGATCAAACTGAAACTCGTATCTGGAAAGCAAGGACACAATCATGAGCTTGATCTGGTTGCTGGCATAATGTCGACCAGGGCATGCATGAGTGCCGTATCCCCAATTCAACTCCGATGCACTGGATTATACTTAGCCTAAAGTTGTAGCAATCACCATAGAAACAAGAATCATACCTAGTAGATGCATACTGAAATTTCTGCTCATTCCCCTTGATCGTGCGCAACTTCTCGAACCGAGAGCCGTCAAAGGATGTCGGGTCAGTCCAAAGTGACTCATCTAAATTGACCATCATGGATGGCGCCGAGACTGAGACCCCAGCTGGCACCGTGTTTCCATCTGGAAGTCGGAATGGCGATAGTGCGAAACGACTCACGCTGACTGCGCGTAACAGTCCTCTATTAGTGGCGATTCACCGTTCTAGTAGAACCAAGACTTACCAATTCCGATAGGGTTCAATCTTTGCGACTCCTTCAAGAAACTGTCGCATTTCCGCAGGCTTGACAACGCGGCTGGAGTCCATTGACCGTTGCATGATTCTGATACTGACATGATCTCATCCCTTAACGGCTGTAGATACTCCGGGTGGGCCAACAGATCATAGAAGAAATGAACAAGCTATAGCAGACCATTATATTGTTAGTCCTCTCATCGTATACTGAGCTGCTCCGGTGCCTCCTACCTGAAAGGCAAGATTATAAGTCGCCGCTTGAACGGCCTCCAGTTGCAACCGCGTATGAAGGATCATGTCATCTTTGTTGTCCGGATAGTTATTGATAATCCATTGCATGAGATCGTTAGGCACTTCACCTTTCTGCTGTAGACGGGCTTCTAACGTTGGTCGCAACAGCGCAGTTGCCCGTTTGAATTGACGGCTCATCTCTGCCGTTTCGGGCAGAAAGATCCCTTTGAATGGTCGTAGTGCCCAAGGAGTATTCGACATCTTTCCCGCGACTGTCACAGTGGAGATCGCATAGTCGAGAGTGAGGTCGATCTGTAGCTGTCAGCGAGCTATCCGTGAGACCAAGAGAAACAGCCACCCATTTACCCATTCCTGGTTGCGAGACAGCGGTGACTGAATGAACGAGCGGCTGATGTGCAATGACACCAGCTTAATCATGGTCGGGAACAAGGCGAGCGACTTCCAATCTGGAGAACAATCAGTTGTTTGGCTCGCACTGGACAAGATGAAAACTTACCGGGGCAACGACCAATTTGCGATGAGACCGTCCGTTCGGCTTCTTCCTGCAGCAGAGCAACACTCTTACCAGCATTTTTCATCAATCCAGCTCGGACAAACTCAGCCAGATGGTCACTTTTCACCATCTTGGTATACCGTCCCATGAGACGTTCGTACACTTCGCGGCCCAAACTCAGCTTCTCCTCCGGGGCGTAGGCTATGGTAGAGAGACATTTGAGCGGCACAATCACCGTCGGAATATCTTTAGTCGCAATTTGGAAACATGTCTCGGGATACTATTTTGACTTAGAAGTTCACTCTCGTCACATTAGAGGATAATAACTAACCCGCTGCGAGCCCTCCTTCAAGGCTTCCAGAAGGTTAGAGCCATTAGCGTCACCCACAGCTGGGATCCTATGCTGGCGGCGAGCGCGATAAACTATCATCAGGGTGACAGCCAGCGCTGCCAGGTACGGCCAGTACAAAGTTCCGATATCGTTCATTATGATGCTCATCTTTGAGTGTAATTGCCGCTTAGAGCGTACCAGAAGCAATGCCCGTAACCTGGGGCGTTTTATGCCTGTTCTCGCTTCTCGGAGACCGAACGTCGATTGTGCAGTCCGACGACGGAGATATATATATCGACTAAAGGACTTCCATTACGTTCTTTCTACTTTGATTGAGCGTTATCTTGAGCTTAGCGGCCAATAAGGTATTGGGGTATAATGTTGTTCTCTTCGGCGCCCTTGACGATCATCTACGGTGTACGTCTACAGTTCCCATCCAACTGCGAAACGACTAACTAAAACACCAACCACCAGCTGATTTCCTTTGTTGTGACAAAGACAATCTACAATTTATACCTTCACCCTCTTCGCTCCTATCCGGGCCCTTGGCTGGCTCGTGCTACCCGCTGGTATTACTCCTATTATGTGAAAGTCGGTCTTCTGCCGCAAAAGACAAAACAACTGCATGATCAATACGGGTCTTGTGTTCGGATTGCCCCAGACGAACTATCGTATAATACGGCAGAGGCATGGGAAGATATCTGCGGTACGACATCCCTCGAGCCATGAGATAGCGAAAACTAACAGATTTCGTTGTGGAATCAGGCCACCGAACTGGCCAACGAACTGAGAGCTTTGAAAAGGATCTGACCTTTTTCCCACCTGCACCGAATGGAGTCGACTCAATTGTATGTATTCCAGAAACCGTCAATAATGTGGAAGGTCGCGTTAACCGTGCAATATGTAGATCGTCGCCAAAGATGATGTCCACAGACGATTCCGACGTCTCCTGTCTCACCCCATGTCCGATAAGGCGCTGGGAAGCCAACAGGACATCATCACCGGGTATGTCGACCAACTGATTCACGAACTCCGTGAACGCAGTGAAAAGTCTGAGGTGGTCGATATGGTCCGCTGGTTCAATTTCACTTCCTTCGACATACTCGGTGACTTAGCGTTCGGCGAGTCATTCGGCTGTCTCGGAAGTGGTGTCATGCACCCGTGGATTGAGCTCATTTTCACGTCCATCAAATCCGTCATGGATATGCAGATTATCCGCCGCGTCCCCGGTCTATTCTCACTGATCCTCGCTATTGCCGGATTACAACAGAAGCAAGATCTGCAGGAGCAGTTCATGTTTTGCCAGAAGAAGGCCCGCGAGCGATATACGAAGGAGACCACCCGGCCGGACTTTAGTATGTCCTCCATCAGTCATGGTATACGTCTTGCTAACTGTTGATAGTGACATATATTCTCCGTGCGACGGAGGAGAAGGGTATGACGCCGGAGGAAATAGAAGCCAATGCGCAGATCCTCATCATGGCTGGCAGTGAAACGACGGCATCAGCTCTTTCCGGTATGATCACTCCGGTGGACAAGAAAAGTGGTGGTGATTTTATCTAACACATGTGCCGTCGCACGGTTTAGGAACCCTGTTCTATCTACTGAAAAATCCAATGGTCATGCGGAAGCTTCGCGAGGAAATCCACACCACCTTCAAAACCGAGCCAGAGATCACCATGCGATCCACCCAATCCATGGAATATCTACATGCTGTCCTACAGGAGGCAATGCGCGTCTATCCCCCGGTCCCCTGTACGTTCCCTCGGACTACCCCTCCTGGTGGGGCAATGGTTTGTGGTAATTTCGTTCCAGGAGGTTATATCGTGGGGGTTAACCAGCTGGCCGCCATGACTTCGGAGAAGAACTTCAAGGACCCGTTGAAATTTGTCCCGGAGCGGTGGTGCGGCGATGAGCGATATCAAGAAGACTCTCGCAAGGCCTACCAGCCCTTCTCGTACGGACCTCGGAACTGTCTGGGGAAGAAGTGAGTTTACTTACTTGTAGAGATTGTTAGGGTGAATGTACTAACCAGCTCCCAGCCTGGCATATGCTGAAATGCGTCTCGTCCTCACACGATTGCTATGGAACTTTCAGTTCAATCTGTTGGAGGAATCGAAGGAGTGGCATGCTAAGCAAAAGGTCTGGATGATGTGGGACAAGGGAGATTTAAAGGTTCGATTGACGCCATTGAAGCATTGAGCAATGAAATAGAAGATTGGTCATATATGAAAGCTAGTCGTGTGATGCTTATTGCATAGATTGTTTAGCGTTATTTATATACATAACAAAGGAAACTCGTGATATACAGGGGTCAATGAGAGTCTGAGATCGCGGAGCAAAGCTTCTTGACTCGCGCTTCCAGCGCCGTGCATGGATTGGGCTCCAAGGGTATCGCATCTCGCAAGTTACTCAATACCTGTAAACATCGCTGGAGCTCTCGTTGCAAGAGATACGACCGCAGGGCCAGCTGCTCGTCTTGGTTAATCTGGAATAGTCCAAAGCGAAGGTTGGGCAAGACATTTGCCCCCGTAAGTTCATCCCCGAGAGCAGACAAGTCTCGGCCTCCGATGCTCGCTCGATCGCTGTCGCCGGCGGAGCCCTGCTGCATACTGCATTCGAACAAAGTCACAATCTGATCGATAGCGATAAGCAGTAACATGGCGCAGTTGGAGCCCTCTTTATGGGCCCCTTTGCTTAGGATGCGGGAAATCTCTCCGAGAGTAATTTTATTCGTCTGCATGACCACATCCAGGGCCACAACGCCGCCCTGAATTCGGTGTTCGAGGAATTCTACTATGCGGTTGCAGATAAGAATTGTCCAGCTTCGGTAATTGTAGTGGTGGGGCTGGCGACCGCAGTCGGTCTGGCAGCCTATCTGAGAGAGCAGTTCACTGTAGGGGAACGTTGAGTTCATGTATCCCTTGTTACTCTGACTGGAGTGCCCACAGGATGCATCTGAATACGGGCGTCGTTTGACCGGTGGGCCGTTGTCGAGCGTGCTGACGGGAACATCCATCGGATGGAAGTCCTGAATGTGTAGATCGAGGTCAGGAAGCGCAGGGATTGGTGTTGTAGGCTTGTTAAATGGGCAGAATAATCCACCATCTGGTATGCCGGCCGTGTGAGAATCTGCGATGCTATGGCCACTGTGGCTTGGAGGCTGCAAGGAGTGGCCTCGGGATGGACCTGGATCTTGATCCGAGGATATTAACTGGCTGGGGAGAATGAAGAGATCGGCAGGCTCGTAAGTGTTCAAACTTTTGTCGCTGGCTTCCGTCCATTCGGGGAACAGCGCGCTGTGAGACTGGGGTGAGAGCGCATCGGGAGCCGCATCTTCCTCCCCAAAGTCTGAACGGCTGTGGCGATCGTTCTCCGATTGCTGATCTGTCTGGAACCCCACAATTCCGTCTGCATCTGGCAGTGTACTCGCCGTTTCAGGTCGCTGTGGTGCCTCTGTCCTCGTGCGGACGGCTTTGTTGCCGCGTGCCCGAACTCCCGGCACCTTTCCCACTCGTGAGATGGCATAGACACATTGATATTGGAGGTTGTTACATCGGTCACAGCCGGTGCGTTCTCCGCTACACCGCACCTATTCATCAGCCAGGTTAACATCTTTCTGCGTAACATCCTTGGTAGATCGTACCTTGGCTGCATGGCACTGATTGCAGGCAGATCTCCATCGGACCGGCTTGGTGGATGAACCTGCTCTGCGGGTCCAACAGGGTTAGTAAATTTCGTGGGGAAATATATTCTGGAAAACCAACCGCTCGGTGGTAGAAGTAGTAGAGGACATCTGGATGGTGGAAGTTTCGAAGTTGAGCACGCAATAGGTTTCACCGGAATGAAGCCGATTCCTTATATTTTACAGGGTAAGCTTCCCCAGAAGAATGCACCGAAAGACCGTCTGTGTCTTCCCAAATTAGCAGTCGCTAAAGAGCACAGCCAACAAGCTGACAGATCTAGACGATATTCCTCTTTTGGCAGGGTTTTGATCACAATTGCCGCGCCATGCCTCTACCACCGCAGGATGCCGATACTAGCGTTCCTGTCAGCCTGTGGTTGAGGCAACAGTCCCGATATCAACTCACAAGGGGCCTCAAAGCCGATTTGGCCCCCATGCCATGCATGTTCTAGGTCTGAAAAGGTTCGTCTGAAGGAGTCTGGTGGATCTATCAGGGATATGTACGCCGGCTGAAGTCGGTGATTTGGTTAGTACGGTCTGGTAGATGGGCCAGCATTCTACCATTTTCTCACCTCCACACATGTTTCTTCACAAATTACTTTACATCAATGCTCTATAATAACACTAGGCTCGAAGCTCTCAATCTAATACGTTGTATGACTGTCTTCTACCTAAATGACTGCCTGACAGCGTGATAAACTGTGAGAAAGATATGATTCCAGGACTGCTCCCCACGTCCGTGAAAGTACCCCGCCGTAAGCGATTATAGGGCAATTCTGTTTCATCAGGGGTCCGCTCTTCAACCTAATCCTGCAATAATGATTTCGTAATACGCTCGTGGCTACTAGAGAAAATCATAGCCGGTTCTGATTAGTCGGGACGGGCCATCCCGATATAAAAATACGCTGGCCCACATGATTCCAGAGAGATGTGGAGGGAAGTTCCAACACAATCAAAGGACTGCTCGTCACCCGACGAGCGGTATTAGGCTAATCTCAATTCCTCCTAGTTAATATGCAATGGCTGCCCCCCTAGCTTCAGAGTTCTCCTGCGTCCGACTAGAAGCAGTAATCCACACGAATGTCCCTACCCTAAACCCTAACCCTACTTTAGTGTTGCAGATCGTCGGAAGTCAATCAGTGGGGGAGAAAAAGACTTCGCCTCGCTCCAAACAATGATCGTCGAATGCCGCTACTGTTCTAAAAAAGAGAATTCTGAAGGTGCCTGTCAAATAACAAATCCAGAGCTCGCAATCAGTCACTGTGTTGGTTTTTGTTGATCCCCTGACGCGTCCTGAGAGATTCTTGAGCTAGTGGACTATTAATTTAGAATTGTTTTTCTTTTCCTCTCGCATTCCAAAGAAACTAAACATGCAGCTAAACTATGATGTGTCTGGACTTGCTCGGCTATACCAGGAGCAAAACTCCACATTTATCCATTGAGTTGCATTCCGCCCGGAAAGAGTCCGTCACCACGACCCCAAATTCTCGACCAGATCAAATCGTGAATCCACCACATAGTAAACATGGCAAATCGCACCAAAGCTCGCACCCCTTCCGGCACGTGGCCATCATCACCAGGCCCAGCACGAGCAGCGGCATGAGTCAGGAGACTGAGAAGCGTTAGAACCGGAGTCCAGAACCCCAGAAAGAGGGTGACACCGATGCGTGCCCACGTCGTAGCCGGAGGCTGATAGCAGGGGTGTTTGTGACGAATCTGGGCAATGTAATTGGCCGGAAAACCTGCAGCTCGGGCTCCGTCAAGGATGAGACTCTGGGCGAGGATAAAAAATCAACTTCATGATCCACGAGGGAGAATAGCCTCAAGTCGGCACAAAGATAATACGAACCATGTAGCGCTTACTCGGTCGAGACTCCGGCCACCGTTCCATCGTGCTGACCAGAGTCAACACAGAGAGTTCTGCACCCCAACGCTGTTGATCCTGTGGCTGGATTGGCCGTCCCCGTAACAGAGCCTCCTCGTAAGCAATCCCGCCCCCTTCAGAGGCGATGATCTTGATCCACTGGCTCCAAGTGATCAGATAGGCCGTCCCGTGCAGGGGCAGCTCGCACGGTCCATCATGTTTCTCATCAGTGGGTCCTGCTGAGCCAACAGCTGCGATGGACGCGAATGAGGGCTCACGATAAGGAAAACCCGCGCTCGATAGGGTTAAACGCCAACCGGGGACCACAACAGCAACAGCCGCTTGAGGTGTGATCTGTCGATCCTCACGAAAGGTCTGCGACGAGAGGTTGGATCCATATGCCAAGTACCAGACCAGTCGGTCTCGGTCTGGCTCAAATTTAGGGAGCACCAACGAACCAGCCATACTGTAAGAGGAAATTGGCCTTCAAAACTTGTTTGCTCCAATACTCCCTTGGGGCAAAAACACATGGAAAAAGAAAAATCCCACTCAGAGTAAACGTCTGATGCAGCAAAAATGCAACAAAAATAAAGACCCTCCACAACCTCTGCCTCGAGGCTAAGCTTAAACCCTCGATGGTTCCCAAAACGGCCCCCGAATGACAAATGGCACCCGAAGGAGGCATGAAACTATTGATTTCGTGGAGGCTGAGGGCCCCTTTCTTCGGCCACCGGGCGTAGAGGTCCACCCTTATTGCTCTCCTTGGCAAACCGAGACACCCAGCGTCTGGGGATAGTGTCACCTATTCGAAAGCTTGAAGCATTGGGGTATTTTTTTTTTTATTATTCGTTCCTGGTGCAACGTTAAAGATATTGGCTCGTCGGTCTCCAGGAAGTCTCATTCATACCTACTCCGACGGGGCCGAGCACCGTCGACTCGTCATGGACGTACCATCGCCGTCGGCAGAAGATAGTCAACCGGAGAGGCAGTCAACTGGCACCCGTGGCACTCGTTTCTGGGCGGTTTTCGTCTCCTTGTGCTTTGCGTCCTTTGTGGCCTCGCTCGATATCACCGCTATTACCACCGCATTGCCCACCGTTACGCGCGAGCTCGATGGCGGCGAGAACTATGTGTGGATTGCCAATTCGTACACGCTGGCGTCGGCCGTCGTGCAGCCCCTGATCGGACAGATCTCCAACATCGCGGGCCGTCGAAATCCCATGATCATCCTCATGTGCTTGTTCGCTCTGGGGAGTGGTATCTGTGGCGGCGCGACGTCCACGGGGATGATGATCGCCGGCCGCACCGTTCAAGGCCTAGGAGCCGGAGGAATTCTTCTGTTGCTGGAAGTCATCGTGTGCGATCTGGTCCCCTTGCGCGAGCGGGCACAATATGTTGGGATTGCGTTGTCGACATGCGCCTTGGGGATCTCGCTCGGTCCGCTGGTGGGAGGCGCCTTGGTTCAGCATGCCACTTGGCGATGGGTCTTTTACATCAATCTACCCTGTGCCGGTGTGGCCCTTGTGGCTTTGGTTCTGTGTTTGAATGTGCAGCATAAACGGGAGGCCAGCTGGGGACGGGCGTTGGCCCGAGTCGACTGGGTGGGAAACACGATCTTCATTGCGGCCATCTGTGCCATTATGTATGCTCTGGTCATCGGCGGATCGGTTCACCCCTGGTCGTCGTACCAAGTGTTGGTTCCACTAATCCTCGGCGCATTCGGTTGGGTCCTCTTTCACATTTTTGAGGCCTCACCGTATTGCCTAGAGCCGACGATGCCCCCACGGCTGTTTCGCAACCGAACCTCTATGACGGCATACGTTCTGGCCTTCCTCGCCGCGATGCTGATGCAATGGGTAGTGTACTTCTTGACCCTGTACTTCCAGACAGTCAAGGGACAATCCACCACCATGTCCGGTGTCGACGTCATCCCCTTCACTGGGTTCATGATTCCCTCTGCCATCGTGGGTGGCGCTATTATGAGCAAGACAGGGGTCTATCGTCCGTTGCACTGGGCAGGGTTTGCCCTCCTCTCCATCTGTATGGGTGTTTTTAGCACCTGGGATGCAGGGACGCCAAAGGCCGAGTGGGTGATTTTGCAATGTCTCGTAGGTCTCGGGCATGGACTGCTTTTGACGAGTGTTCTCCCTGCCATTCAAGCTGCGCTCCCCGAGTCTGATAATGCGGCTGCAACGAGTGCCTATGCCTTTCTCCGCAGTTTTGGCTTCGTCTGGGGCGTCGAGATCCCAGCCGTCGTGTTTAACGGCCAGGTCGACCGTTTCCTCGGTCGGGTCCACGATGCGACCGTGCGCGGCAAACTCGCTCACGGCGGCGCTTATTCTTTGGCGGGTACTTCATTTCTTTCCCAGCTGAGCGAAGAAGCAGGCGCTGTTCGGAGTATCTACACCGATAGCTTACAGACCGTGTGGCAGGTGGGAATGGCGTTTGCCTTGCTCGGGTTCGCCTTGGTCGTGGTGGAAAAGCACATCGAACTGCGCACGACGCTGGAGACAGACTTCGGCCTCGAGGGGTCTGAGGATCGTGCGGCGACGTCGGTTGAAGGGGTGGAGACTGGTCCAGTATCAAAGGCTCAATAGGCTCTTTTCTATGTCTTGTTATGGTTGGGGTAGAACTACCACAGGGTATGCAATTGTAAAATAGACACAGTTATCAATCAACAAGTGATATACGGTAATTTCACAATACTCCAGAAATGGATTGCGTCAATTTGTACCTTCAGCTTGTCGTAATTCAATAAGCTTTCCACCCGCAAGAGCTGGTAGAGAGCTTGGCCTTGCACCTCAATAGATTCTCAACTGGCTGCTATGTACTGTGATATGATTTCTGTCAGTTGGGCACGCATTGTAATGGAAGTCCTTAAGTTGGTTGCTAATGTGTTAGTTGTTCTAACCCGCCGTTGATATAGAATAGGTATTCTTTCCTCCGGAATATATATTTTGATGCCAATTAACGCGCACTCCCTGAGTCCTTCAAGAATATATTATATATTCCATGATCAGATAAACGAAGGCTACTTTGGATACTGTATTAAGGTGCGCATTTCTACCAGGGATTGTGACTTTTGTTTGCTATAGGGCTATCTTGTTCAATATTCGCGTTTGTAGTTCTACTTTGTCGAGTTCATGTTTTGAACTTGAAATTCCTGGGTCAAATAAATAGCTAAAAATAAAATAAACTCAACAGATAATTCAAGCGATGTCCACCAGAGTGGCATTGCAATCCTTTTTCTCCTTCGCTTTGGTCTGCTTCGCCCACATTTGGCTATACATTCCATTCGCTGCTAATAGCTCTTCATGCGTTCCTTTCTCGACAATACGTCCCTGGTGCAAGACAATAATCTGGTCGGCCTTGGTGATGGTAGAGAGACGGTGACTGGACGGAGTAAGTTTGATATACACCCACGCTTTCAGAAGGTGTAATAAGTGACTTACGCAATTGTAATAGTCGTCCTGCCCTTCGCAATATTGTCCAGCGCCCCCTGAATCAGACGTTCAGTTTGCGAGTCCAATGAGGCCGTGGCTTCATCGAGAAGCAGAATCTGCGGCGATCGGAGGAATGTCCGAGCAATCGCGATCTGAAGGTCCTATGGTTAGTAACTGGCCACGAAGTACTTGGCGATAGTATGACTTGCCCTTTGCTTCTCTCCACCAGACAGCCGCAGCCCTCGTTCGCCAACCTTGGTCTCATAACCGTCGGGAAAGCTCAAGATCCGATCGTGGATACTGGCTGCACGACATGCCGCATACACTTCTTCCATCGTTGCATGAGGTCGGGCGTACAGCAGGTTGTATAATAGCGTATCATTGAAGAGGATTGTATCCTGTGGGACAACGCCGAGGTGGCTTCTCAAGCTGGCGATGGTCATATCCCGGGCATCGACGCCGTCGAATCGAACGGAGCCTGCTGCGACATCGTAAAACCGGAACAAGAGCTTCAGGATGGTGGACTTGCCGCTCCCACTCTCTCCCACGATAGCGGTTGATGTCCCGGGTTCGACGGTGAAACTCACATCCTGCAATGCCGGACGGCGCTCGTCGTAGGCAAAGTTCACATTGGTGAACTCCACGCGACCAGCGCAACTGGTGAGGTCGATCGCGCCGTCTCGATCCTGGACCAACGGCTTTTCTTTGAACTGTGAAACTTGGTCAGTGGGCAATCATCGCTGCCTACAATGAGGGAGAAGGCTTACCAAAGCGAGCATCCGCTCAGCGTCGACAAGGTTATTCTGGACCTGGGTGTAGAAGCTTCCGAAGAAGTTCAAGGGAGCTTGGAGTTGGGCCAGGTAGGTGAGTAGCGTGACGAACATGGCGACTTGCTGCATGTCTGCGGAAATTTGATACGCGCAAAGCAAGCAGACGATCGCCACTCCTGCCGTGAAGAGCAAATTCTGGGTGGCGTTGAGCAGGTTGAGTGAGAAGAAGACAAAGTACTCGGCTTTTTGGAAAGCTTGCACCAGGCGGTTAAAGCGGCTGATCTCATGAGGAACGGCCGAGTTGTGATGAACTGTCTCATAGGACATCAGGGCATCCGTCCTATCTTCGGTTAATCCACCTGTGGAGTGTCTTATGAAGACTTAGAGAGAGCTTACTTCGCGGCCTCCATCTCCCGCTCCCGATTCACCATCTCGCGGCGCGCGCGGCCGCGATACTTGGCCATGTATATCGTTACAAAGAGGTAGAGCCAAGTCACAGTGATTACAATGAGAGAGTAAAAGGCGTCAAACTGGATCAAGAAGTACAGCGCAGCAATCCACAGATCGGCGACCATGGGAAACAGCTGGAATACCAATCCATCGAGGAAGGTATTGAGTGCACTTCCTTTGCTGAGTGCGCTCATGACCTCTCCAATGCGCTTGCCCAGGTGGAATTCAAGGGATAAAGAAAGCACATGGTCAAACGCGGAGGACGTGAGTCGGCGGTACGTCGACTGGCTCACGGGGATCCACAGAAGGGCCCGGATGGATCCAATTACGCCTTGCTGTCCTTGAAGGGCGCGCAAGGCAATGTAAATGGCAATCCTTTGGTAAGGGATTGTGCCAGAGCCCAGGTGGGCCACGACAATTCCGAGTTGATGGGGCACCAGGATATTCACCACGCGTTGAAGGACGAGCAGAACGAAGCAGAATATGGCTCTTAGTTGCAAGCGACGGGAATCAGATGGCCTATTTCCTGGTTTAGTTAACATCCCATTGAGGCAACGAAGACAACCGACCATAAGAATGGGAACAATGTGCTGAACCCAACAACATAGTCCAGCCATCCACCATGCTGCGCATCTCGGACCGGTTTAGAATCCACGTCCCCTAGTAACGGCTCGGTTTCATCCAGTTGGATCCGCGACCATGCGTACATGGGCTGGAGATAGAACGCAACCATGGCGACGAACAAGACTAATCGCACCATGACCAGTCCCAGTTGAAGGTACTCAACTCTCGAGAGGACAGAGGCTGGACTCTCTTGGGACCAGAACATCGCCAGTTGAAGACCCTCCATAATACTGCCGGCAATCCATGCATGGGAATGCGACAGAGATGGAGAAAATGGCACATCAGGATCTGGAAGCAAGCCTGCCGCCAGGAACATGAACACCGCGATATTCGACGCCTACGCCTATCAGAAACTCTGGGTATTAGAGAAGCTTGCAGGGACATACCAAGAAACCTTTGTCAACCCACCAAGCCTCCACATGAGGACTGATACTCATTGCATATCCAGTGGTGGTAATGGAAATTGCCTGCCCAACGCTCACGATTAATCAACACATCCAATGAGAGAGAGTTCTGCCACTGACCAAATCGAAACATTGTACGAGCTGCAGCCAAAAGATGGCCGTAAACGCAGCCCTCCGATGCTTTTCATACCAAGCGCCCGTGGCGCTATCTCTGTGCTTCCGGTACAAGGCAATCCCTAGCCTCGAAAGGAAATAAGAGAGATAGATAGTCCCCGGATAGGCCCAGCACAGGGCCAGTGTTAGCATTCCCAGCCGCATTGTGAGATAATTTACAGCGTAGCAGCTCACAGGAGGTGAGGCAGCTTTAGCATCTCGGGGGTTGTTGATAAGTAGCAGATAGATGAGGGCTCAGTGCTGTTCGGCCCCCGAAGCTGGGGGCACCGACGATCACCACGTCGGATCTTATACCCATAGAAATTACCTGGACTGCCCATGAGATGTCACCAAGCAAAAGTATCGATTCTCCAAAGTCAAATATTCCCAACAGAGCAAGATGGCTTCTGCTGGCGCAGGACTGTCGAAGCGTGGTGCGTCCAATGTTGACGCGATCATGCCTGGTATCCGTGCTGCCTTGCTAGAGCGCACTCGACCCACTGTACCGCGCATTGATCTATCGACCGCTGAGAACTGGTTGTTGCGAAATGAGATCATTGAGTTGACTAAGGATGCCATACGAGATGGGTTGAAACCTCACGTACACCTCCACTCCCCTGCCTGAACACTCGTTCGTGCTGATCTGAGACGCACAGCACTTGTCATACCCGAATGAGTTCGCTGGAGATGCCGACCTGATTAAGGCTCTGGCAGCATTCGTTAATGAATACTTCCACCCCCATATCCCGGTGGAACCAGATCATATCGCAACCGCGCCTGGTGCGGCCACCTGCCTGAATACTTTCCTGTACAATCTTTGTGAACCGGGCGAAGGCATTCTCGTCCCGGCGCCCTTCTGGAGTATGTATCACATATGGCAAGTGAAGGCCATGCCGGGACTGACGTCTCTTCTGTAGATGGCTTTGACTGGCTCTTCACAGCCCGATCATCAGCCGTGCCGGTAATGGTTCATGTCGAAAGAAGTGCAGATACCCTGACGGCGCAGTTGATCCCAGCGCTGGAAAAGGCTTATGAAGAGTCTACAGTTCCGATTCGAGGTCTTCTCCTCACAAATCCCCAGAATCCGTACGGACAATGCTATCCCCGGTCCGTCATGGAGGATTGTATCCGCTTCTGTCATTCTAAAGGCATCCATTACATCTCCGATGAGGTGTACGCGCTGTCCAGTTTCGAGAATCCCGAGCTACCAGATGCACCGCCATTCGCCTCTGCGCTACAGATTGATGTCAAGGGAATTGGTTGTGATCTTTCTCGAGTGCACACATTCTGGAGCACCAGCAAGGACTTTGGCTCCAGTGGCTTCCGCGTGGTAATTTCTCCTAGAGTTCCAGACCTCTTCTATTCTAGCTAATAGCCTGAATACAGGGATGTAGCATCACACAGGCTAATGAGGCGATGCATGTCGCACTTGCTCTCGCGTCCAACACGGAGTCGTCCAGTCTCAGTGCGGTCGCATCGACAGCCCTCCTCACATCTCCTCGACTCCCAGATCTTCTCCGATTGAATAGAAAGAGGCTACAGGAAGCATATTGCCTCATGACGAACTTTCTGAAAAGGAATCATATTCAATATATTCCCGCAAATTCTGCCCCATTCCTCTTTGCCCGTGTGGCTCCGCAGGCTCAGACCTGGGAGGATGAGAAGGCTGTGATCGCCCAACTGAAGGAAGCCGGCGTTAATGTGAGTGGAGGCAAGGCATATCATGTAAATGAAGATCAGAAAGGTTGGGCACGGTTGACATTTGCGCTGGAGCCATCCCGCGCGGAGGAAGCAATCAAGCGCATGGAAACAGTTCTAGGGAAGCAGTAAATTCAGTGGCTGTGGGAAAAGAGGCTGTCTCGGTCGCCGAATAGTCTTCGGTCTTTACAAATAGTTAGGGTACATCAATGGAGCTCTCTGTCATTTCACCCTCTCGAATCTTCTGCTCGATCAAATGAGTATCAACCTAGTTGTGCCAGCAGTATGTCGAGCAACGCAGACACATCGTCCCTCAGTAACTGGGACTTATATCCCACCAATGGCTCCATTACACCCCATCTTGTGCTTGTCGGTGCCCAAATCCTACTCCTCAGTGGCCCTCAATTTCACGGCCGACGAGCTCTTGCGGTGACGACGATTCTAAGTCTAGCAGCCATTGCGCAATACAATCGATTCACCAATAACCCCGGAGTTGCCAATTTGTTCGCACTCGCCTGGCCACATTGGCTCTCTGCCATAGAGAAGATCGTCTTTGCCTCCCCGGGGGGACCTGAGGCAGACTTATGGAGAGTGGACCGGGTCCCTCACGAGGCCATGACCTGGCCCGTGTTCGGATGGCGAAAGATCAAATGGGCCGTAACTCTCCTATTGAACCTGCGAGGTATCCGCTGGAGCTTCCAAGTCAAGAATGTACCGAGGATGCCAGAGCGCATGACGCGCGCTCGATTCCTGCGGTGGCGACTGAGTGAATTGATTTGGGTCTTGCTGATGGCGGATCTGGTCTCCCAAATGACCCTTCGTTTCTTCTTCACGGATGCTGCAGAAGCCGTGGGAAATATTGACTCCAAGCACATCACTATCCGCGATGCTCGTTGGGGATGGAGCTTTCTCAAAGCGTTGACATTTGGGCTGGGTCCATATTTCTTTATCAACATGCAGTACCTCGCGGTGTCTATCCTGGCCGTGGCCGCGGGAATTAGTCGGCCTGAGGTAGGCTTCTGGTCCATCACGCAAGAGCAATAGATAGCGATACTAACGTCTTGCTAGGACTGGCCACCTTTGTTCGGCAAGCTGAAGGCGGCTACAACCGTGCGAAACTTCTGGGGGACCTTCTGGCACCAAATGCTACGAAAGGTATGTCCTGTCCCGGTATTATTCTCTCGTCCAGAGCTCACCGGTGGCATTGAATAGTCCTTGAACACCATCACCGGTGCCTTCGTCGACGCCGTCGGAATCCGCCGTGGGACCAATGCATCGTCCTATACCCAACTCTGGCTCGCTTTTACCATCTCCGGTATGATGCACGCTCTCTCACAGCTTCTGATGCCTCGTCCTGGCAATGTCACCCCCAGTGAAATTGCTGTCGGTATCTTCCTGTTTTTCCTATGGCAGGCGTTTGTGATTACGATGGAGGACTTCGTCATCTGGCTCTGGAAGCAATGGTATGGCTCCTATCAGCCCCGATGGGCACCACTTGTCGGGTATCTATGGGTGATGGTCACCTTTTGGGTTGCGCTGCCGTGGCCTGGTGATTCCTTGTGCCATTTGAAGATGGGAGAGGTGCCTCCTCTACCGTTTACTGTAGTTGCGCCTTTTGTGCAAATGATCCCGATCCCGTAAGTCATGGTCGGCAGAGTGTCTCATCCAAGTGTTTTGAGTCGACGCAGTCGATGTACAATAGAATATGATGTCTTGGTCTATGAGTTCCAGATTACATTTCTAGTGGGCAACATTAGATCAGATCGTCGCTTTGAACCACAGTTCAACCAGTTTCATTCAATACTTCCTCTTTTAGAATCCTATCTCTATTCTTCTTTAGACAGGTTTCGGCTACGGATCAAGATTTCGGTGTCCGGAGCAGCCACCAGCTGCGCCTCAATGGCAAAATCCTCAGGACGATCATGGACAGGGCGCGGTTGGGCCCACTGGAAGTCATAATCCATAATCAGCTTCGCCAGCACTAGTTTGATCTTGCGAATGGCGTAGAATCTGCCCGGACAAGCATGGTTGCCGTAGCCGAATCTATATCACATTAGGTACTTAAACAACGAGATCATGAATAGGGACACCTACTGCAGGAATTTCTGGTCGATTGTCGACGCGAGCCATCGGTGGTTCTCGCCTTGCTTCTGACGGTATCTGGCAAACCGGAAGCCATCGAATTGGTGGGCGTTCTCGTAGTTGTCGGGGTCATAGTGAATCGCCAACGCCGGTGCGATGACGTTTGTTCCCTTAGGCAGGGTTAGACCGTCGTGGAATCGGAAATGGTCGTCCATGACTGTCCGAGCCACAGTTACTAGTGAGGTCTTATCAGTCTATGGTGTCTCTTATTAGATGTTGGAACACTTGGGGTACTCACAGGAACCCGCCGGGTGAAGCCGCATTGTTTCCCGGATGAAGCTATCGAGTAAAGCCATTTGGGACAGAGCTTTGTCGGTCCAGCCACTGTGTCTGGCGACCACGGTGGAGATCTCCTCACGGAGAGGCTCCAAGTACTCTGGATACGCAAGCACATTGAGCACACACTGAGTGACGCCCACACCGGACGCACTGCTCGCAGCAAAGGTCAGATGCAGCATATGATAGACTTGATGTAAGGGCTCATCGTCTCCGGGAAAGGACGGAGCAGTATCGATGGTCCACTGCAGCGCATCGGGATACTTGGTGGCTACATCGACGCCAGATTCTTTCTCCTGTCGTCGTGCAAGAACGTGGGGCAGGAGAACTTTTGCGGCGGCATTGCGGTCCCTCAGGTGAAGTCCGATGGTCAACCAAGCGACCAATTTGCGTAGAGGTCCCAAGCGAACGAAGTTCCAAAAGATGCCGCTGATAAATAGCGATCGTGAGAACTTAGTAGTAATCGCAAGGTATTCTTCGTTCCGACAGAGTTCTTTTCCCACCAGGATGCGGTTAGTCGTCCGGTGCACGATGGCAGCGATGAGGTCGGAGATATTGAACTTCTTCCAGTCTATAGCCGTTGGCCAATCAGTACTTGATTCAAATATGAGTATCCGAAGTCGTATATGTGTACATACCAGGTAAAGAACCTATTTCCTTCTCAATAGCATATTCCGCCTCGTCGCAGAGCAACGGTGTCAGTTGGGCTAATGTGGATCAGTATACCTTTCTCTCGATCGCAAGTGACATTCACATACTTAGTCTAGTATTCAAATGCTTGACAACCACGTCAATCTCCGTTGTACTTGCGTAGAGATGGCCGACCGAAGCCTCCATGTTCAGACCCTATTCGTCACTTCATTAGCCGGACATGTCACCTTCGCTGAATATTTAGGGTCATACATCGCTCAAAGCTTGAAAGAAGCTCAGGCTTCGAGGGCTCGCACGTTTGATATCATCGAAATACTTGGACGGCAGAACCACGTAGTCGTGGCCGAAGACTTTCGTGAGAAAAGGTTTGCCCAATGCTTTGTTGAACTGCCCATTGTCAGCTTCTGAGTGCAACACAACACAACACACGACGAAATCGCTCACCTGCTCGTAGCCAGCTTTGGCATATTTGGGGAGATCAAATCGTGTCGGTTTCTGCCAAGTGATCCAGGTCCATAGGCGCGACTTTCCCATCCGTGGAAATCTCTGGGCACTGCGTCCGGACAAAAGAGCGATCGCCACACAGAGGCCCACCGTGACGGCGGCCCATGCAGAACTGAGAAGAGACATTATAGGTTTGGGGCAGTGAAATACAAAATGTAAAAGATAAAGTGGTGGGTACAGACGTTATATAGATTGATGACTGTGGATTAGGGCTACTGTGGGCTGAGAATCGGCGACTCATCGGGCTCGGAGCCCGAGATACATACAACATCGAAGATACAGCTAAACATTTTCCTCTTCTTGCCATATACGATATCACTACTGAGGTACCACGGAGCTCAGTGGCTTCGACCATTTCTCTGCATTCACTTGCATCTGCACACCTCCGGCTGCAAATGCGCCCATCACCACTGCCTGCGTGCCAATCTTGAATTGTGACCCGGCGTCTCCCGCCACGAAAACGCCAGGCACAGTGGTCTCGTTGAAGGGGAATTGTGTCTTAATGTGACCTTCTGGAGTCATTTCCACACCCAACTGCTCCGCGAATGGCCCACGAATGTTGGTTCGCGGTCGATGTACCATGAAGCCAACAATTTCGGACTGACCGTCCTGGAAGTGGACCTCCATCTGCGCCCGTTTGGGATGCTGCACGAACTTTGCAATCGGTCGCGACTCGGCCCGGAAGCCGCAGGGCCCCAATTGTAGCTCGACCTCTTGTGCCAGCTCGTTATTTCCATGGGTGTAGATAACGACATTATCTGTTAGGTTCCGCGCTTGGAAGGCCAGATGCCGTGCTGCGAAGAAGCTGGCATCACCGTCAATAGCCAGAACGCCTCCAGATGCGCATCCACGCTCCTCGTAGCCCCGGTGGACGAGGCAATGGAAGCTAGATGAGTGTCAGTAGTCTAGAAGAGTAACTCGATCTGTGTCTCCATGAGATACGTACATTCCCTGGGTCCAGCATTCCGCAAATCCGTCGATCGTGGGAAGAACATCCTCCACTCCCATAGCCAAGATCACTTTCCGTCCCAACCACTGTCGTTGTTTAGTATCCCAGACACAGAAATATCCTTTGTGGGGTCCATCTGTAAGCTGGGCCACCTTCTCTAGTTTGACATTGGCAAATTCGACTGTGCTGTACTTGCTCAGAATGTTGAGTTTGGCGGCGTCACGGAAGCGCTTCGGGTCCTGGCTATCCCAGGTGGGAACGGTGGCGAGATGAGGCGCCTGGTCATTACGATGGATACCCTCATCGAAGACGACAGCTGTGTGGAGCGTACGCACCAGACTGAGGGCGGACGACAAGCCCGCAATGCCGCCGCCGATGATCAAACAGTCGTGGAGAGGGATGGAGGATTCAGAAGCCATTGTGACAAAACGTTGACGTAGGCCTTACTAGCAAGTGGAATTCAGATGATGGCAAGATAAGTGATCCGATGTACGGATGAACATCCCATCGGACATGATATACGTAGGCCACCATAGGCACTGCCGGTCACCGATCGGCTTCCCAACTGGTAGACGCAGCCGGGGGTTGCGAAACAGAAGTACATAACTTGTCGTGAGTCAGGGAGGACAAGTCATATCTTCACTAAACTCGTCTCACACAGACACCTCTTCGCACGAGCTAATCATTGACTGATTCCAACATGACCTCACTTGCTCACTATCCCGCTCAAATGAGCTTTATGGCTCCGCGCCATGCATCGGATGAGTCCCCTTTCTATCGATCAGCCGCTGATGAGGGCTTCGAGGTATGCAACTTCACACAGCAACCACACAATGTCACCGTCCATGATGCTCGTCCGCTCCGCGATTCCTTCCAGCTCGACACGCATGGGTTTGCTTTCGCCGTGGATTCCGACGGCAACCGCCCTGAGATTCTGGAGACCATCCGCGCTGGTGACAAGGAGGCAGTCCGTGAGGTCTACTATCCCCTCGTGGAGCAGATTATCAAGCGGCAAACGGGTGCATCACGCGTGGTCATCTTCGATCACACGGTGCGACGTCGTGAGGTCTCCCTGGCTGGGAAGAACCCTAATGGCCGCGAACAGCCCGCAAGCACGGTAAGCGTTCTTGTCCGTGAGTAACTAGCCCGCAGCTAATGAGTGTCAGGTTCACTGCGACCAGTAGGTGCCATACGCCGTCTCAATCTGTACTCCATTGACCCTTTTTTTGCAGGTCTCCCCTTGGTGCCCGGCGCCGCGTCTACCAGCATCTTCCCGAAGAAGCCGACCGGCTTCTCAAGGGTCGCGCGCAAATCGTCAAGTATGTAATCCTTTCCCTGTGGAGGACTCCAGTCTCATCGTAGCGACTGCAGTGTCTGGCGTCCTCTCCGCGGCCCCGTCCAAGACTGGCCCTTGGCTGTCATGGACTGCAGTACATTAGCCAGAGCGCATATCCATCCGACAAAGCTCTACCGCAACCGATTTGAGCTCCGTGGTGAGACCGTCAGCATCAGCCACGACGAGAACCAACGCTGGTACTATCTTGATGGACAACAAACCGATGAATGCACGTTGATCAAGATCTGGGACAGTAAGGAAGGCATTTCGGGACATAGTATGTTCATCCGTTTTGACTTGATAGTGGAACGTCGGCTCACAGTGTTTACAGTGTGTGCCCATTGTGCTTTCCAGCATCCTGATACCCCGGAAGATGCTCCGCTGCGTGAAAGTGTTGAAGTGCGGTGCTTGGTCTTCTATGAGGACCATGCGTAGGAAGCTTTGTAGTATATTTTCGGTTAGGATTTCAATGGCAACTGGTTTTCTTCTTGAACTTGGAACAAACTTCGGCGTAGGGATTGAGTTGGGAATGAGTCTGGACCAAGCCGTGTCACGTTGCCCTTCCCGTACTTTAAACCGACATCATGCGTTGAACTCTCTATAAATTCGTCAATTGGGGTAAAATGATTTACAGACTCTCCACTCATCTCTAAGCCACTAATATCTACATGTTGTCTTGACGAAATTACCACAATATAATTACAGACGCGGCTTCGACACAGGTTCACTGGATAAGGAAATTATTATAACAAAGGACTCGCTCATGAACTACTTCCACTTGGATATCACACTTATTTCGCCTTCTCATCAAACGCCAGCTGCGAGACCACACCCACCGCTGCCAGCGATCCATTACTCATGGACATACTGGCCGCCTTGATGGCCATGCCGCAGTCGCCCGTGGCGAAGCAGCCCGGTGTGGTGGTCTCACTGAAGGGAGGACTCGCCACGAGCTCTGTGCCCTGCGCCGAGAGCTCCAAGTTCAGGTTATGCTCGAAGTCCAAGCGCGGCGTCGTCTTCATGGCATGAACCAAGAACCCCTCCTCCTTCGTGGTGCCATCCTCCAGCTCCACCCGGACGGGAATGCCGTCAGTCTTGTGGAGTTGCTTGATGACCCGGTTGTCCAGGGTCAACCATTGGTCCTTCTCGATCGAAGGGCGGAGCTGCGCTGCGAGCTCCCCATTGCCATTGGTATAGATGGTGACGGTCTTGGCAAGGTTGTGGGCGAGTCGAGAGAGATGTTCGGCGGGTTTGGGGTTGGCAACCGGGCCAATGGCCAGGACGCCGACGGAGGGGGCACCGCGCTCTTCGAATCCGTGGCAGAAGAGGCAGTGGTAGCTATACCAGCAGGTGAGAATGGAAGCTGTGCGCATCAGGTCATCATGACTTACATGGACTTGGACCAGCAGTCGGCATATCCTGGCAGCTCCGGGATCTCATCCTTCACACCGGTGGCCAGGATCAACTTCCGCCCCTTCCAGACCTTGCCGACAGCATCAGTGGCCTCGAACTCACCGGAGTCGAGCTTCCAGATCTTGTGCAAGGCCACGTCAGCCAGCGTCACGGTGTTGTAACGGCCCTCGGTCAGCTCTTTGCGCGCGGCGAGCCGGTAGTCATGGGGATTGGCATGATCCCAGGTGGAGACATTGTGCATATGCTCGGTCGGGTTGCGGTAACTCTTGGAGTCAAAAACAACCGCCGTGCGGATCGCCCGACAGAGACCGAGGGCAGCAGCCAGGCCAGCAGGACCCCCACCGACAATCAAACAATCAAAGAGCGGAGCAGCCATGGTATGAGGAGAGAAGGGAATAGCACGGAGATCGACGGGGTAAAATGAGTCGTGGGGCCAGCTCTGGGAGCGGAACGCCCTTTAAATCTCTCCCTCCCATCGTCTTTCCAAGTCAACCTAAGCCCCGGTCACCGACATCCCTAAGATTGAGGCCGGAGACTTTTGGGGCGAAATGTCGCCGAGGCCATTCATGGATCCCTTGTGGATCTTTGTCTTTTAGCTCGGGGAGTCTTCCCACGGATGTCGATCCCGCTGTCCTTAGTGCTTACTTTTTGCCATGGTGAGAGTGGAGTTGACCCACTGGCTAGACTGAGAAGCAAAGAAAGATTAAAAATAGCGAAATACAAGTGGAAAGTGAGCGGGCTGGTGCCTGAGGATCGAAGGTCTAAAAGAAACCTTTGACCGCCTGCCATAAAAGGCAATCTGTTGATTCTTCAGGTTCCCCTCGCTCAAAACGCGTCACGAATATCTCCCAGAAGTCGAAATCACTTCATTGACGCTCTATGTTATTGATAACCCGGAATATACGTGTCAAATAAGCCAAAGAAAAAGCCATTGTAGTTTACAAGGAGTTTTTATTATAGATAGTTATAGGTTAGCTGGTGATACTTTAGAGCATTGAGCGAGCGGTGGGATTATATATTTCTGTGCCCATCAGGTGAAGCAGAACATGATGACTCCTGTCGGCCAGCAACCGACCTTCATATTCAGATTACGGCTTCATAAATTATTATATACAGTGCCAAGGGGACAATATCCTGAATAGTTATATCATGTCGTCCTCGAAGAAGACCAAAGCCCTCGTTCTCGATCGGACTCAAGAGATTCCATTTTCAGTTATTTTGTTTGGGTTGAACCCGTGACAGAAGAGCACTAAGCTCGGTTGGGAATGTTTGACTTATTGACAAACAAGAAATCCAGTACACACACAACAGAAACAACTAAAAGATACAACAAACCACGAGGACACAAAAGTCGAGACTCGAGGTTCAGTCCTGTTCTTCCACGGCATTTCCCCATTTTCCCCGTTCTAACCGCGCTGCTACAGCCGCCGCCAGCCCCTGGCCCATGGCTAATGCTTTGAACAACGTACGTTGTCCGAGGGACGCGCAATCGCCCCCCGCGTACACTCCATCCAGACTGGTCATGTAAGGGACACGCGCTGAGATGCGAATAGCCCCCGATTCGGTTAATTCTAGATTCAACTGACGGGCAAATGGCCCTTGCAGTTGAGATGCGGGACGATGAAACACATGGGACTCAACGATTGAGCTGCCATCCGCCAGGTGAACGACGACCTGAGATGGGGAATCGGCCCCAGGTTGTAAGGATTGGATGGGGGTCGTCTCAATGGCGATTCCGGCGTTTGGGGAAATCCGTGTCTCGAGGGCTCGGGCGAGATCCTCATCACCATGGGTGTAGACACGGACTGACGCCGCAAACTGTCGTGCCTGCCACACCGTATGTAGCGCCATGGTCAACTCGGCCAGATCACCAACGGCCAAAACGGCGAGGCAACTGAAGGTGAGAGAGCCCGGCTCATTTTCAGCGGGGTGTGTCAAGCTGGTCCATCTGTCAGTGGTATGAGAACATCTCAGGTGCAGAGGACAACGTACATGCGCTGTTGTTCCCAACAGGTGTCGTACCCGTCAATATCAGGCAGAATATCCTCTGCGCCGTCAGCTAGAACTAGGACATTTGCCGTCCAGACATGACCAGTATCATCCGCCGCTTCAAATAACCCGTTCGGCAGTCGCCGCACCTGAGTAATCCGCTGACTGTGCACGCTGACCTCGGAGCTTTCCTTACCGATCTCTTGTCGAAAGGGGTGGAATACATCGGGAGTTTTACGACGGGAATGGAGAAGGAGGTCCAGCGCCGGCCGTGTGGAACCCGCGTTCATGTCTGGATCGCGGAGACGGTCATCGGATGCATTGAACAGAATCACACGGTGGTGCGCTTGTCCTAACTCCCATGCCGCATTTGAACCAGCAGGACCACCGCCGATAATCAGCACGTCCGCCGCCGACTGAGAAGAATCGCACATGGCAGAAACAGAAGATGGAGAGTGGGCGTGCAGAATATTTCGACGAGCTAGGGAAAGCCTGTCGGTCCCAGTTGGATATATGGCAGTTGCTGTCTGTCGGGCGTAGTGTCCGGCGTCGGTCGCCGATTAAGGACCGAATGGCCGCTATCGAGCGTCATAAATCCTGGTGCGAAGGGTTATAATATGGACAAAGCCTTTCCCTATCCACCGTCCGTCGACCTTTTCACAACGACCATACCTTTTTCCTCTACGGGAATGACCACGATCATGGACTCCCCCTTGACCGACGTCGAACGAACCGCGCTCCAAACTAGCCTGGAGGCTTTAAACCGACAGGTGGAAGAAACACTTGAAATCCTCCGGAGCAATAGCCAAAAAGCACTGCTTCAGACGCTCCATACTGATCAGGAACTGCCAGACCCTGCCCTGGAAGCCCTGGCCGGCAAGACCATCAACCTTCTGCATGAAACCCAACAGCTGCTCGAACCGGGCCATCTGATCCTTGCAGATCACTTCTTAGGTCGGGAAATACTCTGTATCGGCGTTCAGAGGAGTCACTAACAGGAGCCGAACAGGTTACGTGAGCACCAAATGTCTCTGTGCAGCCGTGGAGCTGAAGCTGGTCGACATCCTCGCCGGCGCCGACAAGGCGGGTATGACCGTGGACGAACTAGCTGATGCCAGTGGAGGACACCCAGACCGACTGCAACAGGTGTTGCGAGTTTTGCGCAACGATAACATCTTTGACTACGATGCGGTCTCCCACCGGTACCGCAACAACCGGGTGTCCGAACTGCTGCACTCGGAGCATTGGACACAGTGGCACAACTGGGTAGACCTGTATGGAAACGAATTTTATGATATTGCCCGGGGGATTCCTCGTTCCATCCGGCGCGAGGAGGCGCGGTGGGCTGCTCAGATAAATTTTGACACTCGTGACGATATGTTCACCTATTTTCAGGCGCAGGGCTGGCTGCCGCGTCTGCACCGCACCCTTGGTGGAGGTGCTATTGCCCAAGCACCTGGCATCGTGGCCGACTATCCCTGGCACGAGATCGGCTCCCGGACCGTCCTTGATGTCGGCGGTGGTGGTGGCGGATTTCTCGCTTCCCTGCTCCGAGAGTATCCCCAGATGCGAGGGGGGATTCTGGACCTTCCACGGACCATTGAACACGCGTGCACCCTTTTCCATGAGCCCCAAGGACCGTACTACGATCTACGTGAGCGAGTTCCTCGCGAAAACCTCATTGCGGGAGATTTCCTGAAGTCAGTCCCGGCGTTTGAGATCTATACGATGAAGTGGGTTCTGCATGACTGGAAGGACCCGGACGTTCTCACGATTCTGCGCTGTATCCGTGCCGCCTTGATTGACGGTCCCGACAGTCGATTGGTGATTCTCGAATCGAATCTCTCGGATGGTCAAATGGGACGTCTGTCGCGTTACGGCGATATCAACATGATGATGACCGCGAACGGTCAGGAACGATCCGAGGAGCAATGGAGGGCGTTGGCTGCGGCGTCTGGCTGGGCGGTTTCCCGGATCTATCCTATGCGACGCGCATGGGTTTGTGCTATTGACCTCCGGCCATCCGCCTGAGAGTCCGGGGACCGAAGGCATACTTGAATTTCTTAGCCCACCTATTAGATATAAACTCAACGCGCAGTACCCTTTCTCCTCGTGTTAACCTTCCTGCTTTACTTACCCTTATTTGTATTATTTTCTCCTCCAGCCGCCTAAACGCGTAACCCCGTTCTGTAAAGAACAATGTCTAGCAACGCCATTTTGTCAGATCCCAATGGGGCCGTCGTTATGGGGGATATGGAATACGATGGCCGAGTAATCCTCTACATAATCAAAGGTAAGGTCATCGTCTCTGTCCACCACGCTTCCTAGTAACCGGACGGCAGCGGACGAAACCTCCTACATCAACTACATTAAGCCCTTGATCCTGGCCGAAGAGATACAATTTCCGCATGTCCTCTCGGTGATTGACACCCGTGATGAATGGTTTTATAGTATTCATCCCGAGCGGATGGTGCCATCCCTGAAAGACCAAGACCCGGTGACCGGGGAAAAGGTGATCGTCTTTGAGAGCACGGCCTGTCTGCAGTACTTGGTCGATCGCTTCGACACCGACGGCACCTGGAGTGGGCGAACTGTGGCCGAGAAGGGGGCCATTCTATCGTGGACGGCATACCAAACTGCCGCCCTTGGGTAAGGGCATTCTGCCTGGGAATAGGGAACGCGATTTGTTCTAATCATTCCATGTCACAGGCCAACAGCCAAGTATTGGTTGTATTTCAAGCGAGGCTATCCCACGCGGGCCAACCCCGTTCAACTCCCTCGGACAATTGAAAAGTAGGTTATCTCTCACTGTCAATGGTCGCTGTGGGTACGATTCTGACGGCTGGTGATAGACTACACGCAAATACCCTCAGACAGTGGGATATCCTGGAGAAGAGGCTGAAGGAGCCTGGACAACAGTACATTGCGCTGAAGGATCGGCCCACACTGGCGGATCTCTCCTACTTTCCCTTTGCCATGCCTTGGATGTTCACCTTCCTCGGCGTGGATATCAAGGATTGGCCCCATATTAAGCGCTGGAGTGAGAGAATGCTTAGTCGGCCAGCGGTGGCAAGGGTTCTACAGCGCGCTCCGACCCTCGGACATTGAATAGTATTATACATTGTTCAATCGATTGTATGTTGTTTGTCTATTGCACTATGTCCAATGTGGTCCTAGCAACTGTGAAAGATCTCCATGTAGTGACAAGAATATTGGCCGCTATTTGAGTGTCACTTCCCCTTTAAACGTTCCTAAGCTGGGTACATCTCAGATACAGATCGGGGATCGTAATCCACGACTCCAAGTCCCGTTGCCATGTGCTATTCTTGCCCGGGTCTGTTTGCAACCAGCCCAGGTCGTAATGCGCTACGAGGTGGGCCAGCAGCGTCCGAATCACCAAATCGGCGACATATCGACCCATACATTGCCGGGGACCAAATCCAAAACGCCAATACTGGTACCGCAGCTCCGTCGCCCGATGTTTCAAGAAGCGATCCGGCCGGTAGCACTGGCTGTCTGGCCCCCAGAACTCGTTGCGGATGTTGAGCGCATAGGTGTCCACGACTAGATTTGTCCCGGCTGGAATGTTATAACCTCCAATAACGCGATCAGTCGGGGCGGATTGCGGAACGGTGAATGCAGCAAGAGGCTTCAGACGGGCGGATTCAGAGATGCAGGCTGCGAGTAGGGTGGAGGAGGAGAGCAGATATGTGTCATGGTCCGTCGCAGATAGAACCTCTTGTCGAACGCGTTCTTGGATGTCCGGATGGGCGGCGAAGAAGACGAGGTTCCAGGAGATTCCACCGGTGGTGACGTCCAGATTGGCGAAAAGCGCTTCGTCAATGGTCTGGTAGATCTGCTCAACTGAAGTTGTTCCGGCCCTGGCAGCCTCGGTCATGAGGACGATGGGCAGTGTACGTTGTTGTCGGCATGCGCGGTCGTAGGCTCGCTGATTGAAGGTCCTCCATCGGCGCTGGAACTCGGCTAGAGCTCGGTTCGTCGCCGTAGGGAGATATTTGGACCATTGCCAACGCACGATTCCGCCCTGTATCATGTGCTTGAAGAGGTCCTCCCGGAGTACACAGAGCTGCTGGAGCTCTGCCCTCATCTCTGCATCGCATTCCCCGTAGAAGATCTCGGCGACGATCCAAAATGGAAGCATCTTCAGGTCCTGAGCCGGGTGGATTCTCTCCTGCCTCAGGTCACCCGAAGCAAGAAGGCGATCGAAATACTGTCGCGTATGCCGTTGAATGAGCTCCAGATAGGAGGGCATTTTATCATGCTGGAACGGGATTTCCGTAATGGCGCGAAGAGTCCGCCATCGTTCGCGGCTCACGAGTCCGACGCACTGGCCCAGAAGTTCACTCATGAGATAGCCGGAATTGTTGTTCTCGGCCTTGGTGTGTTTGTTGGAATCCCTGAAAACAGCCTGCAGATGGCTAGGCTGTGTGAGAACCCTGCCCCCGTTAATATAATGACCGGAGATACGAGTTGGACGCCACTTACACCTCCGACTTCATGCCCGACCAAATACGATAGATCTGTCCATGTTCCTTTTCCCAGAGGTCGCGGTTCTCAATGCCCTGGAGGAACTTCGCCACGTCGCCTTGTCCATTGGGCCATTTGTATGGGCACGTCGGCAGATTGCGACTGCCGTCCACCGAGAAGATCGGAAAGCGTGAACGGAGGTATCGCTGGCTATGATTAGAATGAAGACGGGTTTGAACATCTGGCTTACATACGTCAAGAATAGTAGACAAGATCTCAATAGTAATCCGTTTTGCATACGGCGACGAGATTCCAACGGTAACCACCACTGCGACGAGGATCCACAGCATCTTTCCATCCATAAAACAGCAATCCATTGTGACGACGGAAGGTGTTTAGACTATAATAACGCTTTGTGACTGCAGAGCATGCGCGTATACTGTTGCTACTATATCCATAAAGGGTCGGCAACCGTGATAGCATCGGTCTCCGTAGGGCGACATTGTCATGGGCAGCATGACGGGCAACGCCACGAAGGTCCTTAAGCAAGAGCATATAATGCGCCCCGCTGAAACGTTTCCTTACTATGACCAATACACATAGTCTGACCATGACTATGGACAAAAAGGGAGATCTCGAGTGGATGCCACTCCAGTTTGAGCCAGTCCACTGGGGCAGGCGTCAGCGGAGTCTTGCCTACTCCGTGACTCTAACGCTTGTCGCTCTATTTTTAACATTTACTCTACGCCCCGAAGCGTTCCCCTCCTTTCTAGCGAGAAACAGCCTTCAGAAATCCCCCTTGGAGCAGGTGCTGACCCGAGTGCCCCTGACAGGTATGTTCTCGACGATAGTATGTGAGTAGGATTCTGACCATCTGGGTCTTAGATGGACATAATGACTTTGCGATTTGGACTCGTGCTTTCTACCAAAATCATATTTACCAAGCCAATTTTACCGACCATAATGAGCTCTACGGACAGGTTGATTTTCCTCGACTGCGGAAAGGCAGATTGGGAGCGCAGTTTTGGAGTGTCTACGTCGAGTGGTAAGGCCGTGACAACGGGGACGCGCTGCAGTGCTAACAGACTCCATCCAGTGCACGCAATCCCAATGAGCCTGGAGCTCAGTATGAAATTGTGCGGGACACCTTCCAGCAGATTGACCTCGTGCACAGGATGATCGACCACTTTCCGGACTTTCTCGTCCCGGCATCCTCGGTCGCCGACGTACACCACAACTTCTACCACTCCCCAGAGCGCATCTCCAGTCTTCTGGGCATTGAGGGCTTACATCAGATTGGCGGCAGCGCTAGTGTCCTGCGCATGTACCACGAGCTCGGGGTGCGGTATGCTTCCCTCACGCATACCTGTCACAATGAATATGCCGACAGTGAAGCTCCGGCGGAGCCCCGGCATGACGGACTTTCTGCCGCCGGAGAGGCGATCGTTGCGGAGATGAATCGAGTGGGAATGGCCGTCGATCTCTCCCACACGAGTCTGGCGACTCAACGCGCCGTTTTCAACGTGTCTCGGGCTCCGGTCATGTATTCACACTCTTCGGCGTACGCCCTCTGCCCACACTCTCGGAACGTGCCTGATGATCTTCTCCAAATGCTCAAGGAGAACGATGGAATTGTCATGATCAGTCTTTACCCCGAGTATACTAACTGCCACGATGCAGACGCTGCCTCTCTCGCAGATGTGGCCGATCACATCCAGTATGTCGGCAACCTGATCGGCTACCGCCACGTCGGATTGGGGAGCGACTTTGACGGAATGCCGCACGGGCCCAAGGGACTGGATGATGTGTCCAAGTATCCGGATCTCATTCAGGAGTTGCTGGACCGGGGGGTCAGCGTCGATGATTTGGTCGGGGTAACGGGTGGTAACGTGCTCCGCGTCTTGGGCGTTGTTGAACATGTCGCTAGGAGCCTGGCAGACAAGTTGCCGTTGGAGGATGATGTCAAACCCTTCTTTGAGTAGATATGAATTCAGCAAAGACAAATAATGAACTTGTTTGATTTTAGATCCATCTTTGTTCTGTTGTCACCAAGGGTTGTCCTACTATAGATCTAACTTAGAATACAGTACCACATTAAGCAGGAGCAAGCTAATGCCTAATAGAACCTTGGCTGTGTAGGTGAAAGCTATTGGATTCAATGAAGTAGTTACTCAAATAAATACAACTGGAACTCTTGGTGAACGTTAGAAACAAAGAGCACTACCCATAAAGAATTATACCAAAGCATTTCCACCATAAATAATATCACTGGATATCAGAGAGAGGAGTTCCAAACACCACATCCGGTCTCAACACCTTGGCTGGCCCTGTCTCTGGTGGACGAGCCAGTGTTTGCCGGATCATATCATACGGCACATTCTGCATCAAGAGAGAAAGGGCCAGCGGTATCCTCGATTGGAGGAGATGTATATCCCCCTCCGTAAAGCAATCAGTATCATACTCCAATCTTAAGAGTAGTCGGTCTTCAGATAATGCGCTGAACTCGCACAGGAGCCGAAATTTGGCTCCTTCAGCGTAGGTGTAGCAGGTTTGGAGGCCTGGGACGGAGAGCTCGAGCCCATTTGAATGACTCTGACTGTGGAAGGTGACAACGACATCGAACAGAGGATGGTCTGGAGGTGTGGTGGGCACTTGAAGATGCTCGAGGAGCTGGTCCCAGTGGATGGCGTGGCCGACTGATGATCGAACGGCCCGCTGCACGGTGTCGAGATATGATGCCTTCTCGTTATCATGTGCCTCCTGGCCGAACTTGATGCGAACTGGTAAAGGCTCAAGGAAGAGGCCCACAACATCCAAGTCCTCTTGGGATTTGCGGTTGATGTACGGAATTCCTAAGACGATGTCGGTCTCAGTTGGCATCAGCGTGGATGGATCGTCGAGGCAGAGTGCGATCACGGCAAGGGACAATTGTTGAGCAGTGATGGATGACAGGCGAAGGAACTGTCGCATACTCTGGTAGGTCGCCGTCGGAATCTCACAAAGTGCAGACCGGCCACGATAACCGCATCGAAAGCCACCGTGCCCTAGGAGATGCGTAGTGGCCGGGAGTTGGCCAAGGCAATCGGACCAGAAGTCCAGATCGCAGGAGGTAGGTTTCTCCTGCCAGAGGGTACTATTCATGTATGTGCATGGAATACTTTGGAGACTGCCTCCCTGGTAATGTGAGGAGATCTCTCGAAGGAGGATCTGTAAGGTGGTCAAGTCGGCAACGATGTGACTGATGGTGAGGATGAAGTAGGAATCTGACACGACGGCGCGAATGGGAGCAGACCGAGAGAGAGAGAAGGGCCGATTGACTTCCACCCAGGGGTTTACAGTCTTGACTGCCTGCACTCGAGGTGCTAGTGGGCTGTACTGGCGCACCACACGCCCTGTTGCTCGATTGAAAATATACCGAGAGCGCAGGACGCGATGCCGGGACATAACCTCATTACACGCGTGGACCAGTCGTGCACGATCCACCAGACCTTCGTTGATCTTGGCCATAAAGTTCACGTTGAAGCTGGAGGTACTCTCATTGACCTGGTACTTCTGCCACCATTCTCTCTCAATCGGAGCGATAGTTGATTCCCCCAGACCCATTGGATCGGGCGTTGCCAGCTGTTGCAACCCTGGCCCGCTGTCAATGGCGGCGGCGAGATGATCGATGCGATCATGCTGGGCAACTACATAGAGAGGAACTTGTCGATTGACTCCTTGACTGATCCGAGTGGCCAACAGTAACTGGAGAAGCGAATGGCCTCCGAGCTCCCGGAAGCTGGAATGCGTATGCAGTGCAACATCTTTGCCCAGTTGGAGAATATCACGGAAGGCGTCGCCGACGAGCTTCTCCATTGGACTAGTCAACATCCGACCTGTTGAAATAGGCACCTGTGCGCTGAGCTTTGCAATCGCCTGGTAGTCTCGCTTGCCGGCCTTGGTGGTGGGAAATTCATCTAGGGCCAATATCCTGCGTGGTGTCGCATAGGGAGGCAGGATTTGTGCCACCCGCGCCGCGAACGCATCCACATCGGTTGATGCAGGAAGAATAGCGGCGATGAGGTGGTTCCCCTGCCGAGTGAGTGCAACAGCATTGACTGCTGGGAAGGCTCGGATCATGCGAGTCTCCAAGTCATCCAAGTCGAGACGGAAGCCACGCAGCTTGATCTGGCGATCAGTTCGTCCCAGACAGACGACTTCCCCGTCTTCCGACCAGTACCCTCGATCGCCGGTTTTGTACATACGCTCCCCAATGCGGATGATCGGATCTGCTATGAATCGCTGCGCCGTTTGTTCGGGCATGCCAATATAATGGCGCGCCACTTGGACTCCTGCAATGTAGATCTCGCCAATGACACCCGGTGGGACTAACTCCTGATTTTGATTCATAATATAGATGCGGGTAGAGGGATTCGGGGGTCCAATGGTCACCCTCTTGCTGGGATGCAACTGTTTGATCGTCGCGCCGCAGGTCCCTTCCGTAGGGCCGTACATATTGTAGAGCGTCTTTTGTTCAGACCATCGGTCACAGACATCCTGGGTGACGGGCTCGCCGACGAGGTAAACCTAAGGTAACTTAGTGTTAGTAACGTGGACTACGTGGAGGGGGAGTAAAACTTGGGTACTCACCGTACTGAGCCTCTCGAAGTCAGCCGGGTTGAGAACACGCGCCATGGATGGGGTGAGAATGGCTGAATCCACATCGCTCAAGTGTGCGAAAGGATCATCACCACCTTGAAGCACCAGAGTCGCTCCATAGCTGAGCGCCGAGAAAATCTCGTGGATGCTGCCATCGAAGGCTACAGACATGATCTGAGCGACTCGGCGGCCAGGCTGTGCGAACAGCCGAACTTCGAGGTCGCGCTGAAAGGCAACTAGTCCCTGATGGAGGCACATCACACCCTTGGGCTTGCCGGTCGACCCCGACGTAAAGCATAGATACGCATCGGTTTGTGGTCGAGGTGTGTCACGATGAGTGATGGGGATATTTGCATCTTTCACCAAGTCTTCCACGACTAGGAGACGATCGCAATTGGTCGGGCAAAAGGATTGGTCGGAGACCGAAGGGATCAGAAACAGACAAGATCCAGAGGCTGAGAAGATGGTTTCGCGGGCCTCTTGAGGTAAGGCCTTGTCCAAAGCACAGTATACACCCCCTGCCTTCAAGATGCCCATGATCCCAACGATCCAATTAACCGACCGATCTGCATGGAGACAGACCACCTCTCCATCCTGGATATGACTTCTCAGTGTGGCCGCAACGCGACCCGCGTGGGTGTCGAGCTCCTGGTATGTAAGGTGGCAGCTGCCCTTTTGAACCGCAATGTCCATCGAGTTCCGCAATGCTGCACACTCGAAAAGCGTCACCAGATCTTCTTTAATAGCGACGGTTGTGGTCAGAGCGGAGCTACAGTTACCAAAACCCATCAGGGTTTGAAGATCGACACATCCCAAGAGCCCCTGAAGGCATTCCTTTATCGGCCGGTGTGGTCGAAGGAGGAGCTGCAACGCCCGTTGGAAATACTGCCCAAGACGAACGATATCCGCCCGACTGTATTGACTGGTGTGGTAGACAAAGCGAGCTGCGCCATCGGAGAGGACATTGATGCTCAGTGGTACATCAGTGGTCTGACGTGTATATGGAGGCTCTAATGGGGACAGGCCGTCTTTGCATTCAGGCCCTGGGACTTGCATGGCCATGGCAGAGGAGAAGTTCCTCGTGTAGCCATTATCGGGTGTGGTCCATTGATACTCAGCCAGCTCCACCATCCGAGAAAACAAACGCTTGAGAAAATCTTGCGCCGACTGTTGTCTATCCAGAGTGAGACAGAGGGGGAGTGTATTAACTAGAGGTCCAACCACTTCATCCACTCCTTCCAAGGGAATGTTCCGACCAGCTAGGACGGCACCAAACACCACCGAGGTTGAATCTGCATACAGGCTGAGGACTAATGACCATGCCGCATAGTAACAAGTGGAGAGTGTCACCCCCAGCCGTTTGGCCACACAGTGCAATTGTGCGGTGGAGACCCTCGGTGCTGCGTAGACTTCCTCACTTGCAGTGATTGCTGAAGAAATCCCTTCTTGTGTCGGGGCTGGAAGGAGGAGCTCCCCCTGGGCTTGTTCAAGCTGAGCTGCGTGGCCTGCCCAATACTCATCCCCTTCCCTCTTGTGTTCCTGACGCCAAATGCGAATTCGCTTCTCGACATCGGAAAACGACGGGCCGGGCAAAATCGGTAAACCTGCTATAGCACGCCGGACTTTGCAAAATAGCAGCATAGCGGAATAACCATCGACCAGCGCGTGATGAACAGCCCAGATCACTGTGCTTTGATCGATAGCAGGAGGGGGTCGCTTCCAGTGGACTACTTTGAAAGAAGACGATACTGACTTAAGCCAAAGGGTCTGTAATTGTTCGCGATGCTCCGCTTCTGTCTCCACGGTTACTTCTGTCCAAGTGAAGTATTCTTGGTTCTGAGCTGATCTATCAAGAATGGAGGCTTGGAATATCGGCTCGCCTTCAATGACTGCTTTCCACGCCGTTTTGAGGATGGGGATCACGTCGGTTCGGTAGGTCTCATAATGGTATATAATATTCGTTCCGGGGCTTTTGAGGGAGCCGTGCAAGAGGGACGCTTGCATCTCGCTCAGGGTCTCTGTGACATGTTGCGTCATGACGCTCCCTTGTGTCAGATAGTCGTCTTCGGCAGCAGTTGATACATTGCTGGAGATGGGCGTAGCTACCCGTGGGGAGCCTCCAGTTGAAGAGGAGGGGTGTGATAGATTGTCGCTGTCATCGGATGGATCTGGGATAGGCAATGGGCTGGATTTTGATGATACCAGATCGGTGAATAGAGATTGTAGGCTTGTGCAGGATAGGATAGAGGCTATTGGCAGTGAAACCCCTAGGCTTTTGCATCGGGAGACAAAGTCCACGGCGCTGAGAGAATTGCCACCATTGTGCACAAAACCAGAATTGAGATCTAGCTCGGCCGTGTTGACCTCTAACGAGGCAGCTAACTGCTGTACCAATGAATACGTTGAAGGATTCATTGTCATTCGTCGTGGATACTAGATACTGATGGGAGCACGAGGAGGATTACAATCCGCTGCCATATATACGAATTTCGCTCGAGAACTTGGAAATACTACAACCTCACCTCATAGCCACTCTTCGGCCATCCCGATAGAGATACATAGCTGTGCGGCTCGGTAGCCGAGTATAGACATACCACCGGCCATGCCCCTAGGCGTGGAGCCGGAAGGATCGCCGTCGACCGGGAGAATTAGGGTTCTGCTCAACAAAAGTCCTCCGTAACTGTGCCCAGGAAGCTTTACTGTCCCCAAGTGATGCTTCCACTGTCCATTTGGCTAGCCATTAGTAGGGAGACTGCTACAGGATGTCGAGAGATTTGTTAGGAGATCGCTACTGTATTCACTCTGGTTAATGAATAAATTTCCTGTCAACGTGAGAATCATGCTCAAGTGAGTGCAAGGCAAAGTATGGCAATGATTATGCCTTTCCTCCTCAACCCTTCGCATAAAACCATACTATGCACTGTGTCTACCAGATCTTTTGAGTAGAATGCGGACATCCATGCCCAGGTTTGCAAGGAGAGGTGCCAAGAAAAGTATGTCGCGTTTAGAAGACACACTCTGATGGAATATGGACCATCTCATGGATGGAGAATCTGACGTTAACACAATAGTTGCTTAGTGGCAGCATAAGTTACTGAGAGCGTGAGCAAAGCGGATGCTTTGACACTGATGGTGATAATGCTTTGCTTCTCGCTTTAGCATTCAATTGATCACCTGCTTCAGCAAACAATTTATCTATCATAAAGTGGAGGGAATGTACGTAGTCAGATTGAGTAGTTTTAATGGTAAATAATGAAGGTGATATTTCCTGAGATACTCTAGATTGAATGTATAGCTACATATTTACACTCTCTTTCCTTGTTTCTAGAGTCCTGTTCTTGTACACAGACAGAATTCTAAACTTTGGTTTCTACAGCCTCTCGACTCTCATGGCTGAGCGACCTGTCACTATCCTCCTCCGTAGAGTCTTTGTTGACGCCTAATTTCGCCGCCTCCTCGACCGTAAAAGTTCCGTAGGTATCGTCCCGGTCAATCTCTCCGACGCCTGGAGGTGGGAAGCACTTATTAACGAGGGTGTGGATGGCCATAGAAGACAGCAGCCCGTAGGGGAATCCGAGTGCGTAAAGATGATCAGCCCCTACAGACACCTGGATGGCGGGATTGATACTGTGCATGAACCCAGGAAGCAGAGGAACCCATCCAACAAGCCAAGGAAGGACACTCCGCCAGTTGAAACCCATGGTGTAGAAATAGATTCCTTCAGGCCGGGCGTGGTATAAATCAGAAAGCTTAAGCCGTCTTTGCCGGATAAACCAGTAGTCACCGATATGGATACCACAGAATGGGGCCATGAAGATCGAGAATGACGAGATCACACTGACGAAAGTGGTTGCCGAGGCCAACAGCTCCCATGGACAGAGTGCCATTCCGAGAATGAGTCCGACGTAACATCCGCGTCGGATGTTGATGTACTTGGGGAGCAGACCAGAGAGGTCCATACCCACCGAATATCCTGTCCATAGGTTAGGAACGCTTTGTCTTCATGTGCTGGGGGATGGCTTGCCGTTATCCACCACATTCAATGCTAGTTGCGAGCTCACCAGCCCGATCCCGGCAAACACTGCAGCCGCGCGGGAGGTGGAACTGTAATCTTTCTGTAACCACATGGCGAGGATGGTGGGAGGGTTCCAGAGTGCTTCACCATAGATCGCCTGCGTCGCAGAACTCGTCAAACAGCCAAACAAGGGCATGATGGAGCCGATGATAATGAATGTGAACCACTGGCCGAAGACCTGATCACTCGGCTTTTGAGCAAAGCGGGAGAAGTCCATCTGACTCGCTGAATGGAGGTTAGGAACATCATCTTCAATGGGGATATACGAGAGGTGACTTACTCAGAGCGATGGAAAGAGTTCCGACCACCGTAGTAATGCCTTGCATGATTCCGAATCCCAAGGACTCGCTGGTCTGCAGTTGCGACGGTTGATGGATTAAGTCTCCTGCGCCGTGGGCGTGCGACAAGGACCAGATCATGATGCCCAGTAAGGCTGCAAAGGATACAATATTCATTCCAAACATCAGCTTCTCGCTTCTTTCGGGTCGGCGATAAAGCACAGGAATCGAAATGATGTTAAAGATGGCCCATCCGATAATCTGCTGAGATGTGACATGCGCAGATGGGGGCAAAGTATTGGACATCCGAAAGAAGGTAGGAAAGATCCCAGAGAGAATTGCTGTCACGCAAAGGCCACCAGTGTAGGACTGAAAAGCGAACCCGACGACCGTGAGCCCAATCCGTAATAGGGTTGGGAAAAAGGCTCCCTAGAAGAGTCACAGCCATGTTAGACTGCCTCGGTTCCGTTCGAGACACAAGAACAAGGCTTTCATCTACTTACAAAAACCCCCCAGATGGCTCGCGAATACACGAGAAACCCGATATGCCACTCGGCCCCAATGTATCCAATTAGAATTGCAACGATAGCCGCGATTGTCCTCCCGAGAATCACCGCCACCATCGTTTGCCATACCGACAACGACGACGCCACGAGTGAGCCGCCCAGTTGCCAGTTGGTCAGACTGAGCTGCCAGACCGACCACCATCCGATGAACGTCATGGTAGTCCAGGTACGCCGGCTGGGTGGGAGGGGGCGAATATCATCGTTGATCCATACCGACACCGCTGTCTGACCGCGAGAGGAGAGTTTCACCGCGTCGTGAAGGTGTTCTAACCTGGTGCCATACCGTATTGTGGTGGCCATGGCTGGATATTGTCCACCCGTGGAATGAGTAGAGAGTTAATCTCTTGATGGGGCGAGGGGGCCAAGAAAGGTGAAAAGAAAATGTTCCTAGGGCTGAGTGGAGAATGCCTTAAATTTCCTCCCGGTGACCGACAGCCCCCTTCGGTGTCCAGAGTCCATTTAAGCACCCAGGCCCCCATAAACAGCACCACACCACGATTCAAAGAATAATTGACTGCTACCATCCATTCTAGAGACGCGACACACAGCCAGTGACCATGTCAAACAGGATTCGCTTAGGGATCGTTGGTCTTTCGGCTGACCCCAGTCATTGCACCAACTACATTCACAAGCTCCCCTTGACAACAACCCCATTGAAAGAAAGGTATGAAATTGCGGCGGTATCCATGTCATCCCCAGAGAAGGCTGAGGCGGCCGCGATTGCGCACGGCTTGCCGAAAGAAAGTGGATATCATAGCGTGGAGTCACTCGCCAAAGACAGTGACGTGGACCTGGTTGTCGTCTCTGTCAAAGTTCCTCGCCGCGCAGAGCTGGCTATGGCCGCTATTGAGGCCGGTAAAGATGTCTATGTCGAATGGCCATTTGCCTCGAATTTGGTCGAGGCCGAAAAGCTGGCACAACGCGCGCGCGAACAGCAAGTGAAGAGCATGGTTGGCTTACCGACGAGGCTGGCACCACAGGTCTCGAAGGTAAGGTCGTCGTATCGACTGTCAGTACGGAAACCTCTAATAAAGCCCGTGTATCAGATGAAAGAGATTATCCTGTCCGGAGCCCTGGGGCGCATCCTGGCCACCGATCTACTCGTGACAGACGACCTGTTTCTAAAATTCCATGCCGACAAAAGACATTCTCATGATAAGGCGAATGGTACGTGATGAAACCCCCCAAGGTACGCACATGCGACAGACAGCTAAAATATCTACCTGTAGGAGCCAATATTGTCACTATTGCCGGTGGTCACTTACTCGACGCAATGGCCTTCCTCCTGGGCGAGTTTACCACCCTCCATGCACATACCAGCATGTTGTTCCCGAAGCCTGTCTTGTGCGATACCCAGGGCAACCTCAAGACTGGTCAGTTTAATGATTCTCCAGATACCTTCACTCTGCACGGCAAGATTGGCGATTCTGAGGTCCCAGTGTCGGTGTGCATGTATTCACATCCCCCGACTACCCCAAACTTCTTTCAATGGGTTATCACCGGCGAGAAAGCATCGTTGAAGATGGAGGGAGCAAGTTTGATGATTCACGCTATCCCGCCAAAGCTCTTGATAACGTCCTCTGGATCGGAGTCTGTCAGCTGGGAGGAGATTTCCCTAGATAGCACCATAGTCCCAGGGGCAGAATATCAGGCTTGGCTGGACAACGACAGGGAGCGGATCGTAACCCTAGACGAAGCTGTTGTTCGGTACCGCATGGTGGACGCCATCTTTAGAAGCGCTGAGTCGGGGCAGTGCACATCATACCGTCACGACTAGATAGTCATGAGAGCAACTCCAACTATTAAATGCCGGGATTGCTATCTAGTATCCTCCTTGATCGTGTTCAAAATGACCATCCCTTACTCTTGGAGACGAAGGATTCTTCATTTTTCTTTTCCAAAGGTTGAACTGCAGTGATATGTATTCCATCTAGAGGGGCAAATATTTGTGTGTCATAATAGAAGGTTTATAAAGCGTCTTAGCATATAGTGATAGTTTAGTTACACACTTCGAGCCTCTCCACAGGTCGCATATCTATGGCTGAAGGCCAGGCACCTGGAAGTTGAGTGATACTGACTACCTTCCAGCCAGTACAGGCTGCTAATTGTCTCCATTGCGTCTCGGTGCGCTCTTGGCCATGCTCCGCGGTCACCATCACATTAATGTCTCCCAACCGAGACATTCGTCCCCACCGGCCGTCAGCCAACACCGACTCCAGCACGATTAGGCGACTGACGGGCTTGTTGATGATGCTCCGGCGAATGTTCCGTAAGATCTGACATGCCTGCTCATCATTCCAATCATGCAGACACCAGCGCATCACATATGCTTCGGACGGGATAACTTCCTGAAGAAAGTCTCCCGCAATGACCCGATCCGGAGGGATGCGCAAGGCCACATCAGCGTATTTGCTGACCGGTTGGTGAAAGGCTTCTTGGAGAAACGGGAGGACCCGAGGGGTATCTACGATTCCACCTTGGAGGGTCGGAAGCGCGCGAAGGAGCCCTGCCATCAAGGAACCATCCCCACCACCCAGATCGAACAACGTGTGATTAGACAGTTCGGCCCATGGATACCCGGCGACCATGCCGGGAGTCTGAGCGATAGCAGCAGCCCCCATGCATTCTCGCAACCGCACCATGATGCCCTTGCGCTCAAGGTAGCTAAACATACTTTCGTCTGTATCGTAATGCACCTGTGCTGGGGAGCCTGGAATTATAGATTCAGTATGGATTTCACCGTCACAAGTGCATCCGAAGGAGAGACTTACGGGTCACACCGTCCGCCATAGCCCGAGGAAGCCCCTGGGCCATTTGGTAGAATTCCTGACTGCATACACTCGCCCACCGATGCCATTGAGTCCAATGATCCTGCCTCAGCATTTCCGAGGCTTCATTGTTTTGCACAGAGTCGGTATCCGCATCGTAGGAGAAAACACCATTATTGTACAATAAGCGTAGGACCTGACGCAACCGGTCGCATCTGGCGCCACTCGAAATGGATAATTGCTTGATAGTCTGAGTACCAGATGCCAGATAGTCCGGAATTCGTAGTTCTACTACCGCTGCTAGGCATTGTGTTTGCTGGTAACCTGGCATAATATGTTAGAACCTGCGTAATTCATGGGTAAGCTGAAACGCACCGAATAGATGGTCGACAAGGGCTAGATACGCTGGTTCAAGCAGCTGGGTAACTTCTGATGCTAGGTCCACTATACGACTGGCCACTGCTGTAAGGGCTGGGTCAGTGGTTGGCTCTGCTCGTCGGAGTGATGCGAAAGCTGCCGCCCTGTTCGGTTGCTTGGACTCTTCCACGACCGCTCGCAGGGCAGTCTCAAGCTGCAACAATGATTCCATTGTTTTATAAATAGTGTAGTTAACCTGAGAGAGCAAAATGAATGTATTTTGTCTCAGAAATTGAAACTTTGGCGATATAAAATGCAGACGAATGCCCACTTGAGTGGTGTCCGGGCTCCGTACGGATCAACTCCGGTCACCGAAGCCGTGCAATTAGCCCTAATGTAATCGTTCATCTCGCACTGGTAAGATGGACAGTCCAAGAATAAAACTCATTCAAGCCAAAGGACACGATGAACTCTGACAGTGAAACAGCACCACTTCTCTCTGGATGCGTAGCAACGGACAATCCACCTATACACAAGGAGGCTCCCTCCCAACACCATGTTACGGCATCTCAATTTCTCCCCGTTTCGCTCCTAGCGTCGCTGGGAATGGCGGCAACAGTGGCGACAACAATCTATGCTTATGCGGACCTCCTTTGCACTGATCCCACTGCCTGTGAAGACTCCGAACAAAGCGCCTACGCCGCGGTTGTCGCCATAGCAAATGGTCTCGCTCATACCGTAGCCATTCTCATTCTGGGGCCTTTACAACATTTGGTGAACCGGTACCTCAGAGCTGGACTCTTCCTGTGGATTATCTGCCGGGCAGCGAGCGTGGTATGTTTGGTTATCGGAGGTGATTGCCCCAGTGCGAAACAAGGAATCATGAACTACCGCCCGCTGATGATAGGAAACAGTCGCCGCCCGGAGTGTGCCGATTGCAGTATCGGGTCGTGTCTTTGAGGGACTGGCGTCGGATAATCTGTTGCACTTCAATCTGAATACTATCTACGTGTCTGTGACTTCCTCCACACGCAAGGAAGCTTCACGTCCGATTGCAGCATCATTGGCGCTCTATATGTTAGGTACCGCCGTGGCACCTATTGCGGTCACAGTTTTCCGAAGCTATACCGCGAGCTTCACCACCGCGTTGATAATTTTTGCTCTCACGGCTGCCTACCTGGTCATCTTTGTGCGTCAGCCTGTTCGCGATGCTACTCGCACTGCATCGAATGAATCTGCCCGACCAGGATGGCACAAATCTCCGCTGCGAGTTTTGCTATCCCCTCTACGGCCTTTCTATGTCAATCGGACGGCCATACCTTATGGACTGTCGCTCCTATTATATACAGCCGTGCAAGGACATTTGTTTCCAGTTATTATGGTCTTTGGCTCCATTAGATTTCACTTTGGTACTTTTGAGAACGGCTTGATTGTCTCCACAGCCGCCATCTGTGCCGCACTCCAAATTTCCTTCCAGGTTTATGTGGCTCCGATGTTGGTTCGGTTCGGTCATTGGCTCGGATGGGGGGTTCCAAATCTCTCGAGGGTGCAGCATCAGGATCGCAATGCTGTGGTCGGCGCACTTGTGTTGCAAATGGTTGCGCTGTCAGCGATTACCCAAGTGCACAGCCCTATTCAGTTGTACCTCGCAGTTGCTCTCTCGTCCGCCGGGTTGGCAGTCCCGGCTTTCTTCAAGGCCCACTTTGTCTCATTCATGCCGGACGCACCACAGGCTATATCTGCGCTGACGTTCATGGAAAGTGTGGGAGGGCTGGTATCCCCATTCGTCCTGGGGGCATGGCAGGCGGTTATTCCCGGCCCGTCAGTCTTCTTTCTGGCGGTAGCACTATTAGGAACCACGCTGGGTCTGTTTTTGGTGGCGGGTCTCTTTCATTCTTCAGGTCGGGATTGAGTGACATTGCTACCCTAACCACCCCCCCTCTAACATTTTGCTATGTGCATGCTATCGAGGCCAGGCGAGAGTGGAGGGCAACCATGAACATTGTTTTAGCTACAGTCAATGCTGCGTTGCTTCTCTTCGGCCAACTACCGGGAAGTTGAAGGGTCCCGACCATGTATTCGCCGGAGCTGTTGAACTGTTCTTTTGACAACATTGTATCTTCCTTAACCGTACGATGTACCCGAGTTGGTTGTTATGCCGTTCGTTGCCGGGGGGGAATTAAAACGAATACCTCGTACTCGCTGTATGGTTATGTGGGATCCGGGCGTCGAATAAATGCACTCAATATAAAGTTTCTCGTATGAAGTCCAAGGATCGTCACAACTGTATTATTTTAAATCTGCAAGGGAAAGTCCTTTAACTTTGACGTTTTCTTAATTAAGGTTCCTCTAAAGCTCTGCAGAGGGGGACACGAATAACTGAAACTGAACGGATGGCAAGAAGATCAAACAAAGAACGCTTTAATTCGTGGAGAAAAGGTATGAAAGCTCTGTCATTGGCCCAATTTATCATCGGTTCCACTGTACATAGTAAATGTACTACTGATTGGCGCGGCATAAACTGCAGGCCGAGGTAACTATACGTGGCTTAAGTCTTAGAGAGGGAAGACTCTATTGACCCGTAGAGTGAATTGAAGTGTATGAACCTAAGCGAATGGCTTCAAACACCTGAGGATTCACGGAGTAATTATGGGAATTCCCCCACCTCGTATCCAAGTTGGCGCTCGGGCCCATTCGGGTGCAGTCGAGGTATAGGTCTGCGATAGACACGCGCACCAACGGGAGGATGCACTGTGCCGGATGCGGGAAGTATCAGAAGTGGGCAAATTAGCACGATTTCACTAGGTACGTGAGGCTAATGTAAGGCCAGGGGTGTTAAGCCTCGACTAATATCTGACCTGTGTACTAGTGGTCTTGGTCCCGAGGCCCATTCACTCTGCAACGGGATGAGCCACATCCCTAGCGTACCACGTTATGATCCTCGAGTGCATTATTGCCAAGTTGTTCATATTTGAATAACCCAGTCGCTGTAATATGGAGTCGCGATAGGAAATATTCTCTGCTTCGGCCGTTATGAGATGCTGATGTGTTTACTAAGCCCTAATGCAGCCGTAGTGCGACCAGGCAGGGATGATAGAAATAGAACCGTATGATATAGCAGAGAGCGCCTTTGGACATTATTTAGTGTGCTGCGAAAGGATCTAGTGCCACGGCCACTTCGCAAAGGTGTCCCCAGTCACCCTGGGCCTGGGTAATGGGCATAACTTTCTAGGACACAACGGAAATATTTCACTATCCGTTGATTCAGGATGCTCATCCTTGTTGCCCCTAATCTCACCTGCAGGATATCCAAAGCTTTTCCTTGGCCAATGAATGATGCTTAGCTCAACGACCAATCTTTCGACAGAGGAAAGTTAGATTCTTCATATCTTAGTTACTTCTCGCTCGTAACCACCCCCGCCGGGCGGGAACTCACCGACTACAAATTCGTCGTACTGTTATAACTAGAGCACTGTCAATAGAGGAATTGTAATTCTCCCTCGCACCTAATTCAACCCTCGTTGCTGGGGCGGAATAAGTCGTTCTGCTTAATTCAACATTATGCCCCGCGTACGGCGGAAGTGGACTCCCGAAGAGGACTCTCTTCTCCGGTATGCCGTCACAACTGGTAGGTTTTATCTTTCTGATCTTCTTCTTTGTCATGTACAAGAACATCCTGATGTTGAATATGGCTTGAACTATGCAGCTATGGAACAGTCTCGCCCGCTCATGTGGCGTGAATTGGCGAAATCGGTGCCTGGACGGTCGAATAAGGACTGTCGCCGGCGGTGGTGGAACAGCTTGGCAGATGGGACTGCCAAGGGTTTCTGGTCGGAGGATGAGGACGAGCGCTTGATGCGAGCTGTCAACAAATATGGCACTGACTGGCGTAGAGTGGCCCAGGAGGTCATCTCGAGAACGCCCGATCAATGTTCTAGTCACTGGAGTCAAGTACTGGACCCAGAGATCAACCACTGTGACTGGACGGGCAAGGAGGCATGCTCATTCCATTCGTCCTTTACCCAGAGGCTCGCTGACAAGGAATAGGATGAGCAACTTTTGCACGAGGTCCTTACGCATGGCACCAATTGGACCGTCATCGCCACGTCCCACGTTCCCCGAAGAACAACCCTGTCCCTGAAGAACCGTTACGCTACGTTGCGACTGAGGCATGAAAACAACAATAGAAGCGAAGAGAAACCCGTCCCAAAATTCGACCAAACCCCCAGCATAAGACTAGGCGATGCCTGTGATCAGGAGGGTGACAGTACTGAAGATAATCAGGGAGGAAATGAAGACAACCAAGATGACGGAGATGATAGTGGGCATGAGGACGACAGCGGAGACGAAGATAATGAGGTGGACGGCAAAGATACTTTTTATTCAGAGGGTTCCACTTCGACCAGCAATCTCTCAATGCTGCCACCAACCCCGAATGGTTGGGTGAACATGTTCGAGCAGGGTGGTGAACTCCCGACTATCTCGTTCAACAACCATCCGTCGCCGTTGGTTCCAGGGCCCAACAGCAACGTGGGTCATGAGAACACATTCATGCTTGGAAGCATCTCTGATGAGATGACTACCAATCCATTGTGTTTGGCATATGGTAAACTAGAACTGCTCTCTCCCGCTTCCCTTGAGATACTGGTATTAATGAGAAATATAGGTCGCGAACCAATGGACACCATACCAGCCGTATCTCAGGGATATCCGAACACGAGCCAGCCAGAAATGGGCACAGCCGTGCCGCTTCAAAATCCTGCACTGGGTAGCCTGTCGATATCATACCAGGTATCCGTCACCATGGTTTGCACTGACAGCCAATTAGAAAGCGTCATCACGGCCCTGGCTGGAACAGGATCGTGTGTGAATGTGCAGATAAAACCTAAACCACTGGACGAATAGATGCATTTTTCTTATTCTAGATTTTAGAGCGCTATGTAGAAATGAAGTTCTTTCATTAGGTTCAATCTAACATGTCGCCCCCGACCAATACATTGGTGGGCTAGTTGTAAGGAATGGATCAGTTACGCCCCCTTCATTTGAATACGAATCCCACAGTTGAAAAAGCGAACTTTCCGACCGCCAGATATCAGTGAGTACCAAATATAGAAGTATTCAAGAACCAATAGGCCTGAACCCCAAGGGTAGGGTGCAAATTGAGTGCCGTTTTCCACGTTTTTGGGGCTTAAATGGGGCCTAGTAGAAGAAGGACAACCCCGAGTAAATTGTGTACGCGGGTACGAAGGATTCATCAGGCTGCATCGTCAGCTCCTCTCACCACCCCAAACCAATGAAATGATGTTTCTGGAATATCGAATGAATGGCCCCCAAGGCTCATGATGCGCCACGAGGCAAATCTCGCGTGGCAGTGTGGATGATGCTGCCCCTGAACAGATCAAGATGAGGTACGGGTGGAGTAGTTATAGAGCAGTTATATAACAGAAGTAGAAGGCCTTCGGGGGACAATAGTGGTGGTAGAATACCAAACGATCGTAGTTTTGACATATTATTCCTATCTCTATATCCCACGCTTTGTTCGCTTTGACATCCATGTTTCTTTCGCCGATCTCTCCCCGCCGCCTGCTCCCATTGGCAGCCAGTCTGCTGCTACTCTGCAGTACGACCATTTCGGCCAGTCCCCTGGTCAGTCGATCTCCACAAGAACGTGTCTTCGATTATGTGATCGTTGGCAGTGGTCCCGGTGGCTCGGTGGTAGCCAATCGACTCACTGAGATCGCCAATGTATCCGTTGCGATCATTGAGGCTGGGACATGGGCTAGTGATGTGACTGGCAATCTCAGTCTTGTTCCTGGCTACGACGGCTACTTCCTGCAGAAGAGTGTCCAATCCACCCCTACTGAGATCGACTGGGGGTTCGTCACAACCCCACAGTCTGTAAGTTGCATGGATTCTATCACCTGAGTGGCCATGATTTCCTCTGCTTACGTTGTCCGGTCTCAACCCTACAGGGCATCAATAATCAAGTCGTCCGATACCCTCGCGGAAAAGCGGTACGTTCCATACACCTTCTACCGGCCGTTTTGCGAAATGCAACATAAACTAACTGGTAAAAAGTTGGGCGGAAGCACTAATCTGAATGCGATGGCCTGGGGAGAGTCGTCCCGAGGAGCCTTCCAGAAATGGGCCGACGAAGTGGGTGATCAGTCTTTCACCTACGACAAGATTGCCCAGTACTACAAGAAGCCTGTGCGATTCAGTCCGTACCGAAGCGGCACCCGATTTGCCAATGCGACTCCCTCATACGATCTGGCCCAGGTAAGCGACAGCGGGACCCTGGACGTGACCTATCCCGCCTATGCGTACAGCTGGACCACGTGGTTGGCCGTCATGCTGGACTCCGCAGGCATGCCCGCGACGGACAGTTTCTTGGATGGCTCCTTGAATGGATCGGCGTGGCACATGTCCGCGGTCAACCAAGCCCACGGCACTAGAGCCTCTGCGGATGTAGCGTATCTGCGTCCCGCTGCAGGCCGGAGCAACCTTGCTATCTTTGACAACACGCTGGCCGAGCGGATCGTGTTCAGCAACGAAAAGGTAGCCACGGGGGTCCAGGTGAGCTCGAAGAATTCCACGTTCACGCTGCAGGCGAGAAAGGAAGTCATTGTTGCTGGTGGAGTGTTCCAATCTCCTCAGCTGCTGCAAGTTTCCGGCGTTGGGCCCAAGGCCCTGCTACAGAAGTACGGCATTCCCGTCGTGGCTGATCGCCCGGGAGTCGGTCAGAATATGCAGGATCAGATCTTCGCGGATATCGTCCACCGAGTCAATCTACCCACAGCGTCCACTCTGGGAATCACCGAGGCCGACATCGTAGCATACCAAACGAATGCCACCGGACCCTTAACCAACCCTGGCGGGGAGTTTGGTGGATTTGAGAAAATCCCTGCGGCTCTGCGCACGGGCTTATCCAATGCCACAGCCAAGAGTAACCCTCCTTTCCCCTGATACGAAGCAAAAGAAAGAGGCTCATCTGATTTGACACCCAACAGCCCTCGCACAGTACCCTTCCGACTGGCCTGAAATCCAATACCTCGCCCTCCCCGAATTCATCGGTGACCTGGGCACCACCCCAGCCCCGAATGACGGCTACAACTACGCAAGCCTAATGGGGACGCTCATGACGCCGACATCCCGCGGGACGGTCACCATCTCCTCGTCGAGCATGCGCGACCCACCCCTCATCAACCCGAACTGGATGACTACGCAGGCTGACCTCGAGACCATGGTCGCCATCTTTAAGCGCATGCGTCAAGTGTGGGCGAGCCCGGCAATGCGAGAGATCATTATTGGGGAAGAGTACTGGCCTGGTTCCAGTGTGCGGACCGACGAAGAGATCATTGCGTTTTTGAAACGGACGGCCACGCCCATGTCGCATGCTATGTCCACCTGTAAGATGGGGAAGAAGAGCGATCCATTGGCGGTTGTGGATAGCCGTGGCAGGGTTATTGGTGTGCATCATCGTATGTTTGTTCATGTCCCTGATGTTCTGGAGAGTATAACTGATCTTAATGATAGTGCGCGTCACTGATGGCTCTGCACTTCCCTTTTTGCCGCCAGGTATGTACTTTTTGTCTCCACCTCCCCCCCAGCTTATCGAAACACAAGGGTTACTGACCGGTTGACAGGAGAGGCGCCTCAATCAGTTGTCTGTAAGTCAACGTTCCTCCCCGATCACTTCTAACTGCGATTGCTAACATGAACAAGACATGCTGGCCGAAAAGCTTGCCGACGACATCAAGAACGGTCAATAGATTTTCTGCCTGTTAGAACTCTAGACTTCTCTGTACTATCTTCCATTCATCATGACTTGCTTCACGGTTCTGTGACCAATTATTGGACCAACCATACGTTTTAGCCTATCACTCGCTGTCGTACTATAGGCTAGTATTTTCCCGCACATTATATCATTGGGCCCTGTATCAATGTCAGATTGCAATATATTTGATGGTTTTGAACATATTGTTTACGTAGAGAGTATGACAGCGCCTTCCGTATTGAGTGGATGCGCCTCCCTACACTGATTTCCCATGCTTTTCACCATGAAGGGGAATTATGGGAAAGGATACTCTTTTGTAGTCACATTTCTCTAGGGCTATATGTAGTAAACTAGGGTTTCCAAGAAAGACCTTGTTCCCATCGTTTTGCCGAGCCTAAAAGATCCCGAAGGATAGATAATCCGCGCCAAATATTTCAATGGTTGGTACTTGCCGATAAGCTCCACATTGGACCCATAACTCGAATTGTGACCATGTAAATAACTTTAATTGGTGGAAGATGACGATCACCGATTATTATTCTTGGTGGCGCAGACTGCGATCCATGTCCATCAGTGGTAGAAAGCCGAGGTAGTGGGTCGATTCAGCCGCAGCTGATATGGTATGCGATTGGCATGATTAATAGAGGTCGACTGAGTCCGTATCCCCTTTTGATTGGATATGGTCTCGATATCCTCGTCCGAGTGTATCCGCCAGAACCTCCATGCGTTATCAACTCAGCTGCATTGGCGGGGTATTTAAGTTATGTTACCCCTTTGAATCTCCTATTCCAAGCAGTAGCCCCTCTATCTGATTTCTCCCTCTTGTTACACATTACTTTCAAAAATCAATCACTATGTCTTTCGAACAATCCTGCTTAGATATCCGTGTCGAGGTCCGCGATGGCCACACTGTCCTTCTCGCCAGTGCTGGATGTGGCGATGATACATACGAATGATGGTGTTTCGTTGGAGGCGGATCTACGCAATAACAGCGAAGAAAGAAGGCGTCAGGGAGTCAACCTGTCCGAACATATTGAGAATCAGCATGGAGAACTGGTGTTTGTTGAATTCTAAATATGATATTAGGCTGCTAGTATATGTATAAACAGTCATATATATTCATGCAATAGAAGATTCTAGAACCCCGGATATTATCCGAAAGAACTGAATTTCTAATATGATAGTTTACTTTTTCATATCCTATTTCTAATTTTCCCAGGGCTTCCCTCAAGACCGGTTGTATTATTTGGTGGTGATCTCTCGGAATGGCCCTACCCGGGGGAAAGACATAGTGTTCCTCCTGGGCTGGGTCAGAAAACTGCTGGAGCAGGAAAAAAATAGCCATAATCAGGAGATAGTGCGAGGACGCCTTCGGCTTACGTACTCAAGCTAGCGGTATGCCGTCGGTAGTAGGCCAGCCGGCTACAGGATAGGTAGTACGGAGAAGATATATTATGTTCAGATCGCTAGGGAGATTGTATGTGTATTGGAACAGAGTGAATCTTATCTGATACCTATATACAGTTCGGTAAACAGAGATCACAAGCTTAGTTACAGCAATCCGGTAGGGTATACTACTATTATCGTTTCCCCGGGCTGTTTCTTCTATATAAACATAATCATGTCGAGTTTATTACTAAATAGAGATAATTTGCCGCGGGTGTAGTGATACAAAGATGTTTACAATATATGAAATCGAATGCCATCTATTCGGCTGTTCTCAGGGCAGTAGTATTCCCCTATTATCATCTCTATACTATCCCCCAAAAGGCTGATAGAGGTAAGTAATGCGCCCGCTCTTCGCGCTTGTACCGTTCATGATCAAAACTTTCTGAGAACCAGTTCCGGGAAACCCTCGTGCTAAATTATAGCTTGCAGGAGCTGCTTCCTGAGGTAGAGTATAAGTAACGTGAAATACTATCGCTGCTGCTCTTGGCACTATTAAGTCTGGTGTTATAGCTGTCGCAAGCTGATCCAGATCCATCCACATAAACAAGGTGATAGGAAGAAAAATCAGAGATACAATGAGAGTATTCATTGTGTAAATCTCGGTTTCGCTCCTGTGCTCTTCACCTTAAGGCCGTTTTTTGACCAATATTTACACTTCAGTATACCCCTTATACAGTATTTTACTATTTTGTTATCTCTATTTCAAATTTATCTAATAAGAATAGTGTTATTTTATTAATATATGAAAATAGCTGCTCAACAAGATAGTCAGAAAGGACCTGGATTATAACAGGTATAAGACTATATAGACATTCTTAGTTATTCAAATACGCATTCACGCTGCCAAATTGATATATATTTGACTTTAGCCTCCTGATTGGACACTTGTTACAACCAGCAGCCTCAGCTATTTATGGGGGGATAGTAAGATCATAACTAATTACTATATTATAGATTAACAACAAGGTTGATACAGTACGATTCGGTGCTATCCTACCACCACACTAGGATAATCGACGGGGAGGATCAATTAGTAAAATAGAGAATACTAGGGTTGCGGCATAGTAGGAGATAGAAGGTGGAGATTAGATACGAAAAATACAGCAATACACAGTAGAGTAAGTTTATATGAGTCATCAATTGCTCCATAGAATACAATACTGAAATTAAACACGGAATAATTGTAAACGAGGATGTATGCGCCTGGCATTAGGGTTTGGAAGTCACGAGAGTATAGGGCCCGCGGGCACCGTTTCTGTAATATAGTGTACAATAGTACCTACATCTCTGTTATACCTGGGGCTTTGGTGTCAAGTCTGAGACCAGTTAGCAGATGATATATCAAGGGTGACTAATCTGAAATTGTTCTTTAATTTCTATTATCAATAGATTACAGTTTTGATAAATTAAAAATTATTCTTAGACTATTATTAATATAAAACTACAACTACTACAGGCAGGGAAGAACAACTTGAACTGCAGACCCATAATCTTCAAAAACTTGTAACAGTGCAAAGATTTGACAGTATCGAACAAGCGATCGAATTGATATATAGCATATGCAGGTCTGTCCCATTGGATATAAACCTCTACTATATAATTCATGGACTTGTTGCGAAAAAAGGATGATCACCAGACCAGCTACGTTGGATGTCCAATACCCTCAACACGAACGATTATATTCCCTACCAAAAGAAAGTTTATTCCCAGACAACGTCCAAACAATGCCCACGAATTTCCCCGTTAAACCATTCGATCATCTCGATCCGGTCTTGTTTCATCCTCGCGCCCTGCAAAACATCTCCACCCGCCAGTGGACTTACCACCGCGGACACCGTCTCATACAGCTGCCTGAGTGCAAGATTCTTCCCGATACAAGCCCTCAACCCGACCCCAAACGGCATCATATTCCTCTCCATATTCGGTCTCCCCAGCCCGGCATCCTTCCCACCCTCCAACCACCGCTCCGGCCGAAATTCAAACGGCTCCGGAAAGACCTCCGGGTCGTGGTGCAGCGTGTACGCAGCGCATCCCACCACCGTGCCGGGAGGTAGAGTATATCCTCCCACCTGGAGATAGGTTGAGGGCGGAATAGCCCTGGTGAGGCGGGTAGGGTTGGCCATACCCAACCGCAGACCCTCTTTCACAACGGCGCGCAGGTAGGGAACCGATTCCGGGTCAAAGACCGGGGATTTCTGGCGATGAGCGTTGATCTCAGCGGCGAGAGTGTGGCGCGCATCCTCATTTCGAATTAGGTGGAAGAGGATCGTGGTGAGCATCACAGCGGTGGAGTCTGCCCCCGCGAAGACGATGGCTTTGCATTGAGCTGCTGTTTCTGTGGGAGAGATCCCGGCTGATAATAGGCGTGATTGGTAAGTGGTTGTTGGAGGTGCGGAATCGGCGGGAGGCATCACTTGCGTAGCGAATGTGTCCAGTTTGTGGAAGGATTGGATGGCTTCTTCGGTTAAGGTGAGCCGGGCTGCGAGACGGTAGACTTGCTGGAAGAGCCAGTTCGGGAGGAGGGAGAAGCGCGAGAATCCAACTATGGCAAATATGAAGGGGTTGGCGCTGAGCTTGGTGCTCTGCTGTTCCGGTGGGGAGAGGTGGGCGATTTCTGCGAAGCCCCCGTAGGGTTTGCCTAGGAGGTATTCTGTTACGACATCGATGGAGAGCCGGGCGCAGAGGTCAACCAGGTCGAAGGGGATCTTTTCGACTTGGTATGTGCTGAGGCATCGCATGAACTGGGCGATGGATTGTCCGATGGGTTGGTTGGGGGCGCAGGAGGATCGAACGCGGGCGGGAGCAAAGAGGGGGGCCACCGCTTTGGCGCGCTGGTCACGGTATTCTGGATCAATAGCGGAGAAGATCGAGACGATGGGACCCAGGTTGAAGTTCCTGTAGCGCGCATCCTTGGGAAAGCCACCGTTAGTGATGTAGATGTCGCGGAGCGTGCTGCTGTCGGATATCGAGACGCTGTTCGGTCCTACCCGAAGGACAGGAGTGCGATGGCGACGGTGAAGGGAGCGAAGGACATGACCCTCAATTCCTAGATAGCAGATTACGTATAAGAATAGCGGGCTGACCGAGACGTAAAAGGGACCGGGGACATGGCGCAGAGGGTGGAAGAAGCGGTGATGGATGACAAATAGGAGCAGCGCAGAGGCCCCAAGGAGGGGAAGTGTGTCAAGGATCATGATCGTAAGCTCGTGGCCGTCTTCTCTAGGTGGAAGAAGATTTGAAAGAATTTGAGGGGAAAAGTACAGGGAAAAGGTTCTGTGGTGAAGCATATACTCGGGGTTGGGGTAGGACTATCTGGGGTTATCATCGCCGAGTTGGCGAGAATGCTCATATGAAAACCCTTGAGGAATGATCGAGACCACCGCAAAGAGGTGATCATACCATTGACAGCCGTAGTGTCAGCACGATGAACGGCCATTCTGATATCGTCAGCGTTCTCAACGGGATTAGTCCCGCTTCCTTGGAGAATGAAGACCAGAGAACCCGGGCTCTCCTGGCGGCATATGCCCTCGTGGCACGACTGGAGACGCCATGGGAAACCACCGCTCGACTGTGTATGGGCCAGGTACGTTCATCCTGACTGTTGTACAGTATGCATCAGATCCATGAGCTGATGGGTGGGATAGCCTGCTCTGGGAGCAGCGTTGAAGGTGTGCAAGGACCTCGAGCTGTTCGAAAAGTGGGATCAGGCAGGAAATGAGGCTATGACTGCGGACGAATTGGCCAAACTCACGCCTTGTGAGGCTGCTCTGTTGGGTTGGTATATTCTGGGGGAAGCACTCAATCAGGAACAAATTCTTACTGAATCATGTAGAACGTCTTCTCCGCCATCTTGCCTCCAACCATATGCTCCACGAGCCATCAGTGGGTGTGTTCAAGCCAACTTCATTCACCAAATCACTACTACAACCTGTGTTTGGAGAATGGATTAATCATTTGTAAGAATCCCTCTTCCTTCAGCGGTGCGAGGTAGTGTTTCGATCTAACTATTGCTTCAGGTATGACGCTACGTTGCCCTGCTTCTTTCGAATGCCAGAGTACCTGGCCCAAACTGGGTACAAGGTTCCTCTGGATCCGGCGAACGGGGTTTTCCAGTATACCAAGGACTGGAAAGGTGACATGTTCCACTACTATGAAGCTCATCCTCGTGAGGGCGAGTCCTTTAACCACGTCATGGGAGGTGTCATGGCCCATCAGGCTGGGTGGTTGGATATCTTCCCGCATGACCGTGTGTTGGAGACGGCGGCCGAAGGAACCCCTCTGGTGGTCGATGTGGGTGGTAACATCGGGCATGATATGGACCGATTTCTCCAGGCGCATCCGGAAACCGCCAGTCGCCTGTATTTACAGGATCGTCCGGAGGTGGTCAAGCTGTCTAAATGCCCTGACCCAGTGCACAAGATGGGCTACGATTTCTTCACGCCTCAGCCGGTGAAGGGGTCTCGGGTCTACTACATGCATGGCGTCCTTCATGACTGGTCCGATGAGCCCGCGCGCAAAATCCTGGCCATGCAGCGAGAGGCGTTGACCCCCGGATACAGCACCCTGCTGATTCACGATCATATCGCGCCCCGTGCGCTGGCCCATCCGCATACCACCGCGTACGATCTGACCATGATGGTGATGGTGGCCGGAACGGAGCGAACGGAGGAGCACTGGGCGACGTTGCTGCAGTCGGAGGGATACAAAGTTGTCAAGGTCTGGAGATCTCCGTTGGCCGTGCAGGGGATCATTGAGGCAGAATTAGCTTAGAGCAACTACCGTAGTCAATTCATCACCTTTGGAATAAGTACAAATCTATTTATCCACATCAACACTGTTGGTCACAGAGCCAAACACCTCCAGGGCATGGCCGAGATAGTCCTGAATTCCCTTGAGGCGAGGAGTCATGTCACTGCCCAAAGGCAGCAGCTTCTCCGCCTGGTGTCCCTCGCCGACGCCTTCGCCAACCACAACTTGATAGAGGGCCTGCATGGCCTTGTCTTTGTCACCATTGGGCTTAATCTTTCCACTCAGCAGAAGCCCCTGGACCTGTTCGGTAAAGGTCCCCTTGTAGTCCTCGGGGAGAGGGGTCTTGCCCAGGACCACCGAGTTAGGCATGTTGGTGTTGAAAGTCCCCAGCACGACAGTCAGGGTCCGGATGTTGAAGGGAGCCACCTCCTTCGCCAGGATCTTGGTGAGAGCTAAATTGTCACGGTTAGCGATGTGGAAGATCCACCTGAACGCATGGTCCGTCGTGGAGGATCAGACATACCGTCCAGACCCGCCTTAGCACCACCGTAGACTCCCATTGTGGGAATCCCATCGAGGGAAGCGCCACTGCTCATGTTGACAATGACCCCCGATCGGCGTTGGCGCATATGCGGGAGCACCGCACGGATGAGGCGCAGGGGGCCAAAGTACATGGTCTCCATCTGGGCACGAATCTCCTCCTCGGTACTGGTCTCAATGGGCGCATAGATGGAACCCCCGGCGTTGTTCACCAGAATGTCGATCTGCTCTCCACCCTTCTCGAGCTCCGTAATCACACTGCCGCTCTGGGGGCTATCAACATCCAGCTGGACCCATTTGCCCCCCTTTCCCTCGATTTCCGCGACCAGATCGGGGGTGCGAGAAGGGTTACGCGAGGTGGCAATGACCTTATGGCCACCCGCCTGCGCGGCACGAGTTAAGGAGAGGCCAAACCCGGAGGAGCAGCCGGTGATGAGCCAGGTGAGTTGGTGAGAGCCCATGATGAACTTGCACGATCGATTGTCGGTGATTGTATGTATGTATGTGTGTATGTATGTGTGTATGTACGACCGGACATCGTTCCAAAGGATTCCTAGGGTTGACTTTATAAGGGGACACTGGGAACGGAGATATCGGATTTTACGAGGCGGCGTGAGAAGGTCGTAACTCCGTCGACAGGGATGTTGGTTTGTTTCCTTTGTTTCCCTTTTCTACTCGGGGTTGACCAAAGTTCTGTTTCCACTCCCAACACTGGGTGTCTGCTCGGATCCCCTAAATATTACTCCTCCCAGGAGATATGGAGATCGACGTGACCAGACAACGATCCTCGCGGCAGGGTCATTACTATTACTATCACGAGTATTATTATTATTTGCATTTGCATTATCATCGTCATTATCACCACCGTCACCATCACCCACCATGACTGGCGGCACTCAACTCGTGCTGTTTGGTCCCCAACTAACCCCCACGCAATGGACCCCCGATTTCCTCCGGCGTCTGCAACTAGAGATGCAAAATAATCCTCAGTTGGAATTTCTCCGGCATTGTCTGATCCAGTTAGAGGCATTTGTGGCGAGCACACCCCTCCCGCGCGAGGACGTCGCACTGGTCTCGCAGCTAGGGACACTAGCAGGGTTCGCGCGGGGCGAAGCAATTCCAGATCCACAGCGTCTGCAGGGAAATATCCTATTGGCGCCATTGACAATCGTCTCACAGGTGGTGGACTGGCTGCGGATGACTCCATCGGACGAGCTGATCGTCCAAGGCTTCTGTATAGGATTTCTGTCCGCGGCCGTTGTGTCCTCAACTCATCAGCAGGACCGCGTTGAGTTTGAGCGATACGTTGCCAATAGCATTCGTCTGGCGGCTTGTATTGGCTTTCTCATCGATCGAGAAGATTCTCTGCAGGCGACGGCGGATCAAGCAACGGCCATTTCCGTGCGTTGTCCATCACCGTCACACCGTGCAGCTTTGGAAACCACAATAGATTCGTTTCCCGAGGTATGTATTCTAGAAGGGTTCAGGGCAATTGGAATCCGAGTTGATCAATCCCTAGACATACATCTCCTGCATCACTGATGATCGCACGGTCACCGTCACACTGCCGCGTCGCCATCTGGCGCGCTTGACGGAACGCCTGAAACATGAGTCCATTCCCAGTACCGTCATTGGCCTCGATGGTTGCTATCATCATCCCAAACACACCGATGCCGCTCAGACACTCAAAGACATCTGTGCCAAAACGCGTGAATTGCAGTTGCCCTTCAGCGAGCAACTCCATCTTCCCCTTCGTTCCACCGCAGATACCGAGCTCCTCACCATGGGTGCACTGCATGACATCGCCGTAGACCTCATTCTCTGCAAGCGCGCTCATTGGTTCCAGACCGTCAAATGCACGCTCAAGGAGGTTCCGAATGGGGTCAAATTTGTCGCCGTGGGTTCGGAATCCTGCATTCCTCGATCGCTTTCGCTGGCCAGACCGGCCGCAGATTTACAGGACGCGATCGCGGTGGTGGGAATGGCCTGTCGATTCCCCCAGGCGGACTCCCTGGAGGAGTTCTGGCAGCTTCTGAGCGCGGGGGAAACAACTATTAGCCCTCTGCCCCACAACCGCTTCAATCCGGCGGACCTGCGAAGGGAGCCGAAGCCGTCGACATTCTGGGGGAATTTCTTACGCCACCCAGACGTGTTTGATCACCGGTTCTTCGGAATCTCTGGACGGGAGGCGAAATCCATGGATCCACAGCAGAGACTGGCACTGCAGGTTGCCTATGAAGCCATGGAGGCGGCCGGGTACTGCGGCCTTCACGCGAAAAGCGGGAGGAAGGAGACTCAGGTAGGGTGCTATCTGGGAGTAGGCGCTGTCGATTATGAGGGCAATGTGGCTGGCGATGATGCGAATGCCTTTTCGGCAACGGGGACCTTGAGGGCCTTTATTAGTGGTCGCATTAGCCATTTCTTTGGTTGGACTGGTCCGTCAATCACGTTTGACACGGCGTGTTCGTCGTCGGCGGTCGCTATACATGCAGCATGCAAGGTATGATTCCCCTGAAGGTCTCGTTAGATTAACAAGATTAAAACACTGATGGAGTTGCATGGATGAATGTAGGCTATCTTGGCAGGCGAATGCGCCATGGCCCTAGCGGGAGGTGTGAACGTCATAACGAGCCCGAACCTGCACCAGAATCTCGCTGCCGCCTCTTTCCTCAATCCCAACGGATCCTCGCGCGCTTTTGATGCCGCTGCAGGTGGATATTGCCGAGGTGAAGGCGCCGGCATTCTGGTCCTGAAGCCCCTCTCCAAAGCCGTCGCGGCCAATGATAACATCCTTGGAGTTATCGCCGGGTCTGCCGTGAATCAGGGCTCAAATTGTAGCTCTATCACGGTTCCAGATTCCAACTCACAGAGCGCGTTGTACAGTCGTGCTCTTTCTGTAGGTCAAATAGATCCCGAGGATGTAACATATGTGGAGGCGCACGGCACTGGTAAGTGATGTATATTGCGAGTATCCTCGAGGGACCACAAGGGCTAAGGCAGCACTAGGAACGCAAGTCGGGGATCCTATTGAGTACGAAAGCATCAGGTTAGCTCTGGCTGGTCCTGGAAGGAAAGATGATATTCTACTTGGATCCGTCAAAGATAATATTGGACACACCGAAGCTGCCTCGGGCGCTGCAGGGGTCATCAAAACCCTCCTGATGATGCAGAAGAGAACCATTCCGAAGCAGGCGAGCTTTAAGACACTGAACCCACGCATCAAGGCATCCGACCACATTGTAGTGCCAAAGCATACTCAGCCCTGGACAGCCGCGCGGATGGTTGCTTTGGTGAATAACTACGGTGCAGCTGGTAGCAACGCCGCGATTGTGGTACAGGAATATCAAAAACCGTGTGTTGCACCACAACCTCCTGCTGTGGCGGCTTATCCCATTGTCCTGTCTGCCAAGTCTGCAATTAGCTTACAGTTATATATGGGAGAGCTCAAGCGTTTTGTCTGCGCGGCAAATGTGCCATTGCGTGAGATTGCATACGCCCTTTCAAGACGACAAAACCCTGCATTTGAATACAGAACAGCGTTTAGTACCGAGAATATTGCCGGCTTGACTGCCACCCTGGATCGGCTCAACGTCAGTAAGGGTGAAGCTGGATTTACGCGGACTTCGAAGCGCCCTGTAGTGTTGGCTTTTGGCGGCCAGACGGGACGTACAGTAACAGTATCGAGAGATCTTTATGATACCAGTCTGCTCTTCCGGAATCACCTGGTGCGTTGAAACTCACTATTCGTCAGGACTGCATTGTGGCTGACACGGAATACAGGACAAATGCGAAGCTGTATGCAAATACCTTGGCTTACCAAGTATCCTGAGCAACATCTTCTCCGGTGAACCGGTGGATGACATTGTCTCCCTCCACTGCATGCTTCTGTCGATCCAGGTATCCTGTGCCAAATCATGGCTGGAATCGGGACTAGAGGTGGACGCTCTAATTGGTCACAGCTTCGGCCAATTAACTGCACTATGTGTTGCGGATTCCATCTCCTTAGAAGATGCTTTCCGACTGGTTGCTGGTCGAGCGCGCCTAATCCGCGATAAATGGGGTCCGGAGCGCGGAGCCATGCTGTCGCTCGAGTGTGATCTGGGTGACCTGAGGGAGCTGATGGCTCGCATCAACTCGACCTCTAATTGCCGTGTGGATGTGGCCTGCTACAACGGTCCCCGTAGCTTTGTGCTGTCTGGTGATATGGAGTCCATCGATCAGGTGCAGGAATGGTGCCGCTCGTTTAAAGCAGTCCGACTGCAAAACACGCATGCATATCATTCGTATGTCGCAGATGCTATCCTCGAGGAGTTCAGAGAACTCGCCCAAACGATAGCAATCCAACCACCACGGATTCACATCGAGACCTGCTCCCCCAGCACCAGCTGGACTGCCTTTACCGCCGAGGCAATCGTCGAACATACGAGACAACCGGTCTACTTCCATGAAGCAGTGGACCGCCTCGCAGCGCGTGCCCCATCTGCCGTGTGGCTCGAAGCCGGATCTGCATCCCCAATCATCGCTATGACTCGTCGCATACTGACACAGTCAGATAAACCGCCCATGTTCATCCCAATGGAACTAGGGACCACGGATGCGATGGCCAACTTGGCAAATGCCAGTAGCCAGCTCTGGACGGCAGGGCTTGGTACCTCGTTCTGGCCTTTCCGTGGAGATGGAGATGCAGTGCAGATCAACCTACCCCCATATCAATTTGAGCGGACGCAGCACTGGCTTCAGTACAAGGAAGCGTCGGAATCATCCCTTATTCAGCGCTCCCCAAGATCAGGGTCCACCTTGGTGACCATGGTCAAGAGTAGTGGGCCGAAGGGAGAAACATTGTTCTCTATTGATACCTCGAACCCTGTTTTTGACTTAGCAACTCGAGGACACGCAGTCACTGGTCACAGCTTATGCCCGGCCTCAATGTACATCGAATTCGCTGCTCAGGGCGCTTCGATGCTCGCCAGCAAAGACAACAAGACGCACTTCGCCCCCCACGTTGAAAGCCTGTCTATATCCTCCCCGCTGGGGCTTGGTGCGGATTTATTTCTCCGCCTGTGCCCTGTAGCACCGGGACAATGGGATTTCACCATTACAAGCACGTCTTCATTCGAGCAAACAGAGCACGGAAAAGGACGCATCAGCTTGGTATCTGCCGGAGACGTCGTTGCCGAGGCACGGCTGAAGCTTCTTCAAAAGATCGCCCGAAGCTCGAGCATGGATCGTATCATGGACTCTCCTGATGCAACAGGCATAAGTGGTGGCATTGTATACCGGATCTTTGGTGAGATAGTGAACTACGCTCCTTACTACCGCGGGGTGAAGTCACTATCATCATTAGGAAATGAGGCGGTGGGATTTGTGGATCTCCCGGACGACACCCAACCGTTCAGCGGACAAAGCACTTTTTGTAGACCCGTTGAGCTGGATAATTTCCTTCAGGTTGCTGGGATTCACGTGAACTGTCTCTCTACTCGGCGCGCTGAGGAGGTATTTATGTGCACTGCTGTGGACGAGGTGATCCTTACACCTTCGTTTGTTGCCTCCAAGACAGACTCGCAGAGCTGGACCGTTTATTCTCATCACGAAGTTATCTCCAAGGGGAGCTTGACTAACAATATCTTCGTCTATGATTCCGCGAAAAAGCTCGTAGCAGCTATCATGGGGGCGACATTTCGCAGCGTGCCATTCAAGTCGCTAGCCCGGAGCCTGACTCGCCTTAATCAGCTTATCCCATCCACTCTGGATAAGGGAAGGGATTTTATGGAGCCCCTAGCCGACTCAGGATATGACTCCAATCTTGCTACTCCACCTACTGAGGATGAGGACGAGACCTCGTTGGAAAACTATTTCCCCGCGGAACAGGAGGTGTCTCAGAATGTTCAGCGTCTCGAGGTTACCAATGATAGCAACACCCTTCAACAACTTCGAGCCCTTCTGAGCAATATAATCGAAATACCCCTCGAAGAGATAGACGCCTCGTCTAGCCTTGAAGAACTTGGGATTGACTCATTACTCGTCACGGAGGTCCTGTCCGAGATCGAGAAGCGCTTTAAGCTCCGCATTAGCCCAGCACAATTTCAAGGCTGTACAGACGTACTTTCAGTCTGCCAACTTTTGGCGCCAGAGGAGAAGCTCGCGCGAACAGCTGCCCCGCGCAGTCTGGCGTCCACCAATGGTCACACCGAAACTGGGTCACCATCCACGCGAAGCGGACCTCTGTCAGGCGAGTCAGAAAATAATCTGGCCGTTGTAAGTCAGCAATGTTTCTTGGATACTAAATCAGGCTACGATAAACACTCCAAAGTGACGGGCTTTGCCGGGTTCTTCAGCGAGCCCTTCCCTATGCAATCCGAACTTGTGGTGCAGTACGTAGTAGAGGCTTTTTCGACACTGGGCTGTATACTGAACGATATGGCGCCAGGGGATGACATTCCCATTATACCCCATATTGACGGTCAGCGGAAGCTAGTGCCTCAGCTGTATATGATTCTGGAGGATGCGGGACTGATCACGCAAAGCAAGGACGGTCGGTTTGAGCGCTCCAATACGCCGACCTCCACTACCCCAGCATCGAGTTTGCATCGCAGCATGCTAGCTAGATTCCCTAAGCACACATCCGAGACGAAGCTCCTTCACACAACTGGCCACAGATTGGCGGACTGTTTGTCTGGTTCTGCTGATCCGCTCTCCTTGATCTTCCGAGATTCATCTGCTCGAGCCTTGCTCGAGGACGTATACACGAATGCGCCCATGTTCAAAACAGGTACACTTTTACTCGCACAATACCTCTCGTCCGTCGTGTCACGCTTCGGAAACGCCAGGGAAGTCCGCATTCTCGAGCTGGGAGCAGGTACGGGCGGCACAACCAAGGAGCTTGTCCATACCCTAGAAAAATTGAGCCCTGATCATAAATTCACATATACCTTCACCGACCTCTCATCTTCACTGGTCGCCGCGGCCCGGAGGAAATTTCCCCATTCGTTTATGCGGTACTCGGTGTTGGACGTCGAGAAGGTTCCTGGTGCTGAATTGCAGGGCCGCTACGATATTATAATTTCCACCAACTGCATCCATGCTACACAGAACCTGGTTCGATCTACCACGCACATCCGGCAAATGCTCCGACCAGATGGGATTCTTTGCCTGGTGGAGCTGACACGAAACCTGTTCTGGTTTGACCTCGTGTTTGGTCTGTTGGAGGGGTGGTGGCTGTTCAATGACGGAAGGAAGCATGTCCTCGCCGACGAACGGCGATGGGAGAGATGTCTACGAGAGGCTGGGTTTAACTGGGTTGATTGGACCGATAGCCCATCCAGGGAATCAGATCTCTTACGGGTCATTACCGCGTCTCCGTCTTCGGCTCATGACACTTCAACCAAGCAGGAGACGATCACCTTCAAGAAGGTGGACGGTGTCGATCTTGAGGCAGATCTGTACTATCCTGACCAGCTGGCTGATTCAACACAGCGTCTTCCTGTGGGTGAGACCGAGACTACACAACTGATCCCGAACATTGGGCGCTAACTGCAATACAGCACTAATGATTCACGGTGGCGGCCATGTCATGTTGTCCCGTAACGACATCCGGCCAGAGCAAACCCAGCTGTTGTTACAGCATGGCTTTCTCCCGATAAGTGTCGACTATCGACTCTGTCCGGAGGTAACACTCCCCAATGGACCTATGGAAGACGTTGCAGATGCGCTGCATTGGATTCGCACTGTGCTGCCCACGCTCCGTTTACGTCGCAGCGATATCAAAATCGACGGAGCCCGCGTGGTGAGTGTGGGCTGGTCTACAGGCGGGCATTTGGCCTTGTCGCTTGGATGGAACAGTATCCCACGAGGAATCAAGCCGCCTGATGCTATCCTAGCCTTCTATTGTCCTCTCGACTACGAGGATGACTTCTGGCTACAGCCAAACATCCCAGAAGGATCTGAAAGTGCGACAACCTATGAGCTTGACGAGAGTATTTGGGTGGCTGTGCATGAGAAAGCCCTGACGCGGTATAATGTCCCGCCTGCGCAACGAGCCGTGGCAGGATGGATGGCACCAAGTGATCCACGTAGTCGGCTTGCTCTGTATATGAACTGGCATGGACGGACATTGCATGTTCTCCTCCGTGGACTTGATCAGCAGCGCCGAAAGGAGCCGGAGATGCCCACGCCCGCGGAGGTTGCGGCAGTGAGTCCACTCGCTCAGGTTCGTCGAGGTACATACACTACTCCGACGTTCATTATTCATCCTAGAGGGGATGATCTCATCCCTTGGGGACAGGCGCAGCGGACATATGAAGCGTTATGCAAACAGGGGGTTGAAAGTCAACTACGCATTGTGGACGATGTGCCGCATCTCTTCGATATGTATCGCACGTATCAGAAACGGGAGGAGGTCCAGAGGGTGGTAGGGGAGGGATACAAGTTTCTACGGGCGCACGTATGAAAAGGTGTAATCAATCAGTACTATATAGCATTGTACGTATACTCCGCTGCAATCAGAACACAACGTCCTTGAAATCCTCACAAAACGCCCATCGGGTGTCTGGCCGTAGACCCATTTCGCGCCAGCCATTCACCCTCTCTGGAAACATCGGGATGCGCGATCTGAGCGATCGATCATGGCCTAGAATGACAAAGATCTCGTCATGGGCATCCAGCTCGTGAATCTTCTGCACGGTCTCCATGGCCGCCTCACGGTCCGGGAACAGCGGTCCATCTGCAACCGTGAAGAAAGGCGAACATGGACTGACGCTCGAGGTAATCAGTGTCTGTAACACGTCTCCCGGACAATGACCCTGCAAGGATCGAGGAACACTGGTGGGAAACGGCAGGTACTGGGTGGGCCGCAAAACGCCTGGATGATGGCAGGCATCGGCGCCCATCAGCACAAAGGAATCTGGCGTCGTCCGTGCAAGGGCGCACAAATGCCCAACGGCATGGCCTGGCGCATCCAGTAAATAGAATGACCCGTCCCCGAAATAGTCCACCGCATCGAACTGCCCGACTTTCAATCCTTCGTTGAAAGATATCTCACGGACAGTCCGCCCCTGCATATCACTCTCCAATACACCACCGTTCACATCGACCGGCCAGCCGGGCCACGATATGTCCCGGACTCCGGGACCAACGATCAGGTCGGTGGTGCTAGGGAAGGTCTGCATATTCCCGACATGGTCGAAATGATTGTGTGACCAAATCACGGCGCTGATCTCGTCACGGTTGGCAATTTGACTGTCGTCAAGGATAGAGGCAACATCTTTGCCGCGGGTGATGGTGGTAGTTGCTTTGATAAGGGAGACAATTTTCGGGGCATAATTCTCCCAGTCTTCCCGGACGCCGAGGTCAAACACAATGTGGGTGTCGCCATGGCTGATAAGGAAGCAGTACACGGGGGCGTCGAGGCCAGTGAAGCCTTCGAGTGGCGGTTGCCAGAACAACGTTGGGTTGAGGTAGACAAGGGTTTGCCTGGTCCTTGTGTTAGCTGTGTCCTCCAGCCTTTGTCTTGGTAGCAGTGTCCGGCGTACGTATCGATTACTCGCACATCAACGGTCGATGCCGAAGGAGGAATATTCATTTTTGGGGCAGCCTTGGGCTGCGTAGGGCAGCTACAGTCTGCCATAATGTCATATGTGGTTTGCCTTTACGATTTCTACTGCGGGTACCGCCGTCTTATACGAAACTCGATGGGAGCTCGGGTCTATATCGACTAGCGCAGGTATACTCAGGGCCAGACAGTCTTATCCGACATACATGGATGAATTTCCAGCAGGCTACCATCAGGCTCTCTACATGCAAAGCACTTTGATATGCTGCTAAATTCGTGGGGTTGTATACAATTCCCCAGTCACGTAAACCTGCATGCTGAGCTCTTTCTTGGTTGGATCCTCCTTTCTCCCGATCCCCAGAAAGGTGAATATACCCTTCTTATCGGACAGATTACGATGAGTACTATTTATGCATGCTTTAGTGTATGTTCATATAACAGCAAAAGCTCAGCAGCAAGGAAATTGAAGTGGACCACTTACAAGACACTGCGGACTTTCTCCTTCATCGGCTTACTTCCGTCATCCCATCCATATTTTTGCAACCACTGATCCACACCTGCACCTATGACCTCATCATTGGCTGCAAAGTTCGCAGGGTAGAAGCAGATCTTCGGCGCGGGCGTTGGGTTATCCGTGGAGAGGGAGAAGTAAATCGCCGTCATTTTTCTCTGCACCGCGGTATAGTGTGGTTGGCCACCGTCCTGTGCCGGCGTAGGGTCTGGATTATAGGCGGTGAGCGACATGAGCTCGCGGAATTTCTCCTTATCCTCATCTAAGCCTGGGATCCTTCCCCCGAGGGTATAGTAATCCCAGATATCCTCGAATGATTCGGCGGGATGTCGCATGTAGATCTTCAGACGCGCCTGGTCGGTGGTGACAAAGTCGGTCGCCAGATAGCGCGGACCGTTTTCATACTCTTTCGGCTTGCTGTCCAGGTATTGTTGAATGAGCTCCAGAGAGCGAAGGATGTTGGGATGGGATTCGATGTTTGGCAGTTGATACACGCCACGTCGCACGGCCTCCCATCGTGTAATTCCTTCCGCCACCGCCGTGAAACAGGGTGGGAAATAGACCTTCGCCATGACCGGGATGGCATCTGGGCTGGGGAGACGTCGGCGAATGTCAAACCCGAGGATCATGGGCATCTGGTACCCTGCCTGTGCGACAAGACTCTTCTGTTCCTCGGTCGAGCGATCGGAATGCACGAACCACTTCCGCAGGGATGCGTACCAGGTGTCGTCGAATCCTGGAGTCTTCTTCGCTAATGCGTCAAGGACAATCTCAAAATTCTTGATGCTGAGGGGGTTGGCATCATCGGCGGGTCGTAGTGGGCTGACGTCTACGACAAACCGAACTGCTTGCTCCTTGCCAGAGCTCTTGAGTTCAAAACTGTATTCGAAGGGGTTGCCATCCCAGCCGACGCCACTGCGGAGTGAATCAGCTTCAGGGCGGCCTCCGAGCTGGGGGCAGATCGTGTCTCTGAAAAAGAGGAGGAACTGGCGCTGTGTATCTTCAGGGTACTGTGCCTCTTGGAGCATGCGAGCAAGATCGCGTCCACTAGTCAGCCACCAGTAGGGCAGGCCTTCTGAGGCCGGGCTCTCGCGCCCAAGAGACTGGAATGTGGGTAGTTCAACGGTGACGGACATGGTCTGGTGCGGTGCGATTGGGGTAACAGTTTGGGTCTATTGAACTACGATATATCCATGGTGGTAGGGAACTTGTACTGGCCCTGAGTTGGCTTGGTCTATGTGGCCCAGGGTGAAGTCTAGACTCTGACATGCCCTGAGTGAAACCCCGAGTGAATCGATTACTCAGGGCTACGTGGTTGATGCACGACTCATCAGCCCTGCCAAAATGGAGGTGTTTGTCTCCCAATCTCTCGACATAATCCGATCAACAGCATGGACGTACAATCGTTTCTCTGTCGGCTTCCTGACAGCCTCGGCCTGGTCGGTTGGCTCACGGCGGGGTTCGTTGCTATATTCGCTCTCCAGCTCGGTCGGGCCTGGTGGCGACTACGACACATTCCTGGTCCCTTTCTGGCTTCTCTTACCAACTTGTATCGTATGAGCTGGGTTCCAACTACACGGGCGCATCTCATTTTGCAAGATGTACATAAGAAGTATGGAGAGGTGGTTCGTATCGGGCCCAATATGGTCTCGTTCAGTAATCCGGAAGCGATTCCCACGGTCTATCCCATGCGCGCCGGGTTGCCAAAGGTATACTTTGTCTCGTCTGGCCTCTCTATATCTCCCCCTTTGAATCCCAGACGGTCGGCTGATTTGGAAATATCTAAACCCACTAGAGCGATTTCTACGTGACTTTGCGCCCGTATACCAGGCATGGTGGCGCATTACACGCCGTCTTCAACACCACTGAAGAGCACATTCTCAAGCAAATCAAGACCCCCATTGCCCCGATCTTCAACATTACCAACACTACTACCGTTGAGCCACTTGTAGATGAAGTGTTACAATGTATCCGTGATAGGTTTGATCAACGCTTTGCCGCCACGGAGCAGATCTTTGACATGGGACAATGGCTGCAATTCTTCGCGTTCGACGTCATGGGCACCATGACATTTTCCAAGCGATATGGATTTCTGGATGAGGGGAGGGATGTGGGCGGAATGTTGGGAACAATTGTTGATTTCATGAGGACCTCTGCCCCGGTGAGATTTCATGCTAAACTCCCGTCTGGATCCGGCGTCCCGTACAACCCTCGAACTGACGCAAAGAGATACATAGATGACACAGTCGCCCATGTTAGACAGAATCCTACGGAAGAACATCATTGCCGACACCTTCTGGCAAGCCGTCCGGGGGACCGCGTCACTCTCCATCCTAGGCTTCGTCGGGCAGGCTATCAAAGAAAAGAAAGAAAAATTAGAAAACGGTGACGCCAAAACAGACGACCGCCATACGGATTTCCTGACGCGCTACATCCACCTACAAAAGAATAATCCAGAGATTCCGGCCTGGGCGCCGACAGCCTGGACATTCTCCAACGTCATTGCCGGCTCCGATTCGGTCGGCACTGTCATGCGTACCCTCTTATTCCATCTCTTAGTCTATCCAAACACCCTTGAAAAGCTGTATGAGGAGCTAAAAGCCGCGAGTCTCTCCCATCCCTTTCCTCGGTACAACGAGGTGCGCGATCTGCCCTACCTTGACGCCTGTGTGCAGGAAGCAGTCCGGATCCACCCGCCCTTCGCCTTACCGTTTGAACGGGTCGTGCCTAAAGGTGGCGTCACAGTGCTTGGGCATTATCTCCCTGAGGGGACGGTCGTTGGAGGAAACCCGTATGTTGTGAATCGGGATCCGAATATGTTCGGCGAGGATGCGGAGTTTTGGCGGCCGGAGCGATGGCTCGAGGGGGATATCTCCCACAAAAGAAAGTTAGAAGGAAGTGTCCTTACGGTACGTACTATGCCATATGACTTCCCCATTGTTCTGTGGGCTAATTGTGCCGTAGTTTGGTGCCGGCCGACGGATCTGTCTCGGACGACATGTGGGCATCTTGGAAATCAAAAAGCTCATCCCGTTCTTGGTTATGACATACGATGCAAGTTTCCCCCCTCATCCCAAGGTTATGAGCACAGTTACTGACCAAGAGAAGATGCGGGTTGTGGACCGAGAGAAATTCGAAGTGGAGAATTCCTGGTTCTTCTTCCAGAGAGGCTTCTATGCTCAAATTCAGAAACGCACCGAAGCAGCATAAACTTGTCTATCGAGCCCCTGACTATCAGCAACGTTGCTTTGATAACGCTGTGCTCCGTTTCTTATCATGCTTAGTATTCGATTAGACTTCGTTCATTAGCCATGAGAAATATAAAAATGCATATTCCACATTGGTTCAGTTCTTGACATCATAGCTTAGTCTCATTATGTCGGATAGAACAATGAATCTCAATTTCTTGTTGCGCAACCGCTGTAAAGCGCGTGAGCATTTATGCCACAGAACCTAGTCACTGTCAGAGTTTTGCTTGCTCAGCAAGTCTCAATGTACCTCTTGCAGGGCCGGCTCTACTCTCGTCGTGGATCCGACATATTGAAAGCACTGGCTCTCGCGGCCCACCATTGCTTTGCTGGGTGCGTCGCGCTTTGGTGTCTGGCGGTAGGATTCACAACCATTGGTGATTGACATTGTGTCCTTCCTGTGATTCTAAAGTATAACGACCAAAATGGTCACGCTGGCTATGAGACTACTCCATTGCGAGTTCAAGACAACGATGGCATTAGCTAGGTAGGTGAACCATGACTTAATCCTTCTGTGCACTTCTAACTAGCCCCAGTTGTCGGAATATCGAAGACATACGACGCATGTACCCATACCATGGCTCACATTTGGTGGAACTACTTTCTTTGTCAGTTAGTCGGTACTTCTGTCTGCCTCGTATCTAATCTAGCATTAGTTTAGTGCGCATTTTTAGTGCTTATCGGGGGACTCGGAAAAGAAGACAGTCCTGTCCTCTCGGATGCTCTTTGGTTCCCTTTACCGTCCGAGTGGAGTGTACACTCTACAGACATATAAGCCTCCTCGGTACCATGCCTGCCACGCTCTGACAAACCTAGCAAACTCTTTCTGTTCTGAAATGCCGTCCAGCCCGAAAACCATTCTTATTACCGGCGGCTCCGCCCACGGGATAGGAGCGACTCTGGGCCTCGAGCTTGCCCGGCAAGGTCACTATATCTTCGCCACGGCCCACTCCATCACGAAAGTTCCCGAGAGTCTGACCTCGTTGGCGAACGTCCAAGTGCTGTCGTTAGATGTGACGGACCCCACCTCAATTTCCGACGCTGCACGCGTGGTGAGGGGGCATAGCCATGGCCTTCATATTCTCGTCAACAACGCCGGGATAGGGTATACTATGCCTCTCCTGGATGCTGACCTTGATCGGGCGAAGCAAGTATATGAGGCGAACGTGTGGGGACTGCTACGGCTGATCCAGGCATGTAGTGACATGCTCATCAGGTCCAAGGGGACGCATTGTTAATATAAGCAGTGTGGGCGCCGTGGTGAATACTCCCTGGATTGGTAATTATTGTTTTCTTCCTCTTTTTATATTCTGTTCTTCCGTCGGAGACTTGTTGGTGGTATTGAACCCAACTAACAAAGAATAGGCATCTATTCCTCATCCAAGGCTGCGGTCACACAGCTGTCCGAGACACTTCGCCTAGAGCTAGCCCCGTTGGGTGTTGCTGTGGTATGCCTAATGGCGGGCACCATCACCACCGCGTTTCATGCGAATGAGCCCGAGGTGGTCCTACTGCCAATGTGACAATATGCAGCTATCCGACAGACCATCTCGGACTGGGGAACCGGAAGAGTCGGCCCCAAAGGTTGCTCGGCCGATGAGTTCGCCGCCTCCATTGTCGATGATGTCCTGGGAAGCACGAGTAGGCTGGTGTGGAAGGGGCCCTATAGTCCTGCTGTGAGATTTCTTTCTCACTGGTGTCCTTTGTGGTTGTTGGTTTGTTTGTCCTGAATTTCCCTGTTGAGACTATGTCCTACATATTCAGTTCATTGGTCGTGCTAACTGGAGCTTCAGGATCGGATGATGAGTAGTGGACAGGGGCTGGACGAGCTGGCTCCGAACAGGGGCCAGGCTTGAGAGACACCGGTGCTAGAGACTTACCCATCCTGGGGCACCATGTGAATATGAAGACAATGGATGATCTAACACAGGCTGTGCTAATATCAGAAGTTAGCTGTTCAAAAGACAAAAGACATAGCTCTACCTCCTGCCCACTTTAATCCGCGGTTCAACTGCATTTTAACATCGAGTAATGTACCTACTGTAGATCATTACGCTTTCGCAATTTGAAGTACTACGCAGGGAAGTCGTACCGCTAGAATCGACAGAATTCCAATCGTACTGTATGGGTACTATGGTGCTGACCACCCTCGGGACAGGCTTGGTTGGGTAAACCTTTTGTTTATTGTACCGACAGTATTCAAGTCTTAGACATACATAAATTTGAGTATGCGTTCAACATTGTGCCGTCCCTCCGTGTCAGGCTCCAGTTTAGCAATCCCCCCATTATTCTGCAACCATCCGACATACTCCATAGTTTGAAGGTCATAAAAGTCCATCCGAACCATATCGTGCGATCCAATTCTCTCCGCTCGCATGGAAGTGCCCAAGTCCTCAGTCCAGGCGAGGTCCTGCCTATCAGCAGGATGTCCTTTGCCTTCGCGTAACTTGGTGAACTTTACGAGCACATTCGGCTCTTCATTCTTGCCAGCATATAAGACATTCTCATTCTGGTAGTGCTCTGCTTTCGTAGTCCGCCGAACGGCATAGAAAGTGCTTTCCTGTGTGCTTTTGTCCCGGACAGAGAAGCGCATGGGATACATGGTTCCGAATTTGAACTATCAACCTGTTAGCCTTCGCATTCTCTGTTCATTCTTGCTCGATAGTGAGCTCCAAGCAAAGTATCACTTACCCGGGGGGTGGTTCCATCTGTACCTTCCCACACCATTTGGTTCTTGAGTGCAATGATCTCGCGGCTGCTGGCCACATGTTCTTCGCCAGAATGGGATTTGTTCAGTACATGGCGGGTGGCCCGTCTCGAAAAGTTCCCCCCTCCAGCCTCGGGTCGTTCAAGGACGTCCACTGTGAAACTTGTTAGTTCTTTTGCCTGTTGGTGGCCGTACGATAGAATTTCATCACTGACCATTGCCGACCATTCCCAGGTATGGCGCTGCCTGGTGGGGTGACTCCGTTTTGAGGATCTTGAATTGCACATTGGCGAAGTAGATGTCCTCAAATCGCCGGGGAATGTCTTCCCAGCCCTTCATCTTGCCAATAAGCTGAACAATATCGACCATTCCAATTTGCTACTTGAATTAGACATCTCCTTCTCAAGCCGTTTGTGTTCTTCAAGATACACTCACATTCATCACCCGCCAATTGTAGAAGGAGTGAACCGTAGGGCACCAAGCAGGGGGGCTGTACACGAAGTGTCCTATCAGTGGTTGCTCTCCGGTAGGGTTATGGGCATCAACAAGGGACTCACTTATTGCACAGCAAGGTGTCTCCGCCATCTGCGTGCCATGTGATCGAGTGATTTGAGCTACTGTGAGACTTTTCTGTCTTGGAGTTATTGGTCGTCTCATGGCTGGCACTCACGGAAGCCTGAAATCCAAAGCCTGAGACGGAGGCACTGGCAGCTGCCTTGAGCGCGGACGACTTCTCTTCAGTACTAGCACCGGCGATACTCGAAGTAGATTCTACTGAATGAAGCCGACCACCCAGTTGTACACGAGGGACAAAAACATGTCCTAGAATACATAAGCATCGTACATATATCTTTACTGAGCAAGGGGATGATTGAAAACTAATCAAACTTCTGGAAGAAAATGTCTGCGTCTTCCTTCTTTGCCTTTGGGTCTCGAATATTCTCCAGGTACTTCTTGCATTCTGCGGTCACTTCGAGGTCATCAACATCAAAGAAAATCTCGACCCGGGGAAACTAAACAGCAAGTTAGATCTTCTACGCCTCCAAGCAGATATAGTAAAATTCTCACCAAGTAGGCCACATGCAGACGGCTTTCGTCCTTGGAGGACGACTGTGCAAAAGAGCTAGAGTCAGACGTTGTGGCACCGGCTTTCACTCCAACGCTAATACCGAACGCTCCGCCGCCTCTGTCCCCGTTGCTGAATTAGTTATTGCACTGACGAAAAGATGGTTCAACTGGTACTGACGCGGAGGCTTCGACCGTTGTCTGACTGAAAGCATTGGATGCCATTGAATCAGCAATTGAACTCTTGGTCTCGAACACTTCAACCCTGGAGCTATCGCAGATCTGAAAACGTGGGATACGAAATTTGATCTAGGACGATTAGCCTTGTTGTACGGATGAAGTCTTGGTGCTAAGTGGCCGGGACATACTTCAGGCTTCTTCATATCGCCAGGCACATCTTTAGGAACCTCAAAAGTGACATTGTAGTCTGGAATGGCTCTTTCCTTCAGGGCAAATGCTGGTCGAGGAAAATGGTTAGGTCAATAAACTGCACTGCATCTGCACCAATAAAGCGACCTTGACCCACCGGTATATCTGGCTCGACGGATGCTGGTAGGGACAGCTAATTTATCATTCGTACCCCCTCCTTCGAAAAATTTACCGTTGAGAAGGTCGTTGTTTCGCATCACAATTCCCCATTGCCGCTCATCCATATCCGCCGCGTGACTTGACCCATCGGTTAGACTGGCGTGGTAAGAGTGAGAGAACCACTTACGTGTCTACCTTGCCAGCGGAAGCCTTCCACTCGTCCTTTTTGATTGAAGATGTCAACTTGTTCAGAGAAGGATTCAGGAAGGGCATTTGCTGGGACTGTGGTGACATTAGCAAAATGATCAAAGGGGTTATTGATCAAGACCTAGTACTGTTTTGAGGTCGAGCCCTTCCTTCAGAAAGGCAGCTGTGCCAGCGTCCATGCCTGTCCAAATAGATTCCACCTCGCCCGGCGCTATCAAGTAAACGTTGAACGAATCCTGAATTTATCAGCTTCCTGAGGTGGCAACAGTCACGGAGCAACCCCTACAGCCGCCGATTCCCCGTTTAGGTTGGCGTAAACGTCAAAGGTGGTGTCGTCTGGGACATCGGCACCATCTTTGTCACAGAACATCTGGTTTACACTATGCATAAGTTAGAGGAATTTGCATAGTGATTAAAATGGGTAGTCTCCAACCTACTATTCCTTCGGCAGCCGCTTGTTTTGGATTAAGTACCATCGCAAATGCTGTAGTGCCGCTTCCTGGAAGGTTTTCGGAACTATAGCCCTTGATGTTGGAGTGGCCCCCCTCGACTTGAGATCGTATTTTTGGAGGGTAAGAATAACTATCGAGACACTTTGGTCAGTCACGATGAACCGAGCGAACGGACGGGCTGTCCTACTATCAGGTTCACCCATTGTGGTTGAGTTTTCGCGTGCACACCGGCAGATTTCAAGATAAGACTCAGGAAGTGCGGTTTCCTAAAAGGCCAGCGAGAAGCAAAACCGTAGATTTGGTTTGGGGAAGATACATGGTGTCTTAAGTACGGGCAAGATCGCTGGCAAGAATCGTACATGAACACCTAGTTTACCTCAGTATCCTCAACGGATTTCTGTGACTAGCTCCATCTGGTAATGATCCTCGCCAGCTGAGCATAATTTCAGCCAGCTGTGCTCATCAACTCTTCATATGCCCAATCGTTCCACCCCACGTCTTGCCTGCATGGGTCTCTGCATACTCAGAGAGGCGGGGTGAAACCTTTGGGACTGATCATCGTCATGTTCATCACGCAACGAAACACGCCTCGACCATCGAAGGACGAAGGAGCCAGGTTGACAATACGACAAGCCAGCGTTCTTAAGGAATGTAGGTGACATGGTCAGCTGCAATGGCGATGAACTCAGATGCACTGGAAGCACAATCGACTGAGGTTTGCGCTCTTGGTTCATGTTGTGGGGCTGGCGGGGACGGATCGGCAATGACGTAGCTATCTACTAGCTGCGAATCATTACTGAATAGGCGAGTTTTGGTATTCGCTAGAATCGCTACGTGGTGTTCTATGCCGAGAACTAAAGGTCCACAACTGATGGAAGATCAAGCCATTGGTTCGTCCTACCGCATCTAGTGAGCTACTCCAGAGTACGTAGTCTGAAAAGGGAGCGTAGGCTAGCCAACTAGCCGGTATGTTAGCGGTCCCGTACTTGGGTTGAATGTGCAGACGAATTATATGGTTCTTGGAGATCTACACGCTGTTGTATATATGAGCCTCAGGAGTATTTTCGTCTGGTGCTGCTAATAGTTAATTAGTTATACAGAACATACATGTATATGACTAAGCAATACATGCAGGATACCAGAAGGGGTCTTTTACAACCACGCCCTTGATATTCATTCATCACAGCCTGTACTGCTCCTGGGTCAACTAAACACTAGTCCCTCCGTTCTAGCAGCTGTCTCCCCGGACAATCACATTCCAGTTGTCCGAATGGAAGTCCTGGCCGGAGAGCTTCACACCTCCTCTTTGGCAATTGTTGAGGATGACCTGTGCTCCATCCGCGATATTGTTGAAGCTGGGGAGGGTCTTCGTGAATGTGTTCTATTCAACACGTCAGTACGTCTCTTCGATATACTCTAGTACGAGTCTCACATCATTGCACCACCAGATGGCAGCGCCCCACGAGCAGCTCACTCGTCCACAGTTTCCAGGTCCAGGTCCGTTGGACGGCTGTCCAGAGACCCCCCGCAAGTGTTTGATACCGGCTTCGATGTCACCCCGTCGTGCCTTTGGCCAATTGTTGCACTTGATGTCGTCCCGTTTGCCAAATGCCGTCACCTCCCTCTTGTCCAACACTGTGGCAAAGTCATCGTCGTAGTTGGGGTTGATCTCTAACAGCTGCGCGTGGACTTGCTGGACTGTTCCATTGAGGATGACCTTGGGTCCTCCTGGAGCCGTCTCAACCTCCCAGGACGGCTCCTGAACACCATACCCAGGGATCGGAGACTCATCTAGCGCCTTCGCCTGCAAAGAAGTGTTAGGAAACAGTCTAAGCTACCGTGCTCTTACCAATTCGAAGGACGTACGGCTGCCACAAATCCCGCGGCAAGGATAGAAGCCAACTGTGTGAATTTCATGGTAGCGACGAGATATCTTGTCTCGACCACCAGTTGAAAAAAGGAATAATGAAGAATTCCGTTGAATCAATCCACAGATGTGAGTCAACGGCCTCCCTTTTATATTTGGTCCATTGCTATCTGATGTAAATTTTTGTTGTTCATCCAGCTCCACTGGAATTCCTGAGAACCCAACATGGCTTCTTCTCAAGACACTCTGGATCCATTTACTCGCCCCCAAAATGACTAACAAAGAATCCTGAGCAAGTAATTGGAGGCCAATATATGACATCCAAGACATGTAGCTGGTAGATCCACATAAGCCTCATCGAATGGAACTGGACATTTCCACGACGACGTTGCTCATGTCAGCCCTGGAATGAAGTGGACGACCATACTCCAGAAAATTCAAAAACTACCTACCGCTCATGGTGGGAACCTTTACTCCATGCGAGCATGGGACTATCTGACTGAGTCCAGCGGCCATGCCTTGGGAATCAAGAGATTTCCCCAAAGTCTCCTCCCAAACCTTGCGCCGCCAATTCTGTGAAGGTCTGGACAGAGTGCCGCATATGCTCCACCAAATATAAGAGGATTCACAGTCAACCGCCAAGATGCACCAGGCGGCGGAATATACCAATGTGGACATTTCCTCGCACAATCTCCGGTTTCCTGTGGGTTGATTCTGCAACAATATTGCTGCAAGTGGGGCATTTGGGAAATCCTGTTCGCCGACATTGTGCCGGAACGGATCTCGAATTATCCAGGAACCCTGACTCTGTTGATCCAGCCATACACACTGGGGCATGTTTTCACAGCGCCCCGCTAAGGCTGTAATTGCATGATAATGGAGGTTGCTCAGGAGGTTTTTTGCTGAAGATGACCCACTTACGGAGTCCTCCCGGCCCCCAAATCGCCAAGTGGGCTGCACGCTAACATGGAAACTATTTGTCTTTAGTTTCTTCTTTCCTCGCCGTCAGCTCTACGAGCTGCGAGGGAACTTAACAAATGGGCTAGATCGAAATTTGAAAAGTCTAGCTGGTTGAGTGCTATCCAGGGAAGAGTGAGGTATTGGTAGTGGGCCGAATTTCCAGGAAATTATCAGGTCCAGACATAAAATGTTAAATTATAGTGCACAATATCATCTCGGTTTAATTATTAGGAAACTGGATAGTAAAGTATTCGACTGGTGATTGTGTCCAATGACAGACGTCTAGGTAGGTATAGTACCCACAAGACGCTGATATTCGTTGGCGCCGTCTTAATGCAGAAGATTATGGCCAGAATCTGCGATCGGACCGAATTGTTGCCACTGTCAGTCATCTCCAGATGCATGAAAATAGGGACATCGGGATGATATACCTGGGAATGAGGTATCATACTTCCTCTCGTTGGTTTTCCCAAGGTGATCATAGGGCTTCCGCTAAGGTGGAGCAGCAGCCAGCCAATCAAACCCACTATGTTTGCTTGCAAATTGGAAGATTGCCCTCGACTGTAGCGCTTAAAAACCTTCAAGAATCATGTTATGTCGTTTTGCGGCACGCATCCAGTATGCCACGCTCGTAATTCCCCTCAGCGGAACGTGTCACAGATTCGTTGTAACAGCTGTTTGACATCCTCTTCAGGGAAATAGCATAGTAGTCCCTCCATCACCACAAGCACTGGTCCGTCAGTGGGAATTCCATGCATCCAATTCTCATGGAGAACGTCAACTCCTAGTGCAGAGTAATCTCAACCAAGAAAGGATGTAGGTTGAACCTTTCTTCCTAGCGCAATGACGTCAGGAAGGTCAATATCAGCCCCCCGAGTGTTTTCACACTATTTCACACGGTCTATCCGGCTATCCAGGCCACGTGCTAGATGCAGAACAGTGGTGTCCGGATTATGCTTCAGGAAATCCGAAGTCAATCGGTCGAAATGGCTCGTTCGAAGAGCGATGCTCGCCATCTGGTTTGGTGTCATAGTCATCTTCGTGACATCGAATTTAAGCCGCTCTGGTGCATCTTTAGTGTATGGATCGCCGAGACTGGGTCGAGCGGTGGAGAATTCATAGGCTTGGGCAATCAGAGTAATGAGGAGGGTCTGCGCAACGCCGCTGAGATCAACCTTTGCCCCCTCGACTACCCTATCCTGTTCGCCCGACGGCGAAACATTCTCACTTGTGCTGTTACTCGGATCATCATCTGTTTGTATGGCCGTCTTTGTCTGCCATACAGCAGCTTCTCACTCTAGACTGACTAGCTCAGCCTATCCTTATGGGGCATTCTGCGACAGACAGTTTGATCATAAGATGTTATTATGCGACCATCAGGGTCATGACAAGGTATGGTCTGGTAATGACCGAGTTCCCAGCATCCACAAGCTTAAGTACTCTGGTGGGTTCAGGTGGCAGTGCACCGAGTGGGTCTATTGAGTCCGTGAGGAGTTTGACGAGCTGTTCTTTGCGGAGAGTGATGCAGCTTTAGGATTATTGAACGGATATTACTCGCTTAAGACAGCACAGACCAGGATTTATTAGTGCCAATATTACTGTTATGATTCACAGGTTGCGGTACGTATTTTAGCCCACCCTTAACCTCCAATTCTTGTTCAACATTAACTCTAGCCACGTCATATGTGTCAATCCAGCATCGTGAACTTCCCATAACTCTTCCAGGAGCTCGAGAACCCACAGTGTGGGCACTAAGCGATTCGTCGAGTATACCTCTTTGAGCCTTTGCCTGATCTGATTGCGCTGAAAGGTGTCAAGTGATGTCATTTCTGCACCAGCACTCAACAGTGGTACGGCCTGGATGTTCACATAAGGTGAATTGGACTTGATTTGCAATATAAGCTCAACGATCTCAATTGCGAGCTGGTGTATGTAATTTTCTGTCTGGGTCAGTTTTTGGCTGCTAGGTTGACAGACCCCAGGGGTTCCGCAGAAGCGGTACAGCAGGAGAAGACCATGTTTGCGGAAGGCTTCAGTGAGTGACTTGGCCATCGCGTCGGTTTCAATGGATTCGTATTCGTTCAGACGCTCCTCGGAATAAAGTTCAAAGACGAGGTCACGACCACCACCGTCCACGATCACTCGGCAGTACCGACCGACCTGTCCGAGGAGATGATAGAGGTCTATCGAGTGAGTGGTAATAGGGTGAAACGTATGACGAGCTTGCTTCACGTATGTCTCAAGTGAGCTGTCCCGTTCAATAGGATGATCTACGGGGTCCAAGCAAAAGGCACAAGCCATATCCCAGTAGACATAAATCCCCATGGTGAGGTGATCTAACTCCTCGTTGTTCGCATCCCTCTGCTTCAAGATCATGTCCGCTACCGCTGGTGCGGCGAGAAGGTGCTCCCTTCCATAGTCCGTGGGGTCCATTGCCATCCACGACGAGGACATGCCGAGCATCAGGAGGGTAAGAAAGCACTGTGATAAAGAGCTGCTGCGGGTTTGGAGTTCCTGTCGCAACGCCGAAAGTGCCTGACCTCGTTTTGCCAGGCTCACTGACATTTGAGGCTGGTGGAAATATGCTTCCTGTGCTGCACTGGCGGACTGAAGAAAGTGGGCCAGAGACGGAGAACTAGCCACATATTTGAGGATAGGGAATGAAAAAGGGTTGTTGCTGGAATCGACAGACAGCATCTGACTGGTTGCCTCAAGCCAGTAGCGCATTAGCCGTGCATCAACGTTGGTGTCTGCGATTGGCGCCAGGGAGATGGTTTTCACGGGGGAATCCGCCAGCCACGGAACTTCGACCTGCCATTGAGCGGTGCGTAAGGTGGGCTGGCAGACGGACCCTCGCCGCTGGCAGCGCTGACACACAGGAAACGTCTCATCGCACTTGACTTTTCGTTGTCGACATTCGCGGCAGCCCGAGCGGCTCCTCTGTCGCGTGGGTAAGGACTCTAGCGTATCGAGGGGACGGGATCCGATGACCGACTCGGACCTGACAGTATTCCGGCAAGGTTCGCCTGTTGAGGCGAATCGGACTCGGTAGACTGTCATGGAAGGGCGACAAATCTATGAAATTCTTCTGCGTTGCCCTGGCAATGAATGCCTGGCCTGGACAGGCTGGGATCACCGGTGGTGTTTTTTGATGATGAGAACGGCGGTGCGACTGACTTTTTGAATTATGATAATTAGGGTTCCCCGCAATGCGGGGTCATGTTATCCAGGACTGACCCAGGAAACGACCTTTACCAGCTAAGCTGGACACTGACAAAACACCAAATTTCCAAGAGCAAAGAGCAATTAAATCGACTAACCAAAGAGGTTTGATGTTACCCCCACTTGCCTCTTTTGGCCATTAAGCGAGAGGCTCCACTTTGGCTTGTCGATGGTCTTGCGCCAACCCTGTTATCTCTCTCTCTGTGTGCAAACCCTACGAAAGATTGGAGAAAGATTGGAGAAAGATTGGTCACTTGCAGTTGTCATAATCGGCTCGCTATACAGAGTTGGAATTGTCTGCACAAGACCAGGCAGCCGAGCCGCTGGACTCTTTATAACTATCAATGACTTCCACAACGGAGCCATAAGTCCCGGCCACCATGAGAAATGTTCCCGAAAGGATGACAAATAGACTCCAAGCGAGCATAAAATACCAGCGTAAAGTCCGTTCCCGCTTGTTCCCTTTCCAATTATCGTACAGCCACATACAACCCATAGGCTGGAACGACATCAATGTACCGAACAGCGCACCAACAAGGGATACTAGGCTATTAAAGACAGGTATAGCGCTGGCGATAATATAGGCGATAAGAGTCGCTCCCAATGTGCAGCCAAGCCAAGTAGCCCAATGCTGAAAAGTATTCGCGGTCAAATGTTCACTGCCTTGAAGCAGGCGGACGAAAATGTACTTGCTCGACACCTTCTCGCGAGCGAATTAGATCAAAACACCAAACATTCCATGTACGGAATACTCACATGAGAAAGAATGATTGTCGACGCGAGAAGACCAGGGATGGCTATTCCGTATGTCACTTTCTTCATAAGAACTCCAGCAGACCCGAGAGCCGGCGACGCGACATATGACCCGCAGAAATAGTATACTACCACACCGATGCTAAGATATGTGCCGGTCACAACGGTCTGGCATATAGTCAGTGACCTAGCATAATGTTTAGGGTCGCGCATTTCGGCTACAATCGCAAAGAACGCGCTAGTGCCCGAGTACGCGAATACCAAAGTGGAGATTGCTGAAGCAGCTTCTAAGAACGATGGCTTCTTGAACAGCTCGTAGTCAGATTTCCATGGGCCCTCCAGTGGTGCACTTGCGGGTCTATCTTGGATTCCAACAGCAATAGTAAGGGTAATGACTGCAACGGTGTTAGTGAGATCATCATATGGCTCTACTTGCAGCTTACTGGCTCCCAAGATACTGAAAAGGCCGATCCAGGCAATCCAGCTGATGCGGCCCAGTGTACGAATGCTGGTCAAGCAGAATGTTACAATGGCGGCAACGGCCACAAAGACTGATGTGCAGGTTCCGTGCATGGATATCGCATTCAACGCTATTGAAATACTGAGCAGCCCCGAACCCGAAACGAAAATCCAGTCTGATCCAGCATTAGTGGGTATCAACTCAGCCGTGTCTACTAACAGGAAATGTAGATTCTCACAAATGCAGAATGTGGTCCCCAAAAACACTCGTCCGGTAACACCGAAAAGCTTGTAGCCGACATCATCGATAGCATAAACCTCTGGATGATTGAGCTTAAATGTCCCGACCACAAACATCGACCAAATGGTGATTGCTGCGACGGCCAAGAGACATAGCACTCCGGGTATGAGACCTAAAACGTCAAAGGCAGCAGGAATGGATAGGACTCCGAGCCCAATCATCGTCTTCGTCATGAGAATCGAAGTGGCAAACCATCCTAGCTAGAGGGGCATTAGCTGGTTTGCGAAGACGTGAGTTTTCACCAATATATACTCACACCGCGATAGTTAGGGCCATTGTCTGTCATTTCCCCGAACACAGCATCGGTGATTGTGTCACGCACAGAGGCGGCTCCTGAAGGAGAGCCTCCAAGGCACTCCATATCTTTCACCTCCATTTCGCTAGGTATGCGTAGATCCAACGCAGACACAACACCAGTGGTACAAGGGAGATATGGGGGGGGGGGGGGAGAATGAAGTGGACTCGTCCTGGAAGCAATTGGCCATGGTGGTCTCCACGAAGCTTTTTAAGTCTTTCTCAACATAGTTCTGGGCGTATTGGCAGGATGGTCTCGAGACGGGCTAGTTCCGGAGAAGACGTGATCAGAACAGTATCCCCGCACGTCCTATAAAATTCATAGGAATAGCCTTATCCATAATCTCCACACGAGAACTCCAGGATCGAGGCTGCGGATGTACCTAAACTTTGCCACTTTCCTAATCGATCGATTTACCGAGCCCCACTTGCATAACGCTGATATGGCTCTGGTTTTACCAACCTTCGCGTAGGAGCATCGCCTTATTTTAGGACATCTGGGTCCGTCCTGCTGACCGATGTGACTACGGATGTTGTACCGAAGGGTTCTAGGTTAAGGAGTGAGCGTGATCTATTTCACTAGATGCCTGCGTTAGGCCAGTCCTATCGATAGGCCTGTTAACAGAGCATTGCCCCGATCGAAAGCCAAGTCCACCTACCTTGTTTTCGCTCATCGTGACTTCTCAAGCCCGAAATACTGCACAAACAAAGTAGTGCCCCTTGATCGATATGGGGGCATTACGAACTACGCACCCGAACAATGATATCTGACAAGCCCAGAGCAACTGGATATGCGGATCAACGACATTATCGTCTTTAGCTAGAGTGAAGACTATGCCCATGGCACCTACACAATGCCTCATGGGCGGGGGGTTTGCCCAGGCCAACCGTCTATTGTTGTTCGGATTCGCACCGATGATCGGCATGAAGGCTCGGCTGAAACAGTACCCCTGGGGAGCGACTACTTGCCAAGCTCTTTCACTGGAGCGCTTGCTGCATTGAAATGATTGGATCTAATGGTGCTGGGGTTAGGTCCATGCTCCCCGGCGGTTGTCAATGCAGCTATGGACCGTGTCATGATGCCAGGTATGGCTGCTAAGGCAGTTCTGGATGGCCCGTTGGGATATTTTGGTCAAGGCGATGCAGCTGCCTACGGCCACTTTGCTTGGTGGGCGCTTGTCGGACGATCTGGTACCTTTCTCCGTGGTTGGCGTTGGTGACCCTATGATGGGCGTTGCAAAAGCACGCGGTGAACTTAAAAAGGGACTCAAAGCCATGCAGCTGAAAGTTGAAGACAGACCCGCTTAGCGCCGTGCCACTCGAACAACCATGCAGACTTCTATCGGAATGTGCAGAAGTCGGTCAGCGTACCGGGTTACTTATTGCTCTTGATGAGGTATCGTCACCATGGCACATCTTGTTACGGCCTATACTGCAGGAATCGCAGGTGCTAACATCAAGGTCTCCCGGGTTGGCGGATTCACTAAAGCACGATTATTGCGCGATGCAGCTGTTGCGCTTGATATGATGGTGGCCATCGACGACACGTGGGGGTGTGCGCTACCAACGGCGCAAAATATCCGAATGGCGGCTTCTACACCCCCTAACAGACTACGTGCAGTTGATGTTTTCGCGGAGTGGACATCCCCAGCGCTCACTGAGAATCCGAGAATGAAATCGCATGGTCTAATCACCCACCCGAGCTTGCCCGGTACTCGATTTGGGACCATCATTGTAGACATACTGGGTGAGCCTTTGTTTTACATCAAGGCATAGGCTATTTCTACCTACATCCTGTAGTACCTCACGTTGCCTCAGCTCGGTTTAATCATATGAAAATACACGCGGGAGTGTTGCTATTAGCCTAATCTTTCGAAACGGGAGTCAAATATAGTTTTGTATGCACCAAGACGAGCAGTAGTGGATTGAAGAATTGATATAAGTAGTAGACCGATATAGAAATAATGTCGCTTATCCCAACCATCAAAGGCATAGAAGCAAATGTTCAAGGAAGTCTATACAGTTCGCTTCCAGTGTTACAGATGCCACATCCAACCGACGTTCGGAACCAGATGCCGGGGACTAAACCAGCAGACTCCCGCTCATGGTGGCGATTCGGACTCATCTCCACTTGGCTTTACATTTTCCCCGCACACTAGATAGACCAAGCGTATCCACGCCTACATTTTGACCCTGCGAGATAGGTAGTCAGCAGAGTAAATAGCTCGGCTCTCTCCCGGGGGTGGTCGCATAATCTTGACCCATCCAACTTCAGGTGTATCCTTGCGCATTCCTAAAACGGAAGATAAGCGAGGCAGTCCCTTTATCTCCTGGCACATGGGCGTTTTGGGCTTTTTTGTACATTCCTGCTCATGGGAGAGATACTCGGTCCAGCCCCCGATAGGTGTTTCCCCGAATTACAAGGTGATGCACCAGTGCCCGCATGTGACCATCGTGGCGATTATAAAGCGCAATGTTGTCTCGCTGTACCATGCTCCTATAACTAGTTTTCTACATAGATCAAGCAGGTAGTGTGCAACCAGAATGGCTCAGATAACCATCGTTGGGGCGGGGTATGTGAGTTCCCTCATATTCAGATTTCCATGGCTGACGGACGGCGATGTTTTTCACTCGCAGGATTATTGGCATGGCAACTGCCTCCATTCTCTCACGAAACCATAAAGTCACAATCGTTGCGAGGAACCTCCCCGGTGATCAGCCAACAATTGAATGGACCAGCCCATGGGCCGGTGTCAGCTTCATTGCTGGAGGTTGCGCTTCTGCTCGCGAAGCCAAAATGCAACTCGATGCATTTGCTGAGCTGTGGCGCTGGAGCATTGCTTACCCGGACTCGAGCATTAAACAGATTACCATTGAGGACTTTCACGACGACAAAACAGAGGAGGATATTTGGTGGAAAGATTACATGCCTGAGGTATGCTTGGAGTGATTGTCCAGGTGCATGGACTGAACAACCTCTTCTAGTTCCATTTCCTTCCTCCGGAGACCTTTCCCCAAGGTGCAAAGATTGGAACTTCCTGTGGGTCAAGCACAAATTGAGCGAAATGGACTGAACTAATATCAACATCAGACAAGTCTCTCATTCTCAGGCCTGACATCTTCCTCCCTTGGTTCAGGAACAAGCTAGAAAAGTCAGGTGTACAGTTTAAACGGATGGAGCTCAAGTCTTTGTCAGACGCCCGTGGACTCGGTCATGATATCTTGATTAATGCTACCGGATTTGGGTCACTCACGCTGCACGATGTTCAGGATCAGGATCTCGAGATGGTCCGAGGCCAGACTGTCATTGTGAAGAGCAGCTACAATAAACTGTTCATGCATGATACCGGCGAAACATACACCTATGCCATCCCTCGCTTAGACGGGACGGTAGTGTTAGGTGGCACAAGGCAAAAGGATTCAGTGTAAGACCCGCTAATCTAATTTTTCCGCTTGTGTCGTTCATCGCTACTCACATATATACCACAGCTCTCCCGACGTGGACTGGGACCTTGTGCGGGATGTAAGCATACTTCCGGCTCCTTTCTGGAGGAATGTTGACTTGAAATACAGATTTTCAAACGGATCAATCAGCATTTGCCGCAACACTTCTCAGCAAATCCGAGTGACAATAATATCATTGGACACAATGTGGGCCTTCGCCCGTCTCGAAAGTCTGGTGTCCGCATTGAAAAAGAGCTGCGCGACGGGCAAAAGATAGTTCATGCATACGGTACGTTCCGCACAGTCATATGCGAGTGATCATAGCGCTCAGGATATCTGACACATTATTCTTCAGGTGTTGCGGGAGGTGGTTACATATTCAGCTTTGGAATTGCACGCGCCGTTAGGGATCTCGTAGAGGAATTCCTGTTTCCTTTCCCGGAGGCTAAGCTGTGAGGTGACTCCCTCGATCGTTTCCAAGTTATGTCGAGCAAAAGCGCATGTAAATATCCAACTGAGGTGGTGGTGTTTTATTTTGAACAAGGAAATGAGCAGCGAACTATATATGGTCTACCTATTGCTGCGCCATGTAAATATTTATTACCGGCCGCCTCTTATTCCTACTATCATGGAGGCTATGTCAACCCTCAAGGAGCATGTAAAGCTTGTGGTGCTGTCGGAATATGTACAAGGGATACTCGAATAGCAGTGAAGGGTACATATCAAGTCGTACGGTTAACTTGAATGGTGATCAAATGTGATGATTGTATTATTGCATCCAGCAGACTCTTGAAGGATAGACCAACGTTTCGAATTCGTTTTCATCCCGAGCCCGCTCGCAGTTTAAGAACCAAAATCCGTAACTCCCTCCTTCTGCAAACACTCAACTCACAACTTCTGCTGTCGTTCCTTGGCTAATTTCAAAATAGCATCACTCACAGTCAAGTCAGTCAGACTTACACCAACACTTTTGTAAATGATGAGTCCCTCGGCAACAAAACGGTCTGTCTTTTCGACGGCCATCTCTCTCGTAGACTGCGGGGACAATTTTCCACTCCTCAACGCAAGAATCTCACCCAGCTCAATGACGTCCTTGGCGTTCGTACGACTCTTGACAAGCTCCCCGGAATTCGTGAGGGCAAATTCTCGATCATCGACCAGGATGGCACCATCATCCTTACCGGTGAGAAAGTTATACCCGGCATTGGGTGCGACGGCAAGATTCAATAACTCAGGGTCCAATTCGATCATGTCGGCCTGCCAAGAGCCAATCGCGGAGATCAATGGCTGTCGACTGCCTCTGTTGGTGACATAGCTCGCCGGGAACAGGGGTTTCTTGGATGGCGTCGTGCAGAAGATACAATCGACGTTGCGCAAGCGAAGCTGCAGCTTCTGTTGGAAGTCGGCGGCATTGTTATCGATAAATTCAAAGGAGCAATTGGCGTTCCAGCGCGCGGAGTTCTCCGCAGAGACCGTAGCAATCAACTGCTGGGCTTGGTCTCTCATCGGACTGACATATGTGATGCTCTTCACTTCCGACCCCCTTAGCATGAGGATCAGTCGAGTATGCCACAAGGCTTGCATGCCACTACCGAAGATAATAATGTCGCCCACATGTTTCCTCCATGAGAAGGGAACCATGACATTCATCGAGGTGCGGTAGCCGGTCACTTCTTCGGAGCTCAGGAGCCCCTTCGGATAGCCTTTCCCGTCAACCAGAACAATGACGCCATGTAGAGGGTCCTTCTTGCCATCTGGTCTAGTGGGAGGTTCGACAGTTATTTTGGTCCCAATACCTGTGTCAGATGTGAAGGGCCGGAAGAGGGTGTTTTGCCCGTTGGGACGATTGGCAACGCTTGGCATAGGTTGGTATTGACGTTCACCGTTGACGGAGAAGTCTTCAAACGTTCGCTCCACCACTTGCCGAAACCCAACTGTTTCTGCTTTCGAGAGATTGATCAACAAGCCATGGACCGTGGAGTTATCCAGGATTCGAATCTCGGACATTTCAGACATTTTGTAGTCTTCAGGGTTGGAAAAATGTTGATGAAAAGCGCAGATCACAGAATTCTCTTAGAATAACTGGCGCTGGATAAAGAGAGGAAATGTGAAGCAATTTAAGTGCGGGTTAGAAAGAGGACGGAGCCTCTCAAGGCCCTCGGGGTGCCGAGTTGATAGCCATGAGTGAAGCCATTGTCGACCGGGATGCGACCGGAAAGCCTCCCGACAAACACACCCCAGAGTGCGGTAGCGTATAGCGTAAGATGTGGAAGAGATCCAGATTCCAGTTGACATAAGTAGCGAATTGAGGGAAATCGGGTCCAAGTGGAGCCTCTCGCCTGTTGGCCAAAAAGGGTAAGTTTTGTTGCAGTAGTGTCACGCATCACCGGCAGCGAATCCCGATATTAGGATATCTCCGACATAAAACCTCGCCTTTCCCACCACGGGCCAGCTGCCGATCTGACTCGGTTATCAATGCATTGGATGGCCCATGAATTTTTCCGTCCGAACTGTATTACTAATAGAGCACGTGACTATCATAGATCCACTCTCTTACAGCCTAGATATCAAGCTAGTACTAATACAGTATAATTGAAGGCGGTCAGCTGCTCAGCCAATCAAATATCCAATTCACCGGTGGGAGGATATTCGTTGCAAACCTGAGTCGGTGGTAACCCTACATGCAATCCTGAAGGTACTGCGATGAGTGAGTAGGTGAGACATGATACTGTCGTAGTTAAGCATGGCCAGCGGGGTGAGATCATCATTTGCTTTGTAGTATATTGCAATCACCTAGCACAGGCTACGCCTATCCTCCTCCATTGCACAGAATACTGCCTCCCCTCTTCTCACAAATATATAGTTCGACACCATGTCCCTCATCATAGCTTGTGCTTATCCAACGGTCTGCTTCCAATGCCACTAGAGTCTCTTCGAGCGACCTGAGCCAACATGATCTTGACACCTAGCCCCATTCGTTCTTCTGGAGCTAGTTGAGCAGCAGCCTTACTGATGACAGTGCCAGCCAGGGGCAAGTTGGCAGTCATCCCGTCAATCCTAGCGCTGAGAACTGCCGACAAAACAAAGTACGGGTTCGAGAGGTCGTCCATTAACTTCAGGGCAAACCGATTGTGTTCAACTCGGCGGAGTGTGATCCTTTTCTTTTCCCATCCCCACGCCGCACACTCACCTCCACTCTAAATCCCCGTGGAGACACGATTGTAGCTGATATTATTGTGTAAGGAAAACGCCAGGACTGCAGGAAGACGCTTCACCACCCCGGCGAAAAAAGGCCTCCACGCCTTCCAGAATCTGGGCGTCCTCTTGCCCCTCCAAGGGATTGATAGATAGATGTACATGGGCTCGGCGTGTAACTGTTCCAAAGAGAGCCCCACGGTCGCTAATGCACGGACCACGGCCTCGATTAGATTGAGGTATGTCCGATCTTCGGAGGCCACGCTGGTGAACGGATGCTCGCAGTGGATTGCCTAATACTCTACGGCCTTGCCCTCTTCCTCTCTGGGTCGTACAAACATGGCTTCCACCTCGAAACCCATCAGGAGAGCAGTCTGTGTCGCGCTCCAGCGGATCATGCAGAGCGCGAAGTCTGGACCGCGCACATCCGGCAATTGCGATACCATGCTTATGAACACGGTCTACATTAACCACAGCCAGAGTTCCGTTGGAGCCGAACTGACAGTAGGCGGTGCTGACATCTGGCCGGGATGAAGCTTTCCCGTGGGGCTGGCGTCCTCGGCGAGCCGATCGTCCGGAAGCAGATGAAGAATAGCACTGGTGATCTAGAGGAGTTGACGTGCCGAAGCATGTCGGAGAATATCTCTCGTGGGATCATGCGGTCAAGGACACTGGGGAGTGGAGCTCGCAGCGGTACTATTTCGGCGTTGAACCCACTTAGTAGATCGAAGCTCCACTGGCTGTTATGCAGGAAGATCCCTGTTAATCAACGAGGGGCACATTTGGATACCTAATTCTCATATGGTGCTCTTCTATGGCAGCAATCATGGTCTACGGAATAATCAATCGTGTGTATCTACCATGCTTAGGATTGTAACAAACTAATCTGTGCATGCTATCCTGTACAGGCTAAACAGCACCGAGCGAGTAGCCAGAGAGAAGAGGGTGCTTAGCCACTCCATACATAGACTGATATTTGATGTATCTGGGCTAGTACACTCAAATGTTGACCCTAATGCCAGCCCTCTGATCGCGTGAGTGGATCTCTGGGGAAGGCCTCGGACACACAAGACTGTATATTAGAAACCAAAGCCAACGGGATACGTCTGCGCGACAGAGATTTTGGATTGGATGAGAGCAGTCAGATCACTATTATATGTCTCCAAGCAATAAGTATGCCCTTTTGAGGAGGCACCACCAACTTATATGATATAGCACTAGAAACCGCCAACCCTGTAGTCATTGTTTTCATCTAATCTGTCTAATCAATACGTTCAATAAAGGCATGGTTGGGGACGTTCGGAGTCTTGATTAGGTACATCCCTGCAGTACCGGGTGTTGGGATACCTTCATGACAAATGTTGACATGATTCCACAGGAGACCTTTGTACTCACGGTTTTCCTGTCTCTCAAGCAGAATCTGAATAGTGGAACCAGGTGGGCAGTGTCGGTCAACATGCCAATGACCCTTGACGAACATATTACAGTTGACCCGCCACCAGGCAGTGTTGCCAGACGATGTGGTCATCGTGAACTCCATTCCACCATATTGGGGACAGATATTATATTGTGGAGTAGGACCGACGTCCGCCAACCGTTTAGCGACATCGCTACCGTCATGCGAGGCAGTTCCTCCAACATTTGTTTCCTTCAGTTTCAGTGCGTCAAGTGCTTTCTGAAGCTCTGCTTTCTCAGCCTCGAGCTTCGCTTTCGCAATTTCCCATTCCTTACCCTGGTTGGACTTCTCAACTTCACACTTGTTTGTCATATCATTCATGGTACCAGCCTTCGTCTTCCCAAATTGAGCTTGTAATGCTGAGATAGCACTGGAGGTCTTGACGTTGAACTGGTCCGCCATCCTCTTTTCACATCTAGCTTTCTCTGTCTGACCGAAGGTAGCTCGCATTCAGCCTTCAAGGCTTCGGAAGCGGCGGCAGTGTCGCCATTGTACTTCTCAGCCAGCTTTTCTTTCGCCGTCAACACTCGAGGTTTGACTGAACGTAGCCTTCTCCTCTTCACATCGGGCTACAGTCCCCTTTTCGCATTAAGCCTTAGCTGCCTCCACGGGCTTTCCAGAGCCGCCCTCCGGTGCCGGCCTACCCTCTGTGCCGCCCTTTTTTTCCACCTACAAGAAGTTATTACCTGAGGCGGTGCTATGGTCCTGAGTAGGGACTAGAAAGCACTGGCCTCGGGGAGTCCAGCTCTGCTGCGTAACAAGAAAGCCAACCGGATCTCTGACCTGGTTGAGTTCGTGCAAGACCTCTACAATCCAGAAACCTCAGTGGATATTGTTGTTCTGCGCCCGAAGAACCAAACGATCGATAATGTTTCTCCGTCATTTGAGTCGCATTCAGGGAATTATAGTCATCTGGGCTATGTTCAAGCTATGGAACGGAAATATCAGAGTATCCTTGCACGTCTTGAGATTGATAACGAAGGGGTAGACTGTAACGCGCATGGGATCGTATTTGCGCGTCAACGAATGTAAGGGGGTTATACGAGGAACTCGTGGTACCTGGCTTAGTTACAGTTCGGATATCATATAGTTCAGGATTCGCTCCGTCAAGATGTAAATTAAGTATATAACCATAATTCTGACAGCACCAGTCCTAATCCGTATTGAAGGTGACCAAGGCAAGAAAGAAAGCTGGATAAGAGAAGAACACTGTAAGATTCCAAGTTCACTCTAAATTTAATATTGTTATCTTGGCGTCTACTGCACTCCGGAAATCATAGAATAAGTCAAGCTAGCTACGCCCATTGGCTTATCATAGTAAATCCTTAAAGCATTCGGCATCTTAGAGGGTGGAATGTAGATTGTGCTTCTACTCTAGATATATATTTGGCGTGACTTAAGGTAGTATAGATGGTTGTCCGAATTGCTCTGACATCTAATTCATATACAGCCTATACCTACAGCCGAGTAAAGAGGCAAATAATGGTAGGATATCATATGGGAGTGGTCAGTAGCAGGACATTAGGAGACAGCTGAAGCTCAGTGCGCCAGATCGAGGGGAGGGGGAGGGGCAATGCATTTGTGGTTGTGATTTTAATGTAGGTAAAGAAGCCGGCCAGTCTGCGAGACGCAATAGTTTCCGAGGTTATATGGTCTTGAGATGCCGACTCCGTTCTCTGGGTGCGGAGTCTCATAGCGGCTACTTCGCAACAACAGTTCTCCTGTGGGGACTGTGACCAGTTATGAGGCAAAGTTTTGGCTAGTTGTGACAATTATCAATCAAGTAGGAAATCGCAGAGCGAGAGATAGAGTAAGCGCTTTATCAAATAGAAATCCTGAATTTATCTCAGATCCGAATACTTCTATAATACATAGACCATCGTCTATGCACTTATCCATAACATCTCACAGTGATCCGCAGACTACCTATATCCACTTATGGTTTGTTTCAAATTGTCCTGCATATGTGATGTGAAGGAATGTAGTGGCCGAACATACACGTATACGCTCAATATTCTCCAACATGGAATGGGCAGGATGTTTCCATACGAATTTAGTAAGGAGTCGCGGCTATATACAGTGGCTAGATTGATAGCAGGTTTCATACTGCAGGCTGGGGGTGTTCAGTTTGCGACATAGGGTGCAGTCCTCGACGTCTGAGTAATGTGCTTGGGCTGCCGACTTGGGTTCCATGGCCCGGACGCGCGTTTTATGGTTCCTGGGCAGTATTCAACGATGGAAGGCGGAGCAAATGAGAGACGTAGGAGTGGCGGTCAAAACTTGGCATGTTCGATACCTGCTGTTATTGGGTACTCACATTCCTCGCTAATGAATGTTGTTCTCCTCTACTGCTCAAGCTTCGTAAGTAGTTGAAGTTGTATCCATAGGCCCTCATGTTAAGCGTGGTGATAGACTAGAGTCGCTTAATGCGTTTGTGGGTGCTAAAGCAAATTATAGAAGAGATACGCTACCTTGGCTTTGCTGAACAGGATTGTATGGAAATGGTGAGGGAGGTAGCACTTGACGAATAGTAATCTCCACGAAGTCCCTAGATGCTCTGTGCATGAACTCTAAGGTCCCTACACCCTACCCCGCATCTCCGTGATAGTTAAATGCCGGACCCTACTGTGGAGCAACCTAAATGCTCGGCACTGCCAATCATCACTTGTGCGTGTATTTTTATACTGGTGTGCTAGATATTTTGTGCGGGGTTCCCCGTATCAGGATCGTCTGGAAGGCCTAGCCCTGATCAATGCATAGATTGGCTCCAAAAGACTCGCGATACGCAGCTCCACCAATGCGGTTATCTACCCCGTGGGGTAAAGGGGACAAACCTAACCAGGAGGGGTTACTATGTAGGCTCTTCGCTTATGGCAGCTGCTATATGTCCTAGACTGAGTGGCAATGAGGAGGTATAGCCGTGGGGCCGAGGGTAGCTATGTAGGCCGTCAATACTATGGGGGGTGGCAAGACTACTTGAACCGCCGATCAGCTAGGAAGGGAAAAATGAAACTGAGGTTTGTTGAATCCTTTCTTTTGACCTAAAACCCGCGAAAGGTTCCTGTATATCCTCTGCCAGAATGAAAAACAAAGACAGCTCAGCAGAAGAGATTGAGGATGCGGGTTCCCATCCACTTAAGGTCATAGGTTTGATCAATGACGGAGACGCTGATCGTGTTCCACAGTGGACGAAGGAGGAGGAAAAAAAGCTTGTGTAAGTATATCACTCACGGCTCTTGTTCATGGATGGACTAACAACTGCTTAGACGAACAATTGACTGGCGCGTGTTCCCAATGCTATGCACCATCTTCGGACTCTCGCTATTAGACCGTACAAACATATCCTCCGCTTACATTGCCGGCCTCGGAGCGGATATTCAGCTTTCACAAGGGTGGGTTATACGGATGGATCACAGAATTGTTGGAACCTAATGTTCACAGATCACGATACAACATCGCGCTTCTTGTCTTTTTCATCGGTAGGCGCAACTCGTCCTCGTGGAGTGCTAGATACATCTAACCAATATCAGGATATGGCTTATTCGAAATCCCATCGAACCTCGTCATCCGCCGTATTGGTGCCAGGGTGTGGCTGAGCTTCCTGATTGTATCATGGGGCGCTTGTGTCCTCGGGATGGGCTTTGTTCATAGCTGGAAGACCTTAACCGTCTGTCGTGCGTTGCTAGGGATCTTCGAGGCTGGACGTATGATTCTATTCCCAATGATATCACCTACATATAGTAACATTAGGCAGTCTTCCCCGGTGCAGTCTTCATCATCGGATCCTGGTACCGGCAGTATGAGACGGCCACGAGGGTCTCACTGTTCTATATGGCCGCGCTGATTGCATCTGGATTCGGACCGATCCTGGCCTACGTGTTCTCTTTGATTCGAGTTGGGGATGGAATATACACACAGGGTTGGCGGTGGATCTTTATCATCGAGGGAATTGCGACCATTGTGGCCGGGATTGCAGCCGCGTTTTTTCTCGTGGAGTGTATGCTCCATTTACCTACACTATTGAGCCCTGTGAGAATCAAGGCTGACCTTATAAAGTTCCCGATAGAGCAAGCTGGTTGACGCCCCGACAAAAACAGATTGCAATCGCTCGACTATCCGTTGATAAGTCGGAGAAAGAGTACAAACACCCCAGCTTTAAGGAGGCGATGGTGATGATATGGGATTGGAAGATTATCATCTTGTAACGTCCTCCCATCCCTAACGTCTACCCCTCGTCGCTATATACTCATCTGAACTCATGTATATAGTTCAATCCAGTACTTCATCGCCGCCTCAAGTGTCTACTCAATTGCCTACTTCAAAACCATCATTCTCCGAGAAGGAATGGGCTTCAGCTACGCCCTATCTCAAATACTCTCGTCACCGCCATATGTCTTCGCCGTAATAATGTCGCTGGTTATGGCCTGGCTGTCAGATAAGTATAAAATCCGCTGGGCTATCCTGGTGACCCAATCGCTTTCCGCGGTCGTTGGGCTCCTCATCACGCTCTACAGCGGACCACCAGGCGTTCGTTACTTCGGTCTATTCATCGCCGTGTTCGGAACACAGGCGAATATACCAGGGACGCTATCATATGGGCAAAGCCAGATCCCAACTGTGGAGAAACGCGGTGTTATCGCGGCCGCAATGATATCTGTAGGTGCTGCAGGGGGAATTGCGGGGTCCACTATTTTTCGGACGCAGGATGCGCCGGTGAGTGTCCTCCTGACGCTTTAATCTTCTTCTCCTCCACGTTGGCACTAACGTTGCGTCTGCAGAGATATCTCCCTGGCATGTGGGCTACAATTGCGATGCAAATGCTATATACCGTTGTGACATTGGTCTTTTCGTTTTACCTCAGGCGACAGAACCGCCTTGTGGACGAAGGGAAGCGAGGTGACTTGGAGGGCGTGTCAGGGTTTCGATATGCCCCTTGAGCAGGCTTGGGTAATGTTATGAAGGCGCGAGCAAGCCATAGAAGACGAAACATCTGTGATACTCTCTTGAACCCTCGAAAATGCAGCGGTTTTTGAGAATTTATCACAATGAACGCGTAATTGCTGGCAACCTAGAGGTCAAAATTGGTTCCATTTTATCGAAGTTTTGGTGACCTCTAGAATTCAGTCTCCAAGCCCAACTAACCCTCAGTCAGCGCCCCCTCGGCCATATTGCGTCTCGTATCGGTTTTCTTTTTCGAGTAATTAGTTGAACCCCGTTCTCGTGTATTTAGTGCAGGCTAGCAGCTGGTTTTATGAATCAGGCGGTAGTACTTCTGTCGTTGTAGCCTCGATTATGTATGCAATTTCCGACAATTGCACTTGTAATAAAAGCTGAATTACGAATAGGTCTCTGCAGTAACAATATATAATCTACAGTTTCCTACCCAGTTTTGGGATGCTGGGTACTAGTCCACTGTGTGTTGCATTAAGTTACACATTCCGGATTGTTCGCTTTCCTTTACCGGTCAGCTTACACAATCATAAACGAGCAGTAGATCCACGAGGAATATGTTGTTCTGCTGGTCGGAATGCGTAGCTGTGGGAGTGGCTAATGCTGGCCTTAGGAACCTGTGGAAAGAGCATGCATTTTTCAGACCTTAGACTAGCTTTAGCTAAGGCAGCTTCTTTTTTTAAAAAAGAACACCTATATAAGTCTTTTGCTTTCTTTAATTACTTTACAATGGAAACAAGTACTTAAATTTTATGTTAGTTTAATAGTTTTAATTAATTTGACTTCTAAGGCTGGAAACAATGTATAGTAGAGGAGCCGGGGATCTTGGTCCGTGCTCCAAGCAGCCCCTTCAGCGTAGTTTCCTGCTTTTGTATTCCCTAGATGCTTTAGATCAAGATATGTTTCAGATACTGAATTAGTAGGTCCAGGTACTACTAGGGCTTATACGTCTCTAGCACCAGCAAGAGGGGATGATCTTTCTAGGGTGTTGTCCATATTCCCCGATGAGCAAGCTGTCTTTCTTCACAACGCGAAAGATAGAAGCTGGTGTTTCAGAAATGAATCCCTGTTCGATCTTCTGAGTCTAAGGCCTAGTGGGATTTTGGCACTACAGGGCTATATATATCTCGCCCCAGACGAAAGCTTCTTTCCTGTCAGTCTAAGCTGACTGCTTCAAAGTATTCACATGATGGAAAATCTAGAAAGTGCTCTGATAAGGGTTCGTGATAGACTGGCAGCTTTATAGGACTTTCAATGTATGGAGGTCTGTTATAGGCCATGGCTGAGCTATCAAGAAATTGATACAGGCTACCAAGGTTGCTTTTTAGGAAGTCAAATTTCAAGCACATGGGGTGTCTTATAAGTTTTACATCCCTTCGCTATAGAGAGCATGGATACGCAGTTGCATCCCTTTTCATGATTAACTACAATCAGTTCATCGCATGTCCTGTCTGCTTACCTCCACGGGCGTAATCGGACCGGTTGTTGGATGTCAGATAGTCCACCCACTAACATCCCGCAAAGTTGTCAGATTCTGGAGAGCGACTCAGCGTGTCGTGCAACGGGAACCAGGGGATTGGTGCGCCGCCTCTTCGTCGCATATACGACTAGCTCCGAGGAATCAACTTGATGCACGTATAGCGTGAGATGGGCTCTTATGGGACTAATTCCGTTACTTTTGTCGTTGGGAAAGGATTTCGTATGGCAAGGCCCCCTCCCAACGGCAGAAGGTGTTATTTGATAGGTGTCGGTTGTGTGAGGCCATTGCATCCTTGGCAAGCCATTTCACGGCTGCCGAGACTCGCTCGTAAATTAGCCCCCAAGCCCTAAGACTTCCTTCGACTAATGGTAGGAGAGAGTTATATTACCACATTCCTTCCGCCAAGGATTTCTCTCCCATTGCCAAGGGTTTGTACGTCATGGATAGCTGGTCCTGATTGTGATTCCGAAAAGTACGAACTACTCTTTTCGTCTAGGTACCATTTAGCCTGGCAAGCCACTTCCCCAGGCCGGCCACAATGGCACGTCCAATCCCCGCAAAGCATGGCGTCTTTCCCCGTATCTTGGCCTTTCCCATGTCCTGGAGAAATTTTGTGGTCTCGGATTACCGCATTGATCAAGCCGAGAGCGCGGATGGGGGGGTGGTGTGGTTGAATACTACATTTAAATAACTATTACTAGTAGCTGCGCGCTCTTTCGCCAGGTCCCAGTATTTTTTGTCCAAACTTCAAATTCGGCCATCGGTGCTGTACTTGAACAACATGTTTGGGTTACCGAAGTTCTTTGGATTTAGAGGCAGACAGCTGAATCTGGCTATCAGTTCGCTGGGCAGTCTTGATTTCTTGTACGGCGCCGCCTCTGTCGCATAATGTCCGGTCTCGCAACTGATGGGTATCGCAAACAGGCTTTTCGGATATGATCAGGGTGTCACTGGTGGTCTGCTGGACCTTCCGTCCTTTATCAAATACTTCCCCGACATCAATGACAAGGCTGAGGGCATCGACCAAGCTTTGAAATCGCAGCGCAGTTTGAACCAGGGCATTGCCGTCGCGTCTTACAATTTGGGATGCTTCTGTGGCTCCATCTTGACTATCTTTATCGGAAATCCACTCGGTCGACGAAAAACGATCTTCCTCGGTTGTTGCACGATGGCGACTGGGGCCTTATTGCAAGCAACCGCGTTTCATTTGCCACACTTTATTATCGGTCGGATTATCACTGGTATCGGGAACGGTATGAACACGAGTACGGTTCCTACATGGCAGTCCGAGTCAGCCAAAGCCCATGATCGTGGAAAACTGGTGATGATTGAGGGTATGCTCATCACGGGAGGCATTACACTCAGTTACTGGATCAATTACGGTGAGTTCCACCTAATCCACTGCCACATAACGGAAGAATTGCTCATCGCTGTGGGTTAGGATTTTCCTTTATCCCAAATAGTGAGGTGGCATGGCGGTTTCCACTGGCCTTCCAGATTCTTTTCGCCGTGGTGATTTTCATCTCGATTATGAATCTGCCCGAATCTCCGCGGTGGCTGGTGATGCAGGGCCGCAACGATGAGGCTTTGGAAATCCTTGAATACCTTAATGAAAAGCCACGTGATGACCCCTATATTGTGAATGAGTTCAGATCTATTCAGGAGACCGTCAAGGAAATGTCGAAAGGTTCTTACCGAAGTTTGTTTGATATGAGCGAGTACCGCGAATTCCATCGCGTGGCACTCGCGTATGTCAATCAGATGTTCCAGCAGATATCCGGCATTAACCTTATCACGTACTATGTGAGATATCGCCCATGCTCCTGGTATTTGCTACATGGGTACTAAGACAGTTTCTTAGGCTCCATCTCTGTACAGCGAAATTGGTCTGGGCGAGGGCAATTTGCCAAAGTTGCTGGCCGCCTGCAATGGCACCGAATATCTCATGGCTGCGTTTATCCCGATTTTCATCATCGAAAAGGCTGGACGTCGGCCACTCATGCTCTTTGGAGTACGTAGCCCAGCCCCTGTCTGTCTTTGGTAGTATTGCTGCAGCTAACACCGATCGTTGCTCAGGCCGCGGGCATGTCTATCTCCATGGCTGTGCTGGCGGGTACCAACTACCGGTTGACACACCTCGGGGACAGCCAAGCCGGTATTGGACAAGCCGTGTTCCTCTTCGTCTTCAACACCTTCTTTGCCATCGGTTGGCTTGGAATGACCTGGTTATACCCGGCTGAGATTGTCCCACTGCGAATTCGTGCACCAACCAACGCACTAGCGACCAGGTAAGAGCCTATGTGGCATCACCCGTGAGATCTTAATATGACAGCCACACTAAACGACTTATAGCGCGAACTGGATCTTCAACTTCATGGTCGTGATGATTACACCGGTGTCATTCACCAACATCGGATACAAGACCTATGTCATCTTCGCAGTTATGTAAGAGTGCCCTGTGTCCGCAAACGTGGTTCTAAACTGACAATATCAGAAATGCATTCATGTTTCCCTGTGTGTACTTCTTCTTCCCGGAAACCCGATACCGCTCCCTGGAAGAGATGGACAACATCTTCAAGAAGTCTACGAACGTATTCAACGCGGTCACCATCTCGATCAAAGAACCGTACCGCTACGATAAACACGGTCAGCTAAAGTCGGAGTACCTCGAGGAGGCGATCCGTCGCGAGAGCGCTACGGTCCCGACCACCGGCAAGCCCTTCGAGAGCGACGACAGTACCACCGAAGTCAAGGCTTGAGCGATACGAAGGAGAGAAATATAATAAACGTCGAGTTGGCTGCATGTATATCACTTATACCCACCCCCCGAATGTGGTTTCATTTGGGTTGCCTTCTTTCTTACCCAAGTCAGTTTCGTTTCTAACACCCTGCTTTATTGTTTTCTTGTCATTCCCTTGATTGAGTTGGGGCTACTGTAGAGCTCTACCTTGCGCACAATGATACGCCAAGTCTGATAATATCTTAAACGTCTAGCCGGGAGTAACACCGTTTCTTGCTATCACGACTAGCCGCGTAGCCTTTATGCTGAGCTTCATAACCCTGCCTCCATTTATTGCATATAGCTATTCACAACGGTGGCGCCGGCCAAGGAGTATCTGTGACAAGCCAAGTTTGACATGGCGCAAAACAAGCATATTGCCAAGGGCATATCACACGGACATACTAGATTGAACTGTCGCCATGCTGCAAGCCATACTCCCTCCCATCACAGCCCAAGCCGGGACCAGGGGCCATAGTGTCGGGTTCTACAACTGTTGCGCCTGTGGGTGACTTGATTGGAAGTCTGACAAATCGGTAGGAATTAAAACTTACCAGGATCAGTGAGCTAGACCGTTCCGAATGGATAATTCAGTGCTCAGGCCCGATGGCGTCGACCGTGCAGGACAAACAAAGCCACAGAGGCTTGGCTGTGCGGTCCGAGTGTTGGAGCCAGCTTGGCATGACAAACAAAAAGAAAATGAAATCGAAAGTTATATCATGAAGGAAATCATGAGGTCGTACAATAATTTAAGAGCCTAGCCAGCATTAATGGGCATATATCCAACATAACCGAACAGTATAATCGCTTGACTCTTTCTTGTGTGGCCTGGGCCCCACATCATGGTGGCTTAGACTCTTCCATCTACCAGGCGTCTAGCTTCGTCACATCCTTGCAAGAGCAGTAAGCGAGGAGCTGGATCTCGGGTCTCTCGATCAATAGGGAGTGAACGGATCCTATAATGCTACTTTCGGCGAGAAATGAGTTACGGTTTAGGAAACTATGCCGCATAGTACGATATACAATGCACTCTGATACCATTTCTGAACACGATTGTCTATTGGGTAAAGGGAAAACGGCGATGCTTTTGACATGGAAAAACACGATATAGGGTGTAATCTCGGACGGCGGAACACGAGGGCCAAGCCTCGGTCATTTTACGGATTACTTGATCGGGTAACCCGGAAGGAGCGGACGTCAGACTAAACGTCTTGGCAGGAAATGACCAATCACACCTCGGAGGTCACGAAAATAATCAGGCAGACATCGCTTTGCTTGCCTGTCTTTTTCGGACTCAATTCCTGGTGGTGGTTTGAGGTATGAAAACCCTAACACAATTATGGAGCGTATTCACCCTTTTGTTCTAAAGAGCGACTATTCGCCTACACCTAGACCAGGACATGACATTATCACGACCGTGCCTCGTTCCTTTGCTAACGGCACGATTGTGCAATGGTAAGACATATCAAGAGGCCAGAGGTCAACTCATCTTCATGTGACAAGTGCAGACGTCTCCTACTTTGAGAGAGCAACATGTTGCTCCTTGGTTGATATCTTAAGACTAGAAGGGGATATGGATAGCACCACAAGGCCACAGTTCCTTTCTTTATGATAGGGGCATAATGCATCTAGCTCTAAAGTGCAGATTGGTACTGTTGTGTAATCGCAGCAGATTGGATACATATTTGAAGAACCACGACACAGCTTTTCCCTGAATATAACGCGTGCTTAGCATGGCATTATTCAATCCAATGCAAGACTATATAGTCTCCCTGAGATACAATTGCCAGGCAGGCTCCGCTTTGGGTGAGCCAGTTGAAAATCGCAGTATCTCCAGTTGAAGGACTCACAGGCGACGCCAGCATATAACCCTTGGCGGCAATATCTACATCTATAACTTTTTCACGTAACAACTGCTCTGAACCAGGATGCCCATTCCAGTATGCAGTGTGTAGAGCAGCGAAGCTACTTTGACTCTGCGCTGAGATGTCATCTAGTCTGAGTATTACAAGCCTACAAGAGCAATTCCATATGCTCAGCCGAAACATGCATGATCTTGTCTTCGCTTTTTTCCTGGACTTGGACCCACTGAAGATCCCTCCAGCCTATTAACAAAACCCAAGCCCTGACATATCCTGTAATACTGGCAGAATATGTTGTCATCTTACAGCGTGTGCCATGGAACTCCCTATTCTGAGGAACGCCTCGGGTGTGACAAAATGATCGAATTAAGTTAAAAAAAAAAAAAAAAAAAAAAAACCGTAGAACGGGGAAGCCACACGTTGGCGTTGTAGGCTAATCATAAATAGAAAGTACGATATATCTGTGCTTTATCGTAATGATTTAGTGAGATGGCCACGCATCTCTGTGCTATTACAAACTGCAGTTCACCTGTTTCCTAGCATCCTGCTGCTAGAGGGACTTATAACCTATAAAACCACGTATGATTAACTACTACTTCAGTGAAACTGACCCATGGGAGCCTCGTACAATACCCCCCTCCGTGGGCGGCTAGTACAGCCTTGTGGTTGGTAGGCGAAATGGCAAGGCTGTGAGCACAATGTCATATCTCTCCCACCACCCCCTCCGCCCAGTGCTTCAATTTCTTCAAACAAGCGGATCCATCTGGTATACACATCTCTCGTCTACTTATTCTAAGGCAGACTTCAACAACAACACTATCTCTTCCACCGTGCATTAGTATTCTTCCACGATGAAAACCTTCCCTGAAGCCGACGTTATCTGGTAGAATGCGAGCTCCTACTACGTTCGATGTCCATTCTGCGAAGCAATTCATCACCACGGCGTAAACTGGAACACGAGCAAGTTGAGATATTCACATTGCGAGAAGATGGAGAGCTACCTTTGCTGCTTCCCCATGAATGAACGTGGTCAGGTTGCGTATGAAATCGACAAGCGACGCGGACGATATACCAATATTTGTGCATCCGATGATAGTGATACCGAGAATGATGATGTTGATCATCTGGCAAACGAGTTGGCGCAGAAGGCTACGATTGCAGCACAGAGGGGAGAGTCATACGCCGATATCAACGAAGATTCCAAGGAAATGGTTACCATCAATCCAGGACATGGCATCGAGCCATTTGAACAAAAGCGGATTCTGGATGCAATAAGCGACTGTGCCAATGGAAATAAAAGAGCGGTAAAGGACTACTTGGAGACTTCTAGTGAGGCCCAGCTGTTTATTCGAGGGCGAGATCACGATAGTAAAACAACCCTTATCAGCGCAGCATCTGAGCCGAGTTCGGAGATGGTGTCACTTCTCCTTAAATACGGGGCTGATGTGAATGCTGTTGACAACGGTGGGAGAAGTGCCCTTATGGAAGCAGCACTCTTTGGTTGGGCCGAAAATGTAAAGGTTCTACTGCAGAACGGCGCAGACAAGCATATTCGGGATAGCGAGAATCGACTAGCTGTTGACTTTGCTCGAGACTATTACAAAAACCGGACCGAGAGATACAGGCGTACCAGAGGTAGCGTGACATCTCCATTGAATCCACGGCTAGGCTATACCGAGGACACATTCAGAAGGGATATTGATCGTCAGGAAATTGTACGCCTCTTGAGCGGAGAGAACAGGAAGTCAGAGATTGTCTTTGGGACCCCTCCCACGTTATCACTCTCTGAATCCTACTCTTTCACGCCCTCCCCAATGCAGGGCTCGTTACTATTACGCGGCCCAATTGAAGAGTATCCAATCAGCAGCAGCTCTAAGACGGTGGCGCGTTTAGAGCGCGGTGGAAAATTTCCGTCTATTGGCGCTATGAGCGGATGGTCGCACAGTTCCGTGCAGTCCCTCAGGGTTGACGGTCGACAGTGGACGGATGATGTTCTTTATATCTCGGAGGTAGTGGATCATGTTCTAGCTTCCCATAGCTGTGATCAGGGTAAGGATGGTCAATACAATGCATGTCACGCGGAAAAGCAGTTGATAGCGTATTTCATCGATCGCCACGTGTTTCTTCCACGCGACCTTGAGCTGAACTCGAAATTAGAGGAAAGAATCGATAGTGTAGAGGACGAGCTTCATGAGTTCCTGTCCGGTACGGAAATAGGTCACAAGGTGACATCCCTTAGAAAGAGGGAGAAGGATATAAAACATCAGCTATTCGATGGGGGAGGAAAAGCTCATTGGAAAGCATGATGAGATCAAGGCACTGAACTTGGAGCTCAAATCTGTTGAAACAGCCCTAAACCAGCTGGTTGCCAGCCCTCAAGCACGACCATTGTTGAAGCTAGAAAGCCAGCTGAATATTCTAAATCAGCAGCTAGACAGACATACTGGCCTGATGGATATGGCTAGTGCGCCACCACCTGTGTCATTAACCGAGGCGGTCATACTGGTCAGCTCGCCTCCTTATCAGGACTGTAGGGTGTTCAAGGACAAAGTCAATGCGCGTTTTGGGCTATCTATACAATTATTTGCGGCACTTTGACTTGCATTGCAGCGATCAACATCAGGAAGCCAGTGGATTGTGGCTTGCCAAGAGATCCAAGAGGCGAGCAGTAAACAACTATTGGGTCTAAGAAAAGAACTACTTTGGCTATTGATTACCTTTCGGTGTCTATACTATAAGCGTTAATTGAAAGAAGAGTACGTATATTGAGGTTACTACGCGGCTTTGCTAGAAATAGGAGAAGATCGGGGAGTTGAATGCTAACGCGAATTAGTGCAAATCAACAAACCAAAAATATGTATAAATACTAAATGGCACAAGAAAGGACCTTGCTACGAAATTCAAGTTGGATCAGAATCAGGAGCCAGCATCGAACAGTCCAAATCAGTAAAGCTCTGTGTATTGCTGCATATGTACAGTAAATTCACCTCTTACGCCTGAGGCCTTCTCTACAGTTTCTATTTCCCGAATATGATTCATCATATTCAGGATCTTTCATCTCTCCTTGGCCGCCGTGGATTAATATGCCTCAAGTTCATAGCTTGCATACATAAACGGCCCTGCACCCTTAACGTCATTCTGCACAACGGGAACAGATATGTAGTACTGCATCCGGTCAGTCAAATTCACATTCGGCATTTCAGTCCACAGTGAACATCGGAGCTTACCTCAAAGCTGCCGTTGCTGCTTAGACTTCCCACCTCCACTGTGCCCTCCCAGTTCAACGTCCCGTTATCATTCTTACTCACAAACCTGTCAAGCAACAACTGATACCCGTTGTCGGCGACCTGCGAGTACTCGCCCTTGTCTAGGAATCCATTCCGCATGCCCTTCAAGAATCCATATGTGAACATCGCAGACCCACTACTCTCAATGTAGTTTCTAGGGTCGCTCGGGTATTGGTCGTTCATGATCAACCACCACCCACCACTTTCATCCTGAGCCTGTTTAAGGGCTTGCGCAAGTTTCTGGAATCGGCTCAGATTGGTCTCCCAGCCTGGGTGAGACTTGGGGAAGTAATCCAGGATATCCACAAGGGACATGAAATACCATCCTAGGGCGCGATTCCAGACGAGTGGTGCAGCACCAGTTTCGGGATCTGCAAGTAATGGTTATTCCCTTGCCTTATAAAATTAACAGACACTGGGAGGGGGCGCAAGAGCGATTGCTTTGACTTGTTTAGACATACCGGCCCAGACAGCAGTTTTACTGTAATCAAACCCGTGGACAAGCAACCCATCCTCTCGCAAACAATGCTCCTCGATCAAGTCAAACTGGAGCATGATATCATCCCAGGCAGTGCTGTTGTCTGCATCAAACCATGCGGTGTACAGCGCGTAGAAGTTCGTTGACATGTAGATCCCATCCAGCCACATCTGGTTTGGATAGGTGGGGTCCCGATGCCAAAGCCCGCCTCCCTCATTGCGGGGGGTTAAATCGATCTGTCGTCGGAGAGTATCGGCACCTAGCTTAAACCTCTCTTGGCCAGTGGCGGCCCAAGCAGCCAGAAAGTTTGTACCAATCCGCAGATCATCAAGAGAGATCTTGTCACTGAGGTTATAGTTGATCAACTCGCCGGAATCACTCACAACGCCGGATAGTTGAGACTCCACGAAGTCAAGATACTCAGGGTTGTTGGTTTTGTTATGTGCAAATTCAATGCCTCGGTAGAGAACTCCATAAGCGTAGTTCCGGGATAGGGGCACTGATTTCGACAGCCAAGATGTAGCCATCCATTCGGTGTAGTTGCTACTGGCCGCCACTGTTGTGCCTACCGTAGAGGCGAGGAGGAATAAAGATGCTCTCATCGTGAGGAGCGATAATTCGACTAGTATAATGGCTAATCTGGATTTTTACTCCCCTTGATAGCTAGCTATGTGCTCTACGATCTTTTATATACACTAGCCTCGGTTATTTTCACCATGATACACGCAGCTCCCAAGCCAAGACACGGATGAATTGTCTCCTGCGACTACCGCCGAAAACCCCACGAATAAGACCCCACAACTTTAAATTTAGCTGCATAGAACACACCATAGCATCATGGTAAATGGTGGAATTTTCCACCTGGGTCTTCTTTTCTTAGTCTGCGTTGTTTATATTGATATTAGCCAAGACACTGGCAGTTAAACCCTGAGGATTTGAGAGGAGACCTCATATGAGGGGTGCATTACTCCACCAAACAGTAAACAATCTAGGCCATACAGGTTGTTCCAGTGTGAGATGTTCAGAGTATTCCAGACTCCTTAGCAAGATATATGACGTCACTATCCTCTGTGCTAATTTCTCTATCTAATTGTATACTGTCGCATGCAGACCGGGGATGATCTCAAGGTCCTTGGGCCGATAAGTGTACTTCCCATCCTCAGAGATCTTCGCATCTTTTGTGCGTCGTTGCTGCTGGGTCTGTCGCACCTTCACCCATTGCTCCGTTGTCAAGTGTTGACCCAGTTCCGTGAAGACATTCTGCGTGAGTCCCAGTCGGTTCAGTAGAGGGCTGTTTTGAATCGGGTCCAGCACGACGTGGTTATTCGGTCTACGGTCGGAGGATAGAGATCAGTATTTACCATGTGGAAAGTCTCACTGGCGAACTCACCGTGCAAAGTATAATACTCCCAACCGATCAACGTGTGCTTGGTCGGCTGGCGGGACATGTACGCGATGAATGCTGGACTTGATTAGACCACCCGTAAGAGCAGTCAATGCATCACAGGTGTTGACCGTAATGGTGCCATCCTGCGGACGCACCCACTTCCATTGCCCTTCAGAATTGAGGATCTGCAATGCAGCAACTGGCTGACGGAACAACAGAGTGACTGTCCCCAGATCCGTATGGCCGGGTACGTACATGCTGCCGACTCTTTTATTCTCTTCGGCGCCGCGTGCTGCGTAATGCATGTACCGAAGATGGTCCTCGCCTTTCACATCGTATTGGTGGTCCCGGACAAGCTGGCTTTCATCAGGAAGGTCAAGCAGAATGGCGAACAGACGGAGGAGCTTCTCGACGACTTCTGTGTGGCATTTCTATATTCATCATTACTGTGAGGAAGGTCAGATAAAGTTTAGTCCAATGGCACATACCCGACTAAACGCTTCGATTTCCTCCAGATGATCGCCGAGAACAGGTGGCTGCTGACGCTGGTGGTAACCGTCGAATTTTGGGATATTGTAGACCTGTACATTGTCTTTGACTCCATTTCCCAGGCTACAAAGGTCAGTCTATTTTCTCAGTAGCTGTGATAGAGATCTTACGCCCGGTGTCCGGCAGGTCTATATCCGTTATATTCGCCGTTTTCAAGGTCAGAGGCGCTGTGGTATTTGAGCTTTTCTTCTAAAGGAAGTGCATAGAACTCGCGACCGAGGGCAAATTGATGGTCGATTTCTTCTTGGCTGATGTTGAAGTTTTTTACATAAAAGAAGCCTGTTTTAACCAAGGTTAGACAACGCGATACATTTGCATCAGAATACTCACCCACGTGCCGCACAGCGTGATCCAACTGCTTCACAAGCACTTCCTTTCCTCCAGGCTGGTCATATTGACTGAGGTCAAGGGTAACAAGTTCGGCCCAATCGACTACTTGGTCAGTCTGATTGAGGATTAAACTGTGGCTAGAGATTGCTACTCACGGTCTTCCCTCGTCACCGGAACATGATCATATCTATCAATAAGTTTGGCAGGCATGTTGAACAAAGGGTCTTTTGGTTATTCGAAGATGGCTTGGGAGAATACACGATGTCGAAAGGAGCACATAGGCTACACTGAAGATTCGTGCTATATAACTCTTCAACCCCGCATTACGCGCCTTCCGATGATTACCATGTACTGTGAGAAAGCACGCAAGCTTTACCACGCGTCTCAAGTTAGATCTCGTCGGTACAGGCTTCATTCATTGGCTCATGGAAGTGACAACGACTTCGTTAAAGTGATGTTATGCCGGGGTTGACGCACGCCATCCGCACTACATATTTGCCGTCGTCAACGTGAGTCCAACCAACCATATCAATTATTATCTTTCCCTCACAGGAGTGACTACCTACAGATATACCCACTCATGAAGCGCTGTAGCTGTTCATCCGTTGTGAAAATATATCAAATCTATAAATAGAAAATGATGCAGAGCGGGAATTGCGTATGTTTTACTAGTAGTTACTTAGTTGTACATGGGGTATGAGAATCGAAGGTCAACAACTCGATCTTCAATGGCAATACATGCATAATAAGGTCATTCTGCAATACACAGGCAGTCGGACCTCTCTTCACATCAACTTGCACCTTTACCCTAACATAAGCTTTGTCCGATTCATTTACCAGCCCAAAAACGCAGAAACGCCTCTTTCTTATCCTTCGGTGGCTGTAGCTCCGACCGACAAGTTTCTGCGAGGGGCATCCCATCATTTCCGACGTTCGTGACTGCATTTTGCGACTTGCCCAAGAAATAATTGTGCTGAAACAGCGATGCGATAAGAGGGATGAAGGCGAGTCCCAACGCCGTGGCCAGGCAATAATATAACGCGTGCCGATACGCCTGTACTGCTCCCACTCGCACCGGATCGTCAAAGCTGTATAATTTCCGAATGGAAGTGGGACTACCAAACAACTTCTTCACATCGGCTTCCGTGGCATTAGATGGCAGGTACTTTCGCAACTGCTTGGGCATCTGGTCCGCCCAAATCACTGCCACAATCGCCGATCCGATAGCCCTACCAATCTTCGACCATAGGGCCAACAGTGAGATAGCGAGGGCGACATCCTGGTGCGGAACGGAGGCTTGCGACGCGACGCGCGATCCGACAACCGACATGGAGCCGCCGAATCCGACGAGGATCATCGCCATCACCATGGCGCCCGTGTTGGCAGTCGCCATATCGCCTTCCAACATGATGCCCATGCCAATAATTTTGATCACTAGACCGGCTATCTGGATAGCTTTGTACCGATGTGTCCACCGTTGAAGGAGTCCGACAAAAGGTCCGGCGATGCAGAGGGCAAGGGTGAGGGTATTACCGTAGTAGACCCAGTTCTGATAGCTCCAGGGCTTAGCCACGTAGACATATGAGTCCCAGTAGAGACCGCGAACACTTCCAGCAACTGGTGTTATTCGCAATGAGTTAGTAATTGTGCGTCGGAAATGTAAGCAAGAGGGCAGAGTGGAAAGAACTTGCGCATGTAGAAGCTATCGATAATGATAGCCATGGTGAAAGTCCTATTAAATACCAATCGGCGAGGAGCGCTCGGTACACGGGCCCATTTCACCTCATAGATGACATAGGCGATCAGAAGGAGGCCACCAACGATCATCATGACGATGAGGGATTGGTTTCGCCAACCACCATCGGCGTAGGTCTTGAGCGAAAATGGTAATAGCAAGAGTGACCAGCCAAACCCCAGCAGAACCAGGCCAAAGGCATCGATTTCATCCAGAATGCGCCGGACAGACTGCGTCCAACGTTCTGAAGACTCAGCTGCCCGTGTTGAAGCCGCCCCACGGGGTACGCCAGGACCCTCCCTCTCAGCAAGATGCCTAGCAGCTCGACGAGCGGCGTTAGAGGAGGCAATGTTCACGATCCTATTTTGTTTGGCTTTCCGATCGAGGTAGATGAGCGTAGCGACGGCGGGCCCAAGGGCGACGGGCATGATAATGGCAAACATGCCGTATCCCCAGCGCCACTGCCCTTTACTATCAATGGCATCCACAATCTTACCGGCAAACCAGGTGTTGATAATGAATGGTGTGGAGAGCATAGAACTCGCAAATCCGCGCCATTCGAGTGGCGTCAAGTCCGCAACGATGATGTCGTTAGTCAAGTCAAGGCCGGAGCTTCCGATGGCGACCAAGACTTCTCCAACGACGTAGCCACCGATGGTCCTACAGGTGGCAACAATAATATACCCGAGGACATAAAACAGCAGGATCCATATGTATGTGTACGGACGAGATGTGATGTCGGAAATCTTAGCGATAAAGGGTTTGCTCACGGCACTGATGATACTCGTTGCAATTGATAGCGTGGACAGGACCGAGCTGTGTTGTTTGAAATATGAGGCGTCGACCGAGTAGTAGGACGTGGTAGATGAATCGAGTGAGTAGGCCCAAGCACAGACCAGCACTGATACCCCGATGAGCCACAATGTCTTCCGGTCCGACTTGGCCTCGCGATAGACAGCTTCCATTCGGGTGACCCCCTGGGACTGTTGGGAGTCCCCAATCGTGGGCTTAAGAGTGGCCTCGCCATTCTCGTCGGGCACTGTGATCTGGGAGATTTGATCGTTCGGCAACATGACTAGCTTCCTGTAGTTCAAATTCTCATAAGAAGTCAGGCATGGGATATATATTTCCCCTAAGCTGGCAAGTGAGTACGGGTTCGCCTTGGATAGGAAAGTTCTTTACCGAGAAACACACTACCTATGGCCATTTTTATCCGCAATCTGATATGATCCCGTCCCTTCATTAATTTTTTTTTTATTATTCTTCCCCCCCGTACTCAATGCCTATTTCCAAAACCCTGTTTGCTTTCCGACATTCCGTAGACGAAGACTAGACCGCATCACATAACCTTACGCCAACCAGCACCCGTAAAGCAAGGGCATGTGGAGATTCTAGCACGAGTAATACCAATCATGATTCCTCCTGTCTCTAATGTACTCACACTGCATGTCTGTGGAATATTTGAGCTTGGGATCCATATTCTACTTTCGGTTACTGACCTCTTGGCTCCGGGTCTGGTCGGCCAATTACGGGCTAACCTGAGGGATCTAATCTAATCAGATGTGTCGGAATCTGTCCGACATGATGAAGACATTCATTCTATGTGAACTGACCATACCATTGTCCCTAGTAGTGCCATCTCTGTTGGAATGCCATTTACCATTGGTTTTTCACGCGTCTCCCGATTAGGAAAATGCTCTTATTCAGTCATATATTGTCGAATGTGTCTAAATTGCACGACCCATATGTGGGAGCTAAGGTGTAGACACGCTTACGCCCAGATCTCGTAAGAATGAACGCACTCATCCAATCGCCATTCGCATGTAGAGACAAAAATCCGACACATCGGTGCGGGATAATACATTTTATCTACTTGGCTTCCAGGATGCATCTGCTGCTCGCCCAGTGGACATCCAAAATGGCGCAGACCTAAAGCCTGCGCGGGCTGCCGTCGGGGCAGAGTTTCATATTATCGAACCAGAAGGCAAGCCTCCTTGCCCACCAGGAGAATTCACATCGTGATAGCTAACGGCTAAAGTTCCAACAGGGATTGCCTTCCAATCTCATAATACCGCTCTCGACTCAGTTGATGATCTGCTGGCCTGCTCTACTCAAATTGCCATCACCGTCAATGGCCAGATGGTGAAAGAGCCAGAGGGTCCCGCGGGCTGGCCGTTTGTTGGCAACTTCTACCAGATCTACCCTGACCACATCGCCAACCATCCGCTCCTTGGAATCAAGGACAACACAGCCATCTTCCTGGGCGACACCGAGACTGAGAATTAGCCATTGGCTCACAAGTTCATCCCCCCGGCCATGAGCCCCAAAGCAGTCCGCCACTACACTCCCCCTGATGTAGACTTCGTGTGAAGCTGCTATCCGGGACTTTGACGACCTCGACGCCCGTGGGGAAGCTTGGAATGCCTACCAGTACATGCTGAAGCTTGCATCCCAAGCAGTGGGTAAGTTCACATTGGGACTTGATATGGGTCATTTCAATGGAGCAGAGGCGCCCATCCACCCCATTGTCCATCTCATTGTCGACTTCCTGTCCCTGAACAAGAAGATCTCCAACCGTGGGGAGTGGTACAAGCACCTTCCCATTGGTGACCCGAAGAAGCTGCGAGATGTCCGAGCCGAACTATACGAGAAGCTACGTGTCGCCACAGACGCTGCTGTCCAACCAGGGGCTAGCGACCTCCCACTCCATGACGCCTCACTCGAGGCCACTTGTGTGGTCGACTATCTCAAACGCGTCACAGACAACAATGGCAACAAGATGCCCCATGACTTGATATATTCCAACATGATCGTCGTTACCGCCGCTGGCTTCACCACCACCTCGACCTTGCTCTCCTGGTGTCTGTACTCACTCGTCACCTACGAAGGCTGCCAAGAGAGGCTCTTGCAGGAGCTGATCGACTATGGTGTCACCGCAGACACCACATGGACCCCCGATCTCGCGAGCTCGATGCCCTTCCTGAGTAACTTCATCAGGGAAGTTCAGCGGGTGCACAACCCTTCCTTCCAGCCTGGCCGCACCACGAAACAAGACGTGGTTCTCCCGGGAGGATACTGGCTTCCCAAGGACAGCATTGTCATCCCGGCCCTCTACAGCATCCACATGAACCCCAAGGTCTGGAACAACCCGGAGAAGTTCGATCCTGACCGCTGGGACACGGAAGAAGTCAAGAACCGCCACCGCTGCGCCTACGTTCCCTTCGCCACAGGTCCGCGTGGCTGCATCGGTTTCAACTTTGCTCTGCAGGAGACCAGAGTCTTCTTGTCAATGCTTGCCCACCGCTACGAATTTGTCAGACAGGGCAACGATGCCATCTAGTACGACGGTGATTTCCAGTTGGTGCGTCCGCTCAACCTGTATGTGCGCACTCAGAAGAGAACTTCCTGGCCTTCTCCGTCAGCGAGCAAACAACAGGCTTAATGGTAGTAGTGGTCGTAAAAATTCGGGGGCTTTTCGTTGTTGGACAGCGTGATGCCATATGAAATTTCCGTGCCAACCGTGATTTATCAGTCTATCACCACAAGCTCTTACCATGACAAGTACCAAAATACTGACCGCTTGGGGCTTCGCTGAAATTTCCTGATTCTGAAATATTCTGATAAGTTTGTTATGTTGTATCTGTTATATACTCAAATTAACCAATTCCGAAATACCTTGACTTGGGTACAATATTCTTCTCTTCAGTATAGATATCAGATCTGGTTATAAACATAGGACAGTTTTATAACTATTAGGAAATTGTTCAATAATCTGAAAACAGACATACTATACAGCTGAGAGTATAAATAAAATTCATCTATCACATAATTTAAATAGACTTAGGTAGAGTTGATCGGGTCCCCCGAGAAACCCGCCCCGATATCAACTCTACTTGGAGCATATAGGGTCAACACATAGAGTATCAGGATGTCAGGCTATCTACGTACAGCGAGAAGGCTGTGGGAATATTGCCCTCTGGTGTAAGATCAAAGCCGATCGCTAGGTTTCCCGACATTGTCATCAATGAGTCTTCGGCCCGAGGCAAGCCCGGCGACATAGTGAGTACTCCATATATAGATACTCCCAAGGTTCCCTATTCATCCTGCTCGCACCGCCCCATTTTGTGCTCGTTCTTTGTCTCAGCTACGATCCGATTTTACGGCATTTCTAGAAGTCGCTACGAGCCAGCGGAAACCACTTGAGACTGTAGAGGGCGGCATGATATACCGCCCCTTACCAGAAAAGGAGATATCAGACTGCTCATGTTAAATCACATTGAATGGCGGAGGCTCCTGTTCACCTTCTTTTTATCACCAGACAGTCATGATGCTACAGGATCCAAAGGGAAGAAAACTTTACAACATTGGCTGAATTCAGAGCACTGTGTGGAAAATAGGATCGCAACTATCATCACGATGCATTACGTCAGGACATACAAAGAGCCCATTCTGAAAGCCTTTGGCATACACCAAACGGGTACGCATGAATCGGCAAATAATAATACTGTTGATTACCGACTCCCAGCCGTGTTTATGGGAGCGCGGAGAGGTGTCTCGATCACGGAGAAGGGCTTCGAGGAGAAATTGTGGAGTGCGGGGGAATTGCGGATATTTTTCCACTAAATCTCCCACGGTACATATAAATGCCGATCTCAACTACATTGGACCTACTCAATCTAAAGTTTCGCCGAGGCTTCCAGATGTCCTGTATTTTACAGTCTTACCCCGGTATTTGGTCGCTACTTTTCTTTATTCACTTTTGCCGTTTGTGGGGGTCCCCAGTCAGGGGTATCATTTTGATACCTCACTTCAAGATGAACAACCCAGCTGGGGTAAAACCTTGGGGAAACTTATAAAGTCGGGCATATGGCTCGGGTAATCTCAACTGCGCGGTAGCATTACTCTTTCATACTCGCCATGCGGTTATTATTGACTTTGTTTGCTGCAACCGCAGCTGCAGCTGCGGTTATAGAACCATCGCCCTCTTCTGACCACAATGGTTCTTCTTTCCAGGCTGAATGTGAATCATTCAAAGCAAAGATCAAAGTACCTAATGCGAATGTCCATTCAGTAACCTATGTCCCGGCGGGTGTCAACATCTCCATGGCCGATAACCCATCCATCTGCGGTGGAGATGAGGATCCAATAACCAGCACATTCGCATTTTGTCGCATTGCTCTCAATGTAACCACTTCTAGCAAGAGCCAGATTTTCATGGAAGCCTGGCTGCCCAGTAATTATTCCGGTCGATTTCTGAGCACAGGAAATGGCGGTCTTGGTGGCTGTATGTGACCTTTCCTTCCTAGCCTGCTCCGCTCTAACTAAGGATTGTCGCACAGGTGTCAAGTATGAGGACATGGCCTATGCTGCAGGATATGGATTCGCCACTGTTGGTACAAACAACGGACATTTTGGTAACACTGGTGTCCACTTTTACCAAAACCCAGAGGTAATTGAGGATTTTGCTTACCGCGCGCTCCATACCGGCGTCGTTGTCGGGAAGGAATTAACGCAAAGCTTCTATCCTCAAGGTTATAACAAATCATACTATCTCGGTTGTTCCACTGGAGGGCGTCAAGGGTGGAAATCCGTTCAGACATTCCCAGATGACTTTGACGGTGTCGTGGCTGGTGCACCGGCGTTCAATTTCGTTAATCTGACCAGCTGGGGTGCCCGGTTCCTCACCCTCACGGGCGACTCCAGCGCAGAGACCTTCGTGACCGAGACGCAATGGACTGCCGTACACAACGAGATAATCAGACAATGTGATCCTCTGGATGGTGCGGTAGACGGCATCATTGAGGATCCAGATCTTTGTCAGCCCATCATTGAAACTCTACTATGCAATGCGACCCAATCCTCCACATCCGGTACGTGTCTCACCGGAGCGCAGGTCCAGACAGTGAATGCCATCTTCAGTACAACCTACGGTGTGGATGGCTCCTTCGTCTATCCGCGCATGCAGCCCGGATCCGAGTTGGTAGCCTACCACAGTTACTACAGCGGGACGCCATTCTCCTATGCCACAGACTGGTATCGTTATGTGGTATACAATAACACCAACTGGGACCCTGCAACCTGGACCCTGAAAGACGCCGCGATTGCCAGCGCTCAGGACCCCTATCAAATCTCCACTTGGAACGGCGATATCTCTCCCTTCCAGAAAAAGGGCGGTAAGGTCCTTCATTATCACGGCATGGAAGATGCAATCATTTCCTCCGACAGCTCAAAGGCCTACTATAAGCACGTTGCCGATACAATGAACCTTAGCCCCTCTGAGCTCGACAACTTCTACCGTTTCTTTCCGATCAGCGGCATGGCTCACTGCGCAAATGCAGACGGGCCTTCTGCAATCGGTGAGGCGAGTGGAACCTTTTCGGGAAATAGCCCAGAGGATAATGTTCTTCTCGCCATGGTTCAGTGGGTTGAAGAGGGTGTTGCTCCTGATTTTGTTCGGGGTGCCAAGCTGAATGGCTCTACTGTAGAATATCGCAGGAAGCACTGCAAGTATCCTAAGCGTAACCGATATGTCGGGCCCGGTCCGTCCACCGACGAGAACGCCTGGGAATGTGTATAATCTAGATTTTATCAAATTGAAGATTATATCCAAGTATTCCAGTCACGGGAAACAGGGGGTGGCATTGGAAGCCAGTGTTACTGGAGAAGTGCTATTATAGTACAATAGAAGAGACCATTGAGCATGACAATACATAGAATTGAATATTTGAAATACACGGTTATCACGGTACAAAGAATATAGCCTAGGTCTTTCCACGACTCCACCACCAAGTCTTTCGCTGGCATCCTCATAGATACACAGAACGATAGTTGTCTAAAACGAATCATACAAGTGTCAAATAATAGATCATAATATGTACCCCACTCCTGAACTGATATTAAACACGTATAATATGACTCAGATCTGGCATGACTTGACTCCCTAGCAATACCTTTGCCGCTGCCAGGTAGAGTCCAGTACTGAGGGTGGCAACACTTCCAAAGGCAGCAAGGAGTCCCATATAGGATAGGACCTCAATACCGGGCCTTTTCAAGATGTAGGGTTTCCGCTGCCCTTCTTTGGTTGTTCGGTTGAGGCTGGGGACGTATTTAAAGTCAAAGATTGTTTCCTTCCCTAGGCCCTCTTTTTCATCCATGAGATGGTCCCACATCATCCGGCGGCGAGACTGCAGTTGAGATTTCACGGTTAGTATCCTACAACCACATGTATAATCACGAAGGGGTTTCATACTGCAAAAATATATCTCTCGATGAAACCAATCCGCGGCACCGCTTTGGCTTGTAACTGAACCGACAGACAATATCCCCACATCAGCATTCGATAATACAAACTCGTTCGTGGAATGTGGAGCTCATCGGAAAGCTGATCGCCGTTGAGTAACCGGGACAAGGCGTCCATGAACTCTTTCGAGGCATACGCAGGAGCGGTATTCTCCATTCCTATTACAATGTTCTTGGCGAGGATTCTTCCAGTATCGGTCGGGGCAAATTCATTGATGAGCAGCGACTCAGACCAAAGTTTTGCCTTGGCGGCACTTTCAAAGGGTTCGGCTGGGGCGCCCATATACCAGGCCACCAGGCGCCATAAAGCGATATAATCTTCCTGCTCTTGCTCGCTGAGGTTGATGCCCTGGCGCGGCAGCCCTAGCCAGATGACAGTGCTGCTATACGTATTGATGGTCGCAAAGGCATCTAGATCGTTGATGGGCAAGCCATATTTTTGGACGTCGTAGTACGTTGGGTCTCGCTCCACCAGGCTCATGATCTTGCGACGTACGGCTGAATGCAGGAGTCGGACTCGAACGCAAGCGAGGTGGCCGTCTCCTCCCGGTCTCATGCTATCCACGGAACTGTTCACTTGAAATGCGTGTTGGGCGGTTTCTAATAACCGACGACGGACGACATTGGCGCCGAACCCACCAGTCCGTGATAATGTTTCTCCTACACGAATAGCGCCCCTATACGTTGCTGGAATTAGATCTTGAACACGTTAAGTGGGAGTTAGACGGAACTGAAAGGCATTCATACATTCCACCGAGTAAGCTATTGTATGTGAGCTAAAACGCGATAGAGGGTTAGCAGGGTCTCGTGTTCAACGCAGATATAGAACACCCATACCGAGTTCGCTATGGGGAGCATATATCGCCAATACACCTCCTGGCCGCGTTGAATCTGTGCCCAGTCCACCCAGTCGGGCACCGTATTGATCTGGGACCACAGCTCCTCGAGTTTCGGGTGGTTTTCATGGTTGCCCTGCAAAAGCGCATACCGGTCTCGTTTTGAAATATTGCCACCTTCATCGTTGGCAGGGGCAGGTAACTCGTTTAATATCTCATTGCATTCATCAGCCAAGCTGTCACAGGAGTGGATCCAAGACTCGAATTCGCTCGCAGGGCGATGCTGATCGGTCCACTCGAAACTGTAGTCCCAGTAATGGTACTCGATTCGGTTTCCTTTCCCGTTCTTGGTCGCAGACATTTTTGTGGATTAGGCTGTGATAATCATTGCAAAACATCCCCTCGTCCTACTATCAATGAATGATATATACGAGTTGCTGAGTATCGTGACCTATCTAACCTTGCTGCCCGCGGACCGAGGTCCGCATAAGGAGCTACATCTCATGTTGGAGGCATGGGACAATGAAGCCTTTCTCGTTAGTGGGAGCTACGGTGTTGTGTCGATCCATAGTGTTGTATGATACGCCTACAGAGCTTCAGGTCGCATGATAGGTGCTAGCTGAAAAACTCAGGGCTTTCACATGCGCTAAGCTACGTCACATCGAGGTTCTTCTGCCAGAGTAGGAGAACAGCAGGACCCCGCACTTAGAATATAAAGGAATGAACTTAAAGTGCAGCATAAACGTTCCTCTATGCGCAGCATAACCACCCTTCCTATGCCGAATCCGGCATGGTGAACCCCCTCGGTCCGAACATCATGGGCGGGGTCAAGCCCTACATCTATCTACCTATACCTTACTACACATATTTCCTTTCATCCCAGGACTACAGGCAATTACTCCGGACATGTAGATCCGAATTGCTCGTGATTATAAGCCTCACTGTTTGCGATCAAGTGACCCCCGGAATCATTTTCCGCGTCGCTACAGTACATGAGGTAATGCTAAGAGGCATTATTCGGATCTAATGTACCCGGGGACACATCATCTGGCGAGCCAACGTGACAGCTAATTCTAAATCCCACAGGTCTTCTCGGTGTGGCCAAGACTCTAGGTCCTCAAGTGCTCTGTGCCGAACTCCTAGGTTATCACATTTAACGATGACAAAGAACAGAGGTGCAATGGTCCTTGTTTCCATCAGCAGCGTGGGACAGCGAGGGGTATTTCGGGGTGCAATTTCCATCAGACTGCCTGTGACAGTCTTCGTTTGATCGATGGCATCGTTGAACCGTTCCGTGGATATACTACGGATAGTTTCGCTACACTTTATCAAGCATATGTCCGTAGTTACGGAGAGTACCGCATGATGCATACGTAAACCCGCCAGGGCCCTTCGCTCCTTTCCCGTCAGAAGTCTGCAACGAATGTTTGCCTCCTCAAAAGCGATCTAGCGCCTCTGCGAAGCCAGCAAGTTGCGCCTGTTGTTTCCTCTGCTCCGTACGTAATATGCCCTAGTTCGCAGAAATATGAGTTGCTGAGACAGCCTAACAGAGAGTGCCAAGCGTGCAAAACTGGATAAAGATCCGGTCGCGGACGATCCACACGTCCTGGCTGGCCTGGTAATCCACCATTGACGGTGGGTGTCCGACCTGGTGCACGAACATGTCTAGATCCAGCCCCTCGTGTAGCTTGGAGACACCGAAATGTGCACTCTGAAGATCTAAATCCATTATTGCAGCGGCGAAAGATAGTTCGATGTGTCGCTCTACGGCTGAAGATGGATGGGTGTGGTATAGGGAACTGTAAATGGGCCTTTGCGACTCGGCACCCAGCAGCTTGACTCCGTTTTGAAGATGAACAATCGCTAGGTCATACCGCCCATGCGTCAACTCGAAGACCACGAACAGTAGACAGTATATCAAGACCTTATTCTTCACGCTCGGATTGTTAGAGTTCGTCCGGGAGATCAGATGACTAACCTCTCCATTGTATTGACCCAAGGCGAAGCGGTGGTAGTGATTCGTCATATCCTCTGGTAACACGGGCATACCAGTCGTTCATACTAACTGTTGTAAGGCGCTCACAGGGACGACGCATGACAGATGGCTGGCTCGGCATGACTCATTTGAGGTGTAAGCCGTTCCCACATGTGGTGATCGAACAAGACGTTCATCATTGGGATAGTCGAGCCTTGGAAAAGAGAGAAACATCGTCCCTCATCGGATGTTTGATCTGGGAGCACCGATCGCATTCGATGTACGCTGAGAGGTGTGCTGGGGGCAGGCCCTTTCTTCTTTAGAGGAAGCCGATCAAGATCGTAGCCGTCACATTGGCGCCCAGTGGACACACAATTCAAGCACCTACCCGGTAATTCGTTGCATTTGACATGCCGTATTCTAGCGAGGAAAATTAGCGAGACCGTCCCGGGTCTTCGGCTTTATCTACGGACCGGCATGTGCGGCATCCGGATCTTGACCTAGGAGCTCGGGCTGTACGTATCCTTTTAGGTTCACTGGACTCGGGCAAGCCTCCCATTGCCGTTAATCGAACTAACTGAGGTACTAAAGGCGGACGGAACCACCCGGAGAGTGTCATGAGAGCAGAGGAGAAACCACGTCAGCTAGTTGTACAGTGGGAGTTATTGGGGATTTAGTGTAGCGGCTAGGTAAGCAATGTTGCATTAAATAACTCGTTAGGGACTAGCTAGCTAACTAGTACTTTAATGCTTGTTAATCCAGTGCCAGACTTGGCAAATCGTTTAGTCTAAAGAACGAGTGGTGATATTCCCGTAATTGGAGATTCGAGGCTTTCTAGGAAGGCAGGTAGTAGCCGTCCTTATTTCTTGATTGTAAGAGAAAGATGTTGTCCGGGTAACACCATGCAACTAGGGTATATTCGAGAGAGATATCATCAATCCAAGGGGGATTCGGGGGATATTCCCGCGCTTTAGGGCCTGAACTGATCGGAAAAAGTCTCATCCGAACCTCCATCTCTCCACATCTTCCCCCAGATTGAACCCACATCATTCCACATCATCCTGTAGAAATATACGGAGCAATGATACCTATGGCCCACGCCACGTTGTTTGCACATGGGTGCCTGGCATGCAGTTCTTTTTCTGTCGTTTCCCCCCTTTTTTTCTCTTCTCTTTTTTTCTTCTTTTTTTTTGCCTTTTCAAAGAATCTTCCCTTCCCTCCCTTATGCGAGAAATAACACTAGGCAGAATGTATACCTTAGGCCTATTCTTTACGACATGCCGCCCAGCCAAGACGACTTAATATACCTTAGCCGTAGCCACGAAGCTTAGTCGTATTACACAGAAGACTTGTTTCCACAGGTCGGTAGCGTTGGACCATTCGAATACTCCGTAGATTTATCAGCCCTTACTTATCAGCCCCCACGGGGGTAAATAGCCGGGGAAAACACGTCAGTGGGAAACTCTGGCTAAATTAGCCCAGCGATCTTTACCGGAAATCGGCAAGCTTGCGGAGGTCAGAGAAACAGTTGCAGAAGGTGCTCTAACTCGTGCATAAGAAGACAAAAAGCCGTTATGAGCCGGGACCCCAGGACTTTTTCCCCCGAGAGAGCTTCTGATCGGCATCGACTACGGCGGCCTCGACTATCTCCTCGCTCAACTTCAACATTTTCCTCTATAGTAGCCGCTCTTACAGAACCCTTTCCAGCTCGATAGGGCACATTTTGTCACCGAATACCGACGCCTTTTGCTTCGTATCCCCAAAATGGCGGGTGGAATGGCGTCTCAGGGCATCTCTGCCAAGCGCGCAGAGCTTGCGGGAGGTAAAGTTGGATGGCGCGGGCTGGTCAGCAGCAGGAAAACGTTCGGCATTGCGCTGTTCGCCTCGCTGGGCGGATTGGTTTACGGATGTATGTCGAGCCTATCCGAAACGTTTGATGATGCGAAGATTAACAGTTGTCAGACAACCAGGGCATGTTCGCCCAAATTCTTACTATGCGGTCCTTCATCGATGCGGTATGCGCGCAGTAGCCCGTTGCGCCCCCATAGCACCTACTGATATGGTATGATATAGACCCAAGGATATGCAGAACACACGGGTACCGCTCAGGGTATGCTCACCTCCATTCTCGAGCTCGGTGCCTGGTTGGGAACACTCGCCAATGGATATTTGGCTGACGCGCTGGGTCGCCGTGTGACCGTGGTCGTGGCCGTGGTGGTGTTTTGCGTGGGAGTTATTGTCCAGGCGTGCACTACGAACCCAGACTTCGTTTATGCTGGTCGGTTTGTCACCGGTCTGGGAGTCGGTAACCTGAGTATGATTGTCCCGCTTTACAATGCTGAGCTGGTATGTGCGATATAACCCCGATATGGATGACGTTGTCTCACTCGAGCAGGCTCCTCCTGAAATTCGAGGATCCCTAGTCGCCGTTCAGCAATTGGCCATTACATTCGGTATCATGGTCAGTTTCTGGGTAAGTGCCATGCTGCCTTTCGCCTTCAGGCTCCGCTAATTTGCTAGATCGGATATGGCACAAACTTCATTGGCGGAACGGGAGAGGGTCAGTCGATTGCCGCTTGGGAAATTCCGGTTTGCATTCAAATCCTGCCCGCGCTTGTTTTGGCGGTTGGCATGATGCTGTTCATGCCTCAGTCGCCACGTCATTTGATGAATCAGGGCCGTGAAGAAGAATGTTTACAGACCGTAGCTCGTCTGCGCGACGCTTCTGTCGATGATATGCTTGTCCGCATCGAATTCTTGGAGATGAAGGCGCTCCGCATGTTTGAGGAAGAGACGGCGCGGAAGAAGTATCCGCAGTATCAAGATGGGTCGTTGAAGAGCCGTTTCATGATTGGGCTGCACGATTACATGTCCCTCATCACGGATAAGTCCCTGTTCAAGAGGACCACTGTTGCGGTATGCTTACTCGACAACATTGTGTGGCGACTGCTGACGATTGTAGTGTTTGATTATGGTCTTTCAGCAGTGGAATGGCATCAATGCGTAAGTCTTCTTATGATTAAGATTCTATAACATGTGCTAACCCACACTAGAATCAACTACTATGCGTAAGTCCTTGGCTGCACCAGGTGGGCCCTTCTAATAATTCATAGCCCGCAAATCTTTAAAGATCTTGAGCTCGGTGGTGCCACTACTTCATTGCTGGCCACCGGAGTAGCCGGTATCTTCGAGTTTGTCTTCACTATTCCAGCCGTCCTCTGGGTCGACAATATTGGTCGGAAGAAGATCCTCATTGCCGGTGGCATTGGTATGGCCGTTGGTCACTTTATCGTGGCGGGTATTATCGGATCTTATCAACATACCTTTGCCCAGCACAAGGCTCCTGGATGGGTCGCAGTAGTCTTTGTGTGGATTTTCATTATCAACTTTGCCTATTCATGGGGTCAGTCGAACCATGTCCGATGTCCCTCAGCCTTGACTAACTGCCGTAGGTCCTGTTGCTTGGATTGTGGTTTCGGAGGTCTACCCCTTAAGCATGCGTGCCAAGGGCGTCAGTATTGGTGGAAGCAGCAACTGGGTACGTTCTATCTCTGATTATGGTTTGGTGCCATCATTCTGATCGGTTTATTTCTAGCTCAACAATTTTGCCGTTGGTCTCTCAACCTCTCCCTTCCTTAGTGCCTCGAACTACGGTACGTTCATCTTCTTTGGATGTATCACCACCATCGGTGTCATCTGGGTGTGGTTCCTGGTGCCCGAAACCAAAGGCCGCACCTTGGAAGAGATGGACGAACTCTTCGGCTCCGGAGGTATGGCTGCGGAAGATGAGGCCCGGAAGCGACGGATCGAACGTGAGATCGGGCTCTTGGCTCTCTTGGGTGAGGGGCCGGAGCATTCAGCCGATGAGAAGCTCGCCGAGAAGCCTACGCATGTTGATAATGTATCGGAGTAGTGCTCTGGGGGTTAAGTTGTTTGATTGCCGAGTTAGTACCGGCGGTTAAGCTACGCAGAATGACGTGACCTGTGCTAAATAGCTGATGGGTGTCGCAGAGGACTGCTTAATTTTGGACTATTAATGTATATCTCTCCTCATGAACATGCTGTCCTTTCGTAGCCGAGGCAAAATTGTACTCAGTGCATCTTTTCCTATACAGGAGCACTACGACTACGTTGTATGTTACGGGCATTAGGAAAATTAACTACTATCGCCTAAGTGTATCCACGACTTGATACCATGTCCACTGATCAATCAGACCACAGCTGCAGCGACCCAAAGAAAGATTTGCCAATGATCTTGATTCCACGTCCCACATTCGGCCTGGGCCGTCATTCATGTGGAATTTCTCCGCATACTAAAGTATTATCCTAAATCCGATATCCCCCATCTTCCGGATAAATTCGTATATTTAGCCTGAACTCCTATGGCCGACTGCTAACGCCCTAATGCCGTCATACCGCTGCTGGCAATCCCGAAAAAGCCGGAGGCAGATACCGGTAGAATGAAGCATCGGTACATTGTAGAGAGTTCTAAATACAAATTATCCTTACTCCCATAGCACAGACGATATGGTACAGGCTTTGCTCACTCACCTTGAGTTTAAATCTTTATGCGTGGTTTTTACTAATCATCCTCGTGGTCCGCTACCTCGGAGCTTCTTGGCCCGTGCACGCTTTGCTTCTCCTTCGGATGTAAGTAGATAAAATAGCATAGTTGAGCAAGTAACATAAACCTTCAGACTTCTATTCCATTTATGAGCTTTTATTTCCAATAAAGCACACTTGTTAGCCATTCAAATCCCTATTCCACACCGTTTTTGCGTTGCGTCAACAACTATCTTCAGTGTCATGCTTTTCCAGTTATATATAATCGCACCAGGAACCTTGTAGCACACGAGTAGTTATACCAGTGCGATTAGTACTATTATAGCTTATGTGCAGCAGTTCCCCTTCTTTTATGTCATGGTTACTGATAAGCAGCACCCTCCCCTATTTTCTTCACAATTTTGTTTTCTTTCAATTTCTTTTCTCAAGGGGGTGATTCGGCAGGTGGCCGTACACGATACGCATTAACACAGAGGGAGAATTACGGCTTCCACCAAGTCTTCGGAGCTTACTCGCATGGATAAAAGCTATACAACCTGTCAACCCGCATGGCTTTATGTAGGTAGTTACCACAATCTGCACTATCCTTCCAAATCGGGAGAACCGGACAATGAGCTTCTCTAGGACTGATTTTGACATTTACATCTTGCCTACAATTGGTCTTTTACCGCTCAATTACTTTATAACAATTATTCTTGTGGAAATCTCAATATGAGAACAGATTCAACGTGAAATCCGTCCGTGGTGAGGTCCTACCCTTTCAATTAGTTGCTCGTCATGTCTTAACATCCGAAGCAGCGTACGACTTTTGACTGCCTAGCCCAGGATCACTATTGTGTTTAAAAAGTTCAAGTCCTAGTGTATAACAGAGAATTTGAACTGGAAATGTCACCTTAGGTACTGATGCTTAGGGACCCGCCGTCATAAACCTTTGGCCCCGAAAGAAAATAGAAATGAAATGGTCACGTGACAGACTCGACCTACTCCAAGTTGCTGGGGTGGTCTGTATATCGGTTTACAGCCAATTAAGAATGAAGCCTGCGCGATTTATAACTAATGACTGCTTATGTCCGTCCAAGGTTACATACGAAGTAGTTCAAGAATGAAGTGGCACTGGTTCCCAATTTTATGAGCCTCGATCCATCTATTTTGGAGCATAAGCCAAGGCACTAGGCGAGCACAGACCGTTGGGTTTCATTGCCCGTTCAAACCTCACCAATTATTGAGGATTCCACGAGCCCAAGGAGGCTTACGGGCGGAGCAAAAACCGTTAGTTTAATTGACTATCATTTCCCTGAAAGGTCATGGGTTCGTCTGCCCTATCTTTAATTTCCGGCAAATGGAACCACTACTTACTTAATTCTCGTCAGTCCCAGTTCCTTAAGATCTATATTTTGGGGTGAAGATATATCCCTTTTTTCTAACTATCTGTCATTCGTTTGTCCAGTTATCCGAATATCAGTCGCTCCTTTTTTTTTTTTTTTTTTTTCTTCAGTCCTTCATTTGGTACTCTCATTTTTCCCTTCCAAGGCCCCTTTTTGCCAATTGAGTCAAGGGCTTTCTGTATCAATTTTCGGGCCAGAGACCTCCAAACCACAAAAGGAATTGCTGTAAAGGAACTTTGAACCCCAAAAGAAAGAAAAAATGCGGTTTCTGCTCCCCTTTGTCATTGGGCTCACCCCCATTGTTTCCGCCCTCAGCATCAACAAGCCGGGCGCCAACTCGACATACGCCGCCGGATCTACTATAACGGTCAACTGGACTACGGTGGACACTGACCCCACCGAAATTAGTCTCTATCTGTGGAACTTTGTCTCCTGGCCTCCCTCTTACGTTCCTCTGGCTCAGAATGTGCCCACCGCCGATCAGTCATACTCCGTGCAGATCCCCTGCGACACCAACCCCGAATGGGGTTATCAGATCAGCGCCATCAACGGAACCAATGTCTACATTATCCACGCGCAGGGTGACCGGTTCACAGTTTCCGATGCTGTGAATGGCACCAACTGTGCCGATCCCATCATCCCACCCCCAGCTTCCACCTGCGGTCCCACCAACGCGGTGTCGACCGTTTATGTCACGGTGAGCCCTACTGGTTCCAGTTCTCGTCTGATTCATCATCATTCCTCCCACGGCTTTCATTCCAGCCACCACCCGCATTCCACTCACGCCCTTCCTGCTCCCTCCTCCACTGTCACTGCCTCTTCCAAATACGTGAAGCCCGGAATCGTGCCTAAGACTATTGGTTGGTGCTCAGACTACTCCCACCCCGTGACCTTGGACAAAGTCCCAACGCCGACCCCGGTACCAACTGAACACAACGACGCTGGACTCTCTACGGTGACTGCTGCACCGAGTGAGGTCACTGGCGAAGCGAAGATCGTGACGATCACTACCACGGTGTCCGTACCTGCTGCTCCGGGGGACGAACAATGCCTTTTTATCTGAACACGACGATGCTGTGTTAGAGAGTGATCTTACTTCTTCGATACTATGTATTTAGTATATTCTTTTATTAATGGAGATACGGTCCCACTATATCGGAAACCGTACCAGAAACACTTCCGCTATGGTAAATGTATCAATATAAAGCACAACTCATCTTCCAGTCGCAAGCACGAAGAGGTTACATTTACCTTCCGCGGTTACTGGTTTTTACTAGGTGTAGGCCAGCCGTTACATAGTTGATTTGACACTCGTCTCTGTACTATACGGTAATAACGCAGGTCTCCTCCATATTAGTATCTGGCCGTACTCTAGTACAGTATAGTCAAATTCCTAGTAGAAAGTACGAAGAGTTGTCGCCGTGTCATGGCAACAAAATTAGGTTAACACAAAGAAACTCTGTTGCCCGCAGCCGCTTCCCTCCCGCAGTCTATGGTGCATTTGGCACCCCACGGGATTGACAAGGCTTGGCAATACTCATTTATAGCTCAACGTTAAATAATAAGGATCATATATAAGGAGACCATGTTGTGGGTGGGCGGCTTAAGTGTAATCAACGCGAAGAAAGCCTCAGGGTTGGTAATATATTGGAATCTTGATGGTAGCAATACCTGCCACTACTACCTATAAACATATCCACAACATCTGCACCCATTGATACATACGGGTAGTTGAAAGAATGAGTAGGATTATATGTGTTCTTTGACAATGTCAGGGGAGACCCTTCATCAAGGAACTTAGATAGCATCCGCGCGGCGGTCATAGCATTGCATGATACCATCATTGTTCCACACCATGATATCTTTGATCCTTCCGTTAGAACCCAACCATGATGCTCAGTATAAAGAAACATACCTAAGTCAAGCTCTGCCTTCTTGAATGCACCCAACTGTGAAGTCATACACACGCACTGTAAAGTATTTGGCGACTCTTTGAGAACTTGACAACCAGTACATCCGGGATTTCCCCAGAAATGACCGCTATACCTGGTTACTCGTAGCAATATCACAAGGGGGAGATATACATACTTAGCGTGCGGTTCCATACCCCCATATGTGGTCCGGATGCAGAAGTTCAGGTCTAGAGAGCTCTTCTTCTTCTCCCCGTTTGACCTAGTACATTCTGCTTCCAGGTGGTTGCCACCCTTTGGAACGGTAATCTTGTCGCAGGTCTTCGAGAAATCGGCCTTAGGCTCGCTTTCATCCCGACGGATGGCATGAGCAGAGGCGGAGGCCAGCAGAGCTAGGAGAGTAATTGTCTGGGGTAGTTGCATATTTATCGGTGAGTCGATGAGTAGTGGTGGATAGAGGGAAGAGATGAGTTCAGAGAGGTCTGGGGGTTGCTCGTTCAAGTTATTTATGTCGCTACTGCCCCTTACATGTAATCGTTGGTTCGTTGCCCTGCCCCTGAAATAGGTCTTTGTTCTCTTGCCCTTCATTTCGGGCGCTGGTACCTTAAGGCTTGGATATTCCATGTTGGTTCATCATCTCGGTACCTAATTCCTCAAAACTATTTTAAGTGACTTTCTCCAGCGAATGAGATTAATAACAGTAGGCTCAAAGAGGCACAACAGGCGGGAATTAATCACGACTTCTCCTTCGTCAAGCCAGCTATTGCCCGACTCTTCTAATTACCAATGGGAGTCACGCGCATTCTTAATGCAAACGGGAAGAAAAATATACCGTCTTAGGGGAATATCCTAACGCAGGTCGGGAAGGACGATCTGATGTCTTAAGCCAAATGAAGGCAAAGTTGAGTATTGCTGGCGTAGTAAAAGGCAGTGCACATCAATACAATACGTCTAGAGAGTGTCGGGCGTAGGAGTATTACCTCCCCAGATAAAGAGCATTCGGTACCCCAATCAGATGCCTGAGGCAGAGACGGATGTTTCTTCAAGAATGAATCTTGAACAATCATCTGTGACAATTATTCAACAATCTTCTGACCCAATTCATGGTGCTATGGACCAGGCGTATCTGATTATCTATCAGGATGCAAGTATTCTATTTACATAACAGATTCATGTGGAAACACAGCTCGTCTTGATTAGCCAGGAAGGCGCAAAGCAAGTCATGGAGACGGAGGAACCGATTCATAAGATGATGATTTACAGTGGAGCTGTATGCATGCGATACCAGAATGTCTACAGTCTTCTAAATTATCACCTCGATTCATAATATTGGGGACCTCTAATGGTGAATGTTCATACCTTCTCGTCTTTGGCTTTCCAACAACTAGGACTTCAATGGGATTAAAGTAGACAGATGAGGCTGTCCCGCACTGGTTTACTGCGCCAGTCGTTTTATGTTGCTTCTGCAGAGGGCCCACTCGGCATAGTCGTGTATTGTGATCGCGCCTGACATCAATTTATATCGTAAAACACATTAGTTGCTTTTCATTAATTGATCGGGGTCTGATAGATTTTAAGCCACAAATATGCTTCTAAGCGAGTCTATTATCCTGTGTTTGTACCTGTCCCACTACAGTGTCAGCGGTTCCCATTCATTTACAGACTGATTAGACATGACGCTTCGAGATGCTCCACTCAGCTAAAACTGGGTGTAGTACCCCGACTTATGATATTGATGCTTGCCCTTAGGTTAGTATACTAATATTATATTATTAACTGGGCCTCTGTGTCAACCTTTCTTTAGATCTTCTGCTTAACCTCTTGAAAATGATCTCGTGTCACACGTGGAACACCCTCAAGTTCTTTTAAAACTGCGTACTACCGAGCAAGAGCTTCAGATTCGTCAGGAATCCGACGACCTTCTACCTCCTCTGGGCGACGTTATATCATATATCGAGGGTCTCGATAAATTGTCCACGTACCAACTTTCGGATTCTACAGTCTTAAAAGGCGTTAGTTACTTAACCAAGCGAAAACAACTTTCAGGTCTCTCTTGCTGGGGATGCGCTTTTCTGTGAAATGGCAAGTAACCTCCATGCTTTGTTCGAGCGCGAGGTCCGCACTCTAAGGAAGTGTCATCTTTGATCCGATCTGGTGTCTCAGTTAATTTCTATACCTCGTCTTCAAGGAATTATTGGTTTGACGAAGGCTTTCCGGGGATGCTATTGGGGGCCGTTCCTCTACAACATCGCCTCTCGGATATCGATCTGGAATATATTTCTATGGATGAGCGCTGCAGATGGGCCGCCCAGATTCATGGATAGTGTGGTGAAGTTAAATGAGCATTGCATTTTCTGGGGGGAGGGGGGGGAGGGTTTCAAGACGGATAGCGTCTTGATCGACAATGTTACTGAGGGCTGGGTTGACGAAGAAATTGTTGGAACTAGGAAGGGCAACTTGCAGGGGTTAGAAAACATCATTAATTCCTTGGGTATCAAATTAAACAACTAGTAAATAGGCGGTCATCAAGCCTTTTGCTCATCTTTACAAAATACAGTGCATGCTCGAGACTATTGCTCTGCTTTGGTATACACACAACGCGTCAGTCTACTAAGCACTAGCCCACGGGTCGAGTGTTGCTGTGCTGTGCTTCGCTGCGTAATGATGCATAAATTGAAGGGGAGTAGAGGTGTGACAATGTTTTTAAATGATGACTTCTGGCACAATCCATCTAGGGTTGCGATGTGTGCAGGGAAGTAGCTAGCCAAATACAAACCCTGCCAATATTGGTCACCTGACTGTCAGCACCGAAATTTACCAAGCACTTGGGGGGTTAGAAGTCAAAGACCAGGCTTCATACGGACATGAACCAAGAATAAACAGAATGGAATGAATGTACTATAATGAAAAGCACGCCATGGGATTGATGTTTTCACGGATGATACAGTGTGTATTACCTTACACCTCGGCCCAATCAGAGTTTGTTTTAACATGGGTGCGCCGACGGAGAGACACGGCTCACATCTTAGGCACAGAAATCCCGTATAACGCTCTGGAACAAGAGAGGAAAAGGTATTTATGTGTCCTTCTCATGCAATATAAGCCAAACCGATATATTGCTCCAGTTAAAATATATGACCACCATATAAATGAAGTACTATCCCAGCTCAGCAACTGCGCGGGGATAACATTCGCAAGAGGGCAATGTCTTATCAAGGCCCACGGTATACAAGCCTAATACAAGCTGAATACAAATAGTGTTACAAAGACTCAGTGCGTGGGCTTTGGAAAGAAATTCCAATTCCATCCCGAGAGTATGTATGCTGGAAACACCATGCATGCTGATGGCTAGATAGGTCACCACCCCCTTCATTGGATATCAAGGAAACCGCTAAGACAGTATATTCGCGTGTATTGGCTTGGTATTACGCGCGAAAATGAATACAAGTACATTTCCCTGTCTTGTCCCTTGTAAAAAACGTGCATTAGAGTGAACCTAAGTCCCATTGCTGCATCGATATTGGAGATGATGGGACATCCTCTAGTTTCCTTCTATGGATTAATAGAGGTCCCCACCCCGCTCTTCAGCTCATCTTGTCTTGAAGAAGAGACATTAATTACGAAACATTTTGTTGGCAAAAAAAAGAAAACGAGGTCTTAATCTCTCCACCCTCCACAATCTACGGCTGCAATGAAAACGAAATTCGGCAAGCCAATGCGAAAGCATTTTCTCTTCCAAAATTCGTGGCTGAATATGAACCATGGTAAGAGAGTCATCCTACCACATGTATTATATACTCTGCATAATGACATGGTTCCTGGACAGGCTCTTTCGGAGCTATACCCCGGTGTATCAGAAAATGCTTGCATGAGAAACAAGACCTGGTAGAGTCCTCTCCCGATTCCTTTATTCGATTTGACTACGCCAAACATCTACTGGAATCCCGAACAGCAATCGCTACATTAGTCAAAGCACCGGTTCAATCAATTGCTTTAGTTCCAAATGCTACAACTGGGATTGATACAATTCTCCGGAATCTAGAATATTCCCGTGGCGATTATATTCTCACGTTCAGTACCGTGTATGGAGCAGCCGAACGAACAGCGCTCCATTTATCCGAGGTAACTGGAGTCCAAATCGCCAATATTCCCATAACATATCCTATGTCCGACGCGGATATTTTGTTACTGTTTCTTGCAACCGTCCAAAATATCGGAGCAGACCAAATCAAGGTTGCTGTATTTGATACCATTAGCTTCGAGCCTGGCGTTCGCATGCCATTTGAAGCGCTGGTACAGGCTTGCCGGGAGCGAAACATTTTATCTTGTGTGGATGGAGCTCATTGCATTGGTCAAATCCCCATCAACCTGGAAAGCCTAGACCCGGACTTCTTCGTGAGCAACCTCCATAAGTGGCTGTTTGTCCCCCGAGGTTGCGCGGTCCTATATGTTCCGCCGCGGAACCAAGCTTTAATCCGAACGACGTTTCCAACCAGTTGGGGGTTCACGCCTCGGTCGACTATTTGCCGATGCCAGTTCCAGCAGTCATCGGATCAATCGGCCTTTGAAAGGCTTTTCGAGAGCGTGGGAACAATGGACTATAGTCCTTTTCTGTGCGTCGCCGAGGCACTGCGTTTTCGGAAGCAAATCGGTGGCGAAAACGCGATCATGCTCTACAATAGTCAGCTTGCCAGGGAGGGAGGGCGCATCATGGCGCAGATCCTGGGAACAGATGTCCTGGACAATGCAGAGAGCACCTTGACAAGAGGGTTGAGTATGGTCAATGTCCAGCTTCCACTGCATCTAAAGCGTTTGCCTGGGAAGGAAACCGTGGATTGGATTTGTAGGACGCTGGTCTCGGAATATCATACTTTTACCCCAGTCTTTATTCATGGCCACAAGATATGGACTCGTGTGAGCGCCCAGGTGTATCTTGAGCTAGATGATTTTGTCTTTTTAGGTCATATATTCAAGGATATCTGCGACCGGGTAAAGGGAGGTGTTGTTGGAGGGAACAGTGACACAAAATCATTGATGCTGGGTAAAACAACCGGGCTCTGTTAAGGGCGCAAAATTATTAATCAGGTTACAATTTTTATTGATCCTCCTCTCCCGCCAAAGCATCGTAATGTAATGTTACAAGAGTCATCCTCCTTTCATCTGACAAAGCGACCGCTATAGTTCTCCAATGATTATAGGTGGTGGCCCGGGCCCATGTTCCTGCTACCTCCAAAGACCCAGAACATGAGTGAAAGGAACCATAACAGAGCACCTGCACTGGGTGAGAATGGACGTTTCGGCTGCCAAGGAGGGGCAAACTTACAGAATACTACGTTCATATGATAGTAGCTGACGGCTTCAGATAAGAAACCAGAAATGACTGGGCCGAGCATCATAGCCAAGTTGGCAGCAACGCCGGCCATCGAGAGCGCCCGAGGTTGGCCACCCTGGGGTCCAAAGATTTGGGGATTCTGGGCTGTGAGTCCCTTGACCACCGCTGCACTGCATCAGCCGAAACGTCTATGCACACCGGGAGGGAAACACCAAGAGTACCTACCAGTCACCTCTAGAACTCCTATGCCCCCAAGGAACGGAATCACAATCCCGATCACAAAAATCGTGATCACATACGTAATGGGTCCATACCTGTCTACACTGGCCCAAGGAAACTGAGGATCCCCTGGAACACCTAAAAGCAATAGGCAGGGTGCCAGCGCACACAGGCCAATCACGGTGGGAATCTGTGTTCCCACACGGTCCCGCAGCCAGCCTACTAAAGGTCCGATAAATATGGAAGGAAGTTGCAAGATAAGAAACAAGACGCTTGTTTGTTCCGTATTCCAACCAAAGGTTCGGTGGACATGCAATGGAAGTGTGGCGTCAAAGCTAACCATCACTGTTGTAATGCCCATTGAAGTGAGCAGCGCTGTGATGACCCGGCCATTCTTGAGCATAATTCGATAAAAGCTGGCAGGCCCATTAGATGTGTCCGGCTTCAGAGGTTCAGCTGCGACAGATTCGTGACCCTCCGTCGTATCTGATAGAAGGCTACGGCTTTCTTCCGCCAAGTACGCAGTCGATGGGCTGTTTGGCACGTCAGGGTCATTGAGTACCTGCTGACCATGCTGGGAATCAATCATCACCAAACGTGCCACCAGGTCCAGAGCCAACACAACAAGCGGCACCGCCCACGTCGGCCAGTACCCACATTCCTTGAAGACGAAGCCTGACACCACCGGCCCGGCAATCGTACCAGCCGATATAAACGAGTCGACTGTCCCCATTGTTTTGGCCATGTGGTCTTCGGCGACGTGGTCAGCAACTGTCGCGAGACCGACAATCCAAACCACTGATCCGGAAAGGCTCTGCAGGATTCGGCCTAGAAATAGGATGCCAAGGGAGTGAGAACCGGCAACTAGAGCCGTTCCAGTAATCGCCCCAATGAGTGAGATCAATAGAGGTCCTCGTCTATTGGTCAAAAACCGCTCACTGAGATGGCCAATTAATGGACTGGCAATGACTGCGATGAACCCGTGGATGGCCAGAATTGCAGAGGTAGTATGCTGGATGTAAAATGGATCCATATGCAAGCGATCCGTGATCATATAGCCCAATATGGGAACCATGAAGCCATAGAGAAAGGTTTCTACTGGGGTCAGATAAGGAGCCGAGAATGTAACCAATAACTGAATTAGTGTCCATACCAGAGAACACAGCAACTGTGATGCAGAACACCACAAACACACTCGACGAGCGCCATCGATAGCCCCAAGGCTTCGGGTCGCTACCCAACACTGCCATCTCTGGCCTTAATTCCGGTGATCTCTGAGGAATCGTCACGTACACTGAGGTTAGGCGAACGTAGACAATGACATTTCCTTTGTTCGACAGAGATCCGGCATCAACTTCATTAAGATAATAACACTCAATCAATGGTCGGAAAAGGAATATGGTTCTTGTGTTTTCTTCTCCCTAAAAAAGTTTATTGATCATTTTATTCCTCCCAAGATTTAAAATAACATTTTTGGTGAGACTACGCGGAATCTCTCCCTTTCATTAGCGTGGTACAAGGCTGCATAGTCTATCGAAATTGGGAAAGCCATGACCCCTTTTGTTGCAGAAAAGAGAGAAGAAGAAAGAAAAAGAAAAAGGTAAAGAACAGCTGAGCATGGGAATGCGATTCGATATGGCATGAGAAGCCTTTCATCGATATCAAGTATAGCACAAAGGTCTACGATGCTCGATCGCATGGGTCGGAATAGCACCCTATCAGGGATACATGCAGTCCAGATCAAGAAGAACATAAAACACAGCAGACAGCTGAAGATTCCATTTCGAGGGGACACTGGATCAGGATCGACCCGCTTCAGTCATTCCGCAGTGGAGCCTCGTGTAAGGCACATCCAATATTTGAAGCAAGCCACAGAAAGGAGGTTGCAATCTTCCGTCCCCTGCATGATTCTCAGCTGATATACATATTTATTACCACATTCGTCTTATCCGTGCATTCCTCCATTGAAGTCGTCTGGCGAACCAATGCAAAGAAGCTGATCTCGGGGTGGGCATTGACCAGGCAAATATCACAATTGTCAGTGCATGAAGTGAAGATTATCTGTGTATCTATAAATTTCTGCATTCTGGACGGGCACATGGCTACGAGAGTTGGGAAATGAAGTAAGACGTGAAGTGATCGACAAGCTGACCTGCTTTCTATTGATGCAAGTTTCAGCTGCCAATATCTGATGCATGTCGATCTAGCGGTCAGTGATTTTGATTTTACGTGTTCCGTTCCCCTACTCAACATTCCATCCTCCACTGTTAACGATATTTAGCGGCTATGGCATATTGAGCAAAATGACTGCCATCTGGTGACCCCTATCAGATGTGAACCAGCTGGGGTACTCCTTGACGCAACCTTACTGTGCAGTATCTAATGGAATGCATGGTTTGACTGAAGTTATTATGGCCGCCAAGTTGCCACCCTGGTTGTTATTACGATCGGCAACACCTGTGTAAAATACTGGATCGCGATCTGTTCGCTGTTGTGACCCTTCCTACACTGATTCGCAGTGCGACAATAAGACAATACTACAATGTAGTAATTCAAGATATGTAGCCTCCTCGTGAAGCAAGACTATGCTAAAGATCAAGTCATAAACAAGCACTCTTATTGGCGTATTCAGACGGGGTCTTACTTGACAGTTTTACTGAACCGCCTTCCTTGGCCAAAAGACGACACAGTGGGAGACTTGTGAAGAATTCGTATGGTCAGGGTAATGCAGTTTAGATAGGGCAAGGGACCTTTTCAAGACGAATCTCAACAGGCCATAGCGGTAATGCGGGTTGAGAAATCCGCCTCTTACTAGTATGTTCGTAGCAGTTTACTCTGATTATACTCCCAGGCCGATAGATGCTCGTATTTCGCCGGTGACTCGTTGGATATAAACTGTTCCAAAGGACCAACACTCTCCGCCCGACTGGGTTTACCAAAGTAAGCCACACTGTACCGATCCGCGAGAATCGCCTCTGTCGCATGTGGAGGCAGTCGCACTCGGTGATTTGCCGAGCGCACGAGAGCATTCGTCCACCGTTGTAAGCAGTCGCCCACATTGACGATCAAGACATCTGCCGTCGTCGGCTCGATGGGGATGAATTGTCCGTATGATGCCTGGTCCTCGACTTCTAATCCCCCAACAGCGTCTTGAAACAGTAAAGTTAAAGTCCCAAAGTCCGAGTGCTCGGAAATCCGCATGGCGCCTTGCTCGCAGATCTGTGCAGTTTCACAGGCTGGATAGTGGTTAAGGCGGAGCTCGCTGGTGTTTTCACGACACTTGTCCTGAAAGAATCCGGCTTCCAGATGCAGCGCAGTTTCCAAGACATGGAGAAGTTCCATGTGTACCAAATGCATTCGTTCATAAGTCGTCTCCATGAACTACAGACTTGGTGAGCAAGAACGCCAGAATAGCTATTCGATACATTACCTTTCTGAATCCTGGGAGATCGGTTTCATCCGGCCAGATATTGGGGTACCGGTCATCATCCGCACTGCCTTGATCGAAAGATTCCTAGCAAAAGAAAAAGAAAAACCAAAAATGAACAGATCCACTCGCTATGAGCCATGGAATGACTTACCTTTAGATCAAAAATCGTCTTGTTCGTCCTAATGCCTTTCTCAAAGCCAGAAACCATAGACAGTTTCTCCTGACCAACCGCAGAGTAACCTCGATGCGGATTGGGCTGCGGTGGGTGGGCAGCCTTGAGTTTGGCCTCGGCAGGGAGGGCAAATAATTCTCTGTTCTATGAAGCATTGTGATGAGTACCAGGGAAAAGACCAGATGGATTCTGTGATGCTTTACCCATTTAAACAGCCTGTCCACAAATTGGCCTTCGATGCCATGGTTTGTCAGTTGAATGAAACCATACTCCTGGAATGCTTTTAGAACGGAGTATGAAAACGCTTCTCGACCCGTGGCAGCCCCTGCAGTAAATTTGGAGAAGTCAAAACAAGGAATGCGTTTTGCCTTGATGAAGGTCATGTCTTGATTTTGGAGGGATGGGTGACAAAATGAATAGAAGGACCTAGGGTTAGATTGACCATCTGCACTTTTGTGGCGACGGGTTTTGATTTCATGTACATATGCAGCTTGTTCTCATAGACAGCTCTAAACAAAAAAAAAAGAAAAGAAAAGAAAAGAAAAGAAAGGAAAAAGAAATAAATACGACCTAATCGCATACGGCTAGTACCAACTACAGAATCTTGTAATTTTCATGATATGGGCTAGCCAGATTCCGTTATTATATGTGGGGTAAGGTAGGATGCATTTTGCACGGAATCAAGACGAATCTTGCCTCTGCATACATGAGCGGTTTATCTGTATTTTTGACTAAATGTGTAATGCATCCATGTACAGCCTTGTAATGGCGCATTGGCTCGAGCGCGCCAATCGCGGAGTGCTTTACGTTGTATGTATACTAGCACACTGCGTGTCAAGGAGTGGCAGAGGGTCCTATATCTAATCTCTAATATTCTATATGTAGTGTGCTGTAGGAGGTAGGCTAGAATAAACGTAAACAATCGCCATCATTTACCTCAGCCACATTAGCCAGTATTGCGCGCCCGAAGAGAGATCAACGTGGGTTGATGTACGTGAAGGGAGAGCCTTACTCCCATAGTGACTATTAGAAGGAAATGGAGAAGGTTGAATAAGCGCGGAAATAAAGGGAACAATATCATGGGGCAGTCATCAAGCCATATGTGAAGTCCAGAAAAATCGGAGGCGGATTCATATGGCTGGGTGGGACACATAGACATTTCGCATAAATCGTTGCAATGAGAAACCCCAATACAAGGACAGAAAGTAGAGCGAACTTGCTCCGAAAAAGGTGAGGCCCTTCGGAAGCGCCCCATCACTTCGCAAAATGAGGGACAGAAGAGATGACCACAATGGGATGCCGATCATGGCTCCCAGGGACTGGACTGTTCGAATCCCCATATAGAGGCGCTGCACCGCTTCGGTATCCTGCAAGGCGCTGGTGGCAAGAGATCGCAAAGAGTCGTTGAGGCCTATACCCAAAGAATACACCACCAAACCAAAGCCGTACACGAGGATGGAGGGCGACACGGACAAGACGAGGCATCCCACCGCGCTGAAGATGATGCTGATCAAGGCAACCCAAAGGTCCACCCGCCGTTTGGTGCCCAGTAATGGCCTCAGAATCCCATGCGACAAGAGGGGTAATGCGAGGAGAACCGCGGCAGAGACTACCTGGCCCATGGACCACAATGTGTTGACACTCGCCAGCTTCCAATGGAAGTTGCTAGAGGCCCACTGCTGGAAGGTGTTGTGGACGGTCATGGCCATCGTACTGCTGAAACAGATGGCCATGACCCGCCGGGTGAGGGGTTCCCGTACAGCGTCCACAAAGAGCATCAACGATTGGGGGAGTTCGACCGTGAGGACCCGCCGAATGGATCCACACCAGAGTCTACATTGCTGGACGACGCCTTCATGTTCCGGGCTGTGAGTCTTGGACGCAGACAATAGGAAGGAGGACGAAGTAGAGTGGTCCGCCAGCTCGGGCTGTTGTTCTATTGCCTGGGAAGGGGAGCTTTGCGGCAGAAACCAAACGGCCGGGATGGTCACCGCATAGATACCGGTGGCTGTGGCGCAAAGCTGCCAGACATCGACACGGAGAATCAAAGAGCCCAGGAAGGATCCCAGTGAGCCCATCCCAATCAGAAGGGCCGTTAAGGTGTAAAACGCATCGCTCCTGTATGACCGATGAGCTGCATGCACTTGTACCAGCAATGTAATCCGGAGTGATTGGGGAAGCCGTCGTATGAATTCCAGGGGGCCAAAGCCACTCACAGTCGATCATCCGGTACATTCTCTGCAATATACATGCTCAGCATGATTTCTCGGACCGGGATTCCCCCTCCCACGGTAGTAAAGACGCACAGGCCTAGAACCATATGCACGTTGAACAGATTGTAAAAGTAAACTAAGTTGGAACGACGTGGCGGTCAGCAAGATGGATCTCAGAAGTCAGTCGGGGCTCCTTACAAACCGATGAATATGCCAAGGTTGCGAGAACGAGGCCGACCGCGTTAATCAAGAGCACAGTCCGCTTCCCAATACTTGACGCCAGCCTGGTCCATAAGGGAGTAATCAGAAATCCTAGAGTATCCCAGTCAGTTGCTGCCTCTCGAGCCCGTCATCACCGATGCTGCCCCGCACCAACCATCAAGATGGACCAAGTCAGTAACCCTGATAACACCGCCACCTCGGACTGCACAGGTTTTATTTTACACCTGGATTCGGGGACACTGCCATCTGGGAGAATCACGTCAGGGTCCGAGCTGGCATAGAACTGGCGACAGAGTGCTTGCTCGACGAGGAAAGTTTGCGAAACGTCCACCATGGCATAGGCCAAGCCATTCAGAGCCATAATTAACATCGCCTGCAAATCGGGTCTCGCAGCCATCTTCGATGCCCGCTGATTGGATGGGACAGTCACTGTGATGGGGCGTCGTTTGGCAAAAGAGTTGACCTAAGTTGGTTGGGGGTATTTGGGAATCCGCATCCAAACCCTTGGAGACTGCTGATTTGTTAAGTACTTGGATGGCAACGGTGACCAACCTCAGGCAGCTAGACCGGTGGCATGCGTGGAAAATGTGACACTGTCATTGAGAAAGAGCCAAAAGCAAAAGAAAAGTCAACCCTGGTTGTCGACCCCTGGACGAATCTCAACTGAACACATGACCGAGTAAGGCGCTGGTCAGCGAAGCACCGCCAAGGATCAACTCCCTCCTGTCACCCCCTCCGGGTAATGCTTCCAAGGCCTCGCAAGAGGGCTAGGGGAGCTTTGACCCTGACCCAGAGGCCAATGCGTCTCCCCGCTTGGATGGGTCGGCGGTGGTCTAGCCAATCGATCTACGGCGTTACACCACAAGCAAGGGTGTCTGGTGGAGGACCGATCGATCGTGGCATGGAGCAGAATGTAACCACAACGCATGTCTATACCATACATCACCCCTCGCAGAAGAAACATGCGCGTTATTGGACTTACAAGAGGGGCAATCGGCGCGGCCCGCCCCATCAGAGTTCCGTTGACGGTCCCAACTTCAGATACGTAGTCATCGTTGTGGGGGCACCGGGATGTAGAATGATCCGATACAGCTGGGGTCAACTTTAGAATCTTTGCTGTTCACCAAAGTTACGAAGGTGAGATGAAGGAAACTAATGCCAATAAGATAAAATACGCCTGGCTGTGACATGAAAGGGGATTTCATCAGCTGATCTCGGACCGTGCGTGTGTGGTCGAACAAGACGGGCGTGGAATTAGAGGACAAAAAGGATCGACTCTGGGTCTCACGTCTTTCATCCCTCCACTCTGCCCACCCGCTTCAACAATCGACCGGCATGTATGTCTATCGGACATTATCACACGGTCCAAAGCCTGAAAGCCGACCAGAAACTTGGCTAGAGGACACGCTACAAATAGATATATAGATATATATATACATACATATAGTTGCGTAACTGACCCCAGTCGGACTCAGTCCCACTCCACATGTCATTTTTAGTTGGAGATCGAAAGAGCAAAGCTAGGACGGCTCCTATGTATCAGCTAATAACCGGTGCTTTTTTTTGTCAGGGCGTCAATGGGATCCATATCATCGCAGATGCCCAGCATCTTATCAGTCACATAGCCAGCGAGCCTCTGAGCATCAATGGACCATTTTTGGACCGCATTCTTATCCCACCACACGAAATCATTGCTCTAAGAAAAGATGAGTCTCTCGTTAGTTGCAATCACGAAGTTGATCAGATCAAGAACATACCTCTGGGCGAACCCAGGACCGGCAAAAGAAGGCCGAATGCAATATTCTCTCTGCGTTGGTCGCATTCGCTCCTCCTCCATGTAGAGCCGACCCCAAGAAAAGGAATGCCTCACCAGGCACCATGTCCACCGTCAAAACGTCCTCAGGGATGGTGGGTTGGCGCTGGTCCCCCCAGAGATGAGATCCAGGTACAAACTAAAAGTAGAATCAGCCGGGTGGGAGTGCGCCATGATACGGTAGCACAGTGTTACCATTGTTGCTCCATTCTCACGGGTCGTTTTCACTCCTGGCACTAGGAGAGACATGCCGATATCAGATCCGATCCGATACCCTGTGTCTTCCTGGCTGGAATGTACCTGTTGCCAGATGCTGTCGTCGCGGTGTAAGGCTTGTGCTTTCCCACCTGGCCGTGTGGCGATGGTATTTGCTCCGGAGAGGATAGCATTCGTGCTTCGCCCTGGCTGACTATTTAGGTCTACAAAGGGGGGGTTGGTAGTTCGTAGGAAGTGATTGATAATGACCTGCACATTCTCTTGCAGGATTATGTCCTCGCGCATGGTTTTGCTGAGCCCGTATAAAAGTCCGCAGTATATTCGTCCGTGATACCGTGCGTCCCAGGTCTTGTGTGATGGTCAGTAGAAATTTCGTGCTCAGGAGAGTGTGCTGCCAGGTTACTCTGTCCTGACACCTTTGCATCAGGGAGCTCTTCATGTCCTGATTGACCTGCTCAATTTGCTCTATCGGAAATCCCGTCAGAATAACCCCACCATCCTCCTTGATGATCTTGATGGCCTCGTCCGGTTGGGAAAGGTGCGCACGACGCAACATGTTGATGAGAGCAGGACTCGTGGTGGGGTAAATGCTAACAACACAATGAGCAGGCTAGTTAGACACAGTACTGAACATATGTATCACACCTCGTTGGGTGGCATCTGGGGCATCCCAACAAAAGTAATGAAGGATTGATCGAAACTTGCAGGGAGGTCGCAAGGAGGATGGCCCAGTCGGGTTAAGTCCAGTCAGTGTGTCGCAATAGTATGATGTATTAGATTACCGTACATACAGTACGTGCGCCGTCGTTACACTAGCAATACCTCAGTCACCATCATTCGTTTACTTCATGCATGCCAGAAATAGAACGAGGAGAATGATGCGACTTCAGATGTGGCTGGCTGACCATCAGTGCTGTCCGGGCACCATTGTATGGCACGTTTTTACTTTGCTTGGACCTGATAATTAAGGACGACCTCGTAGGGATGCAGTACATTACCCTAATTGAATGCACAGGCATAGGCAGCAAGGTGTCACCACCGCCATCTACAGAGAAGCGAGTACGCTATTCTCTGTCCAGACCAACATGATGTCGCAATAGTACTTGGATTTCGATGAACGGCCAGAGGATTACACTGTTTCTCGACTAGGGAATAATCTTCAACAGCAACGGTGTAAACCACGGCCCTAATGACCCTAATGCATGTAAAGAAAATACCGCAAGGTGAGCCAGTTGATGAAATCCAACCCCGCACGGGATCCACAGAAAGAGTAACGCGGTGGAGGGTCTCGGGCTGAAGAAACGGTGTCGGCAGTATACTTGATTTAATTACCGTGCACGCTATGGTGATAGGACTGTAGACTTTGGAACTGTACTGTGGCAATATGGTACCTATTAATACTATTGAGAATATGTATCCTGCATAATAGATTCGTCAGACACGAAAAGAAAATTTGAGAGGCCGAAAACCGGGTGAAAATACTGTAGATCTACAGTTTCTTCAACACTAGGACCTCCCACTAGGTATCTATACAGACAAACCACAGCCAATGGAAAGAAAAATACCGGGAGACTACGGTAAGTACGTGAGCTGAGTTTTGACTCGTATGTTCGAGACCATTTTACAGGAGCATTCATGGTCAAAGAGGTACTGTGCCTTGGCAGCAGAGCTCGAATGTATTGTAATGTTTAATGGTATGTAGTGATCCAATCGTAAAGAATCGAGAAAGGGAGATGAACAGGGATCTGGAGACCCGTCGATTAGTGTGAGAAAAGGATAAGTTGGCGAGAGGAGGGGTATCAGTGCGAGACCAGACAAGTATGCTGCAGGGATGGTAGCCTTCCATTTGATAAAGCATTGAAGAGCAAGACCTCCTAGGACAGGTATCTGGCACATTGAACATCAAGAGCTGGAAAGAGTATCATAAGTTCTCTCCTAGCCCCGTCTGTACTGACAATCAGAATCTCGTGGGACTAGGAGAAGTAATCGCTGCGAGATGACCCGCAAGCATTTAGAACCTGATCCATCGCGGGTCTTAGATAGGTCAAACGGTCTCATCAACGCCAATTCAACTCCAATAGCAAAGCTTCCGGATCTGAGCGATATAGAAAGGCTTCGGGTCTGGAATGGTAGAGCTACCCCGGCAGGAGACCTGCGGGTTCATGATCTGATCCAGGAACGAATGATTTCTCAGCCTGGTGCGCCTGCGGTTTGTGCTTGGGATGGCAACTTCACGTATCAGGAATTGGATGAATTCTCCTCCAGACTGGCTAGCGAGCTGGTAGCCCGAGGAGTGAAGCCAGAAACATTTGTGGCCGTGTGCCTTCCCAAATCCAAATGGACTGCAGTTTCCATTCTTGCCGTTATCAAGGCCGGCGCTGCCTTTGTGCTTCTATTTGATGGCTACCCAATTGCGCGACTACGCGAGATTTATGATCAAGTCCATGCAACCGTTCTGTTGGCAGCGCCGGAGCTAATTGACTATGCCCAACAACTATCGGACGATGTTGTGCTTGTTGGAGACAGCCAGTCTCTGGACTGGCCGCACGAAGTCCAAGGCTTGAAAGATATACCAACCACAGGGAACAGTGCGCTTTACGCGATCTTTACCTCTGGATCCACCGGAAAACCCAAAGGCGCTGTCAATGAACACGCGTCTCTATGCGTGGCCGCGCAAATATCTGGTCAAGCGCTGGGGATGAACGATCAGAGCAGAGTCTTTCAATTTGCATCTTATGCATTTGATCCAACGATCATGGACTTTCTGCGGACACTAATATTCGGTGCCTGTGTCTGTATTCCTTCGTTTTCCCAGACTAGAAATGACATTGCCGGCGCTATGAACCAGTTCAAGGCAACCCACGCAAGCATGACACCCTCGGTTGCACGAACCTTGGATCCAGATGGAGTCCAGACTTTACAGGCCCTGGAACTGGCTGGTGAGCCCATGCTAGAAGCTGATAGGAACCGATGGTGCGGCAGGTTGCGGTTGGTGAATGCGTACGGGATTGCGGAATGTGCCGTCTACTCCGTGCTCCGGTTGATGAGCAACGAGGTCTCACCGCGCAATATTGGTTTTGGAGCAGGATGTACTCCATGGGTAGTTGATGAGGAAGATCATAACTCCTTGTTGCCCATCGGCGAGATTGGGGAGTTGGTTTTGGAAGGTCCGACAATTGGTCGTGGTTATATCAACGATCCTCAAAAGACCAATGATGCCTTTGTAAGGGGTCTACCATGGCTAGAAGAGTTCCGCGGAGACGCCTCCTCCAACATTCGAATCTATAAGACGGGCGATCTAGTTCAGTATCAACCAGACGGGTCACTGATGGGAATGGGTCGCAAGGATACGCAGGCCAAAGTGCGGGGACAGCGCATTGAGTTGGGCGAGATTGAGCACCACATGGGCGCTCTCCTCAATCCCCAGGAAGAGGTGGTTGTCGAAGTAATCTATCCAGGCCATGACCCTCGAGATAATGCCCTTCTTGTAGCCTTTGTCCGTTTATCTGCTAAGAGCAACGTTTCACCATCGACTGATCTCTTCGCACCGCCAACTGATACATTTCGAATCCGCATGGAGCATCTTGAGACTCAACTAAAAGGTCGAATACCAGAGTTTATGATCCCTGGAGCATTCGTAGCGTTGAACTGGATTCCTCTTTTGATCTCCGGTAAGACAAACCGACGACAGCTTCGAGAACAAGCATCGCGTCTGTCGCGCAGCGACCTCGAATCCTATATGAGGACCGCAGCAGTCCATGTTTCCCCAACCAGCCAGATTGAGGAAACGTTGCGAGAAGAGTTTGCTCAGATCCTCGGGCGTCCAGCACGGGAGCTAAGCATCCATGATTCCTTTTTCCGCCGCGGCGGAGATTCCATTTCCGCAATGCAGCTGAGTGCGCAATGCCGAACAAGCGGCTTACCCATTCAGACGCAGGACATTTTCCAATATCCCACAATTTACATGTTGGGTCAGTATATCCTCAGTCGTCGGAGCGCTACAGCGGCCTTTCGCCTTACCCCTGCGCAAAGACTTGTGCTCCCAGCCCGAACTGGCCGGGATGTGCCGGCTCAGAGCATCAGCCATCGACTGGAGAGCCCCATAAACCTCAAACACCTAGAACTGGCCATTCAATACCTCATGGATCGGCATCCAAGTCTTCGGACGAGGTTCACTGCAGGAGACGATGGTCAGTGGATGCAAGCGGTTGCTCCTTTGGACCAGAGGCTGTACGAGTGCTCCGCCCTTCAAATATCAGACCATGCAAATCTTGACCGGCTACGGGACGCTTATTGTGACCGGCTGAACATCATTGATGGACCGCTTCTGTTAGCATACCTGGTACACGGTGATGGTGGAAATCAGAGCCTCCTTTTAATTGCTCCCACGGTCATCATGGATGCATACTCCTGGCACATTCTCCTCTCTGATCTACAGGCATATCTGCAGGGCAATATTCTTCCACCAGTGTCCGACTCGTTCCAGGCTTGGTTGGAAGATGACCACGATCTTTCTCAATACTCAGTACTGACAGATTCAAAACTGATCCCACATGAGGATATTTCAGGCTCCGACAAGCTCAAGCTCGTATCCTACCAGATCGAGCTGGATCAATCGACAACGGCACTCCTTCGCCAGAGCCGTGAAGCTGGACTGCACATCACACCAGAAGAGGCCCTCCTTGGATCTCTGATCCATACATTTGTCACCACTTTCCCAGATCAAGCGCATCCCCAGATTTGGATCAAGCGCAACGGCAGAACGCCAAAATACTCGGGACTCATCGGTCAATTTACCATCCACAGACCGCTAGGGCTTTCGTCTGGAACCAACCAGGATCTGATTGACATTGTGCAGCAAATCAAGGATGCGATTCGAACTGGCCGTGGAACGGAAAGGACAACTGAGACATCGCCCAAAGTAATCTTCCTCTGGGAGGACAAATTGAACGATGTTCCCATAGCGTTCCATGGAAGCACACTTCAATGTGGATCGCCAGCCATTTTGGCCATCACAGCTTATCCCTTGGTGGACTCGGTCACGCTCCGCATTACACACAACCGTGATCTGAAAGACCAAATGGACGTTCAATATTGGCTCCATCAATGGCCTGCATTGCTAGCAGAAGGATTAAAGCAACTAGCCACCCTTGAAACTCAGTTGACCATCGGGGATTTTCCTCGGCTAGCCATGGACCTGTCTGGGCTGGCGAGTCTGGTCGATGCCAGCTTAGCCCAACACCATGTTGAAAATCTAAATCAGATTGAAGATATATACCCGACGTCGTTCATCCAGCAGGGCATGTTGCTCAGCCAGGCTCGGGATCCTCTATCATACTGTTCCTCGACAACGTGGGAGATCAGATCAATATATAACTCCACAGTCGACTTAGCTCGACTGCAAAATGTGTGGCAGCAGCTGATGAGCCGTCATTCCGTCCTTCGCACTGTTTTTGTGCCACATCAAGATGGCTGCCACTATCAGATTCTACTCAAGCGCGCCCCAACCCCTATCAGAGTGTTACAATTAGATGCTTTAGAATCCATTCAGGTAGCAAGGAAAGAGGTTGATGGCTTCTCTGATTTCCGCACATTGCTTCCCTGGGCACTCACACTGGGCCCATTAAGCGGGGGAAGCGTGGTGTGTGAATTGAAAATCAACCATGCCCTGATGGATGGCGAATCTATGCGGCTTATCGTTCGAGACGCTATGCGTGCCTATGATGGCCAGCTGCAGTCACAGTTACCTCCTTTATATAGTCAATATGTCGACTACCTCCACCATGTCCCTCGAACGGTGTCCTTGCAGTATTGGGAGACATATCTCAGAGACACCGAGCCATGTCTTTTCCCATCCTTTGCAAGAGCGTTTACTAATGAGCAGACTCATCCACTCGCCGATCAACAAATTCAGATCAAGGACATTCGCCAACTGCTGTCTTTTTGCGACAAAGAGGGGTTGACATTATTCAACCTCATTCAACTAGCCTGGGCCATTGTCCTCCAGTGCTATGTTGGCACAGATACTGTCTGTTTTGGTTATTTGGCATCAGGCCGGGATGTTCCTCTCGATGGCGTCCAAGACCTTGTCGGCCCTCTGATAAATATGCTAATTGCTCGCATTGATCTGACAGAGAAGCTGACCGTCCGCCAGCATCTAACCCAGAACCAAGAGAGGTTTGCTCAAAGCCTTCCACATCAGCATTGCTCTCTCTCAGAGATCTATCGTAATATTGGTCAGTCTGGAGCAGGCTTGTTCAATACTCTCATCACCTATCAGAAGATTCCACCAAAGGAAAGATTTAGCCTTATCTTCGACGAGATTCGTGACATCCAACCGACTGAGGTAAGTGGCGCCTGCGATTAAGTACAAGGCTGTTTGTTTCTAATTATCCAGTTTGATATTGTCCTGACTGTCAACGCATACCGTGACATGATTGATGTTTCATTCACATATCTGGTATCCAAGCTTCCATCGAATTTGGCTGCTAGCATTGCCGGGGCTTTCAGCACGGTACTGGCCGATATTGTCACACGACCAGACTCTCCTGTATCTGAGTTGAGCGTACTAAGCAGCTCAGACCATGCGCAGATCTTGGATTGGAACACTCCTGCTGTGCCAGCGGTCAGTACCTGCATCCATGATCTAGTATATGCCCGCTGCCTGGAGCACCCAAACAAGTCGGCGGTCTGTGCCTGGGATGGGAGTTTGACGTACCAGGAACTCTGGGATCACTCTACTACACTCGCTGGGTATCTAGTCCGCCGTGGCATTGGCCCTGAGATGCCTATTCCGATCTGTATGTTTAAATCCGTTTGGTCCACCGTGAGTATGCTAGCCGTGCTAAGGGCAGGGGGTACTTGCATTCTGATTGACCCTACCGCCCCAACGGAGCGCATCCAGTCCATGGTGAGCGAACTAGTGCCGAAGGTGATCCTGGTATGCCCAGGTACGGCCGATATGGGCTTTGACTCGGCAGCAGAGAGAATGGTGGTGCGGTCGGAGTGGTGGCTGTCCTCTGATGCCATGCGGCCCCTGGATATCCAGTCTCGTGCCCGGCCACAGGACGCGGCATTTATCATCTACACCTCTGGTAGCACAGGACGGCCCAAGGGAATTATCTTGCAACATGACTCACTCAGCACCAGTATGCTCGAGCATGGACACCGCGTCAACATTGACTCCAATACCCGCGGGCTGCAGTTTGCTTCTTATACCTTTGACATGAGTGTCTATGAAACGTTCAACCCTTTGATCTACGGAGGATGCGTCTGTATCCCATCAGACCATGCCAAAATGAACCAGCTAACCCAGTTCATTGTGGACACCAGTATTAACTGGGTCGCCTTCACGCCGTCCATGATTCGAATCTTGCACCCAGATGATATGCCTAATGTCGAGACAGTCTTCCTGTCTGGAGAGTCTCTACCGGAAGATGTGGCGGATATCTGGGCGCCCCGGGTGAAGCTATTCAATGTGTATGGTCCAGCAGAGTGCACCAACTGCGCTGTGCAGTTCATAGATCCCATTAGCCAATGGGCTGCTGGTACGGTTGGATGGCCTGTCGGAGGATCCGGCTGGATTGTCGATCGGTCCAACATCAATCGGCCCATGCCGGTAGGCGCGATTGGAGAGCTGCTTTTTGAAGGCCCGGTTGTAGCTCGCTCGTATTTTGATCGGCCAGATGCTACTCAGTCGGCCTTCATCACGGCTCGACCGGCGTTCCTACCACCGCTGCCAGACAACCATCAGTCACGATTGTACAAAACTGGCGATCTCATGCATTACAATCCCGATGGATCAATGCGCTATATCGGGCGCAAGGATCGCCAGGTGAAGCTGCGCGGGCAGCGGATCGAGTTGGAAGAGATCGAGGTCCATGTACGGCGCCATCTTAGCCCTAATGAGAATGTCGTCATAGATGTCATCAACCCTGCGGACCAGAAACACACCAAAGTCTTGATTGCCTTTCTGTGGGACGGTGTTTCTCGCGATATCAAGACTGGAGACGACAATGGGTGGTTGCTACGTGCAGATGACCACTTTCGCGCCCATTCCGAGACAATCCTTTCTCAACTCCAAATATCGATTCCAACATATATGATCCCTCAGTTGCTGATCCCAATATCCATGGTGCCCAAGACGAAATCTAGAAAGACAGACCGAGGCTTTCTCCATCGCATTGCCTGTCGGCTCTCTCGCATGCAACTAGAAGCCCTGGTAGCTACAGATGGTGGAATATTGCAGCCCACGACTGATAATGAGATTGTCATACAGCAGATATGGGCAACGGCGCTGGATATGTCTGCTGATCTGATAGGAATCCACCATAACCTGTTCCAGCTTGGGGGTGACTCCATTACGGCCATGCGAATCGTCAGCCTGGCCCATGCTCAGGGCTACCGTTTGAGTGTCGCCGAGATTTTTCGCCGACCAACCTTGATGCATTTGGCCGAGCGTCTGCAGAGACAGCAAGAGACAGTATCCACTATAGCATATACACCATTTTCTCTGGTGGGAGCAGAAGATGATATGCACGATTTGCAGGCAAGAGCCCAGGATGAGTGCAATGTATCTTCAAGTGACATTGAAGATATATATCCATGCACCGCACTGCAAGAAGGGCTGATGAGTTTGACCATCAGAAAACAAGGGTCTTACCTGGCACAGTACCTTTATCTTATCGAAGGGGGAATAGATCTGGATCTTCTGGCCGTATCCTGGAATGCTGTGGTTCAGGCAAACCCAATCCTTCGAACCAGAATTTTCCAAGGACCATCAGGCCGGATGTTCCAGGCAGTATTGGAGAATGGTCCTTCGTGTGAGGTATTACCAACTGGATATGATCTAGACCAGTATATGAAGGCAGCAAAAACCATGAGGATTGGACTAGGAACAGATCTCCTTCAGTCGGCCATCTGCTCTCGATCCGGCGATGCATATTGGATTCTGACAATTCACCATACTGTTTATGATGGCTGGTCCAAGACCCAATTGCTCGAACAGCTGGAGGGTGCCTATGCTGGACATGCTCCCCAGCTACACCCTTTTACTGGGTACATTAAATACCTTTCTGAAAAAGATGTATCAGCAACAAAAAGGTTCTGGGAATCTGAATTTGCAAACCTCGACTGCGAGGTGTTTCCCCCACGAGCTAGTCAATATACAGAGACATCAACTCTGCAGCTGGTGGAACATTCTTTCCAAATTCCGTCCAATACCTCCAGCGTCACAATGTCTGCCATTATCCGTCTAGCCTGGGGGCTAGTCGTGTCCAAGTACACCGATTCGCAGGATGTTGTCTTTGGCGCCACGGTGGCTGGGCGCAGCGCTGCTGTCGATGGCATTGAGCAAATAGCAGGCCCTACAATCGCCACCGTCCCGTTCCGAGTGCAAATTAGCCCGAACATATCGGTAAAAGCAGCGCTAGAGGAGGTACAGACTAGAACAATCGCGATGATACCCTATGAAGCCACGGGAATTCACCGCATTAAGGGACTGGGTGCCAAAGCAGCCGCTGCGTGCCAATTTCAGAGTCTACTGGTGATTCAGCAGGAGCAGAGCTTCTACCAGCCTCATATGGTCCATGAAGTGGAACGATTCTCGGATAACATCGCCGCAATCAATACATACCCACTGACGATTCTTAGCAATTTGAATAAGGACAATGTTCACCTTCAGGTATCGTTTGATCCTAGCATCCTCAGCCAGCCAGAGATCCGAGTGATGGTGCAGCAGTTTGAAGGTGCCATCTTACAGTTGATGAAAGGGCATTCTCAGAGTATCTCTGATATTGATCTGGCGGGCCCAGAGACGGTACAGCAACTCCAGGAATGGAATGGGCAGGTCCCCAGCAGCCTAGATGTCACGGTGAATGAGCTGATTAGACCTCACCTCGTGGCTCAGCCTCAAACGCAAGCAGTTTGTTCCTGGGATGGTGATATGACATATGGCGAGCTTGACCACACGTCCTCTCAATTGGCGGACATGTTGGTTCAGAAAGGGGTGAAGGCCGATGTGCTTGTTCCTGTGTATCTGGACGCATGTAAATGGACTCTTGTGTCAATTCTCGGGGTCATGCGCGCCGGGGGTGCCTTTGTCTTGATGGATCCAGCGCAGCCATTAGAGCGCTTGCACCAAATTCACAACCAGCTGAATGCGCCACTACTGCTGACTACCAGACATCATACCGAGTCTGCCCAAGCACTAACATCAGACGTCGTTTTCGTTGATACGCAGGACTGGGAAGAACACCGCGAACAAACGGCTTGGAGAACATACAATGTGCAACCTAGCCATATTCTCTATGCAGTGTTTACTAGCGGCACTACTGGTGTTCCGAAGGGAGTCCTTATTGAGCATGGTGCGTTTGCTACAAGCGTGACTGCTTTGGTGGACCGGTTTGGACTCGATAACAGTACTCGGCTGTTCCAATATGCGTCGTATACATTTGATGTGAGTGTCCTGGATCTCCTCTCCACACTCGTTGCAGGAGGCTGTCTCTGTATTCCGTCAACGGCAGACCGCCAGAATAACCCCGCCCTTGCCGTGAAATCGCTGAACGCCAATTTTATGCATCTGACACCTTCCGTGGCGGAGTTGATCGAACCAGACGATGTTCCTCAGTTGTGCACGCTCGTGTTGAGTGGCGAGCCAATGACACCAGCACTCGTAAAGCGCTGGGCAGACAGAGTCAGGCTGATAAATGCATATGGACCAGCAGAATGCTCAGTTGACTGCTCTGTAAATAACAACGTCTCTTGCCAGTCTAACCCATCTGATATTGGCCTTGCATCGGGCTGTGTCCGTTGGGTTGTCGACAAGGAGGACTACAATAGGCTGGCACCGTTAAATACAGTCGGTGAGCTCCTGATTGAGGGGCCTATCCTGGCCCGTGAATATCTCAACGACGCAGAAAAAACGTCGGCTGCTTTTATTAAAGATCCACCTTGGATGGGCTACTTCCGATTACCAGCAACAACACGGAGACTGTACAAGACGGGTGACCTGGTGCGTTATCAACCGGATGGATCCTTACTGTATATTGGCCGCAAGGATACCCAGGTCAAGCTGCACGGACAGAGAATTGAGCTGGGAGATGTGGAGTATCATGTGAAACGTGCATTCGATTATGCGAGACGTGTGGTTGTTGAGCTCGTTATATCTAGCAGTGCCGACCAGAATAGAGCCTTGATGGCATTTGTTGAAGTCGATACACACTCCTGGGAAGACAAGTCCGATAGCCAGACTATCCTACTGCCCGCCAGTGAAGCTTTTCGTGCTCATGGTCAGAATGCCCTTATCCGGTTACGAAGGAGCCTTCCAGCTGCGATGGTACCAGCTGCATTTCTCCCTATCTCACAAATTCCATTGTCCCAGTCTGGAAAGGCAAATCGGCAGAAATTGCGACTGATTGCTTCTAATCTCCAGAGAAATGAGATTAGATCTTACATGGCCGAGGAACGGGTGCGGCGTGCGCCTACCACGGCGGCGGAGGAGGTCGTTCAGACCATATGTTGCCGCTTGTTGAACATTCCTCTCGGGGAAATCAGCATGGACGACACGTTCTTCGAGCATGGAGGTGATTCCATATCTGCTATTCGGCTCGTCGCTGCTGCGCGCGAAGGAGGATGGAAAATGGAGGTTAGCGATATTTTCAACGAACCAACACTCGCAGCCCTCGCTGGGATTATCCAGCGCGACGACTCCATCACACAGCAAATATTGTCCTTCTCACTGCTGAGGAACACGGAAGAAGTCGATTCCCTCCGTTCGCAAGCTGTTGATATTTGCTCAGTTTCTCCTGATCAGATTTTGGATATTTATCCAACAACGGCACTTCAGCAAGGACTGTTGGCGTTGAGCTTCAAGCAGCGAGAAGCCTACTGCGGCCACTTCGTACTGCAATTATCTGCCAATGTTAACATTGCTCGTCTGAAGGTTGCCTGGGGGCGTACAGTTGAAACAAACGCCATTCTTCGTACTCGGCTGCTGCATAGTGCTAATGGTCAACTGTATCAAGTGGTTGTCAAGGATGAGGTGGAATGGAAACAGGCACAGGGGCTGGATTCGTACCTTGAGAATCAGGCAAAGTTGGCTGTCCGCCTTGGAGGATCTCTAAGTCAGGTGGCCATTGTTCAGGACGCTCCACGAGGATGCTGCTTCCTGGTCGTGACGCTTCATCACGCCTTGTATGATGGGTGGTCAATCTCTCTTATCTTTCAGGACTTGGAAAATGCTTACTATGGACGGCCACTTCCACTGAGATTGTTCAATGGATTCATTGATTATGTAAATTCCATCGATCAGAGAGCCTTGCGTGATTTCTGGACGGCGGAATTCCATGATCTTTCATGCAGCCCATTCCCTGCACTGCCATCTGCCCACTATGTGCCTTCTGTGACGGATACAATGAAGCATTCTATCACGCTAACTGGTGGACCATCTCGCTTTACCATGTCCACGGTCGTACGGCTGGCTTGGGCGACGGTGCTATCGATCTACACAGGGTCAAACGATGTTGTCTTTGGGGCCACTGTGGCAGGGCGAAGCGCATCTGTTCCATTGATTGAGGAGATGACAGGGCCTACAGTGGCAACAGTGCCTATTCGAATCAGGATTGACCCCGTGCAACGTACACAAGATGTTATGCAAAGCCTGCAAAGGCACTACACCAAAATGGTAGGCTTTGAGCAGGCTGGGCTACAATCCATCCGAAGCTTCAGTCCCGAGTCGGCGGCAGCATGTCAGTTCCAGTCACTATTAGTAGTTCAGGGACAGACCGAGGAGAAGGCTCAATCATCAAACCTGTTTCATGCGGTCGACGAAGGGTATGATGCTAGAATGTTTAGCACATATGCAATCAATATCACCTGCGAAATTGCACCATCGTCGATTGATTTCTGCGTCGACTTTGATGGTCGTGTGGTAGAGTTGAGTACAATGCGCATGATGCTCTGGCAATTGGCGCATGCAACCTCAAGCATCCTCGATGGGTGTTCATTCATCGGTGACCTCCGAATGGTTGGTCCAGAAGGCATGCAGTATCTTGCAGACTTGAATTCTGTTGCTCCCAAACGTGTCGACTGCTGCGTCCATGACTTGGTGCTTTCGTATAGTGAAAGGACTCCAGATGCTGTCGCAGTTGATGCCTGGGATGGTCTATTGACATACAGAAAGCTCGACGAGCTTTCTGCAGTCTTTGCAGGGAGCTTAGTATCCCTCAACATTAAAGCTAATGACATCGTTCCGTTGCTCTGTACGAAGTCTATGTCGACAGTCATTGCTCTACTCGGTGTTATGCGTGCTGGCGGTACATTCCTCCTGCTTGATCCGAACCAGCCAATCCTTCGCCTGCAAGCGTTGTGTGTAGAGGTCGGCGCGAATATCGTCGTCGCTTCGAGTGGCCACATTCAATTAGCAGAGAAGCTTGCTACGACGGTGATTGAATGCTCACTGGAAGCCATTACCTTGAGTGATCCGCTGCAGCCAACAGCCTTGCCAGTGACAACCGCCGAGCAGTCACTATACTGTGTGTTTACCAGTGGATCGACGGGGCGGCCCAAGGGCGTCATAGTCGAGCATGGTTCCTTTTGCACAAGTGCCAGTAAGATCGCAGAGGTGACACCGTTCAACCAATCGACTCGTCTGTTCCAATTTGCCTCTTTCATGTTTGACGTCAGCATCACAGATCACCTTATGCCGTTGATGTATGGCGGTTGCATATACATCCCATCTAGCGATCAAGTTGAGAACGGCCTTCCACGTGCACTCAAATCGTCTCAAGCGAACTATGTCGAGCTCACTCCATCTGTGTCCAGAATGCTTGATCCGAGAGAGCAAACTAACTTGAAGATACTCGCACTAAGTGGTGAGGCCATGATGCAAGGCGACGTCGACCGGTGGCATCGCCACCTCAAGCTCATCAATGTATATGGACCTGCAGAGTGCTCGGCAGCCTCGACTATAAAGACCTCCCTTGAGCCAGGGGTATCTCAACTATTACTCGGAGAGGCTGCGGGGTGTGTGTGTTGGGTAGTGGATCCTGATTACCATGAACGTGTCCTACCGCCCGGAGCAATTGGAGAACTGCTCATCGAAGGACCAATTGTTGGACGAGGTTATGTTAATGATCCCGCGCAAACAGCTGCTGTCTTCATAGACCAAGTGTCATGGCTAGAGAAGTTCCGTGGTGGCACTGCGTCTCGCGTGTATAAAACCGGTGATATAGTACAACAACAACTGCCAAGCGGGGAGCTCAAGTACATTGGCCGCAAGGATACCCAAGTCAAGGTGCGTGGTCAACGAATTGAATTGGGCGAGGTCGAATATCATGTTCAACGCCTGTTTGACGGGGCTACAAATGTGGCAGCCGAGGTTCTGTCTCCTAGCGAGTCGCAGAACATTTTGACTGCTTTTGTGGAGATGCCACCGTCACACGCGTCACTTTTGAGATCAGTGATACTTCCTCCGGAGGCATCATTCCATGCCCAGGTAAAGGCTACAGAGCTTCGACTGCGAGATGCAGTCCCGTCTTATATGGTTCCAAGCCTTTTCCTGCCCGTGAATCGCATCCCTCTAACAGTGTCCGGTAAGCTGGACCGGAAGATGCTTCGGGAAATGACCAGCGATCTCTCTCCCAGTGACCTGAGTGCATATCTTGGCCCAGTGAAACCGAAAAGAGCACCGGAAACAGAGATGCAAAAGACCCTGCAGATGCTGTGTGGCAAAGTGCTTAATCTGCCGCTGGAAAGGATTGGCCTTGATGACAGCTTCCTCTCGCTTGGAGGTGACTCGATCAGTGCAATGTCTCTTGTCGCCCACGCAAGTGCCCAGAGCGTCCGAACTACCGTCCAAGATGTTTTAAAATACACATCTATTGAGTCTCTGGCGCTTTCACTCATGAAGACTACAACGCGAATAGCAGACTATAGAGAGCAGGTAGAAGTACCGTTTGCATTATCGCCCATCCAGCGAATGTTTTTCGAGGTTGTGCCGCCTGAGTGCCAGGACCACTATAATCAGAGCTTTTCAGTCTGTCTTTCTCAAAGATTCCCAGAGACACAGTTGCAGGACGCAATAAGAGACCTTGTCCGGCGGCATTCAATGCTTCGGGCCCGATTCTCTCAGCAAGATGGCCAGTGGATTCAGACTATAACTACCGATGTTGCTTCGTCTTTTTCTTTTCAGACTTTTGACGCCACTATGGATGAAACCGACATTGAGCAGCAGGTTTTACGGACGCAACAGTCACTGAATATCCTGACCGGACCCTTGTTGGCTGTGAATCTACAAAATGTCAGTCAAACCTCTCAATCTCTTTTCTTGGTGGCCCATCACCTCGTCATGGACAATGTCTCTTGGCGAATCATTCTCGGAGACCTCGAGCGCATTCTGAGGCCTGATACCGGAGCAATGGCGATAACTTCATTGCCCTTCCAAACTTGGTGCAACCTCCAATCCCAATATGCCCTTGAGTATTTACAGCCACAGAGGATCCTCGAAAGATCAATTGAGCAGCCATTGGTGCAAGACAAAGTCCTTCAGTACTGGGGATTAACCGGAAAGACAAATTGCAACCATGACGTTCTGTCAACAGGCTTTTTGTTGGACGCAGGTACAACTGGGATTCTAATGGGCACTGCCAACGACGCCTTCGGAACACAGCCGGTGGAGATCCTTCAAGCTGCCCTTCTGTTCTCCTTCATCAACGAGTTCCCTGACCGGGAACCTCCCATTATTCACAACGAAAGCCATGGCAGGGAAGGTTGGGAGCCTTCCATTGATCTCTCTCAAACAGTGGGATGGTTTACCACCGTGTGGCCCACATTGGCTGCTGTGCGGCCTGGACAACCTTTATCGGACATTGTCAAACGAACAAAAGATGCGCGACGACGAATGTCGCGTAATGGGTGGGATTATTTCACCTCACGCTATCTTCATCCAGATGGTTGCACTGAGCTCCCTCTTGACGTGCCTCTCGAGATTGTGCTCAACTACCATGGCTCTTTTCAGCAATTCGAAAACAGGAGGAGTGTCCTTAGGGTCGCTGAGACCCAGTACACGCGGTTCGACCAGGCCAGCGCTGCCCCTCGATTCGAACTCTTTGAAGTTTCTGCCGTTGTCAAAAGTGGCCAATTGAGCGTGGACATATTCTACCACCGTGGTATGGGGGCTGACAGGATTGGCCGGTGGTCTACATCTTTTGAACATGCACTGCGTGAGGCGAGTCGGACATTGCCGTCGATGGATATCCAACACACCCTTGCCGACTATCCCTTGCTACCAGCGGATTATGGAAATCTTGAAGCCTTGTTGAAAATGATCACAGTTACACAGGGGCCTTCAGCATCCAAAGCCATTGAAGATATATATCCATGCACGGGTATCCAGCAGGGGATGCTACTGAGCCATTCCCGGGATAAAAACCAATACATCACAGCTACCACGTGGGAAATTCATCGGCCATCTGGTCTTGATACCAGTCGCTTTCTGCGTGCCTGGCAAAAGGTCGTCGACAACAACCCAGTTCTCCGAACTGCTTTTGTAGAAGGCAGGTCAGGCCAATTATGGAACCAGGTGGTAATGAAACATGCAACCGGCAAAGTCATCTCCCTCCTCGATGGTCGCAACCATACGGTGGCTGTTGATCAGCACACGGAGGGAATCACCGGAGTATGCCCATGGAGTCTTACACTGAGGCAGGGATCTTCCCCCGACACGATCTGGTGTAACTTGTCCATCCTCCACGCCCTCGTTGATGGTTTCTCGACAGCTCTTATCGAACAGCAGTTAGTTCGCGCGTATGAGGATGGACGACTTACTGCACCTACCGCAACACTCAAAGATTACGTATCCTATCTCCAGCATGTCCCAAGCGAGTCCGGGACGCTTTTCTGGGCCGGTTATTTGGAAGGTACAGATCCATGTATCATCACCTCCCTTGGTACTGCTCCAGATGCCGATCCAAAGGCAAAGGTGCAGTATTTCCTGGGTGAATTGGATGATGTGAAGCCACTACAGACCTTTTGTGAAAGGCACGGGGTAACATTGTTCAATTTAATCCAAGTTGCTTGGGGAGTGGTCCTACAATGCTATACAGGGATGGAGACTGCATGCTTCGGGTATCTGGCATCCGGGCGCAACGTTCCAATTCCCGGAATCGATACCGCAATTGGGCCATTTATCAACATGCTCATAAGCCGAATGGATCTACCCGGCAGTAAGTCCATTGTGAAGGCTGTCCAGACGAGTCGATCAGATTTCCTCGAGGCATTAGAGCATCAGCATACTTCACTGGCGGAAATATATCATTCTCTGGGAGTGACAGGCCAGGGCCTGTTCAACACTGTCGTATCTCTTCAGAACTTGCCATCGGAGCCTGTCTCGACTTCTGATCTTTCACTGCGACCGATCACGGCTGATGATCCCACCGAGGTAAGTTCTTCCGCTCTTGTTTGTGTTGCTTTGATGCTAACTGTTACTGTAGTATGATCTAACATTGAACGTGGCCGCCTCGCGCCACAGGCTACAATATGCGTTGTGGTACTACCCACACGCTTTCCTCTCTCGTCAGGTCTCTGATCTGGCGGCGGCATTTGGCAGGGCATTGCAGGGCCTTGTTGATCCACACAACGTGAATATCCGAGACGTAACCCTGTTGGGCGAGGGCCACATCGACTTGTTGCGTGCACGGAATGTCAATCCCCCGGAAGCACAACAACATACCATACATGCGACTATTGCCAAATTCTTCATGTCTTCCCCGTTGGCTCCTGCAGTGTGCGCCTGGGACGGTGATTTCTCCTATGCAGAGCTGGATCGTCTCTCCTCCGGGTTAGCAATGAATCTAGTTCACCATGGCGTCGAGCCAGAAATCTTTGTTCCTATTCACAGCAACAAGAGCAAATGGGTGGCAGTGGCTATGCTTGCTGTGCTTCGTGCAGGTGGTGCTTTCACGCTTCTGGATCCTTCGCTCCCATCGGCTCAAAAACAGATTATTTGCGCAGACCTGAAATGCTCCGTCATTTTATCCTCTCGAGCTACCCAATCTGTATCACCCTGCGTGGAAACGACCATCATAATCGACCCTGAAGAGCTGCCGGCATGGAAGACGGAACTGTGTGTCAAGATACAATCGCGCACACCCGCCAAACCCCAGAATGCGGCATATGCCGTTTTCACGTCCGGATCTACTGGTGTCCCCAAGGGGGTGGTGATCGAGCATTCCTCGTTTTGTAGCCATGCAGAGGCCCAGCATCGGGTTATGGACATTACCAGTCAGAGTAGGGTACTGCAATTTTCCGCTTACACTTGGGATGTCAGCATCATGGACCATCTCACCACGTTCATGGCGGGTGGTTGTGTCTGCTCTCCATCTGAGTTTGAACGACTGAATACTCTTTCTCAATCGGTCCAACAATATAAAGCTAATTGGCTCCACACCACACCCCCAGTCTCTCGTCTGCTCAATCCCGCCGCCGTGCCTTCACTTCGGACATTAATCCTCATCGGGGAAACGCCCACTTCTGATGATCTGAATCGCTGGCAGGGTCGAGTATCCCTGCGTCAGGCATACGGGCCAACGGAATGCACCGTTCTCGCCACTGTTAACCAGGCTGTTGGGTCGGATCCGAGAAACGTTGGACATGGCAGTGGATGCCTTTGCTGGATCGTCAGCCCCGATGATCACGGGAAATTGATGCCAATCGGAGCTGTTGGTGAGTTATTGGTTGAAGGTCCGACCCTCGCCCGGGGTTACCTTAACGACCCAGACAAGACAGCCAACACGTTCATTGAAAGGCCGCAATGGCTGGAGAACTTCGGCCGTCCAGCTGATGCTCGGCTTTACAAGACCGGTGACCTGGTTCAATACTACCCGGACGGGTCTATTCGTTATGTGCGCAGGAAGGACTCTCAGGTCAAACTCAGAGGACAGCGCATCGAGCCCGGCGAGGTCGAGTATCATGTTGCCAGAAATTTTCAGGGAGCACAACGGGTCGCAGTAGATGTCTTGACACTGGACTCAGAGCCATCTCGTCCTTTTCTGGTTTGCTTTGTTCACTCTGGTGATAAGGCAACGGCGAACCCCCAAGTGCAACTTTTTTCCTCGCCTGACGGGTGCTTCTCTTCTAAGGTAGCCCTGACTCAGGCTCGCCTTCGTGATATATTACCCAAGCACATGGTACCTACCGTGTTTGTGCCCCTTAATTGGGTGCCCCTGACCAGCTCCGGGAAGACGGATCGTCGACTATTAAAGCGGGAAGCATCCAGGTTGAAACGTGGCGACCTTGATAAGTATACGAATGTGGGACCTACCGCAAAGACAGCACCAGTCACGGAAATAGAGCGCAAATTGCTCCATATCTGGGCTGACGTGCTGGATCTCCCTATTGACAATATCGGGACTCAAGATAGTTTCTTTCATCTGGGCGGAGACTCCATCACTGCCATGCAACTTGTGGCGAGATGTCACTGTCTCCAGATTCCAATCAATTTGGAAGTGGTTTTCCAGCACCGTACAATTGCTGATCTTGCCGAACATCTCCTGAGAGAACAAGAGCATCCCATTGTATTCGCACCAGAAAAATTGGATGTGCTGTTCAACCTGTCTCCTATCCAGCGATGTTTCTTCCAGCACGCTCCCAATGGTTACAACCATTTCAATCAGAGTTTCCTTGTCGATGTCACCATCGATCTGCCGGTAGATCGCATGCGTCAGGCAATTCGGTCCATTGTCGAGCGTCATTCAATGCTCCGTGCACGGTTCCATCAAGACAATCATGGCGAGTGGACACAGATGGTCAGATCGGATGTTGAAGGGTCTTATCAATTCCGAGCATTGAATGTTTCTCAAGATTTAGAACTCAATGTAGAGCTGCAGAATGCGCAATTGTCCTTGGATATTGTCCACGGGCCGGTATTCGCTGCAGACCTGATATTTTTGGATGGACAGCAAACACTTCTGCATCTTGTTGCTCATCATCTTGTAATTGATCTGGTCTCGTGGAGGGTAATATTTGCTGATTTGAAATCTCTCCTGACCTCGAAGGAATGGCCACCATTACCGAGGCTTGGAACTTTAGCATTCCAGCCTTGGTGTGATATGCAAGCTGATTATGCACAAACCGTACTCAAATCACAGCAGGTGCTCCCCTTCGAAATGCAGGACTTATTCGCCACGCCGCTTGACTACTGGGGTATGACGGGGAGTCCCAATGTGTTTCGAGATTCAGTCATTCGATCATTCACCATTGATCAACCCATCACCGACCTCATCCTGGGGGATGCGAACAAGGCATTCAATACAGAGCCAGTAGAGATCCTTCACGCTGCGGTGGCGTACTCGTTCTCCCGAACCTTTACCAACAGAGATCCACCAGTGATATACAGTGAGGGTCACGGTCGCGAGCCCTGGGACGCGTCGCTCGACCTTTCTGAGACAGTGGGATGGTTCACAACCATCTGGCCAAGTGCAGTCATCTTCGATGCTGTGCATAGCTTGGTAGAGACAGTTCGACGGACCAAGGATGCTCGTCGAGCGGTGCCTCGCAATGGATGGCCCTTCTTCACCTCCCGCCACGCCGCCTCCGCTACGTCTTCCCTATCGGCCCCGGATCCGTACGAGATCCTCCTCAACTATGTGGGGTCCTTCCAAAATTTTGAACGCGACGACCCTCCCTTTAGGCTTGTATCACCGAGTAAATACCATTCGATCCAATCTGGCCCAGAAGCACCGCGTCTTGCTCTCTTCGACGTCTCCGTCGACACGATACAAGGGCAGTTGGCCATCAGTGTGGTGTTCAACCAGAGGATGAAACACCGTGAGAAGATCGAGACGTGGATTAATGAATTCGAAAAGACGGTCATCAGGATTGGAGAAGATCTGGCGCGCCAGTCACCGGGCTACTCCCTCAATGACTTCCCTTTGCTTTCCACCACTTACGAATCTCTCGACATAATGCTAGCGCAAGCTGTGCAGCAGAGTGGTGTACAGAAGACTAACCAAAGGCTCATTGAAGATGTCTACCCATGTTCGCCAGTCCAACGCGGTATACTGCTCAGTCAATCCCGCAATAGCAATCTATATCGTCCCCACTTTACTTGGCAAGTCCAATCAACCCGAGGCATAATTGACTTGAAACGTCTCAGAACCGCATGGAACACGGTGATACAGCGGCATGGCGCATTCCGAACACAGTTCGTGGAAGGCCGCTCCAATCGCGGTTACTACGATCAGGTAGTCATGACTGAACAGCCGGACAACATTGGTCTTTTGGAATGCCCGGCTCGGCCTCCTCGGGACTCCATTCGTGATCATCGTGGGACTCGGGTACGAGCCTCGAACGAACTGTGGCAGCTCCTTCTGTGTCAGAATCCAGCAGGGGAAACCTTCTGTGATCTCGAAATCAATCATCTTTTGATCGATGGCACTTCCATCTCAATCCTCACCCGTGAGGTAGAGTTGGCGTACGATAATCTACTGCCACCCGGCAAAGGACCTTCCTATGGGGAATATATTAGATATATACAGTCGGTCTCCAAGGATGACAGCATTAGCTACTGGAAGCAGAAACTCTCAGGGGCTACTCCATGCCTCTTTCCCAAGCTCAGCGAGGAACGCAGTCAGACTGATACACCACCCTGTCGACCTACTTTGCACAGCCACGATGTCGAAATTCAGGATGCTAGTATCATCTACCAGTTTTGCTCGAAGTATGAAGTCACAATCTCCAATCTCTTACAGGTCGCATGGGGTTTGGTTCTGCAAGCTTTCACGGCTACAGATGAGCCCGTAAGCTTTGGATTTCTCACATCAGGACGCGATGTTCCTGTTTCTCGGATCGAATCAGCTATTGGCCCATTCATAAATGTATTGCCATGCCATCTTACTCTCGACTCAAATCAACCATTGGTCAGCCTATTGAAAGATAACCAAAAGAGCTACATCGGCAGTTTAAAGTACCAGAACTGCTCTCTCGCGGAGATCTTCCATGCCATATCGCTATCTGGCACCCCACTGTTCAATTCCACTCTCTCAGTACAGGATAAGACCCCACGCATTGACCCTGGTGGTTCTTCAGTTAAGTTCATTTCCGATAGTTCTTCGGATCCGACCGAGGTTTGTCACTCTCCCGTCGTTTTGTCTTTTATTCCCGGTGTAGATATATGTATAATACTGGCACTAACTTTGCTCCCAGTATGATCTCGCAGTGCACGCTCTGGTGGACAAAACTTCCATATCTCTTTCCATCGACTATTGGGAGAACGATTGTCTTACCAACGACGAAGCATTGAACGTCATTTCGACCCTTCAACAAACACTGTTACATATAGCCTCCTTCCCTAATGTGAAAACGGGGGAGGTGGAACTTTTGAGTCCCAGAGATCAAGAGAGCCTCCGCAGCTGGAGCGAACGGATACCGCTGCCACAAGAGATGTGTGTACATCACTTAATCGAGCCAAACTTTAGGAATACTCCTTCGGCTGTGGCAGTAAGCGCATGGGATGGTGAGCTTTCTTACAAGGAGCTCGATCGTCTATCCGCCCGTCTTGCAGCCCAGCTCACGGAACTCGGAGCTCATCCAGAAATGTTTATGGCTTTGCTATTCGAGAAGTCTATGTGGACTGTAGTATCCATGATCGCGGTGTTGAGAGCTGGAGCAGCCTTCGTGCTTCTAGAGCCATCATACCCAACTCGTCGTTTGGAACAAATTTGTGCCAACACTGGGGCCAAATTCATCCTCAGCTCTGAAAGGAATCAATTGAGACTCAGTCACCTCTCTGCGCAGATAATCGTCGTCAGTCCAGCAGCAGAGCCGCACTGGCCAACCATCAGGCCACTACCAGCCAGGGTTCAGCCACAAAACGCGGCTTACGCAGTATTTACCTCTGGGTCCACTGGCAAGCCTAAGGGCATTGTCATCGAACATGCTTCATTTTGCTCGATGATTGAAGCCAACAAGGCAGCTACAGGTTTGAGTCATGCCTCACGAGTGCTTCAATTCTCTTCGTATGCCTTCGACGTGAACATCAGTGACCATCTTATGACGCTTTCATTAGGAGGCTGTCTCTGCATACCATCTGCGTCCGAATTGCACGACGTTGAAAAGGCCATTGGTGACTACAACGTGAACTACGCTGCTCTTACCCCCTCCTTGACCAGAATCATAAACCCAAAGAGCGTTCCATCACTGAAGACAATTACCACAGCTGGTGAAGCAACCACCCGTTCGGATATTGCACGATGGCACGGCCATGTCCGTTTGAATAATGGGTACGGCCCAGCGGAATGTACCCCATACAGCGCGATTCGACCAGATATCCCGGATTGGTCAGACTGTCGAAATGTTGGCTATGGGACCGGTGGCGTCTACTGGATCGTCGATCCAACCAACCACGATAGGCTACTCCCCATTGGTGCGATTGGAGAGCTCATGCTAGAAGGTCCGGTTGTTGGCCGTGGGTATTTAGACAACGCAGAACAGTCCAAAGCTTCCTTCATAAGTAACCCCGTTTGGCTGAAGCACTTTAGGCCACATACCAGATCACGCTTCTATAAATCTGGGGACTTGGCTCGCTATCAGTCGGACGGGGCGCTCATCGTACTTGGGCGCAAGGACACTCAGGTCAAACTCCGGGGCCAGCGGATTGAACTAGAAGAGGTTCAATTCCACACACGCCAATGCTTCCCTCGGGCCAGAGAGGTAATTGTGGAAGTCATACAAGCTGGCGCGCAACATGTCCTAGCCGCTTTCATTGTACAGCCGACTGACCTAGATTTGGAGCATCTCAAAACCGACAATCTGTTTTACCGTCCAACTGAAGCATTCCAAACTGCAGCTTCCTTGGCGAAAGCCCGACTTCAAGAGTCATTGCCTTCATATATGGTCCCTACTGCATTTTTGCCGTTGACTCACATCCCATTGGTAGCTACAGGAAAGGTCAATCGTGCCCTCTTGAGGCAGTGTTCTTCGGGGTTGTCCGCGGCCAGCATTGCAGAATACCTCAACCCTCGGGATGAAAGTGCCAAGATGGCCCCCAGCAACGATACAGAAGCATTACTCCTGGGTTGTGTAGCAGATGTGCTTGACAAAAGCCCGAGTGAGGTTGACCTGAACGACAGTTTCTTCTTTATCGGTGGCGATTCGATTAGTGCGATGGAGCTAGTTACCCACTGTCGCAAGCAAGGTCTGGCTGTGACTGTTCCAGACATTTTTCGCCACAAGACCGTGCGAAGATTGGCGCCTCATGTCTCGCGAACAGCTCAGATCACTATGGAAACGAGGAAGTTGGTGGACATACCTGTTGGCCTCTCTCCGATCCAACAGGCACTATTGAACCGCCTGCCTGATGGACAAGGTACATACAATCAAAGCTTCTTGCTCAAACTTGCACAGCCCATATCATCAGCATCCATGGACACCGCTATATCCATGATAGTGAAACGGCATTCCATGCTTCGAGCTCGGTTTCAACAGGAGTCTGGTCAGTGGAAGCAGATCATTCCACTTCACACTGATAACTCGTATATTTTCCGGTCCCTAGTGCTGTCGAGGGGTGGTGTTCACCACCACATGGTGGAGGCCCATGAGGCAGTGAATATAATCAAAGGCCCAGTCTTTGTCGCCAGTCATATAACAGTCGACAACACCCAATATGTATTCTGCGTCTGCCATCATCTTGTTGTTGACTTGGTATCCTGGCGTATAATTTTCAACGACCTTGAGACACTTCTACGAGGGGATCCTCTACCATCTAATACCTCCTTGCCCTTCCTCTCATGGTGCAACTTACAATCAGAATACGTAAAGGAGCATCTGAAGCCCTCGTCAACCATCCCGGGTTTGTCCAGCATGCCATCGTTTCAGTGCTCGTTCGAGCAATACTGGGGACTCGATGGTCATTCCAATACATACTCTGACATAGTGCGCAGCAAATTCTCAATCGACGTGCAGGTTACGCAGGTGCTTCTGGGGCCTGCAAATGACCCTTTGCAGACTACACCTGTTGAGCTCTTCCATGCAGCGATTCTCCTGTCATTTGTGCGCTCTTTCCGCGATCGTTCCCCTCCCATAATCTTTAATGAAGGCCACGGAAGGGAGCCCTGGGACAGCTCGGTTGATATATCGGGTACCGTGGGTTGGTTTACAACAATATGGCCCGCTCTAGTCCCAGCAAATCCAAGTGCAAAATTCGTCGACCTCCTTCGATGTACCAAAGATATTCGACGGCAAACCCCAGCCAATGGCTGGAATTACTTCGCAACCCGCTTTCTTCATCCAGAAGGCCGACAGATACTCCAGACTGCTGGGCCCATGGAAATCCTTATGAACTACCACGGACTCTACCGCAACCTCGAGAAAGAAGATAGTATTTTACAAAGCACCACCGAAATAGTGGACTTGCCGTCAAATGTGGGTGGCCACATACCAAGATCGGAGCTCTTTGGTGTAGAAATCTGGCTATCTGACGGCAATTTGGAATTCGAGTTTAGCTACAACAAAGACTCGTTCCACCAAGAGGCAATTCTCAGGTGGATCACTCTTTGCAAGGAAATCCTCATGACCAACGCCAATGAGTTGTTGTCAGCTTCACGCCAGTATACGTTGAGCGACTTTCCCTTGTTGCCTATGAGCTACACAGAGCTACCACAACTTCTGCACAACATTTCGCATTTGGGGATTGATCCGTCCAGCATACAGGAGGCATACCCGTGCTCCCCAGTACAGCAAGGAATACTGTTGAGTCAGGACAAGGACAGCGGGCTTTATTCAACAAGCACAACTTGGAGGGTATTCGGTCCAGGTCTGAGTCGGTCTGAGCTAATCAATCGTCTTCGCAACGCCTGGGCTCGCTTGGTAGCGCGTCACTCAATCCTTCGGACCATCATTGTAAATAGTGCGTCATCAGACAGACTTTATGATCAGATCGTTCTCGATCATGGAGCCGGTGCCGTAACTATTCATGATGACACCGCACCGAAACAAATGTCCGAAAGGCCATTACCATGGCAGTTCAGAGTGACCAACATATCTGATACGGAGCTCACATGCGAGCTTGTCATTACCCACGCCCTCATAGACGGTATGTCCATTCAGAACTTGGGACGTGACCTCAGCAGCGCAATGAATGAAACCCTTCCTGAAGGTGAGGCCCTGCGATACAGTGACTACGTAGCCTACTTGGAATCACTTTCGGAGGAATCAGCGGGCCAATATTGGACACAATATCTGTCGGATGCCAGCAGCTGTATATTTCCACGGTTAAATGAATCTCGCAATGGTAAGCTTCAAAGTGCGAATGACACACTTGATGGCTGTCAACTTCATACCTTTTGCGAATCAAACGGTACTACGCTATTTAGTATCATTCAGCTAGCATGGGCCCTCGTCCTAAGAGGTTATACGGGTATGGATGACATTTGCTTTGGTTATCTGACATCCGGAAGGGATGTCCCACTCCCAGGCATCAGTGGTGCCATTGGCCTCTTCATCAACATGTTGGTGTGTCGTCTCCAACTGGATAAGGAAGCTTCTGTTTTGTCACTGCTAGAGACGAGCCAGAACAACTTCGTTCGCCACTTGAATCATCAGCATTTTTCTCTGGCAGAGATCCAGCATCGACTAGGGACCAGCCGTGGGCCACTCTTCAATACAATCATCTCGCAGCAGAGCTACGCATCTACCCATGAAAACAGTAAAGCTGAGTCAGATACAGTTTCCGTGAAGGCCACTGACATTGAAGATCCCACGGAGTACGACATTGTCATAAATATCGCCGTCAGCGGCGACCAAGTTAATATTTCGCTCAGCTTCTGGGATTCTGTACTGTGTTTATCTCAAGGGTCCAATATCCTTGCTCTTTTAAGACAGACTATTCTAGCAATCATCGAAAATCCATCAGGCACCATTAGTCAAATTGATCTAATCAGCCAAGAGGACCTTGCGTCTATCCATAAGTGGAACAGACAGCTTCCACCCGCTGAGGACATTTGTGTCCATGACCTCATTCTCCAGCAATGTGCTATTCGTCCAGAGGCACCGGCGGTGTGTGCCTGGGATGGAGATCTCACTTACAAACAGCTTAATCAATTCTCGTCCACCTTGGCTTCTAAGCTCAGGCAGTCCGGGGTGGGACCAGATGTATTTGTGCCATTACTGTTTGAAAAGTCCAAATGGACTGCTGTTGCGCTCCTAGGCGTCTTGAGAGCCGGCGGGGCGTTCATATTGTTGGATGCATCATATCCCACGGGTCGGTTGCAAGAGATTTACCGTCAGGCTGATGCTCACATCATACTTGCGTCAACATATACACGCGAAAAAGCCGCCGAGATAAGTGATCAGGTTTTGATGGTCTGTCAAGATGATATTGAGGGGTGGAAGTTGCGATCTGAAGAACAATGCCTGCAATCAAACGTTCAACCGTGGCATGCTGCGTATGCTGTCTTTACATCCGGCTCTACGGGGCAATCTAAAGGTGTGGTTATTCAACATTCGAGCTATGCAACCAGCGGAAAGTCTCTACAGAAACGACTCAGAGTTACCCCAGATACTCGAGCTTTTCAGTTCGCCTCCCACGCTTTCGATGTAAGTGTCAGTGACTATCTGACAACACTAATGGCTGGCGCCTGCATTTGTGTCCCCTCTGAGGTAGACCGAATAGAAAACATTCCACTTGCCGTACAACAGCTGAGATCCAATTGGATGCACATCACACCATCCGTTGCACAAATATTTCAACCGTCGCAGGTAACTGGTATCAAGGTCATGGTGCTGAGTGGCGAGCCAATCAAGCCAGACAATATTGAGACGTGGGGACAGTCTGTTCACCTCATCAACGCATACGGGCCAGCCGAATGTTCTGTCGATTGTGTTATCAATGGCGAGGTGGTTTCCAATCCGTCAAGCATTGGAATAGCCAGTGGGGGGGTTTGTTGGATCACTCATCGAACCAGCCCCAGTCAACTGGTGCCAATTGGCGCTATTGGGGAGTTGTTAATTGAGGGTTCGATTATCGGCCAGAGATATCTCCACAACGAAGCAGAAACAAACAAGGCCTTCATTGAGTCTCCTTCCTGGCTGCAGAAGTTCAGAGGCTTTTCCTCTCCCGGACGCCTTTATCGCACTGGCGACCTGGTTCAATATCTCCCGGATGGTTCGTTAAAATACGTCGGTCGTGGCGATACTCAAACCAAGATCCACGGACAACGCATTGAGCTTGAAGAAGTCGAGTTCCGTCTACGTCAGCATTCCTCCAAATATCAAGATGTAGCAGTTGATATTCTACACCGGCCCAGTAAGGACGGTACTTCCCACCCGGTACTGGCTGCATTCCTCCAATTGCCGGCATCGAAAACCACCGGAGGAGAATTCTCCATTCTGCATGCTAGTCCCGAGTTCTTCACTGATACCCAAACGTTGCGATCTCAATTGGTTGACGTCCTCCCCCGTTATATGGTTCCAGCGATATTCCTTCCGATCAATCATATTCCGCTTACACCGTCAGGCAAGGTTGATCGGCGGCAGTTACGTATGCAAGGAGCCAAAGTCCCATGGGATAACAAGGCTTCCCATCCACAAACAGCGAAATTACAAGCGTCTACGGAGACTGAACATAAGCTCCAGCGAATATGTTCACAGGTTCTGGGAGTCATGGCAGAAGAAATCGGTATGGACGACGACTTTTTCAAGATTGGGGGTGACTCGATCAGCGCCATGAAATTCGTATCCAGGGCTCGCCCTGAAGGCCTTTTCATGACTGTGAGCCAGATCTTCAGCTCACCTAGCTTGAGAAAGCTGGCACAGTCTGTGGTAAATAGGTCTGAGACCAGTGGGGTATCGGCCACGGCTCCCAATGCTATCTTCTCAAACATAGACAGGAACACCTTCCTCGACCAATTAAAGAATGTTTCTTTCGATGTTGGGAATGTTGCCAGCATTCTTCCAACGACCGAGATGCAGTCGTTTTCAACACGTCGGCCGCAGAATTATTGGTTCTTCGAGTTCTTTGGGCCCCTTGACTTTGAAAGGTTAAAACAGGCGTGCTCAGATCTGGTTCGACAGCATTCGATTCTTCGCACACTTTTTGTGCTTCATAACGATGAGACTTTCCAGATCATCCTCAAACAACTATCTGTTGATGTTTCTGCATACGAAACCAATGGTCAGGCCCCACTGGCATTCGCTGAAGCCTACAGCCGCCAGGATTCTCTGTCGCAGACTTTCTTGGGGGTTCCCCCTATTGCCTTTACACTTGCACAACATACTGATATGCACCATGTCCTCATAACTCGTCTTTCTCACGCGCAATATGATGGCCTCTCAATTTCTAAACTTGCTCAAGATCTTTTCGATCTACTTCACCAACAGCCGATCTCCGTGCCTGCGGACTTTGCGATGTACACTACCCATGCTTTGCATAAACGCAGCACAGAAGCATTTGAGTTTTGGAGAAATGTTCTCAATGGAGCCTCGATGACTCCTTTCCTTCCACCCAGAGACATGGTTGGATCAACCGATGCGTCCCTAGTCGAGGCATCTCAGAATGTGACACTCCCAAGCCCACCTGCTGGAATTACCATGGCAACGGTGGTCAAGGCAGCCTGGGCAATGGTCCAAGCCAGGCTCCTTCATCTGCACGATCTTGTATTTGGTCAGTTGGTCAGCGGACGTAACACCAGCACAGAAGCTTTGGAGGACGTGGTAGGGCCGTGCGTCAATATTATTCCTGTTCGAGTCCAGATACACCCAGATCAGTCCACATCGGATCTCCTGGCCGCGGTTCAAGCCCAGCATGCCCATAGTATCCCCTATGAAACCTGCGGCCTCCGGGCGATTGTCAAAAACAGCACGTCTTGGCCGCGGGACACGGATTTCGGGTCTGTTGTGCACCACCGAAATACTGGAGATCAATTTACACTTCAGAGTGATGAGCTAACCTGTCATGTTGACGCCTGGTCACCCGTATCTTTGCCCTCAATGAATACATGGATAGCGACTACTGCGGACGAGAATCAACTGCAGGTCAATATTTTCTCGCGAAGTGAAATTGCAACCTCGGCTCATATGGAGATGCTTGTGAAAGAAATGACTGAGGTGTTAGCCATGTTCCAAAAGGGGTAGATAAACCCTGTTGCCCTTATATGGTCAGAAACCCGACTCTTTCATGGAGCGGTATATCATATCCTGTAGCCTAATCATTTGTTAGAAGCTAGAATATAAGCCCTTTTCTCTTCACCATTGTACGCATGTATACTTGAGTAGCCAGCCTCAATCGAGCTCTTGGGTCATTATGATTTAATTCATGAAGGATGATTTGACAGTTCAACGAAATTCTACGTGTTTTATTCTTGACAACAGGCCTTTCAAACTTGTTCCGGTACTCGCACGGGGTCTCTTCGTGGTCCAAGGCCAGTTAACGGACCAGTCTGCGACTGTTCTAGCATTGAGATGTAGTGACGACAGATTATATAGCACTGGAGTCGGGCAGTAAATATCAAAAAGCAACACACAATTATGGCCTGCAAACGACAGTCTTATCAAAAGAGAAATCAGAGTACAAGGTCATGGGAATGTCTGGATTCTTAGGAGCAGCATCGCCTCTCTGGCATGTGCAGTTTATCTAATTCAGGACACAGACATCTCCGCCTCTCATGCCCATATCCTGGAGTCCCGCGTAGCACCGTATAACTGACCCTGTGAACCTAACCTAACCTAGCGAAACGCCAGTCTATTTGGGGGTCTCCACAATTTATCGATGCAACAGTAGCCGCGTGAAGTCAGGGTCTTGAAGACCTTGAAGTGCCCTATATTTACAGCAGATTGGAACATGCTTCTCCGCTTTGTAGCTTCTGTTCTAGACGAGTATCGATATTCTTGTCTCCCGACTTGATATTTCATATCGGAAAAGTAACCGGCGCTTACACCGTAATTACATTTCAGTACCGGTTCCAACGAGCTGGCTAGTTAAGAGTGAGATGAATTTAGTTCCAATAATATACACAGAGGCAGCCCATATTCGTGGTTTTTGTTCTGCCTCGAACTTCCAGAACTCAACGTGATGGATCACGAATTCGCCACATATGATTTAGACCCCGTATCTAAATTCTCGGACCTTCTTCTGGTAGTAGTAAGACGCCAATAAGCCCGTCGCTCCAAGAGCTATAGGTATAGGAGACTTTGCCCCGGTCTTGATGGTCCGGGAGACACCAGCGCCTAGCAGGACTAGACTGTTTCCCAAGGCAAGTTCGGTGCCATAGTCCTTATTTTCTTTAATCAGGTAACCTGATCATGCGGTCAGCTTGTATGTTCAATATTGCTATTTTGCATGGGCGCTTTGTCAGTGCCACTTACCGGCACACGCATAGGAAACTCCTAGCCCAACTCCCGCGATCAAAGAAGGCGCCGAACGCGTCCGCAAATATCCGGCAACGCCCCCTGCAGGCACTGTTTTATTGCGAATGATTAGCAACGCCTTGCGCTGATATCACATGTCCACTGGCTACTTACAAAGAGCAGCAAGAGTAAAGGAAGGATGTTCAGCCATATTGTCCGGATGTTAATAACGGGCGCAAGGGATTGGAATCTTCACGACAGAGGTTGGGATCGGCGATTTTTTGGTGAGCAAGGAAAGCTCTCTTAAGCGTTCAAAACATCGACCCACTCTATTTAATTGGTTCATCTGTGATCACGTAATCACTACTAAGCACCCGGTCATCCCGAGGAATTGTCTATCCTCTCATGAGTTAACATTTCCAGATAGACAAGCCAGGTTAGGACTATGATACAATGTGTATCTCCTTTGTAGATGTTTGGGATGCGAAGAACCTGGCTTATAGAATATATATTTATATTGTGTGGCTTCAAACATATATACTTCCAAGTTTCGACACGTATATATATATTCTCTCTGCATTGTTGGCTTACAATCCAGAGTTATACTAATGGGCTAACCGTATAGCTTGATCTAAAGATTTACTGCCCTGGTACTGCCGCCAGTGCCTGTGATCTTCTACATAAACGGTGCCAAGAGTTGATACCGTTCAAAGGGCGTATCCCCAAGACAACCTTCATCACAACGACTGGGAATTTGAGGAGGGACTAAGAGGAGCTGTTCAAGGGGCTATCATTACCGTGACCAAGATTACAAGTCTAGACATCGTTTACTTTAGAAGAGCGGTAGGGGTATTTGTGATACTCTTACTAGCGGTCTGCCACCTATTTCAAGTCTGCAAACACACAGTTACTCCGGTTCATTTTTTTGTGATAACAACGTAGGATGATAGTACTGGGCACATAACGAAAAGCACAATTCACATCAGATGTGATAAGAACGGGTCGCAGCGTAGGAACTCAAAGTTACAAACAGGCAAAAACATGCGTTTGGTTTCCCTCCTCCATTGGCTTCCGGTGTAATCCAAAGTAGCCTATGTACAAAGTGTCGAACAAATGCCGAGCCCCTATAGGTTTTCAATCTCGTCAAGGTTTTCCACATCCACTCCATCATCTTCGGAAACTTCGGGGATAACCTGGCCCTCAATATCAGGGTCAACCTCGGAACCGTCAAAGTTATCGAATTCGTCAGGCTGGACATCGGCCACCTCATCACGCTTCTCGAACTCAATCTCAGGGTCGAACTCAAGCTCTTCATCACGCTTTCCAAGGTGACGGACAGCAGTATGGTAGATATCTGCGAGACGACGGCACTCGACGCCCTTCCATGAGCTCCAGCCGGAAAATTGGCTGCAGTACTTGTAGAGATCCTTCTTGAAGTTGTCGTCAATGCGCTTCTTCATGGCCTTAGTAAAGCGCTTCTGCTTCTTGGTGTTCCGGTAGCCGAAATCGTGTCTTTGACAGCTGGGGATGAAGTTGTATCCGTCTGGCTTATCGGGCGACTTGGAGCAGTTGTCCGATGACCAGTTGCACTTGGAGGGGTTCTTGGCCTTGCGCGCCTTCTGGAAGGTCTTCATGGAGACCTTGAAGATGAGGTTATCCGTGGCCTTGGCCGAGCATGTCGTCGCGCGCGCCTGTAGAGCAGAGATGGGGTTGTCATTGACAGCAGTGGTGTAGGGCAAGGCAGACGAAACTGCAGCGAAGAGGCCCAAGGTAGCAACAAAGATATTCTTCATGTTGATAAGTGGCTCGTGGCCGGATCGTGTAGACAATGAATAGTGGATTTGACACTTGCGGAAGATTGTTGATGATTCTGAAAGAGCGATATGACAGGAGATGACCCGCCCTTTATACTCGCGATTGACTGCGATGACTGTCACGGGCTGTCTTCCTGAACGAGGTCATTTCGTGCTCGGTGAACTCCATCTCGCTCCGCCCCCATTCTGTTGTATCGTCTGGCACTTCTGCCGTGTCTAATTGTGGACCTGATGCATTTCATCCCCTGTCGCCAAGATATTATTTGCCTTTCTTTACGAGCTCCGAAAATGAATATCATTAAGATTCTCGACATGTTATTGGAGAAGAAGGGAAGCCCCTTCGGGATACGATAGAGGGCTTTAGGATCTACAGCATTTGAATTGCACCGACCATATTCACTTGGATAAGCTGAGCCTTGGATAAGCTTTAGAGGCCTATTGGCCCTGGAAATTTCCTAAATCAAGGTAGTGTCGTATCCAATAATAGTAAATTCCGGACAGAAATGCCACAGGTACGAGCATGGCTCGCAAGCCAAGACTTAGTGAAGAATCTTGGGTTGCCTTCGTGGCTCGTAAAGCCCCCATCGTCGCGCAGCTGCTGCGCTTGTTGTGTATGCCAAGATGATCGTCACCGTGGTAGACCCTTGATTCTAAAAATAGTCCACAGAAGGTTATCATCGGAGGATCCCCCGCTGAAGAAACCCTTTCTCCAATCCTATTCTGCTGCACCATGTATCCTTTTTCTTCCAAGATGGGACCAATGATCACGTTTGTCTTTTGATTGCTGGTTATCTAGGAGTAATTTGGTCCAACAGCAGTATATGCCACTCTTAACTATGCGATATTTTCCAGTAAATGTGACAATTGACATAATTGACGCAATACGAGGTCAAGCTATGCCAAGAAAAAACCCGAGACTACACATCGTAAAAGCTTCAATTTCGGCATCGGCCCGGCGTTACTTCTACATAAGGCCAAGAGTTTCTCATGAAGTGCGCTCATAGCTCGTCGGTTAATACTACGAAGGCGGTTAATCAGTGGGGAATTACCCACTTAGACAGCGACCTTTTCTTGCCATTGATAGATGGTCGATGCAAGGCTTGTGATAGTGATAGCATTAGTTTCACTGGGATATTCAATACGAGGTTGCTAAATCTGTAGCGCGGTGCTCGTGAAGTCTAGTTCCACATAAGGTACTGCGGTGTATATTGTCCAGCTTACTCTTATTTACCCACAGTATAGATTGGTTTGCTCAAGGAAAAAGCAAAAATCATCACATTTAAATCTAGTGAGGCCGGCCATGTAGAATGAAGTTTCGTCTGTTCGACGACTAGTGCACCGAGACAAACAAAATAACACCAGGCTCTCGTTACATGGTCACCTCGTGCTTCTCGTCCGTCTAGCAGGCTCGGGTCCATTGTTCAAGCGTCTAGTTAACAATCCCTGGCTGTCTGGATCTCAGAACAATATCTCCTTAGCTGTTCTTCGCACGTGCTGAAGAATGTGGGGTTTTTTCGAGTATATTCTAGGTGATATCCACGCCTCTAGGCCTTAACTCCATAAATGTAGGTGCTACGCATGTGCTCGATTCATCGATTTCGTTATTCGGTGTTTCATGTGATGCCTCTGGGCGTGCGTAGTCTTGCTGTTTGAAGCCAGCATATTAGATTATAGTTACAACCATTCTCTACCAAAGGCCGCTGAAGAAGCTAAGCAAAATGAATGCCGCTGGGGCCACCTGATCTTGTCTCGAAATACCGTACTTGTCGGTAGCGGTACGTCCAAAGAATGTGCAGACACATGTAATCTTCTGGCGTTTCTTTAGCCACCAGTATGGTCCCTTTTCCCACGTGAAAAGAATGTGCAGGCTGGACACACTGTAGTAAGAATGCAGTACCCTGCAATCTTGAATAGGGATGGCCATGGGATTAATGAATATCTGTCTGTCTCTAAACTTATCAGCATACCTGCTTGAATTTACGCTACGAACTGTATAACGCTGAGGACGGATAATATTACTTTGGATATTTCCTTTCATGTTTAGGATGGACAGAAACGCCCAAAATCTGGATAAGGGAATTTTATATACAGTGTTACGTGTTGAAGCAGGATTGTCACGAAAGATAGATTATTGCTTACAGTTCCTCAATGTCAAGTGAACCGGATGTTAAACGTTTGGCCGAGACACTGTCGTGCCACGTTTTCAACACCATATGGTCATTAACTCAGCATTCCGTATAATAATGCCACATAACAGATCTCAATGATCGAGGAGCACACTGGATGAACGTCCTAAACTACCAGGGAAACTCAATTTGTTCGAAAGCGATCATGTTCAAAGATCATAGGGGCTCCACAAACATGGCTCCCAGCAAGCAGGCAGGCGCGCTGACATCCCAACATATCAGCTGAAGCTCCACAAGGGAGTAACATGCAGCCACAAGCGAGTGCGAAGGCTGTGGTTGGCTAGGGCTGTAGTGCTGGGAGGAATGTGGAGGTCAGCGCAATGACTGGAATGCACACAGTGAGCAGCCCGGCAAGAAGAATCCCAATACTAGTGATACAGATGATGCTGGTGATGCCGGTGATGATAGTGACCGTTTAGGTCATTAGAACAGGCAGGCACTTCGGCTTGCCCAACCCCATCAAGTGAGGGTATACGTTGCAGGCCTCGACCTGGAGTTCAAGCCGGTTGTAATGACGGAGAATGAGTTGTTTCAGACCGTTACCGCCCTGGGCGCGGGACTACCAACGACAAAAACTCAACTAATCACACCGTGAGTGATCGTGGGCCTTGCTGAGTCCTTCTGCCTACAAGTGTTGTCGGCGTCACGGCTTCACGTCTTCCCTGCTAATAGCAGCCCGCGTTGCCGCAGTATTGCCTTCGCAGCCATGGGTGGTAGCCAGGCGGTTGGCTTTGGATTGGGCCTCGAGCTGAGCGGCGTGTTTCGGACACAATTGGCTGACGGTGGGGATTTCTGCTACCGCGTTACTCAACAGCGCGGGGCGATGCCACTCATGAGACCTCCTGTGGGCACAGCGATCGAGGGGAGCTAGCTCAAATGAGAGAAGCGCAAGACAATCGTTGATGAGCACAGCGCCAATCCAGTCCACATCTCGGTGGAGGCGCATCAGTGATGCCTTCTCCAGCGGACCACCATCCGCACTTTTTGGAGTTGTCCACAGGGTGAGGGTCAGCACCGCTCCTACTAGCAACCCTATGCGGTGTGGACAGACCAGGATATTGGCGTGGTGTCTTGCAAGCCATGGCTCTAAACCCGTTGGGGCTATACCTTATACAATCGCGAACCCAGTGATGGCAGACTCATTCCCCCTCAAGACGCAGGCCCTAGCCGGTGGTATCTTTAACATGCTAGCTCAGGTTGGGGAAAGTGTTGGGATCGCAACACCGGCACTCATTGCACAGCAAATAACGTCGCAAACGAAGCATGCAGAAAGTGCCACCGGCTTGCCAAAGGCTTATAAGACTGGATGGTGGTACAATTGTGGATTGGGGTTTATCTCAGTAGCAGAGCTTTTGGTGTGTGAGGAGTATTAAAAGACTGGAAAACAAGGGAGACTGATTTGCCGGTAATTCAACAATTCTCGCTTTTCGAATATAGCCTATACTTTAGCCACTTGCGTTATTACCACTTACAAAGTCAATTTCATGTCAAAGAAAATATAGAAGCAAAACTAGAAGAGTTCTGTTCGGCAGTCGGGGATGCCCCTAAGAAAGGCACTCGGTATATGGTTACCCATCACGTACCCTTGTTCTCACTGTTTCATACGTTACTACCAGCCGTCTACAGGCAGCTCACAATAATATGAGGATAATCCTAAAGGGATGTTTGGCTCTGCGTTAGCCTCTGACGCTATCAGCCTCTCCAATCCCGCCCTGAGAAATGAACCAGGAACCGGTTAAAACCACCCTGCAAACAAATGTTTTATCCAAAGCAATTGTCCCTATTCCAAAATTGTTGCGAACATATCAAGGGCGCACGTGCTGGTAGAAGACAATCAATGCTCATCGCAATCATGAGTTTGTTTTTACCGAAGCCCTAGTTTAATATACCCTCCAGCCCGACCACTCACAAGATGTGTATACTAATATCAAGACGATTAAACTGAGACGCCGGTCCGTTAGCAGTGGATCTTAACCTGCGGGGGGGAAGCAGAAATGCCGACAGGTCTGATCGATATCTACCAGATAATAACACACGTTCGCTCGGACGACAAGACACTAACTCAGGAACCCCCACTGAGCCCGACCAGTACGAGGCTCGGACATGTTCATATGGGCAGATAAGATAGCGGAAGTCCGACGGGAAGGAAATTCAGGGCGAATTTATGCAGAGTTGTGGAGACCGGAACGTGAATTATCCATTGGTCAATGTTTTGATTACAGAGTTACATTATGCAACTGAGGAGATGTGAGGGGCATTTGGTAAGGGGCTCGACTATATATAGCATTCGCCAGAAAGAAAAATTGAGGACCTTGGTATCCTTGCTCAGTGTTGTAGTCGATATATTCTTCGATCATGCCGCGCTTACTCCCCATCTCAGCGGCTACATTGGCTCTGGCCCAGCTCAGTTATGGCTGGGGCAACTTAGGCCACGAGGCGGTGGCTTACATTGCCCAGAGCTTCGTTGCTTCTTCAACCGAGGCCTTCTGTCAAAATATTTTGGGCGACGACTCCACCTCCTACTTGGCCAATGTCGCCACATGGGCCGATTCGTACAAGTATACCGATGCCGGAGAGTTCTCCAAGCCATACCATTTCATTGATGCGCAAGACAACCCACCACAGAGCTGCGGAGTAGATTATGATCGGGATTGTGGTAGTGCCGGGTGCAGTATCAGCGCGATTCAAAATTACGTGAGTTACCGTACATCTAATAGAAATATAGGAAGCTAATTTCACCCAGACCAATATTCTGTTGGAATCTCCCAATGGCTCGGAGGCATTGAATGCCCTCAAATTCGTGGTCCATGTTCGTCACGTCCCTTGACCGTTTTAATCCAATTTCCTAACGAGTAGCAGATTATCGGAGATACCCACCAACCCCTGCACGACGAGAACCTCGAGGCCGGTGGTAACGGTATTGATGTGACGTATGATGGAGAGGCCACCAACCTCCATCATATCTGGGACACCAACATGCCCGAGGAAGCCGCAGGTGGCTATAGTCTGTCGGTCGCAAAGACCTATGCCGACCTTCTAACTGAGCGCATCAAAACCGGTGCCTACTCATCCAAGAAGGACTCATGGACAGATGGGATCGATATCAAAGACCCTGTGTCGACATCTATGATCTGGGCGGCTGACGCCAATACCTACGTCTGCAGCACAGTTTTGGACGACGGACTGGCATACATTAACTCCACGGACTTGTCCGGCGAGTACTATGACAAGTCTCAGCCAGTCTTTGAGGAACTTATCGCAAAAGCTGGGTATCGGTTGGCGGCCTGGTTGGATCTGATTGCGAGTCAGTCCTCTTGAAGGAGTTATTCGGAGAGTGGGATTCTCGTTCTATGAAAGTTAAGCTTGGCATGTGTAAGCTATTTGACCCATGCCTATGTAGAGTACTCCACTAGGATGACTCTAAAGAGAATAAAAGACTGAAATAAGGAAGCTCACACTCATTGTGGACTATCTTCACCGAAGGCTCTCGTCCTCGGAAAATGCTTAGATGAATGGTATCTAAAGAAAATGAATTGCAAATGCTATGAACATAGTCAATTACACTGCCCCAATGACCAATAATTGATACTCAATCGAATGCATACCCAAGAGACCTTAAGTGATCATTGTTTACATGGTTCCATATGCAACCCTGCAACTCTCAAACACAAGGCATCCAATATCACACTACAATACTTGGCGATCGCACAACACGACAAGCATCTGCGAGGTAAAAATAATCTAAGATATCATAAGAAGCAACTAGGCGAGAAACCATAGAGGTGGATGGAGGAAAGCAGACAATCTGTTGCCCATAGATACTATTACAATGATGTGTCACAATCTACTCCAATAGCACGTTTCACTCCTGATTTTGTAGAATCCTAGTAACGACCGAAAGGCAGTCGTATTCTAAAACCACAGAAGGATCATTTCTCAGCTGCGTGACCAATCTATTCTGCAAATGGCTCCCGACGTTAACTTGATAAGGCCTCCAGATACCTGCGCCTTATACCGACCTGTAAACTGACAGGTTTACGGAGCCATCCCTCACGAACTTCCAAGGGCCCTGTTCGCTCCACGCGAATATCAAACGACCGGAATAACGTCGCACAGCCCACAAACAACTCCATCTCAGCCAGGTTGCGGCCAATGCAGGCGCGAGGGCCTTCACTAAAAGGAATGAATGAGTCCTTCTGTCTTTGGGTGAGGCGACGTGGGTCCCAACGCTCTGGAACGAAGTCCTCCACATCAATACCCCAAATATCCGCTGAATGATGCATAGTGTATCCCGGCACAGAGAGAACATCACCCGGATAGAAAATGTGGCCGCATATCTCAACAAGCCCTCTCTCGGTGGGAACCTCGCGTGGGAGGCCTTGGCCAAAGGTGCTATGGATACGGAGCGTCTCCCAAACAGCCCATTGAAGACTGTACCGTTAGCAGTAGCCCAGGATATAGTTGGCTCATCCTTGGAAGATGACGTCCGAGACTGGAGATAGGAAACAACATAAGTCTAAAACAAGCGACTTGAACTTACTAAATGATTTTCTTTACCGCTGACAGATGTGGGACCTCAACATCAGCGGGAATGGCTTCATCCAAAGCGTTCTGGAGTTTCCACAATACACGTGGAGTGCTTGAAACCCAGTACAAAAGGGCGCATAATGTGCTAGAGCTGGTATCGGACCCAGCTGCTATCAAGGTCACCGCCTCGCCAGTGAGCTCTTGATGACCCAATTTTGAGCCACCTTGATCTTTCGCGTCAATCAAATGAGTGAGAAAATCCTCTCGTTTCTCCGCCACTGACACTTTCATGTCAAGACGCGTGTCGACTGCCGCTCCAGCTACATCAGCTAAATTGGAGATAGCCTCCACACCTTGGCGGAAGAAGGGATCAGGCAACCACTTGGCATAGGGAATAAGAGCTGGGCAGATCCCAAGAGTGGCAGAGACATCACCACGACGATTAAGGAGTTCCACAGCGTCAATGGTGACTTCTGGACCGTCTGGCACTTTCGGTATAGACACTGTAGCGTTTCCCCTCTCCAGCATTCCAAACGGTGCACCAAATGCCAAGTCACCGATGATATCAAATGTTAGATAATTACACCATACACGAGCATCGATCACTGCATACGAATCGTCTGGACCTTCATGTGAATCAATCATCTTGCGCCACTGTCTGACCAAAAGCTGCACATTGTTGTGCGCGTATTGTTCGACTTGGGCTAGAGATCTCGCGCTAAATGCGTGGGAGGCGATCTTGCGCTTGCGAGTGTGTTCGGCACGACTGCGGGTCGTGAATATGCTCCAGTCAACGTTCAGGAATGCATTGTAAAAGTCGCTGAGATGAGGTCTGTCAGACTAACTGCAGGAAAGCGTAGATTGTTGTGGATTTACCTCTTGAGAAATCCATTATCATGTCCATATATGGCTTGAATGGCTGACTCATCTGCGACAGAGATATGGTTCGGAGCCAGGCGGACAATCCTACCGTGCCGTCTATGTAGGTCGTGAACGACCAAGGAGCGACGCCCCTGACGAACCTGTAGAATAAGCCAGATCCTGGTGAAGCCAGCAATAAAGGGTCCTGGGATGTCACGGAGATGCCACCGGTCAAAGTATCCTGCAACGTAGTACGCCACCAGCAGGCCGGGAATAAGGATCGGAACAAGAGAATACAAAGACCAAGTAACGAGGTGCAAGTCGAGCAACATGTTGGACAACTCCACACAAGATAGAGAGGCTGCTATGATGTTGGCCGACAGGTGGCCGCCCTTTACAGAACAATGGCAAAGTATGGACTTTCTCGGTCCGTGCTCAAGGGCTTATCGCAGTCAAAAAGTTTGTAATTATCCTCCTGTCAATCAAGCGTCACAACAACAGCCCAAGGATACAGCGGATGACTGCAAGTCCTGACAGCAGCTGCGAACGTGACTCCGGGGGCAGAGATAGAACTGGTAGTTTGGGGAGAACCATTTGCCTTATTTAGAAAAGTACATGCGTGAGAGTGTATATCGGTGGGCGAAACCGAGCGAGAGATGACCTAACCGTGTCATAGTTCTGCAGTAACCTCACCTTGCTGGGAACCATGACGTGAAAATCTCGCAATCTCGCTCCAGAACCTTCGTATGAATTCATAATTAAAGAAAGGCAACATAACCGACCCAGTACTACTCTGTATAGAAACCGCATGTCAATTTTGTAATCTGGACTCTCCATAAAGGCAAATATCATGTTTATCTCTGATATTTCTACAGGTAGTACAGAGACTGCTCATTTCTTTGACATATCCAATCGTATCTAGAAAATTGGTCTATCGCTGCCTGTCTCTGGTTTCCCCACTTCAGTTTCTTTAAACACTAATTGGACCAGCAACTATCTTAGAATCACCTACTACACTGCAGAGGTACACTTCTTAGACTAAGAGAATATTGCCAGATATCTGATCTCTCCATGACTTTACAATTAGATGCCATACTGAGGAATTCAATCCGATCCTACTCCATAAACGCGCATCTAGTTTAGGAAATACCCAAGGATGGCCACTGCCACCGCTGATTATAGTACAGACTTCGACTTATTGGGGTGATTGATGGGAGCTTTCTAGGGTACGTTTATCGGAAAGCATGGTGCATATGGTTATTACGGTACAGGTTGACAAGCCTCTTGAGTGCACCAGGCGCCTTGAAGCAGAGGCTGCAATAGGAATTGCGGTCAAGGTCGAGGATGGTAATATACCCATTTTTTATTCAGTGGCGGCAATAATTCTCAAGCAGCAGTCTTGAATCCGAACTACACCTCACAGGCTTTCACGATCTCCCTATGTTGAATACCGCTAGTATTATCATAGGTCGTACGTCACATCTGTTCAAAATCCACGCCACATCATGATTGATAGCAACAGCACCGAGCTCTCACCACACTCCTGCGTTCTGACCTGTATGTGTTGTTTTGATGAACTCTTCTATTGCTAAGCATAGATATAGACTATCAAAACCTTGGCGATTGCCATGAAAAAGTGACACTCATAAGACCTGTTCTGTTGTTGATATCAGTCCAACTCCAGTGGCGATATACTTTGTTCGTACCGTACTGCAGAAGTGCATGGCTTAATGGAATATGCGCACTAAGGACTCTTGTGGCTTCGCTATTGCATAAGGCATGAGGCAAGGAGTAGACGAAGATGAAATGAAAACTTCCATCTAGGTATTTACATTGCTATGGAGTGAGATTTTATACAGAAATGCTAGTTGAATAAGCATTCTGAACCAATGACGTCGTGGAAAGTGAGACACGCCCAGAAAACGAAATCAAGAGATATCGAGAGAGACGGTTTATAAGAATACAATAAAAGAATAATCGGCAGTTAAACCGATTAGAACATATTGTTTCTTCACCTGGTACCCTTCTACCCCGGACCTTAAAGTCGTGCTGGATTGCTTCAAGAACAAGTAACAATAATAGCCTCCAGTCTCAGGGATCAGGTAATGAGGCTGGTCTCCTGCATTGCCTTAGTATGCATTATTTGAAGTGGAGCGTTACCTCATCTACTCTCTCGTGTAGTCCAGAACTGTTTACATGCACACTAGTAGACATTACGGTGAACATATCGCACCACATATCGGCTAATTGCATGGAGAGCTGAGAAGACTGGGTGATAAGCATTGAAGTACCACAAGGGTATGGTTGTTCCCAAAATATAATGTTATGGGCTACGCTAAATACTCCTATCGTATCAATTGAATACCTATGACACGATTTTTCCCTAACATAGGATCACATTTTTATGGAAGATGGTCAGCACGTCGATGCAGATCCTGCTGTAATTACTTCGGGGGTGTTTACACATTCCCGTACGATGTTCACCCTGATTTACTGAGACCAGCAATCTTAATTTTAATTCCTTTGTAAAGCTAGCGGCAAGAGCAAACCATTGCCCATGAACTGGTAGAACACACCGTCCAGATGCTTAGGGCGGGTACATGCATCAATAGACTCGGGGTTCACAAACGATTCATCGTCGGGTCAAGCCGACTTGGTAGCCTCACAACTTTATCTACATGAGGTAGTTTTGCAGCTGCTCATGGCTGTTTAGTCGAACTACCTAGACCGATTTCAAACTTCTGTTGGAAGCGCATTGGCATAAGATCAAGGTGTTCTATCTTAAGGCTCCAGATATTACTGCAAATTACCAACGTACGCAGAGCGCATTCCAATCGGGCGGCATTGACGCCGTGACTCAACAAGCAGTTCGATCTGCGGTTTCCACCTTCGTGTTCCTTCAATGGCCATGGTGGGACTTTCCGTAGATATGATATCTGATTCGAGGGACGATCAATGAAGCATGCTCCTCTTCAGCCACGAGAATGCCAAATCCCGAAGTCAGCTCAATTGTACGCTATCGAATCTTTGACTCGCTATGACTTCATTGGTTCGCTAAATATATCTGTTCCCATTTTTCCAGGTGACAAGACAAGGTCAGTTGGAGCTGTCTCCGCATATGTGGGCCTGTCTGGTGCTTCAGAGTTATATTATGTGCAGGGATTCCCGGTTCCTAAACATCTTGGCATGGCAAGAACCACAGTGAGGTTGGGCGAAATTGAGAAACCATTGGTCACAGTGTGGTTTCTGAACTGAACCAATTTCCACAGGATATATCACAGAAAGGAAAAGTCCTGCCGGGCTTGTTGTTGAAGTGCTCTATTGCTCTCATAAGGACTGAGCCCCTAGGAAGAATCCCATCACCAATCTCCGAAGAGTGGACCTGCACTATTCCACGCTTAGCACTTCCTAATTAGTGTATATATTGTCGATCCTATACGTCAACCCAGGTGAGCAGCCTGTGGTTCGTGTCTTAAATGCTGCTAGAGCACCCCCAGACCATAAAACCGGCTACATGCAGGTTGCAAAACTAAACCTAAATCCTTGAAGCGCTATCCTATAGTCTAGGGCATTAAGTGACAATTCCCTGTTTTCAATGCGAATATTTGTCATTTATGATCACATCCCTAGTTGGGAAGCGCAATTTTAGCCGACAGTGGAACACCATTGATCCTTTAACGATGGATTTACTTGGGGATTATGTGTACATTGTGCAAGAAACACGATATAAGCCATGGAGTCCGGCTGAGGCTCTGCAACATGATCGGATTCTCTTCACGGGGTTCAACATAACAGAGGTATGCAGTACTCTGCTTCCAGGCTGCAGTCTTCAGGGCGCTTGATGCGTGTAGGTAGCCCCTGAGTCCACTTGTGCAGTTTGGGTTGCCTCCAGAGGCGAAATGCATGACGGGAATTAGCCAACACGAGGGCAGGGGTGACATCCCCCAGACGGGCGGGAAGAGCAGGTGCCAAACATGCATCGAGCCAATGTAACAGCACGATCTGATGTTTAGCTCATGCAGGTTCTGGGTGGAATTAAAACACCCGTCCGGGGTGTTCAAGTGATCTCCCAACCATAAACATCCAATGCGCTGACCCACCAGGTTCTAGACCTCATAGAGTGGCATGTTTCCCTGCAACAGTTTGACCACCTATCGTACTTTTGTGCCCGAGGGCGAGGGATCAGTACCTGGAATAGCAATATGTTGGTTTAAGCAGGCGAAATGTATCAAGTCAGGCAGAACGCAAATGCCATACCGCAAGCATCCCACTGACCCCAGATCAGCTATAAATACGCCCTGCAATCCCTTTTAATCCGTTCATTTCTTCATCAGACACACAAGGTCCCTTGTCCGCTTCGTCCTCTTTCTCAAAGAACAATTGCACCTCTCGTCCTCTTCCACGTTGAAGTTCTCATCTACCAAAATGCAATTCCGCTCCGTCATCACCCTTCTGGCTGTCGCTACTGCCGTCACCGCTGCTCCCTGTGACAGCTGTGATGGTGGCGACTCTGGCGACTCTGGTGACTCCGGTTCCCAGTGCAGCTCTAACCAGGAAATGAAGTGCTGCTCCGGTCTCACCAACGGGATCCTGAACCTCAACATCCTGCCGGCCCTGTGCCTCCGTAAGCTTTACACCTTGATAGACGATCCATGTTCATCTCTAATCCCATATTAGCTCTCCTTGGCAACTGCAACAACCAGGTCGCCTGCTGCGAGACCAATGGAGTTGTGAGTCATTTCCTTTGCTTTAATTCGTGATACAGAACCTAACTTTATATCCACAGGGACTCCTTAACTGTCTCACCATTCAGCTCTAAGTTCATCGCATTTGGCAACCGCGAGTAATGATACACGCACGGTGAGGAGGCGATCCGCGACTCGGTAAATCGACATGTCTTTCTGCGGTTGGGCGGGGAGCAGTACTGTTCCAGTGTCTAGGTGTACACGCATTGTCCTAGGTCTAAAGTGTGGAAATTAGAATAATAGATTACATCGCCAGGGTGTGTAATACACCGTTGGCAGTATGTACATCGGAAAGCTACCTTGCATCACTACAAAACGTAGAAGAGCGGTGATCCTCTCCGCCGGTAAACCTTACATGATTTAATAAATCTTACCAGTAATATTTGGGTATGGAATCTAGAGAAACCTTTATTTATATGAAAAAGACTGCCCTTCACAAGGGTTCTTGGTTGTTTGAACTCTTTTGCTATAAATGAGTAAGGGGAATATATATATTCTTCGAGCGAGCTTGAGCAACAGGAATCCTGGACATTAAAACACGAAAACAAAAACAATCATGATTCCAGAGAAGCCAGAGAAGATTGAATAGTTAGGAAGCATCCAGTAAGACAAAATATAGGAGCCTCAATATTCAAACTGACAGGATTGTATCGGTGTTAATGGCCATCCAACATGCTTTCACTCTTACTTTTTGACGAACATTTAGCAAAATAAAGCTACTTTCTACCAGCAAGATCCGGTGTAGTGTAACGGCTATCATACCTGTCTTTCACACAGGAGATCGGGGTTCGATTCCCCGCACCGGAATTTCTTTTTTGTCGTTCCGCCCCTTTTTTGGGGCTATTCTTGTCAACCGCGGGAAAATCAATGCCTCAGGCTTCATGGATGGAACGAGGGGAAATCCGCATTTTTACGCTCGAGTCTACCACCGTCCCTTTCTGTCCCCCTTACCTCACGTCCACAGTTTGCAACACCAGGGTTCAGTACTGTTATAGTGATTGTAATCTATCTTTATAAATTCTTCTTTCACTCCCCAACCCTCCACCTGAAATCTTTGTGGACTTGTCTTCTACCGCTGCCTGCCCGCTGGTAATCACTCTAGAACAAGTTTAAGCACATCGCCCAAGGTCGATAATGGCTCAACGGGACGTCTGTTGGAAAGAAGATGAAATGGGCGAACTTGCTCCTACATGGACAAGGTCACCAGATATCTCTGTCCTCAAATCCCTTGCAATGAAGTACCTGCCCGAAGGCTGTGATAATATCATTGTTACATTTTTTTGCGGAAGGTTCCTTTAACAAGTTATATTACATCTCTTCACCACACATTCCACGGCAGTATCTCATACGCGTAGCTTTGCCAGTGGATCCCTTTTTCAAAACGGAGAGCGAGGTTGCTACCCTCGCATATATCCGCCAACACACATCAATCCCTGTGCCCAGGGTACTAACATACTGCTCATCATCGGACAACGAGCTTCGCTTTGAATGGATTCTGATGGAAAAGATCGGAGGTATCCCCTTGTCAGATATGTGGGACGAGATGTCTTTTGACACGAAGGCAAGCTTGACGACAGAGGTTTGTGGATACTTAAGAGTTCTTCAGGATCTTCAATTTACCCAAATTGGAAGTCTATACTTTTCTTCAGTTCGCGAACAAGTCGATACTAGAGACTTTGGTGACGACCTGGGAGCTAAACCACCCAATGCACCAGTCAACTGCAGCATTGGCACGGACTTTGTGATTGGCCGTGTTGTTTCTCCTTGGTTTTTCAGAGACAAGCGCCTATTTCTTTCTGCCGACCGTGGCCCTTTCCCAGCTTCGTATCAATTCATGATGGCGAAAACGCGGATGCAGATCGAGCGGATCAAACATCTATCCGCTCTATCTACAGATGACTATTATTCTGAGACAGACGAAGTTCTTGCGGTGGAGCAAGAGGACGTTTTGGATACGTGCTACAGCCTAGAGAAGCTTGTGCCTTATATCTTTCCCCCACCAGGTGGACAGCATGAAGCTAAGTTGCTTTACCATGATGATCTTTCAGCCTCCAACATCATGGTGGACCCGGTGACCTATCGCGTCACTGGTATAGTCGACTGGGAATGCGTCTCTATTCATCTGGCATGGGAAGTGACAGAGTATCCATTCTTCTTGAGAGGTATTGACGTGCAAGAGCCGCCACCGCCCCCTGCTTCAGGGATTATCGAGCCCGAGCTTCGTGAAATACGGAAGGACTGGGAGAAAGTCTGCCTGCGACGTCTGTATAGATGGACTCTACATAATGATATTGGATTGTCACCGGATATAATGCACAAACGGAAGTTTTCCGATTGCCTAGAGAATATTGAGATGAATTGGACAGCATCCGGGCATTGGGCACGATGGGTGCTTCAAGAAACTGTGTCAATGGAGGAGAACCCAGACCAAAAAGACCAGCCCCAAAACTTCAGGCTCAGTGCCACTCTTGACAGCTAAGTAACCCCTATGAATGACGCTATAGTATCAATGCAGGCGCCGCTACCGTTAAAGTAATTCCGTGCTCTGTGGTTTGAGGAGTGACGGTGAATGAAATCCTACCCTTTGTTTTTGCGATTTCCTTCTCATATATAATGGATGATTACAAGAGTACAGGTCAGTCACCAAATGAATATTCCATCGTCCAGACCTGCCATGCCTAGACCGGGTCTAAGACGGCCGCCGAACACAATGATGCTACCGATACTGCGTGCCGGGTCTTACAATCATCTTCTACTTTAATGATCCTGGTATCCGTTCATCGAATTGCCTAGGCATTTACCCGTGATGAAGGTCTCCTCTTCTCCAGCTTCTTCACCCACATCTCCGGGCTACAACCTTTCTCCCCAATCCCCATCCCTCGTCACTGTTTTTACCAAGGTGGTCAACATTGGCTCCTCGGCAACATTCAACACTATTTTGTTACTTGGTAATCTTGCCATCCCCAGTTCAACATCTGTTGTTAATTGTCCTCGTCCTATTGAAGCGCATTTGCACTCCGGGAGAGTATACAAAGGGGCCCGTTCAAGCATGCGGACTTGCTGCTCTTGTCGATGGCATGCCTGATCCGAGCGCTTGCCTCCACTATCATAGCCATTTATGCCATGCCAAATGTTGCCCTGTAATATATCAGCAGGTTGCTTCTGGACTTGTGTACATCTCGGTCCCGTTACTAGAGTTTGAAGCCCCCACCGCGCTTCAAAATTTAAACATGCAGGTACCTCGATCGCAAAAAAGGCCAGCGCAGCAACGGGGCTGGTTCCGTAGTCCGCAAGAATTATACTGCATCCCACAGGGCTGTGATCATGGTTCTTTTTATCAATATCTCCGAGCGAAGCACTAGTGGCCAGATGATGTACCACGTACCGGACGCATTCCTTCATTAAGGTTGGCTACCGACTCAGTCCTTGGGGCAGCGACACTAAAGTCAATACACGCAGCGAGAAGCACGTAGTAGAGCTGCATTTTGATTCTGCTAGTTATTATTGATTGTCCTCAAGATAGTGGAGGTCGAGCAGTTTCTTGATGGGAAAGAGAAAATATTGTGTTCGAGATCAGTGAGAACTTTATACTCTTCAGGACATCATATTCAATGTCCTCCATAATAACTATTAACGCCCCACGGATGCATTCATCGTCATCTCTTGGATTTTGAATACTCGATAACATGTCGTACTAGAACCGTATTTCTACGCGTGACAGAACTAGCCCGGATAGTGTCGTATTTGCTTGTTTTCTGTGTCGGGGCTTTTTCGGCTCCACTAACGTACGCACGACCTCGCACCGGCGACATACATTGACGTCTAAAGGCGCCTAGTACAGGCCCATGGTGGAAATGTTCTGTTTGGTCCGCACACTTGTACAGATAGCATGGCCGTGATGATTAATCAATTTATTCGTTGCCTTGTGGAGCATTCCGGCATGGCAACGTGGCTCTGTACACAGCTATAAACGAGTAATATACTGGCTGAAGAGCCGCAGTCCGGATACCAAAGCCTCGGCGACATGGGCCAGCTATTGCTTGAGTATTTCACTACAGACACTTCTTGTGACGCTTCCATAGACCGGGCATGCCGTACATCTGATCTCTGGAATTTAAATTCTCATATGGTTGCTATATCATCGACCCGATACGATGGTAGGAATACGGATTAACGGGCCACACCTAAACGAGAAATTCAATATCCTAAGCGTCACAGTGACTACTTCACCAGGAGAAGAGTGAAGAGCGCTCTAAGGATACGACCGCGGTGATTTTCAAAAAAATTCAGCGACAGAGAATTCCGTACATGGCGGGAAGTGGCACGAGGTATGTGCAGCCCACTATTAGCAGAGGTGACCCTAGCCAGCTCTACCCCAGTAATTTTGTCGACCAGCGTTAGCTAGGGCTTCATCTATAATTGCGTCTATATACGGATCATTCTAGATGATAAATATATACAGAATAGAAGTATGTCATTTGAAAGGCGATCGAAATCTTAACCACAGATATCGTGAGGGCGACCGAATCAAGTGGCCAGGAGGACAGAACAAATCCGACGGACATAGGGCTAGGGACACACCGCTTCTCGGAAGTGAGGTTCTAATGGCTTTAGGCATAAGCCATGAAAGGGATATTGTTGACGCCACTGCGGATGCTGGGGGACGCCGCGGCCACGCTTCCAGTGAAAGCCAGACAAAGATCTCTCTATGAATGAGACTAAGGTCTAATGTAACCTCGGTCATACCACTATGATCGTCTATAGGTTACTGTTGAACATCATCTCCGGTGATAGTGCTTACATTGTGGGGAGAAACAAAAGTCGGACAATATCCTTGCCTGCACTTGCCAGGTTACAGGATAACCCCCGTACGACATAGAGAGCTACGACGATGAGGTGGCAAACGTCCTCCGTGTTACATGCGATTAGCGGAAATGAATGAAGAAAAAGAAAAGAAGACGAAGAAGACTCGGATATCGCCAATCTTGCTATGGTGCTTCCAATATTCAGCCACCGGTCAGAATATTAATCTCTCCGCCGATCCCTATTCGATCCAGAAAATACCCATGTAAGCCCAGCGACTTGAATTGTTTGACAGATGACAAACTCTCAACAAGTACAGCCCTTCACACAAGAAGAGAATTGTGCGTAGGGCCCCTTTAATAGTGGTACTTTCTATTGCCACAGTTTCAGTAAAGACGGTCCTGGGGCCTATAGAAACTTTCGATGACGCTCTATACAGAAGTAAAGAGTGGCGAAATATACCAAACCCGCCCTGGATTCCATGGTTAGAAACGGAATATGAGTGTTGGGATTCGACTCTGACAATGACCATCACTTTTAGGGGCCTGTCGGATAATGTGACCTGAAGTAGCCCTCCTTTGACTGTCGTACCCTCACCTGGTCTTGCCAGCCATGTCAATTGTTCCATTTTTCCAGTCGTTCCTTCCATCCTAATGGTTTATTAACAGTCAGAGGTGGGCTTACTGTCACCCTCTCGTTACTTATGTTCTCTTTCTCTTCTTGTCATTCACTTCACCTAGCTTTGCCTTTCTTATTGTCCCCACCAGCAACCGCAGAGTAACCACTCCAGTATTTTCTGTACAACAACCGTTATCGTGAACAGTTCTGGTTTATCTTTTCTACGGCTATACAACAGCAACTTTCATCATGAAGCTCTCCATTGTCTTACTGGGCAGTGTGTTGGGGACAGCCCTGGCTGATATGCCAACTATTGTCGCGAAGGTTGGCGCGAAATAGAGGATTGTAACTGTGGTCAAGTAACGCTGACAGTCCCGCTTATTAGGGATCCAAATTTTTCTACAGCAACAATGGCACTCAATTGTAAGTACATACTACTATACAGTTCCACCCTTGAATGTTTCGGCTCCTACTGATTACTTGATTCTCAGCTTCATTCGCGGCATTGCTTACCAGCGTATGTGACCACTCTATCTCTGTGTGCCTTGTGTGAGCTCATTAATCATAATCGCCATAACCAGAGGAACACACGGGCGCAGGCGACACGAAATACACGGACCCCCTTGCGGATCCAGCGGCTTGTGAGCGCGACATCCCATACCTCACCAAGTTGCGCACCAATGTAATCCGGACATATGCCGTTGACCCATCGAAGAACCACGATGAGTGCATGAAGAAACTCGCTGATGCCGGCATCTACCTCATCTCTGATCTTTCCTCCCCGACCGAATCCATTGAGCGGGAAAACCCCAAATGGGATCTTGATCTCTACAAACGCTATACCGATGTTATCGACGCGTTCGCAAAGTATGATAATGTTATTGGATTCTTCTCCGGAAATGAGGTTGCCAATGCCAAGAATAATAGTGCGGCGATTGCCTTCGTCAGGGCAGCAGTCCGGGATATGAAGGCCTACATCAAACAGAAGAAGTACCGCGACTCATTGGCGATCGGCTACTCTACCGATGATGATCAGACGATGCGTGGCCATGTGGCAGACTACTTGGTCTGTGGAGACAAGGACAGCCAAATTGATATGTTCGGCTATAATATCTATGAATGGTGTGGAAAGTCTTCCTTCAAGGAGTCTGGCTACGAGGAACGTACCAAGGAATTCTCCAGGTACCCCGTTCCCGCCTTTTTCTCGGAATATGGTTGCAATAACCCTCGGCCGCGACCATTTGATGATGTACCAGTGCTCTATAGTGACCAAATGAATGATGTCTGGAGCGGCGGCATCGTGTATATGTACTTTCAGGAGGACAACGACTATGGTCTGGTCACCCTGGACAAATCGAAAATCAGCACCATGTCGGACTTCAACAGCTTGTCGTCTCAAATTCAAAAGGCGACGGCAACGGGCGTGAAAAGTGCGGACTACCGTCCGACTGCCAGTGCTCGGTCCTGCCCAAAGGTGGGTGGCGACTGGCAGGCCAACGCCAAAGACCTTCCACCAACCCCCAACGCAGATCTCTGCAGGTGTATGGAAGAAGGCCTGACGTGTGTGGTCAAGGACTCGGTGTCGGAACAGGAGTATGGAAAACTATTCGGAATGATCTGCGGCAATGAGGGCGTCTGTGATGGACTCGCCCGTGATGCGATCAAGGGTAACTTCGGTGCATACGGCATGTGCAGCGCCCGACAGCAGCTCTCATTTGTCCTCAACCAATATTATCAGCAACAAAGCAAGGAAAACCAGGCTTCGGCGTGCGACTTCAAGGGAGCTGCCTCCACCAAAAAGGCGAGCAAGCCCACAGGTGCCTGCTCGTCGCTGCTGGGGCAAGCTGGTTCTGCCGGTACTGGCACGGTCTCGTCCAAGCCAACCGGTAGTGGCAGTGGTAGCGGTAGCGGTAGCAGCAGTAGCAGCTCCTCCACATCAGACTCTGCTGCCGGCCTCATGGTAGCACCACGATCGGTTCAGGCTGGTGCTTGGCAAATCGGGGCTTACCTGGCGACGGCGATGGTGGCTGGTGCTGGCATGATCTTGCTGTAAGCGAGTATTGCCTATAATGACTTCACTCTCTTGATGTGGGTTCATTCCCTTTTATGTGTATTCAACTGTTTTCCATTCTCAACCCACGTTTAACTTCTTACCCACTGTACTCTATTGCCAAACATGACCATAGTTGCGTTACTTGGCCGTATTTCCTATAGGTGCTTCGAATGGAGACGTAGAGACTCGTGTCTTTGAGATTATCATCGTCTCCAATAGGTAGACGGGTGGTTTGCGAGTTGCTGGTGCATCTGGTAGGCACATAGACGCGTAGAGAGGACGGTTGCCCACACCCGCGTCGCCAAGATTCCCCCTATCGTCTCCGCCTTGTCAACTTGTCGCAATGAAGTCGTCGTTGCTACGAGAGAACGACCCAATTTCGAGATAGTCATTTTTTATACTAGTCTTTTCCGTAAATTCCAATACTTGGAAGTCGGTATACTTTCAAATGAGTATACAAATTCCTAAGTTTCAGCATATCATACACATCTTATACTGTAAACAGTGTCGTGCTTCGCAAGGAAATATATATATTTCTTGTAACGATTGGTGAAAAGGGCTTCCAATCGCGCTGTATGAGCAATACGTCGAAAGAGAAGTCAAAAACCACGTAGGACGATAGTGGAGATGTTAAGAATATGAATCCCGGGGAGGAAAACGTTCTATCTTTTCTCGATTGCTATACTGTGGGCTACATACTGCACCATCTGTCTGGATCAATTGAAAGGGTGGGGGTTGAACCTGATTGAACCCTTGGCTTAGGGTTACTAAGCAACGGATGAGAGGACACTAAACCACTTTCGGACTGGAATGCCTACCACCTCGAAGAACGAACGTGTATCTTCAAACATCCTTCAATCTCATTCTCACATGACTCGAACGCTCTCACTTTGTTATGTACCCCACTATATTTGTCCCTCTCTCACAGAGTACACAACACGGAAATAGCCAAGAGAAAAGCAAGCCGGTACGCTTCTGGCGTGACGGTCTCGAATAGTTGGTTAGTTGAAAGACTAGGCTTCTGGATCCAGCCCAGCAGGGGTCTAGGGCTGAGCCTTGCCGCCCTGTGGGGCGTACTCTTGAGAAGTTGAGAATTTGAGGTGCCCATCTAGCAGTGAGCCCTGGAATGCTGATTATGTCTCAGCGGTGTAGGCATAAAATATTGTTTCAAAAGCCCATTCATGTGTTTTACTATCTATGTAGTTAGACATTATGGCAGAAATCAATTTGACTTGATTGTGTTGTAGATTTCCTGTTCCTCTTGGGATTTGTATGTACGAAGTAGATCGTTTGCTGAATTGAGAGGTCTGTTCCAAAGGGGCCAGCGTCTTATCAGTAGGCTTTGTTTAATTAACCTAGAGACGGATGAGCCCACTGAGAGGTCTTTGTTCTTGCTTTGGGGGTTCGACCGTGTCTCTATGGTGTGATAACCTTTGCATCGCCCTCCACCGCGTCATAGGGCTAAAAGTGACAGGTGGCTGAGGGGAACCCTGTCCAAATGGGGATAAAAAAAGATCAGAATGCATGCTTAGCGGGCAAAAGGCCAATCAGACTGAAGACATGGGTCTAAGCCACGGGATCGGCCACCAATCAAGCACTGCCTTCGTGTTGGAGCGCTGGGTTGCGCCAAAAGAGGTTAGTGTCACTGTAAGGTGAGATTCGACCCCCAAAGTAGATATAAACATGGAGAACGACGACGGTCTCAAGTTCATCTGCTACACTACTATAGTCCTACAACAAGACTTACTTCGCTGTCTATACTCTTTCGATACTCTACAAAGCGCACACAATGTCTTTTGATTCAACCGAGGAGAAAACCAGAGGGTTCTCGCACCCGATTTACTCATCTCACAAATTTAAAATGTCGCAGCAACAACAGCACTATCCTAGTCACAATGCACCAGTACCGCCTCCATATCCTGGACAATTCCAGCCAATGCCACAAAACCCTCCATATGGATACCCTCCCCAGCCGTACGCCGGCCATCCACAACCAATGATGGGCAACCCCCAGTACCCTCCTCAGTCGCATCACATCCAAAGTTCGGTGCGCTCCCTGAAAATCGAGTTCACTGGCTGGTCGTCGAGACACATGGCCATCGATGATGCCGGGCAAGGCTCGTCCCTCTATACGGTCGACCTGCACAACCGAAACCCACAGATGGAATTCAAGAATGCGGCAACGAACAATACCATCGCCACCGTGCATATGCGGGCTTTGAAGCCAGAAATGGATATCAAGCTCCACGGTCGCGACATTCGCCTCCGCGTCCACGGCTCCATGAAACCCGAAACATCGTATCATTCGCTGGCGTTCCCCAACATGTCTTTTACATGGAAGGTCACTAGCGCATGGAAGTTCCTCGATTTTGAATGTGTGGACCAAAACAAGGTCACTGTAGCCAGGTTCAATCCGGCTTCCTCTTTCTCCATGCGCAAGTTCGGTCAATTGGACATTCTGATCCCGCCAGCTACCAGTGGAGTCGCTATGGATGAACTGATGGTCACGGGCGTGTGCTTTATGTATTACGAATACTTGAAGCATATGCGAAACACCACTACCGCTGTTACTGCTTAAGATATGACTCTGTTGTGGTTGGTGATCTTCGTTTGTTTTGGTTGTCATCCGTGTTGTACCATTTCTTTTTTTTTTTTTTCTTTCCTTCCTTTTTCTAGCGTCATTGTTTTCTTACCGGATCCCTCTCTTTCTTCTGCCCTTCTTCTCTTTCGTATTTCTTTTCTGTATCTGAACAGATAGGCGAACACACTGTATGGCGTGTTGTTGGATTATGATTGGAACAAAATACCCTGGCTCATGTATCAAGAACGTTAGCATGATTTAAACGGAGACCAATTGAATGCAAAATTTTAGACTGAAAAAACACCTCAGCTTGGCTTGGTATTATTGTTTTGCCCCGTGGACGGTACTATTGGCTAACGGTCAACCTATGGATGATCCTAATATCTTACAGGCTACTCGTATAGAGCTGAAAGATCCACAACATTCACAGCCTCAATGTCAGCCTGCCAAGAGACGGGCTAAGTCTTGGCATCCGCTATATCTATCTTATCGGCCCGATAAACGAGTCGTTTCCCCTCAAAGATGCCCAGCTGACAGCGAACACCATGCCCGGAGTACCATCAGGACGGGCCTGTGAAGGCTGTCGTCGCCAGAAAAAGAAGGTATATGGTGCATCTACCTTCTGATATAGCATCGGTGGCTTATGTCTCGCTTCTAGTGCGATGAGAAACAACCAACCTGTGGACGATGCCTCCGATTAAACATACCATGTATTGGATCCGGACAGCGGAGATTCAAGTTCCAACAGGAGTATACCATCCCGATAATGGTGAAGAAAGGAAAGATCAAAGCACAGTCTCCCAAGGATCAGACCAGCTCTAGCAGCGACGAGGAGCGTACAGAAGTGTGCCGGGTGTCCCCACACCCAAGCAGTGCCCTGACGGTACTAACCCAAGCTTTTGTCCGAGCTATACATCCGTCGACGGACATCCGATGGAATCTTGCGTGGGTGTATGGGGGCTTCCTGAGAGATGTGCCTGCTCGACTGGGCACAAACGAGGCCCTGGACACCGCCGCAGATGCAGTGATCTGTATGCATTCGGAGTTCTGCACCACCCGGAAGGTGTCTGTTAAGGGGCTCAGTAAGTACGGTCGTGCTTTAAATACCCTCCATACCTATCTGGACGACCCGGTCAAGGCGGCCAGCACCGACACGCTGTGCGCGGTGACGATACTCTTGCTCTGTCAGGTTCGCAATTCCTGATACTGTGGAATGAGATTCGTTGCTGATAATTGGTAGGGCTTCCTCCCCGGCCAGGGTAAAGTGCGATCAGGACATGCAGAGGGGGCTGCACAGATTCTGAAGGCGCGGAAGAATTTTCGACCTCGAGATGACTTCGAGGCAAAGCTACTGCTGACGTTGCGCGGTCCCGTGGTATGGCTCCCATGATCCAAAAGCTGGGGGTGATTACTGAAGCGGGTAATAGCTCTTCGAAGGTCTATTCGTCGACAGCATTGACCTAAGTGGTGAGGAGTATGAAAGTCTGGTTGAAAGCGATCTCGATGCGGGCACCCCAGACGGGCAGATGATGCGCTGTCTTGCACGAGTGCCAGGGATCCGAAATCGCATTGCAGTAACAATGCCGGGCGATGTTGAGTTCGAGGCACTACGACACGAAGCTCGGGCCCTCTATGAGAGCTACCAACCGGTCCTGACAGCATTACAAGCGAGAACAATATCAGTCGAGACACCGCTTGCCGTCGGTTCTATGTACCGCTTATGCACCCTGCTTCATGCGCAGTATCAACGCATGTATGGCATTGGGCTTACCGTAGCCATTATCCTGAACTGCCTGGCCCGAGCGCTGGACCCAGACGACCCTACGCTTCCCGTGGAATCCACGTATTTCGCGCAGGAGATCATCCTGTTGTCGGATAGTCAGGTGGCCTTTCGCCCCCTGGGATCCTTTTATATGCTGATCTGCCTGTTGACTGCAAGAGTAGGCACCACGGACACGATCCTCCGGGCTACTGTTGAAAAGACACTGGATGACTATCAGCGCGAGTTCGATGGAGGACGTGCCACGGACACGATAGCTGAATTTGAGGAAAAGGTGCGGTCCATATCAGTTTTTTCTGCCAATGAGGACAGTACAATGAGTAGTCGTTGGGAGCCTAGTTTACTTGAAGTCTGACGTAGCGCCTTGTTCATTCTTGTTTTTGGCCTTGCCTAGCTTTACATAACTGATCTGTACAGATTCACGTAGCCAGGAAGGTGGAGCATATGGCACAAAGGCAGTCAGAAGAGATGCAAATATCAATTTGCTAGAAATACAGAGTCACGAAATCTATTTACTGATCCTTTGGCTTTTCTCCGATGGTCCATTTGTTCAAGACACCCACACCGGCATTGAGGTACGTGGCAAATGCGAGCCACCCCGCGTAGGGGACCATGAGCCAAAAGGCCGTGCGATCTGTCTTCCACCAGGTCTGCATCAGCGCCGCCACATTCCCTCCCAAGAGTAATATATCCGCCAACGCCCAGGCCGGGCGACGGATCCCGAAGAACAGTGGCATCCAGAGGTAGTTGAGCGCCAGCTGTGTTGTGTAAAGCGTTTCCCAATTCGTACCCAAGCTCTGTGCAGCGGTGGAGGAGGTCAGGGCGCTATGTCCGGCTCCTGTCGCGTGGTGAGCGGCGTATCCCATGGCCCCGTAGAGAACCGTCCACATGGGTGCGAAGAGCCATGGGGGTGGATAGAAGGCCGGCTTTTGAAGTGATTTGTAGGTTCTCTTGGTTTTTCCTGCACCTGTATAGAGTTATGACATGGTCGATTCCTTGTTAATCACTGTCCTCCTAGGTGTAACTCACGGTTGACTAGGTAGCCGACCAACATTCCAACCGTGGTAGGAGCCGTGACGGAAAGGATTGGCGAGGTAAAGACCTCTCGGGGAAGTGCTATCGACCAGGCCATCTTAAGTGGTCAATTGTGAGGCTCAAGGAAAGCGAGAGTGAGCTTCACGAAGATGGTGGGTTGGCATCGCTTGAGACGCGGCGAGTGCCTTGGTTATAAATGCCGGTCATCGCGCTGGCGGTAACTGACGTCATTGCGGCTAATAGTACGGGTAGGTTAAACTAGATGGTCCAATGACATCGTGACAATGACAATCGATCGTAACATTTCGGAGAAGCTGTGTCCCAGCGTGAGAGTGCTCATTGTCTAGTTTCTGATGTACTGTCCGTGGACTATGTACTAGTGTTGTATTGTTCATCCTGTGCTTCTCACTGATGGCATTTGCAAACGTAGCAAAACAAGGGAGATGCTATCTTATCACCATGTGATGTCACGGGATCCCGATGGGAAATGCCGAATTTCCGGATCGGGAGTGGATCCTCCAGTCTTTAGAGTTAAAGCATTAGTAGCTCCGACATGAATGAACACTGCGAACTCTTCCTCAGTTTTTACTCTTAATTGTCCGAGTTAACGAATCCATGACCAACTGGATGAGCCAATGAATGAACAAGTGACATGAATAACCGCAGTCCCGATGTGCAACGCCAAGAGATTGACCGTGTGCTGCAACTAAAGCGGAAGCAGCGCGAGGCTAAGGCCTGCTATCCTTGTCGCCAGCGCAAAGTCAAGTGCGATAGCGGCCATCCTTGCAGAACATGTCAAAAGCGTGGCCACCCCCATATTTGTGCCTATGATGTGTCGAAAGACTCGTCGCGACACTCGTTTCCCCGGTCGGGGAGGGTGGATCCCGTTCAAGCATCGCCGTCGCATCCGCAAACTGGTATTGGTTCCCCGGTGACTCCATCACCGTCGGCACTTAATGGAGCGGAACCCGAGAGAGCGCAACCGCTGGATGCGACTTCATCATCGGGAGTGGCTCCGAGTTCTGGGTCGACTAGCCGTGATCGCTCGTCTGATTATGTCTTCTCCGGGCAGAACTCTGTGGTCTCCATTCTCCGGCTTCAAGACCCCGACGGGTCCATGGCGCGAGAGGCAGGGTCTGTGTTGGGTCTGCAGAACACATACGAGTACTATCCATTTCTTGACATTAAGACTCCGACAGATCGGTGGTGTGCACTTCTGGACATACTCCCTCAGAGAACGGAGATCTTAAAGTAGGCTCGACCTCCGCCAATGACATAAGACCTAATGATATTAACGGGGAATAGATTTTTTCACCACCATCGCTTGTCTGCACACCCTTTTAATCCGATCTTGGTAGATATTGATGGAGTTGAATCCGCCATATGCACCTTTCTGGAGTCGGTGGCGTCCGGGGAACTGAGTAACCCAAACAAAATCTCGGAGCGCTGGTCTTCCGATAAGTCCATTGGCCATATCAGTCTCCTTTTGGCGACCTTGGCTTCTGGTGCTCACTTTTCAGATCTCGAAAACCCACAACGCTCTGAAGTATGCCAGGATCTTGGTAAGGTGTTTCAACTATTTTCTGCTTGAGCTAATCGCTAATGGTGAGCAGCACGTCGATCATTCCAGGCCCTAAGATTGGCCAATTTCCTTTTCCGGCCCTCCCTGGACATTGTTCAAGCCATGCTCATCCTTGGAAACATGTTGCAGAATAATGGCCAGTCTGACGCAGCGTGGGCGTTGCTTGGGACCACCGTCCGCTTAGCCCAAGCTGTTGGCTTGCACACCGAACGCGGCACTTCATATTTACCAGAAAGTGTCCGCCTGAAGGCCAAGAAGCTATGGTAAGGTGTGAGTTGACCACATTGAATTCGATGCGCTAACCCGTCAAGGTCCATGACTGTTTGGCAGGACTGCTTATTGAGCCTCTGTTATGACCGTCCACCAGTGGTCTCCACCTCGGGTTGGCAGCAGAGCATTACTGTCACGCCTGCACTCGCATTATCGTTCACGGATGTGATGCACTTTCTCTGTCAGTTGGGCCTAGATATTGCCAAGGTTCAGGAACCTGAGCATTGGGATTTGACGCGCGCCACTGAGCTATTGAGCGCATTAGATGATATCTACAGCCGTGCCCAGCCCCATCTACTCTCCCGAGACCATTGCCATTGTTTGCAGGAGCACCAGGAGCATCTCGCCCTTCGGATGCACATGTCATTTTGTGTGTCGGTGCTCTGCCGGCCGACCATCCGAAGTTCTCCAAGCCATTTAGATGACCCTCGTTACAGCCGCCTACGGCTCCGAGCCAAGGATAGTCTTGTGAGTGCGTCGAATGCATTCTTGGACTTCCAAACTTTGAGCATCGTGCCCTTGCGAACCTGGTCAATGGTACACACAGTCTTGAGCTCCACATTGCTCCTCTGCATCTGGCAGGAAACTCGGAATGACAACGAATGTCGAGACTTGCAGCAGAGAGTGATCACAGTCTTCTCAACGGCAGACCCCGCAAGGAAGGACACTATCGGTGGATCGGAGGACGGGCAGTGGTTATCCGCGCGACATATTCGTGCCCTTGTGGCTCTGAGAAATGCTGTCCGCAATGCGCCGCTTAATGCAACTGGTCAAGACGGCAATGGATCGCAAGGGGAAGGCCAAACTGCCTACCCTCCCCTGAACCCCAATGTAAATGAACTTGTGGCGCAAGATCCAATGTTTATGCCCGGATTCGACCTAGGCGGAGGTTTGACGATAGGGGATGGAAACTAGTAAGTCGGTTCCACCTGGGTTGTGAGATCTGGAGATTGACGAAGAATAGCATCCCGGAAGGCGTGCTCGACAATACGACGGACTTCTCTCCGGTGACCTACCTGGATTCCATTATGAACGGTAGGTGTCCCCATGAGTCTCAGGTGTCATATACTGACGTTGTTGAAAGTGCCATTATTTAATATCTCTGAAGATAATGCATTCTTACAATAGCTTGCGCTTATAGCGACCTTTAATTTCAATGCTGATGCCTAAATTCGGATAATACTACCGCTCTCAATTGCTGTTCTTCCACGGCGAGTCACCAGGCCGTATAAGGTTCGTCGAATGTGGAACTCGCGCCTTATACGGTTGGAGCTTCTCTATTAAGTGGTAGATGCCACACTCTAGATACGCTCGCGCGACCTTTCACTGCAACTCTTCGCGCCAAGCAGCACGGTCCCCCTTCCGAAGTTCTAGAACAAGTGTGTTGCGCGATGCCTTTAGTTCTCGAAAGCACGTGCATGGGAAGGCCCCGATCGCATATGGCGTTGCTCTCCGTGAAAACAAACTATCATCGTTTAATCATCATACTAATAAGCAAATTTGCTGTTTATATGTATAATCTAATGTACACATAATCTATTCCTGTTTTCTGAATCCCAAAGCCTCCCACTTGGCCCTGACCTTGGCCTTGATCTCTTCTGGATAGGAGTGCTCAAAGTCGGCAGCTTCCCAATCAGCACCGGTGGTATACTCTGTGGGCATCAGAGCGTCTGAAACAACCTTACCACCCTTGGTGGGTGAACCTGTGCCGTGACCCATGTAAGGAATAAGGGGGAAACCACGGACGTCTTCAAAGAACATTTCATCTGCATTGGGCCGACACCGTGTCGCGAAAGCCCACATGACATCTTTCCACTCGTACGGATCAATATCTTCGCCAACCAGGACCAAGCGGTGGATGGTGTACCCGGCCTTGTGGTTAAACACCACATCTCCGACCCATTTTTGAAGTTCTTTGGGGGTTAACTTCATTTGACGGAGCTTGGCGGTGTCGACTTTGAGAGCCACCCAGGTAACCTGCGCCTCGAAGGGAGAAAAGGTGTCGGTGATGGGGAGACCGGCCAGCTGGCAGATTTTGCGAATCTCAGCGGCGGCCAAGGAGCCAATCATAGTATGGGTTTCGTCGGTGAGACGACCGCAGGCGGACATGGGCAGGATGGCATCGGTCCGGTAGGTGATTTTGTTGACCTTGTAAACCGGGCACTTGTGGCTATCTCCGGGGAACACGTAACCGTGCATTTCACCGAAGGGGCCCTCATCGGCGGTTTCCGTGATGGAGAGGGTACCCTCGAGGACAATCTCCGCATTAGCGGGGATGTGCAGATGGTTGGTGTCGCACTTGACGAGCTCCAGGGCGCGACCTGTCATGGCACCAACATACCCAGCCTCAGTAACACCATCCGGGATGGGCATCGAGGAGGCCATAATAGCGGCAGGAGGAACTCCGAAGCATAGTGCCCATGGGACATCCTTGCCCTCCTTTTTCCACATTTGGTGGATTTGCCAAATATGCTGGGGCTCAATAACCAAACCCGTCAGATGGTTCTTGTCTTTGACCATCGCACGGGCGATAGACCAATTCGTCCATTTCCCATCGGGAGACTGCACGACATGCATGCCGTATGTTTGTAAGTATTTACCGCCGTCGGACTTGTGCACCATTGGCACTGGGAGCGCAGTGAGATCGATTTCATCGCCTTCAAGGGAGTTCTCCTTTACCGGGCCGGTCTCGACAATTTTAGGGTTAATGGGAGGTAGCTGGGACGCGGAGAGCATCTTGTCAAGGATCTCCTTCATGCTGGCAGTAGGGGGCAGGGCCAGGTGGCGGGCGAGACGGCCGTAGCGGTCACGTCTGGACTTTCTGAGAGAGCCGGGAGCGCCTAGGATACGGAATAGGCCATTCTTCCCCATGCCCTTGAGGTTATTGAAGAGGGGGGCTTTGTCATCGGTTTCGCAGACAAGACGAGTGATTGCGGCGGCTTCCAGGTTAGAGTCGATCTCGGTGTTGATCTCGACCAGGTCATCGTCGGCCTTGAGGGCTTCAACGAAAGCGCGGAAGGAATGGTCGACTTCGTTAGGAGCGGCCATGTTTGCACTTATTGCGCAGTTTAATTGTAGAATATGAAGTTAAACTGTGGTATTCGATACTATCGTGTGGGTGTTTTGGTGTGTGGACTACTGTTAGGATGCTTCCTCGACTTCTTTTATATACCTACACATCTCTCAGTACGGATCTTCGGCAGCTGCAAATTACCAGATTAGGCAGTGGATGATACGGCTTCTAGAATCACGCGTGGAATCTTCTCAAATGCTTGTTTAATCCTGCTGAAGCATGTTCGGGGCCTCGGAGGACTCGGAGGGCAATGCTCTTAAGCTCGCAGCTACTCGGAGGCTCGGAAATCATTCCAGGATGTATCGCTGGACCCACCAGTGATATAATAATGTGAGGAACCAAATTACTGGAAACGCCTCACCCGAACACTATCCACAGTGTCGGAACTCGGTGTCTCGGTAACCCATCTTTGATGCAGGATGTCCGGGATGCCGATATTATTGAGTGCTGATGACCTGGTAGAAGATGATCCCGAACTGTTTTTAAATTTCCTACCCTATTATTTGCCTTTACGGCAACCAACATCCGATAATTTCTATAAATGCACAGGTCGCGCAGTGCAATCAGATCATCACCTCATCAGCACAACATTAAAGGCATACGCAATCAATACTACACCGAGTATCAGATCTGCTGTTGACCCACTCCTAATTTCAAGCTACTTATCGTCCCGGAACTGTTGACCATAGCACCATAATGCTCTCCTCTTTCCTTCCTTCTGGCACGAATACGCCAAACTCCGGCCGTCACAGCCCTGACAACGCATCCGAAACCCAATCAACCACACAGTCCGCACTGGTCGAGCAAACACCCTCCGCAATGCCTCCATTACCAACCGGCGCTCGACGCAAGCGAATCGTCGTAGCCATGACCGGAGCTACTGGCTCTATTCTCGGAATTAAAGTCCTTATCGCCCTGCGTCGACTCAACGTCGAAACCCACCTCGTCATCAGCAAATGGGCCGAAGCAACCATAAAATACGAGACAGACTATCACCCACGAAATGTGCGCGCCCTGGCAGACTACGTCCACAATATAAATGATATGGCGGCGCCTGTATCCAGCGGCTCCTTCAAGACCGACGGCATGATCGTTGTCCCATGCTCCATGAAGACCCTCGCCGCCATCAACTCCGGCTTTTGCGAGGATCTGATCTCCCGTACTGCAGATGTCATGCTGAAGGAGCGCAGAAAGCTGGTTCTTGTCGCTAGAGAAACGCCTCTTAGTGATATCCATCTTCGGAATATGCTTTCTGTGTCTCAGGCTGGCGCTATTATCTTCCCGCCTGTGCCGGCGTACTATATCAAAGCGGCCTCGGTTGATGAACTGGTGGATCAGAGTGTTGGGCGGATGTTGGATCTGTTTGATCTGGATACGGCCGACTTTGCCAGATGGGAGGGGTGGAAGAAGGACAACTGAAACGGCGAACGCGAACTCTCTTATACATCGAGATACTTATATATGTGCATGGCGAAGTTGTTTGTTCTTTTATAATTGGCCAATCACTATACGTGGTCGGCTGCTGGGCGAAAAGGGGCAAGGGATGGGATAGCATTATTTTTGCATGGTGTAGTCGGGATGCATTGTTACTCTTGATAGCATGAAGGCGTTAATTAGGGCTAGGCGTTCTTGAATTTTTATCTTATCAGTGAAAATGAGATCCATAATTTACTCGGTTGTTCTTTCACATGTTCATCAAATTTCGGTTGCGTGGTAGGCTGAAGTCGTCGGTGGCCTTTCCATGTTAGAATGTAGAGAAGGGGTATTCGCTTTATGTAAGAGTTACATGTAGAAGAAATAAAATGGTATGACAGCTGACAGACACGGGATGATTTAAATGTGATATTAAAGCTTCAGGAGGGGGGTTAAACAAGATGAGCCTAAACCTGTCGGGAAACAGTTCTATTAAATTATATTTCCTAAACCTGTGTCCTTCTATCTATAGTCCGTACCTATCTATCCCATTTACCTCCATGAACTATGGATGTCCCCTTATCTTTTCAACCAGACTAATTAGTCTATTGTACTGATCACCTCTTGACTTCTTGCCCTAGTTGAACTGTTAAGATCCTAGATCAAGGTCGACTCGACGGGAGCCAGAGTGCCATTCTCAATAGCGCCAGCATGATGGCGGGCAACCAGTCCGTAAGCGAATTGGTACCTGGAGTAGCGTCGCGTTAGTATTCCGTGACAGCAAAGATGGAATGGTGATATCGTACTTGTCAAGCATAGGAAGCACCTCGGTCAGGCCGGGGGTGTTTCTCCAGTCCCTCATGAGGTCAGTAACGATACCGAAGATACCCATCAGAGTAACGCCGGCCTTCTCCATGCGACGGTTGGCATCCTCAGCGAGGCGGGCATCGAAGGTACCGCTGGCCTCAGTGTTGGCGAAGACCTCGTATCCTTCGTCAACGAGGGAAAGAGCCAGGAATGCAGTGCCTTTTGGATCAAACCGTTAGTGAATACTAATACTTGTATTGACATGTAAAAATGATCAACTTACAAACTTCAGTGACGATACCGCCGATGATCAGCTGCTTCTTGCCAGTGGCCCGGACGGCAGCACGGAACTCCTCATTGTCCCAGGCGTTGACCTCACCCTGGCGCTGAACCAGAGTGGCGTTGGGGTGCATATCCCGGATTTCCTTGAGCAGGAGACCGTTGGGACCGGTGTCGGAGGAGGTGGTCAGGACGGTGGGGAGGTCAAAGACGTTTCCGATGGCGGCGTGGGCCAGCATGTTGTTGCGGAAGTCATTGGTGCTGTAGTCGCGTACCAGCTGGGCGAGACCAACCTGGTGGTCAATGACGAGCAGGGCCTGGCATGCAGCGTTAGTATGAGCGTAACCAGTCAGATTTCATATGGGGAGCGAGGAGACATACAGCATTGTCTTTGTCAATTCTGTTCCACGCCAGAGCGGGGACAGAGGCTCCGAGGAGCGCAATGGTCTGGAAGATCTTGCTGAGCTGCATTTTGCTGAGTTTGACTTGAGAGATGCTGGAAAGCTACTGTTGCTCACTGGATCTGCTGCTGCCTGGGAAAAGAACCCTCATGATGAAGGGAAGTTCTCTGTTTATATAGTGCTCTGAAATTGAATCCCAACTCTAGATCGAATCCGCAAAATATGTGTGTAGCATTGACAGCAATTTCCCCAATTGGTAATTTCGAGGAAGTTACCATTATCAACTCTTGTATAAGCCTTCGTCAGCGTTCAGAATGGTCCCGTATGTCTTGGCATGCCTACTGTAACAACACTAGCATCGCTTACCACGGATTATACAATTCTGACAAGCCCTTCTTGGCGGGTCGACCCTTCCCTAATTTGGCTCTTTTAACGGATGGAAGTGTTGCCAACCAATCACATCACGGTAGGGGAAATATTAGCAGCTACCCTAATTTATAAAGAATTGACACATAACGGTTCTGGGGTACTCGTTGAGGTCTTGGAAGAATCTACGAGACTGCCCTGGATTGAACCCCCTGTTGAGGATTAGGGTCTTCTGGGCGCTTGCACATTAATCATGGATGATACGACGAGGTATTTTTCTTGCAAATGGGGTGCAATTGATATCTACAAGGGCGTCTGTCCGGCTCTCTCACTCAGTCGGTGACCGTAGCAAATAATACCTAGCACCATACTTGATTCGTTGTCGATAGTTGGCTGCCGGGGTAGAGGAAAAGCCCCCTTATATGAGCAGCTTCTGTACTACAGACATGAAAATTCTCTCTCGACCTGGCTAGACCAAGACCCATCACCGGCGCAGAGGCTAATGTAAGCACTAGTGAGGGGTTCCGGGTTTCCCGTGGTTAATTTGCTGCGACCGTGGAAGAGCAGATGGCGAGAATAACCCATCGCACGTGGTGAGAGTATGCGGAACCATGTCCCCTGGGATATACTAAGTTTCGACCCATGTAACGTAGGCCACACAGCTCGGTAGTCGGTACAGGACCTATCATATTACATCGTCGTCGATTTTACTGCTCCGATGGCGTAATCTTCAATATAAGACTGTTTGTGAACGCCTTCTATCAAAAGATACTCTCGCGTCTCAGCTGACCTGAGAATATTATTTTACGGTAAAGCTTGTGGGGAGATCTGTTATCCTTTATTTCTCTCGCAATATCTCTCCATAGCAATGTAGAGTCAAACGATCCGCAGGACTAATAACATCTTGACCAGAATACGCTTGCGTATGGAACCGTGCCGTGCTCCCCAGCCATTCCCATCCTCACTCACCTCCCCGCCGGTCCGATCTGATGGTTGTCTCGCAAGTTAACAACATCTTACTCATGAATCGCGATGTGTAAAGCACCGCTGACTTGATGTGTGGAAGGGGTAGGCGGAGTGATCGTGCCACTGAGCGAAATAGTCTTTTCTTGGGTATTCAGAGCTTTGATCTTCAGCTCGGTCGGGCCAATAGATGATGACCCTTGGTCGATTTCGTAAGTGCCATGTAAATCATCGACGGCCTCGTACGTCAGGGTTACAGGGGTTGCTTGAGTCTGCCCAATATGTTGATAGAATTGGCCATCAATATGAAGTTCGCGGCCATCAACAATGAACCTCCCCTGGAAACTTGCGCCGGATACATTAAAGGTGCCGGGAGCGCTCATCTATTTCGAATGTTAGGGAGAGCTTCATTATTCAGAAATAGAGAATGCATGGTGGAATTCTTCATGACTTGAATGAAGCCAGGTCTTACGTTGATAAAGAGAAAGGGGGTTGCGTTTCCAAGGACGTATGGATGAGGGCTTGTGGAATTGTTGGATGGGCTGCTTCATGGCCAGAAGAAAGGTTCTCTTATATAACTTCTGTACGGCATCGGGCCACAAGGAGGGGTACAAGGCCTGAGCGCTAAGTATTACATTATCGTGCGTAGGAGTGACAAATACTCCGCAGGTTGGAGGGAAATGTTGCAATATATCATTGGATTTGGGGTCGAGAACAGGTTCAGTGAGGGTTTTGCATATGCACGAGGGGGAGAGAAATCCGCGCGGGGTTGTTGCATCGCGGCCACGTAGGAAATTCCTGTTGGCCACACCATCCTGATCACTCGTTTGCTACATATATCGACCAGGTTGCGTGCTTTCTAAGTGACATCACCATGAATTCCATGTACATGTCAGGTATGTCAGTCCCTGATGGATTGTAGAATGTCTCCATTGTGATTATGCTTTCTAGATCAAATATGTACTATTGTTGGTTGAGAGACTCGTTTTATGGGTTAGTCACCGCACTAGGAGAGAGAAAGAAACAGGGTGAAGATATAAAACTAAGAAGATAAAAGAAGACCGTGCGTGATTCGTGAAGGTAACATGGATCGTCCAACACTCGCAGGGGCAGTGATGGGTTAGGCGAAGCATCATCAAACTGATGCCCGCCCTCGAAATTCATTGATTAGAGCCACAATTTCTGGAACATCCTCGCCGGCCACTTCAGATTTGTTATTTTTGCGTTCTGCTGATTGTTTGTTTTTCCTCGCCATGGAATTGGGAACTGGAATCTGTGTGTTACGCCTCGACACGTAGCCGCGTGGTTTCTTGGAACGTGGAGGCACTGGTGGCTTGGATGCACTCGATACAGAATCTGTTCTCTCATTCGATGCAGCATGTCGCTGCCAAGGTACCCTCTCCAGTGGGTCACAGCTCGAGTCGACAGGGGAAAGTGGACCACCAGTAGTAGTATCATGTGGGATACTGATCGAAATGTTTCTGCCGATCTCTTTGCCGATCAGGGCTCGGACCCCTTGGAGAAGTTCTGCAGTACTGCCCATCACCTTTTCCCCCTCAGCACCGTTCCACTGTACGGTAGAAAACTCTGTCGGACCTTGATGCGAGGATTCTACCCAATCCACTTCACTTTGTCTTCGTGTATGGGACACTGCTTGCTGGGAAACGTGGATGTTTATATGTATGGGTGCACCCCCAAACTGCTGGGTAGGACCCTCCGTGGGTTGAGCTACTTTCATCGGAGGCTTGAAGTCGGGTGAGTGCATGTTCGCTGCCACTGATAATACCCAGAGGTAAAAAGACCAAATCAACTGTCCAAAAATAGCCAGTAAGACGCAGATTCCAATGAGGGCACTGTGCATGGTCGTCGCTATTCCAGTGGGCAGCTTTTCAAGCACCCGCATGAAGTCCGCACGGTCAACTTCCCACCGTTTGTGCTCAGTCACACGCTCCATGCCTGTGGAATTGACCGGAGGAATAGTGAGCAGCAGCTCTTTGGCACAGAGAGCGGCAGCAGCAGCAGCATAGCCATGCCATCGATCATTTTTGTGTGAGTCGGAATAGTCACAGATCCCGCGAATAGCAATCCATTTTAAGCTGTCGCTGAGGCCAGCTGCTTCCATCTCGAAACAAAGAGCATCGAATTCGTGGGCGATTTGATCTCGAGCCGTGGCATCTTTTATGACTTGGTCGGCAGATGCGATTATCCCGTCGTGGACCCTGACTTGATCCTTGCCACGGGAGGGCCTTTGTATTAAATGCACTTGATCTTGAGGTCTATGGTTGGTGCAATCACAGTTGTCAAGATGAACGTATCGAGGATTGTACAGGCGATCCGTATGCGATTCAGGGCGTCCGAATGTCGCTTTCATCGGTGGAGATTTTGCGACCATTTGCTCTAAGGATGTTGCAAGGTCTAACCCATCGAAAATGCGTGTTTTCAGTCCAGTCACCGCATGAAGAAGGATAGGAGCTGGTGTGAATGTGTGACCAGTGACTTGGAATCCACTCGGTGTTTTCTTACCGAGTCCGTATTGAACTACCTTCGTTCCAATAACCACATCTCCAAGACGAACATCATTTTTTTCGCTCGGGGCACCGCCACCAATTCCGACCATGAAGCCTAGATTTATAGATGGGAATCTCATCTTCATGTCCTCCGCGACTGTGGATGTGGACACTAGCCCGTACCGGCCAATTGGCAAACAACCAACCACTATTCTGTGTCCTCCAATGCGACCGCGAGTGTAATAACTGCGACCATCACTTGTCAGCGAGCTCTTCGTGGTATCGTCGTAGGTCTGATCTAGTATTTCCAGAGCCGCGATGTATTCTTTGAAGAGAGCGCAAACCCAGCCAACGGTGAACTCGCGGTCATCGGGCCGTGCTGTAGTTCCGAGCATTTCCACGGCAACTTAGGCAGTATTGACAACGGGCAGGATCGCGTGTGACAGATATCCAGGTAGCACTATCGTCTATCTAGTTGAAAGGTCTGGGTCGAGTCCCAGTCGCCGCGTCGGTATCCTCGTCGAAGTCGATATGTAGCGCTAAGATAAAAGTGCGGGTAATTTCTCCGAAAGATAGCCAGGAAGAAAACAATAGCGCGGTTCCTTAGCTACAACTTTACGTAGCGCTAGGTCGCAGAAATAGTATAATAATAATCGTTGGACGTGTCATTGCGCTGCACTGGAACGGACATGACATGTATTGCGCTCTGATTAGCGAGACCAGCACGACCGTCCGGCGCCTAATAGGCTGCATGCTTGCTCGGCGGCTAAGTCATTACGCCAACGTGTCAGAATAACTGCGCGTTTCTGAATTTAGTAAAACATCAACTGGCCTACAGATCAAAGCACCTCATGTGATCTGTACCATATGCAATCTCGGATGGCGGAATAGGATGACGGACGAATGTTCAAGATATCCCACCGACAGTATTGCCAGGCAATCAGCTTCCGACAACTGTATTAGAGCCAGTTTCATATTGTACACGATTAATCCACGGCTCTGCTACAGTATAACAGCTCATAAATGCCATGTGGTGTACAGTGTGACTATGAATGCGTTTACCAAAGCACGTTGTTGGCAAGTATGTGTCCACCTAATCCCTTCAATACCAGATAGTTCCGAAGATCTTCTTCATTACGTCATATTCGACGTAGTATGGAGGGATAAATTTTTCAACCATACGATCCCAGGACGTCCTCCAAGGCGGATTAAACATGGCACGATAGAACTCCCAGTATTCGGGCCAAAATCCAGATAATCCCCAGTCCAGTAACACAACAGTACCATCAGATCGGACCAGCATGTTACCCTCATGAAGGTCACCGTGTGTGAACACTATTTTGTGTCCTTTCAGCCCTCGTACCGTCTGGTGCAAGATATACTCACTGGCCCAAAAATTGGATTCCGGGTCGTTTTCGATTTCAAGTAGCTTTCCTGGAAGTCGGTCTCGCAAAGCTTGGACCATGCCTTCGTTGAAGCTCTCCTCTGATTCATAAGGCCCGTAGCTATACAATGTATGGTCGCCATAGCCTCCTTCGAAGACTCCATCTCGGCAAGGTGAGCGATCTAGCCCACCAATGAAGTTGCCTTCGATCGCTCGCATTTGCTGCACATAGTCGGTTAATTGGTCAAGGATTGTCTGGTGTTCTGTCTCCGAAGCATTGTCCCAGTACTGTTCAGAAGGCGTTCCATGTTCATATGACATGATGATGTATCCAGTCCCGTCAAGAATATATGCACTCAGCAGCTTGGGCACCGCGATGGTGGTACGTTTAGATACCAGATTTAGAGCCTCAGCTTCGGCTAAACGAACCCCATGGCCGAATTTTACAAGCATGTCAGTATCGGCCCAGGCGAGGCGAGCGCCCATCTTGTCCGGTATGAGGTCCTCAGCATCTTTCAGATCTTCGGGATCCAAAATAATCGTAGGCGGACCAATATCCTCCGAGTAAATGAGACGCAGCTCGGGTTCCTCGGGGGATGTCGTAGACTGCTGACTGTCGGTGGCTTTCAGAGCATTTGAAGCTGGCCCACGCGCCGTTTCCTTTTCTCCTGGTGTACGGTCACTTTTACCTTCGGCCTCCGGGGCATGTTGCCTGTTCTTCTGTCCCTCGATATCAAGTCGGAGTGGGTCAATGCAATTCAATTCGGATAGCGACGTGCCATTTCCTCCGTATTTCAGTGGGATATCCGAGCCAAGGTGAAGTGCGAGCTCCTCTGGCTTTTGTAAAAGAATGGTGTTCCGTTGGAGGTATTCGGGAACATCCAACATAGCGAGGTATTCATGCGATGGATATATAATGTACGTTTTCTCAAGAAGACAGGGGTAGTGCGCGTGGATCAACGCAATTAATTCACGAAGCGCCTGCCGAATCTTCCCTCGAAACGATACGTATCCTTTACGCCCTCCCGGTTTCTGTTGCAGTCGGAATTCAAGCACACAATTCGCTGCCTGATTAATCTTCTGGTCCACGTCAGCTGGCTGGGACAGGAGCAGAGTGGCGAGATGCTCTAGTACGGCGACCCCCAGATTGCTAATTCTGGCAGACGTTGAAAGGCTTTCGTGCAACGGCGAGAATCCCTTCAAGACCGTCTCATCGACAATGACCCACAGAACATAGCTCCCACGACTTTTGGTAACATAGAGTAGGCCTAGCTCAGGTAAAAGCCATTTAGCCTCGCCCATACCTGCCCGTGGATCGCATCTGCGCCGCCATTCTAGCGTCTTGGAGAGTGAGTGGCGGGCCCTTGGAAGTTGCAGTGAAGGTATGATAGAATTGTGCTGTAAAAACTATGTCTATGTCACCCTTCGTATTCTTTCCTGAGAATGTCCTTCAGTGGATACCTTTTGGATAATACTCTCCACGATTCTTGGTTCGCCATCGTTTAGGTCAGTGCCCCATATCTCACTATGGCGCGTTTCCGTGGTGAGGGATCGTATGTTTTCCAGTATACATTTTGTGTTTTGGGATAACTGACATTCTGGTGTTGTAGACATGACAGGGTGGCTATATCGGGAGTGTATCGTTATTGACTGGCCTTACGACATGCGACCTATCTTCATGCTTGGCAACCTATTTGGGAGGTTCTTGAGGGCGTATCGAACTCTTGTACAATTGGTTGGCTATTCCATATTGGATTCACATACTGTTCTTGTCGGGCGGTAACACGTTCATCCTCCATACTTGCGGTTGAGGGCCTGAGGCTATGGACGGAAGATAGTAGTTCCATTGCCGGGGTTCGTAGTCATGTGGCCGACTGCATGTGTTGACGTTGCCTGAGGCAGCATTGCTCTAAAAATAGAATAGGAAATTGTTTTGTGCATGTTGATGATGGCCTACCTCCCCTTGATACGAGACTCGGAATTCTTCGTCGAAAGTATCCTCTTGTAAGGAAAATGGTATTCTTTTGCTGATCGTCCAGGTATGAGATGTTCAAGGTGCTAACTCTGGAGATACAAGTATATAGCGTTATCATAGTACGATTTATGAGAACGAGTCTAAAGTGAATCGATCATATAACAGTTTCAATGTCTTCTGCTGGTAGTTGTTGGAGTGTACTAATGTATGATTTAGCATGCATAATGAAACATCAGCCCCTAAACATATTTACGGTTAACTATCGACCTTGTCATGTCCACGGGTCATCATCCTTGTGATTACAGGAGAATTGTCGTCGGTGTTAGGGGTAAGATGTGCAAGGCACGACCTTAGTGCTATATGATGTTTTGGCCGAGTGTAACTCAGAGTTGGCTCTCACTTTCTGCCTGTCATTTTTGCTTTTGTCGTTTGCTCTTTTTTTTCCCCTGGCAATAAATGGCCTCGTATATGATACGGAGTGTCCTCGTCAGGCACCAGACACTAGTCTGGGAGCTTCACCCGTACCGCGTTTTTCGTCTTTTTCAGGATTGAGAAAGTGACAGCATGTGGTGTTTTAGCGTTTCAAAGACAGGGTACAACATAGAAGGCTGATTGTGATCGTGCCTTGTTCTATCTAGTTTACTCGCGACCACACCGTAAAATGTGAAAGCGTTGGATGCTTGGTTCGAAGTTTACAAAAGTCAGCCTTCTCATTGAAGAGATAGTAAGAACCTAGCTAGTAGCCTCTGCCGGGCACTTGCAATTGGGGCTATTTAGTTGACGAGATAAAAAGAGAAACCTAATGAAGTGAATACGAGACCAAGAGATACGAAGTAATGCAGATCCACGAGTTTGAGATTCCGTCCAACTAGGCCTGTCCATTTGGTCACTCCCAGCAAATTACTATACAGCCATCCAACCTCTCATGCGTCGTCGTCCATCCATGGTACGATTCTCTTACGTATCATCTTTCTCAACTATGTGTGGCAAATGCAAGGGGTTCCGTAGAAGTGTAATACTGCCTTAGCAGCCAATATTGCTGGACAACGCAAAAGGAGAATTTCTCTATTTGGTGGGTCTGGAAAAAAGTTCCCCATTTAACCCAATCGTAAAATACATCCTATTTAGGTAAGCTGGAGGCTGTATAGAGCTCACTCATGCTGTGTGACTGGAGGGTTATTGGGCATCTTTTCGTGCCCCTTACCTACTCCGGCTAGCGCTTCTAGCACTAATTTTCTATTCTCTAAATAGTCTTGCAGATCTTCATTGCCGTTAGAAAACTGCAGAAGGTTAAACCTATCTAATCGCATCAGCCTTTTACTGATGATAGCAGATTGGCAGGATTTGATGGTGATCTGCGCTCCGTGGGTTAGCGTTCGTGTACCTCGTATGAGCATGCCTATCATTTGAGTTGGAGAGCACCACGAGAGAACATCAACTATACGAGGTTTCTATTCTAGAAAAAAAGCTTCAGCCAAGCGTCGATCCCTGCCAGCCTCATCGTCCGGGGGCCGGGAGTGGCTTTAAGTGGATCCGTGTGCCGAGACGACCAAGCCAGCAATACGAGCTTTGAAATACGTAAGGATGCAGGCTGGACTGGTCGAGGAAAGAGTATAGGGTCATTGGCATCGGATCACCGCTGTTACCTGCCTCAAAAACACTTTTTCATGACACAGCCTTCTCGTGTTTCGTGAAGATCTCTACTGTTCAGCCAAATCCCTGACGTGGTGGGCACATTGGGAGGGACTGAGGGTTTTCCCTTTGGAGGCTGAACACGAGAAGGAACACGAGATGAACGGAGTCGAGTGTACACAACTTCAGGGGGAATGAAGGATATAAATACGGGCTAGGAGTCTGCTGGTTGGGGAATCATCAACAATCCAAAACCCAGAAGTCGATTGCCTGCCAAAGCAATAAAAATTCCAAATCCTTCCACTTGACGTGATCTTTTATCGCACTCCAAACTGTAAGGGGACTCAGCATTCCAATCAAACTTGATCATTCAGACCACGAATTAACCAATGTTGAAATATAGACACCCTACAAAATGCGTTTCTTCGGTGGTGTTATCGCGACCTTCGTCGTCTGCTCCTCTTTGGCGGAGGCCTTCTGCCACAACTCGATCTCTTGCGGGCTTGGAGGTGATGATACTTGCAGCAAGACCTGTGTGCGAGAGGGCAACCCTAGCGGCGGTCGCTGTCTCCCGCGTGATGGCTGCCCTGGCTATACCATTTGCGCCTGCTACCCCAGAAGCAAGCGCGGCGATGAGGTGATCGATGGCGATGTTGGCCTCCGCAACGTCCTGAAAGACTATGGTATAGAGGAGGAGGCCGATAAGGGAATCAAGGAAGCGTTGAATGCAAGAGACATGGAGAAGCGCAGCATTACCTGCAGCTTCCCCAATCCTTGGGGCGGACTTTTCTGCGAAGACCACTGCTCCTACATCGGAAAGCCCGGTGGCCAGTGCAAGGATGGAGTCTGTACTTGCAACTAAGTGCTGAGTCTTGCACCAGATACAAGATCTTCAGAGGAAAGTAGTGGAGGAAAAGGGTGATTTGTTTACTTTCTTGTCAAATTCTATTTGCTGTCGGACTCTACTGTAATTAGTTCGAATTTTGAGATTTATGAATACGTTTGAATATATGCTTCTTGCAACAGGTATTTCTATCATTAAATCTTCTATGGTAAAGACTACTGCTTAATAGAAGGGGAAGATGTTGCCCAAGTGACATCATCCTGGTCCGATACACCAGACGACGTTCAGTGTGTTTTGTAGAAAGCAGGAAGATAAAGGTGTTCCGAACATAAAGAAAGGCTTATTGTATACTTCAATTGTGCGAAGGCCAGTGATAGTATCCTTTTTTTTTTTTTTTTTTTTCCTTCAGGGATTCTGTTCCTATTCCCGTCGGTCTCGCTGCTTCTGTGCTCCCTAGAGTGATAATATGGCTTCACAACACGCAAATTTTCAGACAACTTACTCAAATTACCACCAGGCTGGCTCCAGTTTCTCAGGAGACATACCATTTGCATTTGCATAGAAATGGGCGACAGTATAGGGTCAAGGTTGTAAACCTCTACCTGGATACTTGGTGTGTAGTTCCCGTGGCTGCGTTTGGACTTGTTGAACGGTGTCGTGATTTGGACATTGATATATATATTCCTCGAAGTTGCACGCTGGAAGGCTAACGATGAACCTTCAAACACAGAGCGACAACCGTGAACTTAAAAATTACGAAAGGCACCTCCCATCCGTAGTTTTGCCATGGCCATTGATGTATGCTAAGCCTATTTTCTGTCCTGGACCCGCCGGTGAAAATTTTTGATAGGGCTCAAAGTGAAAGGCCCAAAGACCCTGCGGCGGCATCCCGAAAGTCGAAGATCAGAACATTATTAGCTAAGCGGCCCTTAGAGGATCGGCAAAAATTGCTTAGAAAATATTTTGGGGCAAAAGTTGCGAAATTCACTCATTTGATTGGATTCGTATACCGTACTCGATACATGGCTATGAGTACTAAGCAATTGTCATGAATCATGACCGAGTAAAACGTTCAGCCGGGACTGATATTAACACATTGACTGACATCATCCAAGACTTTATTTAGGCTGCACGGTGTGCCGAGAGTCAGGAAACGGCGCAGAGTTTGCTAAACAGTGGTTAAAATTTCCTATTTCGGCCTGAAGAACGGCATTTCATCCAACATTTCCCAAGGAACTGACCAGTCAGAGAGTAGCCCGCCGTTCCCCGTGGAGTATTTTCTCCACTTTATCCCACATGGGTTGTGAAAGATGTGGGGTTCTTTAATCGGAATTGTCGGACTGCCATGGAAATATCGAGGGAATAAATGGTGTATGACAGTAGGGAACCGAGAAATAGTTCAAAGCATGCCGTGATCGGTCGGTTAGGATATCCACCTTCAATCCCGAGGCCATCTCGGATCCAAAGTCGGATCTTAGACGGGATATATAAAAACAGGGTTTTCTGCCTGATCCTTCCTTTCCTCTCCAGGCGTGGTGTTTTTCATTTCCATTATTCCCCATTCTAGCTATAAACAAAATGGTAGCATCATTACTGAGACTTGCAGTCCTCGGGACGTTGGCAGCGCAGGCCGTCTGCAAGACTGTCAATACATCATCCCTCTTGAGCTACCAAGACAAACCACGAGTATTCATCCTTTCGGACATCTCGAATGAACCGGATGACCAAGAGTCCTTGACACGGTATCTCCTCTACTCTAACCAATTCAAAACCGAGGGTCTCGTGGCATCGACATCCACTTGGCTCAGAGATGCAGTGCACCCGGAGGACATGTTGCAGGTGATCAACGCCTATGGAAATGTCACCGATAACCTCAACAAGCATGCTCCTCCCGACGCCCAGTATGCCTCCGGAGATTACTTCCGGAGTATCCTGCGCAGTGGCGCACCGGTAAGTCAACTATTCCCCTCAAACTGTGATCATACAAACCCTAAATCGTCCTAGACCTATGGCATGAAAGCAGTGGGAAGCAACGTTTCACTTAGCGACGGCGGAAAGCTCCTTCTCCAACGGCTTCAGTCCCCATCCGAGAAGCCCCTCTGGGTCCTCGCTTGGGGTGGTACAAATGTTCTGGCTCAGGTGCTGTATAAGATCCACCAGAACTACTCATCCGAAGACGCGGCTGCCATGCGTTCCAAACTGCGCGTGTATGCCATTTCCGATCAGGACGACACGGGTCCCTGGATCCGTCGGAACTACCCAGATATCTTCTACATTTCCTCCACCCATGGATGGAACCAATACGGTATGGCTACATGGATCGCCATTTCCGGCGAGACGTACTACAACAAAGATGAGGGTGGTCCAAATGGAACCACCGTGACTCATGCGTGGCTCCGCGACAACATCCAGATTGGACCCTACGGTAGCGTGGCATATCCCGATTTCAAGTTCATCATGGAAGGCGATACTCCTACCTTCCTGTATCTGATCCAGAATGGATTGGGGGACTCCGAGAACCCCGGATATGGATCTTGGGGTGGAAGATATACCAAGGTGGATCCGTCAACAGCCGTGAACTACAACCACTACAGCGATGCTGCGGATCGCGTGGTGGGTCTTAACAACAAGACCTTTAGCTCCAACTATGCTACTATTTGGAGATGGCGTGACGCTTATCAGAACGATTTCGCCGCTCGGATGCAATGGACTCTCCCGGCGAACACTAGCAAGGCGAACCATCACCCCGTTGTCTCTGTGAATGGAGGGAAGGAGTTGGCTCCATACAAGGTTACGGCTGAAGCAGGTTCGACGATTAACCTCGATACTGCTGGCACTTATGATCCCGATGGCGATACGTTGTCGTACAACTGGTTCCAGTACGAAGAGCCGGGCTCCGATGATTGGAACGTGGCAGGACAGGTCCCTGCATTAAACTTGACTACTGCGAACGCTGGCCAACAGGTACAGGTGAAGATCCCCGCGTCCGAGGACAGCTGTAATGGAAAGGGGGACAACCCTTCTGGCTGTTGGTTGTTGCATTTGGTTCTGGAGGTTAAGGATAATGGCATTTATCCCTTGACAACTTACCGTCGGGTGCTGATCCAGACTACTAACCAAACGATCTCTACGTGATATGGCTGTACCTATGCGTAACTCCTGTAATATAAAGCATTTTAGATAGACATACGCATAATGAAATAGTTTAGGATATCCATCTTCACCGGGAGGATTAGAGAAGGAAGGGCGCACAAATAGTAAAAGCAAATAACGACGGCCTTATGGCTATGTATCAGATGGCACTGTCCCTGATATGCCTTTTCAGCTGTACCAGCATCTTCTCCTGGTAATTCCAGATTCTTTCACGATTCCGCAGTCCTCTTGATTCCTTCCGGTTGCGCTTGATATCAAGGTCCAACATATACCAATTTGTCCGCCCATAGGGAGGCTTTGGTAGAGCCCACTGCGACATATGTTCCTGCACATTGATGGTATGTGACACGATGGTGGGAGTTGACATACCCGGAGCCAGGGCTTCACGTCTGTTATTTCCGATGTCCTCAGCGGTCACTGTGGCCCAGTAATATGGAGGTTCATCACTCCAGATCTCCCACAGCCATGGCATCTTTTCTCTGAGTAGCCGCTGCCAAAGAGAGATTGGCAATTGATGAAAGGCTCGAGAAACTAACCGCAAGCTCGCGATATCTTGTGAATTCAGATAATTGAGAATAATGTTTCGTATTTCTCGAGGAAGTCGACGGAAGCTATCGGAAGTGAGCGCTGGGCCCTTCATTGTGTGCCAAGAGCAGTGGGGGAATTGAAAGCCCCCGGTTGTATATTGAACGATGCATCGGTATTCATGGCTCTGTTTAGGAGCTCCCGTAGTTTGGGCACATGATATGGATTTGCAGCCATCCACTCGGCGCCAGCCCAACACCACCACATCCCTACAACACGGGCCCGCGTCACTTTAGGTTTAGAAAGGTCATACAATTCACGAGAGTAGCGGTGTATATTTTGGTAAAAGCTTAGTAAGCGCTTTACCTCTACATAGCCAAGGCGAAGCCGTGAGAGTTGCATATAGATGCCGAAGCACCACGGATGAAAGGGCAGTGCAGATTCGGGGACATTGTGATTCTCGCGGACTAATGTTAGTAGCGGTTACAGCTCATTTTTGTACGTCGCATCTTCTCTTCGTAGAAACAGAAAGCCATACTTGGATAAAGAGGTTGACAATCTCGCTCAGTCTTGCGGCATGTCTTGCCGGCAACCAAGAAATGATTTTAGGGTCTTGAATACTGTACCCACACTCTGGTATTGCATCGGTAATGCCCGTCAAGATGACCTTGCCCTGGCGCTCGATATCGAGATCGTCCGGCTCTCGGACGTGGCTCTCAAGTTTGGGTACAAGACTCTGGAAAGTCCGACAGCCCCGCATCTCTCGAGCAGATATCCGATGGCCGAGATAGCCTCCAAATGACTGACAGCCTGGACCACCAACATGTTCCACATCGTCTTTAATTATGGCGATTCTACCACGTCTGTGACGCATATATCGAGTAATTGGGAGTTGTTGACCCACCACAGGGGTCTGCCCCTCTTCGAAATCGAAAGAGAGACAACCGTCACTACTAGGAGACTCTGTGTTGCGCATTTCGTGGTACTGTCGAAGGATGTAAAAACATCCAGTTTCCTCAGTGGAGCACTTCCACTGAGTGTCATACCAAGCATTTACCCAGTCGTCATTGAAACAACTGCCGACATTAGCACACTTGTCGGTCCCGACACAGTTGCCGGCCCAGGCACAGTTGGGAGGTTCGTCAGTGGTCCTGATGCGACCGATGTTGAAACTAACGCCACAGAGGCCACACCAAGACTAGAAGCAGGACTGGTCAGAGTGAAATTGAACTCCATGCCGTGAATCACAGCTTCACAGGGATACCTCTATGTACCGTATAGGTGGAAAGGTTAGCAACAGAGCGGCCTTGCTTCAGGTCACGGTAGGCTAGGCTTACTCATTGCCTTGGACAGTACAGTATCGCCAAAAAGCCTGGCGTCGCTAGAGGAATAATGTACGAATGTAACGTGAGTGAAATTTGGGTAGTGGAGAAGGGTAAGGCTCAACATTTCGGGAATAAAGCGTTAGAGAAGGTTCTTATGGTTTCCGACTATCTGTCACCAATAGACGTCAGTATGTGTCTTATAAGACACTGCTAGACATAAATCATTACACTGCCCGTCGTCCCAATTCGGCAGGCGGTGTTTTCGAAGCATCCCTCATCTCTATGGACTCAGGTCGTTCGTCGCCTTCATGTCCTCAAGGACAACATCCTGATGTCATTGTTGTTACCGAGGCCTTTTGGAGCTACATAACTGGTGATACATACTCAATTACTAAATGTCGGTTGTTGTGGAGCTGTAAGAGCAAGGTAGGGAGTGGAAATTCCCCTGGATGACCAGTTAGAATAAGTTTTTATATGTTTTGCTAGAGCATTGGCCAGGAAGGGGCCGTTGACACCAAGTTAAAGTACTATGAAACGTCCTGCTGAGGAAGTATGGATTAAAAATGAATTTGTATTTAGACATTGGTCGCGTCACGTGTGCAATACCCTTTGCCTCAAAGGCATACCTTCATCACACCGGACGTCTGGGAATGATGAAAGAAAGGAATGAGCTGGCCACGACCAGCTATCTGCCGCTCAAACCGTGCGCTCCAGACTCCTGAGAAGACCATTGGGTTCAGCAACACCTTGCGAAGCGATTGCATCGGCACGCTCCTGCGTGTCAGCAACGGCGTAGATACGGAGTTCATCAGCGTTGCCCGAGGGGCGGAAGTGAGCGACATCGCCGCTAGCGAAGATGATTCTAACTCCGTCTGTGTAGTTCAAGCGGGCAATGGATGAGAAACCATATTCTGGGGAGAACACAGTTTCGAGCTCTTGGCGGATCTGCTCGAGTTTCTTGGCATCGAACTCTGTAACCTGAAGCTGAGCACGGCTACCGTCGTAGGCAACAACATGATCTGGCTGATATGATACCTCCTGCATCGTGGACTCTGGTGGGGAGAAACGGTCGATAATCTTCAAGCTCGTTGCGCGAGGGAAGTTCCGAATCAAAGCGGCACGGCTGGAACGCTTGGGCAGCGTGGCGAACAGTTCGGGCACAGTGATGCTGCGGTTGCCCGCCGCAAACAAAGCGCAGAGCAGAGGCAACACAGCATCACGTGTGGGAAGTGCGGTAAGGATATTATTATTGCGCTCAATATCAGAGCCAGTGAGGAAACCGCCGTTGGCTTCCCATCCACAGACGCGACGGCGTCCCTTGGAGAGGGAGTGCTGCATACCAGCAATAACGTAAGGGCTACCAATCTTCGTCTTGGGCTCAGTGACACTAGCAAGGGAGCCACGATCCATAGCATCATTAGTGCTGATAGGCACCACAACGGAGTCGGCACCCAGGAATTCGGCGACCGTCATGCCCAACAGATCACCACCGAAGAAGCGGAGCTTGCCTCCTTCAGGGGCTAGTATGAGAGGGCGATCGCTGTCACCGTCAGTAGAAACCATCGCGTCGAATTGCTGTCCAGTGCTGTCGTAGAGTTTCTGAACAGTGTCGAGTTGGGCTTGATCAATAGCTTCAGTATCAATGGGCACGAACGTATCACTTCGGCCAGCAGTGACGACTTCAGCTCCAAGCAATTCGAGGATCTCCACTAGGACGTCACGGCCAACGGCAGAGTGCTGGTAGATGAGAAGCTTCTTGCCTTTTAGTGATTCACCCCGGAAGAACTCCGTGTAGCGCTGAATGTACGCAGCTCTCCCTTCAGCGGCAACGGGTGGAAGGTTGGACGGGGCACTGCGAAGCATGCCCTGCTCATTGAAAAGAGACTCAGCGTATGGCTGTGAGAGTAGCTCTTCGCGAGTGACTTGGACATTGTTGTTAATAGGCTGTTCGTCCTTCTTCAGGAGCTCTCCTTTCGACGTGTTGAGCTTGTATCCGTTGCGATCGAACGGAATGTGGCTTCCGGTAACCATAATACTGCCCTTGCCATGCTTCAGAGCATAGTAGGTCAGAGCCGGTGTGGGGATAGCGCCTAGGTTGATGGGATGCATGCCTCCATCCTTCAACGCCTGCTCTACCGCTTGGCAGAGTCCTCCGCGACCCCCCTCAACATAACTTGTGGAGCTGGGCCGAAGGTCATACGCAAAATAGAAGTCATCCCCGGACTTAATACCACCATCCTGTTGGTCAAGAGATTGGAGATAGCGAATTTCAGCAAGTACGTTAGTATAAATCTCCAGCTGTGTCAGGTCAACCACTTTGCCACGGCGGCCGCTGGTACCGAATTTCAGGGGCACCGGCTCATAGGCAAGGTGACAGCGAAGAGCGTCGGAGGCGGAAGGTGAAGCCATTTTCTTCGTGCCTTCTATGATTCTTGCGTAATTACTTCTTGCTTCACTGAAGGGCTATGACTATTAGCTTTGGGAAGACAGGTAGGAGGGGTTCTTGACAAGTTGATTGAAATATTGCTATATTTACGCTTGCGGGTATCACGTGGGGCCCTCTGCGTTCAACCAGTGGAGTGTGAAAACGTGACCGATATTGAGGGACGGACGAGTGGTGATTGGCTGAGATGAATGACGCTATTGCCACTAGCGGATTAGCTCTTTGTCACATCTCGTGACCCCGCGCCTGCCACCTCAACCGCGTTAAACTTGGTAGTACTAAGTCGATAGGGCTCAAACTGATTTGCATATGGAAAGTCATATAGGTCTACGACATAACTACAACTCTTAATATATCATATACGGACGGAAGCACAATATCATAGTAGTGATCGAGGATAAAAGACAGAATGTAGCTAGTGAATAGAAAAGCAACCACTGTTCGAAGCTAATGAACGGAGGGTACAATAAAGTCAGGCAGCCGTTAACTGGTATGTAGCCGCTTCTAACACGGCTAAAATAGGCTTCTCCTTTCCATAACCTTTGGTAAGCTATAACAATAAGGTCATTCAGCTCTGCCGCTGCTTACTTCTTCATTCTGTTGAGGGCACGTGAGCTTCCGTCGAGACATCATCCTGACGTTTGATATTCCGAAATCTTCGATTATTTCACTCAGAGAATCTTTTCTCAACAGCAAGAGTCTGCACCCATAGTATCATGGACCTCCCTGTATGTCAAGGCTCGGGCTTTCTTTTGAAGGTTATAGACCAAGGGGCAGAGGGGTTCTAACACGATAGCCTCAGGTCGAGAGCATCCCAGACGACTGGACCACCGATCCTGCCGAAATTCACTTTGACCTGGTATGGAAACATCATAGAAGCCAAGGCCAGAAGATGGTGAGGAGGTTCGGGCTATCAAAGCCACGGGTTCTCATGACTTCCAAGCGCGAAACGGGGATTCCCCAGTACATGATTCAATCAGGCGAGCGGTACTATATCTGGAACGAGATGGACGACACGGTCTGGCAAATTATCAAGCCTACAGGGCTGCTAGCCATACTCCGAACCATGACCGTCAGGGGACAAAGGGGGCTAAAAGTAAAGATAATTGAGCCACTCGAAGTTTATGAGTATGAGGAGCACAACGAGTAGATGGTCGTTCCTTCCATTAGGTGGCAAATGGTGGTTCTGGTGATAGCAAATAATATCATCTTTGAAAATCTGCAGCCTTGAGTTCTGTTGTAGCTATACTAACGCAGTCATTCTTCTTGCAATTCACAACCTTGTATGAGACCGTAACCAATTTTCAAATCGGAAGCAACAATGGCAGAAAACATTCTCATGGTCTTCAATGGTCAACTTGACCTGCGCAATGCGTATACATACTCACTGCCTCAGGTAGACCGCGTAAGTGCGAAGAAACCTTTTGTCGCACTAATTTTGCAGTAGATCCATAACTTTCTCGCGGATGTCGTTAATCAGCCTGCGTTCTATGGTATTTCAATCAACCAGGTTTCGAAACTAGTGGCTATTCGTGCGGAAATTATACGCTTGAGGTAAGAAGTTTCTGTGATAGGGCATTGACTAATGTAAGAAGCAATTAGGAAGTATAGGAAAGGCTTGCTGGCTTTTTCTAAATAGCCTCCCAAGCGGAGAAGAATATAATGACGCAGCGTTAGACCCAAGGCAACACATACATCGAACTATACATCCACGATGGCCTTCCGCAAGGATATCGAAGTTTAAACTCCTCAGATATCGACATAAAGGTGTCGACGTTTGGAGCGCAACTGACCTGCTTGGCTTATTCCTGTCCAGCCTAGGACCGGCACCATGGAGCGCCACAAAGCGTAACTTCTATCTGCCACTTACGGCAGCATACGGGCAGTGGTGTTCGAGAATATGCGACACGGCACCTGCTACCGTGATACAATGCACATGGCAAGAAACTGAAGGGCAACGCCCCGTGTTCTTCCTCGGTGCGAGTATGGCAGGATATAGAGCAGGAAAGGCGGTAACAGGATCATGGATTCATGTTCTAAATCGAGCTCGATTTTATTTAAGCGCTAGTGATCCATTAAAGCTTGCTGGATGGAGCCAGAAAGTATCTCCGAGTCTTCAGGCTAAATCAGTCACCGGGGGCACACAGTTCGGCCGGTGTGCCGAGACATACCCGTTTTACTTCCTCTTAAGGTCTGTATAGTATGCTTTAAGCTACAGGGGCGGCTGCTGATTTGATGCAGGGGGCATGAAGCGCCACAAAGGGTCTACGGACTGGCGTTGTGTAGGAGGTACTTGGATGTACCACTGTATGATGATAGGCTGTCGGGTGATATATGGCAGAACTTGTGGGACCCTTGTTTGAATTGCCGACACTTGTTCAGATATGGAAAGGCGACATAAATCAATTTCTCAAGTGGTATGGGGCACAGGGTGCTCCTCATGATGACGATAAGTGTTACGGGCATCCGGTGTAGCGTGTAGCTAGCTCCAAAAGCAATGTGCATTGATAAATCGAGCTTACTGTGACTTATGTTAACAACTGATGACACTTAATGCTGTTATTTATGCTTAATAATACCTTAAACCCCCCACTAAAATTGCCCATAGACCTAAATATTATGTTGTGACATATGTCCTACAATATGATTCTAGTAGAATGACAGACGAAGATAAGAAGTGTCCAGATAGTTGTTTTAAGGTGTACGTTTGGTCTCCAATGTTGTTCTTTTTCCCGAGGAAGATAAGAAATCCCATTCGGAAGGCAATTCCGAAACCGTGGGTCAGATAGACATGGATGTCTCTGCCATGAAACATGTCTGTAGAGTAGGTGCAAGTCTTATCTCTCGGGCTTTTACAATATAATAGCAGTACAGAGTATATGCTACGGAACGGGAAGTTGCTGAATTGAGGTGAACATAAGATGCCGATCCTCCTATGCAAGGTTGCTAGCGTGCAACGTGCAAGGTTGTGTAGAAGTTTCTTCACAAAGGCTTATCCCGTATGTCCATGAAGTGGTTCGGCACAGGCGGAAAGAAAGCGGGCCGAATAGTAGACCTTTCGTCTCCATCATGGAAAAGGCCTCACAATCTAGACTCTCCACTAACCGTAATAGGCAAGTGACTCCGGGAAAGATATCTTGAAAGAGTATTCACGATGGAGCCCTATGCACGGCTGGGGATAATTCCAGATGAAGACATGGCCATCTATGTCTCCATCGGCAATTGCTGGTGTGTTTGCGGTCTGTGAGTAATACGATTAATTCTCATTATTCCCCAGATTTTATAGTCCGTGGGGGTTCATTATTGAAAACCCGGGGTACGGAGTACAGTCACACCACATGGATATAGTTCGTGGAAGAAGGATCTTGCCACTGAGTGATTATGAGTTGCTACCCGGCTTAAATATAAGCATCATATTAGCAAAGGTATCAATTCTCGTTGTGTAAGGGTATGCGGCAAATACCAGCAAATCTTTATCTCGTATCAACGGTATCTGGCGTCAGCCCCTATCATATTCCACTTTACCCCCGGATCCCCATTCAGCTCCACTCAGCTCCATTGCTCTTTGTATACTTTGCCGTTCTTTGGTCTCTTGTTGATTGGAGTGAAGTGGCATGTTCCCCGCAAAAGATTCTGTGGCCACTAGCCGTGGTCTTCATCACCTTCTACTACCAGATCCTATATGTAGGTCTGGTCCCCAATGCCCTTATACGACTTCCTACCTTCCTTTAGAGGTTCTTGCTCCGTCTAGCTTGTTTTAATTCACGCTAATTCGATCCCTGCAACTTTAAACATTTCGACCTCCTCTGTCCGAACCCAGTCAAATAGAGGCGGAGAGACCAAACATCTTAACAGATGCCTCGAGTAACGTCAAGCTCTCAGATTGTCAACGTTTCCCCGTCAGGTAGTATCGTGTCAGGATTGGAAGAGCAACGGAATGAAATGCCAGATGCAAGCAACATCGACGACAAAAAGATAGAGCCTACACCAACCCGCCAGGATGTCTTCGGTGACGAGACACATGCGGAGGTCAAGTATAAGGTCTTGAAATGGTGGTAAGGGAAACATGTTCGATTTTATTAACGAGCCAAGCGTGCTAATGGATACGATAATTTCTAGGCAATGTGGCCTCCTCATGGTTGCTGAGACTATATCCTTGGGCATCCTCTCATTGCCAGCAGCCATTGCGAACCTTGGCTTTGTCCCCGCTATAATTATCCTCATCTCATTAGGCCTCATAGCATCATATACCGGTTACGTGATTGGGCAGTTCAAATGGAGATATCCTCATATTTCTAGTATGGCCGATGCCGGCGAGCTGCTTATGGGTCCATTTGGCCGGGAGCTGCTTTTTGTCGGCCAGATGCTGTTTCTGGTGTTCCTCATGGCAAGCCATATCCTGACTTTTACGGTCGCCATGAACACCCTTACCAACCACGGCACTTGCTCCATTGTCTTTGGTATCGTGGGGCTTGTCGTTTCACTCTTGATGTCGTTGCCGCGCACATTGGCCAAGATGTCCTGGCTCTCCCTGGCCTGTGAGTTCTATCCTCCTAGTGTATCGTTACGCCAATTGACCACCGATCAGCATTTATAAGCATCTTCACCGCGGTTATGATTGCCATGATTGCCATCGGGATACAGCGACCGGGGGTTGTTACCACTGCTATTAACCATCCAAGCCTGGTAACCGGAGTGACTTCGGCCTTGAATATTGCCCTTTCCTATGGTGAGTCGCATCAGACACGGAAAACAATGGGATAAACATGGCCATTGGACGCCGACACCAGAGAAAGTAAAATCTGACCGAACATAGCGAGCCATAACGCATTCTTTAACATTATCGCCGAATTGAAAGACCCCAAAGACTTTCCAAAGGCATTGTCACTCTTGCAATGTATCGACATCTCTCTCTATCTTGTTTGCGGTGTTGTAATTTACCGATATGCTGGTGAGGGTGTTGAATCACCAGCACTTGGTTCAGCTGGCCCGCTGGTAGGGAAAATTGCCTATGGTATTGCTTTGCCTACGGTAAGTATCCATTAACACATGGCTGAGCTCTAGTACATCTGGATCTTGCAGGCTGACAGTTTTAGATCCTCATTGCCGGCGTCATAAACGGTCATATCGCGTGCAAATCGATTTATACCCGTGTATTCGCCGGTACCGATCGCATGCACAAGCGTGATTTTGTTGCTGTTGGCTCCTGGATTGGAATCGCTGTAGCACTATGGATTGTTGCCTGGGTTATTGCTTCTGCCATTCCTGTCTTTAGTAACCTGCTTAGCTTGATGGTATGCTTTCGTTGCCTCGAAACATAGCGACAGTTCTATACTGACTATAGTGCTCTAGACTGCCTTATTCGCTAGCTGGTTCAGCTTCGGACTACCAGGCGCCTTCTGGTTGTATATGAACAAGGACCTCTGGTTTTCGTCACCGAGGAAGATCCTCCTGACTCTATTTAATACATTGTGTATCTGCCTCGGAATTATAATGGTAAGCGCACTCATTTCATACCCAATGCCGCGTAGTATCTCTTTAATTAATACTATCTAGTGTGGACTTGGTCTATACAGTTCAGGCAAGGCTATCCATGATGACCCCAGTAGCCAAAGCTTTTCATGTGCAAGCACTGCCTAGTGGTTTCTGTCGCAGTATGCTTGGGTCACTACTTTTCCACTCGATCTTATTCAAGCACATAAACTCAGAAATTTATGATTTTCACGACTATGCGTGCACTGGTGCGCCTACGACAAACGGCGTCAGGTGTAACTAGGCATGTATAACGAAGAGACATTATCATTAAACTTACCCGACGTGTCCAAAGTGTAGGATAACCGAAATTCGGCACCTGTAGCGCTTTTAAGTACGATGTCACACATGGCCCAATGTCACCAAGGATGCTGCTACTCCGTTGAATATCTGACACTGCAGAGTGCGTTGAAGCGATCGACCCGACACTGATGCTAATGACCTCACCGAGCACCAGTGGCGAAGGACAGCAGGCATCGAACGAGTAAGATATGATCGGATAGGAGCACCAAGCCCATACAATGTGCTAGTGCGTAAGACAGAATCGGCCGGAAGCTGAGCAGGCCTGGCAACATGGCTAGAGCCACGAGGGATCGGTTCAACGCCCCCACAGCGCCATTCGGCGCAATAATCGGGGCAGAAGCGGTGCAGTCGGTAAAACACGCCAATAGGAAAGTCTTTCCTCATACGCTATAGCGGCCTACTGGAAGTGCTTGCCTGTTTCATAGTCGCTTAGGTATCGGTCTGACAGACTATTGTTGCCCTCGTCTAATAATCCAAGGTAGACGGCCGACTGAAAAGCGGAGAGTATATTCTATTCTTCTTGTTTACCACATGACGATCTTTTATAATGTGTGACAATTCCCGGGCGTCTCTGTCCTAGATATGGCTTGGTGTAGGACTCTTGAACAGACCGGACTTTGTCCGATGTCTGAGATTGGATGAGAGATGTCTTATCATGTTGGCTATCGCAAGCCAGGACGCATATTAATCAGTACCTGTAGTAGCTGCCACGACATATCATGGAATTGTGGTATGCTGGTGTGACCAAGTGAGAAATTCGATGTTACTCTTCCAGCAGTGACCGCGGAAACATGCCAGGCAGCCACTACTGATGAATATTTTGTTGTTATCTCAAGGCAAACTCACAACATGAGCCCTTGAGTGATTCACAATAGCATTATAGGGTGACAGTCACTTCGGTACCTGCGCTTTGTGAATATGTTAACGCACACACTTATACCAAAGCATACTATCACCAGTGGCGGCCTGAGGCGTTTATCCTGAAGAGCTGTATGTTGAATGTGCCCTGTCTGATGTAGATATCCCGCTTCCGTTCAGCTCAGTCACTTCTTGCCTTGTCTGACCGGTAATGGTCTTTTCCTGAAGCCCGAGTTTTAGTAAGAGTCCTACCTTGCCTGCCCTCACTTCGAGACTTTGTCCCCTCGCTCCGCTTAATTACAACTAGAGTGGTCCGCGAGTCGGGTTCGGGTCTAGCAGACAGCCCGTACCACTCTGTTTTGAATTTTAGTGTATAGGCTTTCGTTCTATTGCGATTTGACTGAATTTAAAGGTGATTGTTCATTATGATCTAGCTCCAGGAAAAGAGAGAATGAAGATATTGACGTGTCAAGGCATAACATCACTATGCTTGCCACTTGCCAGTATTTCGGCGCGTTCTGGAAAGAAAATTACGTACAGAGTAACGTAATGGCTGGTATAAGATACACCTCACGCATGTCGTGGGGTGGGGAAACCCTAAGATCTTAGACAACTGCCAAGGTTTGATGGACCGAACTGACAAGTATCTAGCTTTTACACGCTCCCAGGCCTAGAAGTGTGGATAATGACATAAACATGCGGTGTAGGTAGATCTGCAAGGGGGTAGGAATCGAGTATCGCTCTCAGTCAGGGTCGAGAGTACGCGGTAATCCCCTATTTCAGCGTCAGTTATACATAACTTCGCCATAGTCAAATTCGCCATAGTCCAAGATGAAGAGGCATTCTATATTCTGACTTACATTGATGGTACTTTTGAAAGGCAAACGATAGAAGAGGGAACAGAACTACAATGTTGCCACTTCAAGCCGGGTCCGATCGATTCTCTTACCAACACCCTAGCTGAGCGAACTCCGCAGACCGAGAAAGTTATTATGGAAACGGATCATAGACTTCCTTCAGCTCATCTCTCATTACGGTGATCTCTGTAAGTATATCATAGTAGCAATTTTGTAATGATGATGCGCAAGCTAGCTCAGATGGTGGTGGATATGATCTTATATTAGGGCCACTAATGCAAGCAACAAGGTATTAGTTGTCGATGGTAGGAATCGGGAATCGGAAATCGGACGAACTGACGAGAGAAGTTAGAGATGTTTTGAAGTCTGATCTATCTATGAATGGTACGTTGTAAATTTATTTAAGAAAAATTAAAAGGCAGCTTTTCTCCACCAACACGCTCTTCCCACAGACGGTCAAAATCCTCGCTCTGCTGCACTGTGAACTGTTCTTTCCAGGAGCCGACCTTGCCCTTGCGGAAGAATTTACTGCCTAGCTCCTTCACATCCCCCAATCCGCTGAATTCATTGGTCTTCATATTGGTGAAGTTGATCTGGCTCTTAATCTCCTCCAATTTCTCCGTGGTCAATTGATCGCCCACGCCGAGAAAATCGGCAAGCTTCTTAAGTTCACCGTCAATGTCCTCCTTCAAGCGTTCATAGGTCAAGAAGAGGATGTTGTCGGCATCACGATGCTGCCACCATCCCAGAACATGGTCAAACCAGTCGCCGCGTTGCACTTTACCCTCCAGGAACATCTGCAGCCAGTGATCCCAGTCTCCGGTGTAGTTTCCAGACCAACTCTTCTTGCTTTCAAAATGGTAGTAGGAGACGCAGACGTCCTTTGGATTGCGGGCAATATAGACATATTTGCATGGACTCTTGGCCGGGTCTCCTCCTACTGCCATGTCATACGGCATGTGGGAGGCAAAGATGCGAGGGTCCCGCGCATCTTCTAGATAGGCATCGCTTCGTGGATAGAGCCAGTTATTTTCGATCCAGTGGTAGGAATCTCTCAAGGAGGAACCCTATACCCTGTTAGCAACATCACCTGGATTCGAGGGTAGAAGTAGACAATACCTTATTGCCAGTGAGCAGGACCAGGATGTACGATAGCCAGGTAGAGCCAGATTTGGGGTACGACGAGTAGACGATATCGGTTTCCCTCAATTTCACTGTGCGACTCTGATGATAGCGCTCCGGGGTAACATATGGGGGCATCACTCGACCATCCAGCAAGCGATACTTGTATCCATGGTCGCTGACCTTGAGCAGGGACACATCACCCGCATGCTCCTTGTCATTGTACTCCAGGACTCTGAATTGCTTGTCGGAGGAGCCATTAGGCTCTTCCAGGGAGGGGGCCATTATAAAATGGGAACAACTTGACGGATTGGCGAAAATTCAGGACAGAAAGTCTTAAGTTTGTCCATAGGGACTCTGTGGGAGAGCCCGTCTTCCCTTTTAAGTGCACCGCATACGTGTCTTGAATGCTATTCAGTATCCGCCATTTCCACCGCCACGAAGCATTACGTAGGCACGATGGGGCAATTGAATCTCTGTGGCATTCTTGCATTCACCGTTGATCTACTACCCACATAGTGCTAGTACTATGGTAGGATACGAAAAGATCATGTTGATTCCTGTGGAGCATTTCGCTTAAAGACTGCAGTACTACACTATGTAGAACTATGGGAACCCGCTTGGGTTAAAGGTGGACCTATAACACATCGTATCCGGCGACCCTATGAAGTGATATTAATTGTTCAACTCGAGTTGCTAGTAATACACAGTGACCGAGATACGAATTAGAGTTCAATTGCCCCACAGAACCGTCTATGAGTTCTTGTTCAGCTGAGGATCAAATAGATGAGTTACTCAATTGGGTAATGACGTTAGATCTAGCCAGCCAGTGGCGGCCTGATAGACATCTGGAATGAATCATTCCGAAATGAGTAACGCGAGGGGGCACGCGGTCGCATCGTTGGTATCAAGAGATCAAGAGATCTGCTCATGACTCCATCAGACACATATTAGGACGATCTTCTTTCACCGCCACTCTACTCGGCTTAACTGCGCACTTCAAGACCAACGTCACATTCAGTTTTGCTCATTGTAAGAAGTTCATTTTCGATGACCGAATATGACGTGTTGTTCCAATCCCACACTATCTACCAATATCTGCAGCTATGACAGAAATCAAAGGAACATTTCCACTACTAAAGCCGGTGCATATTCTCCCTGGTCCTGTTCGCCAGGTCCCCAATCCAACGAAACGGCCATTCACAGCGTGGTAAGTACCGACCATGTAGGTGTCGGTGTGTTTGGTGTCATCCTCCAGATAGAGTCTAAACGTAGGCTGCTTGATGTATGGTTGCAATAGATACAGGGTGTTGTCGGTAGTAGAGAGATCCAGGCCTTGCATGTTGAGCAAGTGCTGCTCCCATTCCTGGGCAGAAAGGGTTTCGCCCAGCAAATGACCGTTACCACGGCTGAGACTCCACGGCTTGAAGATAAAATCACCCTTGGAGATCTTTCCTTCACGGTAGCTGTGCACGATATGCTCTAGTTCCTGGGACCTTGGGAGGATAGTAGGTACGATCGCTTCCTTCAGGAGGATAGCCTGTTGTGGAGTGAGGATTCCGATGTCGCTAAGGGCCTCCGCCTCCTGTCGAACGATACCCAGTAATCGTTTGTCGTCGAGGAGTAATATGCTTCGGAAATCATTCACAGCCACAAATGCCAGGTGGCACAGTAAGTGGTATGAAAGCTGGCAGAACTCATCTGCAAAAAGCAGGGGAACGGCCTGATGTATCCTCTCCAGCTTTGTTTCTTGATCTCCCGCGTCTTGATAGCTGCAATAAAGAGCGTAGTCGGTCTGAGAAGATGCGTCTGGCTCCAACCTCAGGTCAGATAGTTTTATTATCCTAGGGCAGAGGCCAGTTCGCCGGTGGGCTAGAGAGGTAAAGTCTTCTCGGGACATTTCATCGCGTCCCGCAACAAGGTGAATCGGTAAACTGGGGTCAAAAAGAGTGAATAAATCCTCCACCATACCCTCCCAGTCAGCTGCCGGCTGAACCGCGACAGGGGGCTTCAATAACCGCGATACTGTTTCGTATCGATAGACCGAACTGAGAATAGCATTGAAAGGGTTCCGACAATTGATTTCACAAACGCGAAAGGGCACTGTCAAAGAGTCGTCGCCATCAGTTAACACAAGGTCTGGTCTAAAATGGCCCATAGAATCCTTGAAAGGGCGCATCGATCCATTTCTACTCTGCTGATGTACCCACTATATTTCACGTTATTCGACAACTATTCCGACAATCAATGTTACAATATTCACTGACCTTCAACACTGCCTCCTGATGAGAGTCCAGGGGCATTCTAGAGCGGTAGCCGGACGCGTCGTCTTCCCACCAATTATCCACGATATGGATGACGGCCTTTGACAAGGCGTCGTTCAACCTTTTGACCTTGGCCATAAACCCTTCCCCCACGAGAATCGGGTGAGGGCTGGTGTTTGTCAACCGAGTACAGACATTTATCTGTGTAATGGAATTCGTGACTTGACTAAAAGACGCTCTGTCCCGTTGTCGGCCCTCGATGGTGGCATCATTAATAACCACAGGTCGATTTATATCCTGGGTGGCTGAGAGGCAAATCTGCTGAAGTTCTAGATACGTGGAACTGCTTCCCATCTTTACTAAAAATGAATGGAAGAAAGACTGAGTCGAGTCGCTCGGAGGGTGGGATGATTGATTATCGCACTGGCAGATATATCTGGATATGCGGTGGAGCTCAAATGTTGTTTGTTGTGCAGTCGTTGTCGTAGTAGAAAAGTGGCCCACAAACTATTCAGCACTAGCTTTATGGCTTGCAGCTCCTTTGTAATACATGTACTGTATTGTTCTGTCATCCCAACCGGACGAACTAGTAAACTATCAGTCGACGAATACACAAATATTTACCAGCCAATATTCAGGGTTCGACCGAAACAATCCATTCCAATTGGTATACTAGGGAGCACGCAGAAAGATCTGTTTTATGTAGCCGAGAATTCACAACAGTTTTATTCGAGCCAGCTGCCATACTAGGCTGTAGATCACCCAGGGTGCGAGAATGATCGTTGTAATACTTTGTTCTCTAGTCGAATATGTACCACCCAGGCCATAATACCCAACCGCAGCTTTCACGCTATATTCATTGGCACAACTTTGATGTTATATTTAGATTTACTACACACAAAATGTAGATAGCTTTCAAAGCCATTATCGAGGTCTTTCCTTACGCTGGGATCTATTGTGCGAGCTATTGTTTGCAGCGCGTTTGCAGTAAACGAGTTGTAATAACCGATTGCCAGAAAATTGAATGATGGCCCGAAGGAAGCAGGAGGCCAGAGGCAATGCTCGCCCTGACAGAACATCAGTTATTAGGCAATGATTCCAATATATATCTGATATAGGCCAATGCTTTGGCTCCAATCCTATCTCGGAACTCGGAACACCAAGCCTCCGGGGAGAGAATGCATCTACGTACAACAGCGATATCGCAAGTGTTGGCAAGATCTATTGATTTCGAAGTAACGAAGACTAAATTGTAACGGGATACAAAAGTATAAAAGCAGTAGAGCACAACAGAGAAACGGAAAATCAAATCTGGTAGTGCAAGACACTGAAATTGCCTCAATGAATAATTCCCTAGCGCTTCATCCAGATGTTGTAATAGCGTAGATGCTAGAGAAGACACACTTCGACCCTTCAGCCTAGTTCGTTTGATGGATTGAGAATGTCTCACCACCTTAGACAGTAAAGAAAGCTTTGTCATTCGAGAGAAAGCGTGTGGCATTTTATTTATGCAAATACTTCTTCAGAGGGCATGGAAGGTAGACCGTGCCTCTGGTACCGTTAGGGGCGGTGACAGTCATGTCTAGCAGGTTATTGCTGTCAAACAACCAGTCCACATTGACCTTACCACAAGGAACTAGGTAGGCTCCCCTAGCCCAGTCGAGGTCTAATGATTGGGGTCAACGTTCCACTCGTTGAAGCCCGGAGTCACAGGCTGCACGCCAAGAACATAGCGACTCAAGTCAGCGGTAAATCCTGAGCCCCAAGTATGACACGATGATGTACCAGAACCAAGTCCGGAAGTACCATCGGTCACTATGGCTTCCCACATGCAGCCAGTGTAATTGGTACGTGATGGATCGCTGATAGGACCCCATACACTGTGAAGTAGATAGTTAGCAGTGACACTGTCATTGGAATGGAAGGCAGCCTGGGAATGATATCCAGACGCATAAGGGCTTATTTTCTGTGCCCACCCACTTGCAGCACTCCTATTGGAGAAGGCCAGAGCACCTGATGGTACCTTCCTTCTCCTACTGAATAAGTAGAAAGACAAAATGTCCTGGCTACTATTTGATCGGCAGGCCTAATGAAAACACAACATACCGGAGTACTTACAGCGCAGTATCCGCTTTAACTTTAAGTAATGGGTGGAGCCTTCGTTCCAGAGAACACGAGCATACGAAGAAAAGGCGACATCATAACATCATAGAAGTTCCTAGGATGATGAATCATGATATTGTGAAAGGTTCAGCTAGTTTAATAAGATGGCCCATGGACGTTGTAGTTAGATATTATCTAAAATTATACGGTCGAGACTATTGTATTGTTTCCTATTTTCGGCTTTCTCGTCTTGGTTTTCTTGTTTCTTTCCTTTTATTTTTTAATCTCTTCACTGGACAATAGCGATTTCTTACCGAAATCTTAGTGTCTTACATTAAGCCACGCACTTATTCAATATCGCTCTATACTCTTCCGAATTTTATACTATATTGAGATTATTAATTAAATGAATAGTGTTAAAAATACATAGAGGACTATAGTATCTGGAATTCGTACTATAGTACTTTAGTAGTGGTAGTGGAAGTGGTAGTGGTAGTGGTTATAGACCAGGCCCTAAGCTTAGGGATCCCAGTGCCTAAAGTTAGTGATCAAAATCTAAGTTTAGAGGCTAACAGTCACTAAAGCTAAAAGTTTCTAAAAGCAGTAAAGTACTGCCGGTAAAGGTTTAAGGACAGTAAATATATTTGGAAGTAAACTACCCGATAATCCGATTATTTACACTATTCCTATTAGTAGATAATATAATGAAGCCTTTCAAATCGCTTTAAATGGCTAACTTATGGAACGTTGATGTTGGTACCTTGGTAATATTTTGCATTGTCCAGAACTTCGATTTAGTCTGCTGTATTGACTCTGGGGATGGGTTGCCATGCCAGTAATAGGGATATCATAGAAGCCTTATGTTATACAAGGTTATGGAATCAACTATAATTCGCCTTTGTGAAGCTTCAGTTCCCGAAGGTCAGAAAGAGAAGACAGCAAGAGCACGAGGACCAACTTCAAGTCCGAGGGAAGTAATGACGACCTGATCGTATGTTCGTATATTCGTGATATCCATATAGTCGCATAGTCGTATAGTCGTACTGGCGCATAGTTAGAAAGAGCCATGGAGCCCATGCATGATAGTGGAGTTGGGGTTGAATACAGAAAAAGCTGATCTCCCCTAAGGTAGTTTAACCCTTACTGTACACTCTTTCTGCGGAAACCTAAGTTTCTGACTTTCTTTACCAGAATAGGACTAGAATAAGGCCGCGCTTTACCCAGTAGGCCTACAGCAGTTATTAGCTGCTTCCCAGGGGGAGTGATCAGGGAGTTAGATAGGGGCCTTTGGGGATGATCTTAGGCGCCTAGAACAGGTGCAGGAAGCAGAGAGTAGAGAGAGAGTTAATAGAAAGGGGCTACCTAGGCATGTCTATGTGACGCCCAACAAATATGGATATCGAGGGCACAGCCCGAGGGCCGTGGCGGTTCAAGCGAGGAAAAGAACCAGAATTAAAATCCAAAAAGACCTTTGGCTGTATGGAACATCACATGAAAATCGTCGAAAAGTGGTAAGGAAACGTTAACCGAAGGCGTTTAAAATGAAGTCTGATTCTCCTATGCAGGGTCTACGCTGGCATAGGTGAGGTCATAGACTAGGCAGAGATTAACTAGATAGTCCTTTGGGTACTAGCTCTCTACTCGATCAGCCATCGTTACCATATGACATTCTGCTTGTGTACGCTGATTGGTGTAGTTGTACCCAAAACAAGACAAGGTGATCATATCTATATGGCAACACCCGTGTCCTTACTATACTCGAGTGCCTGTGGGTGAAGTTACATACCATCTGGGCCCACTGATTGGGCCATTTTTGATTCTTTCCCGTGCCCTGCTGTCCAGAATCTGTGGCAATACAACACCCCCGTCCACCTGCGATGGCGGGGTTGGGCATGGTTGCAGAGGGTAGATGTCCCAACGAGGGGTTCGAGTTCTTGGCATTTGCAGCCATATTTGAGAAGTATACGGTGTACTATGGAGATGATGAATAAGTGCACTATACCATATTTCACAGGATTGAGAATGTAAACAGTATATTTAAGCATACAAATTCTCTCAATTTGGGTAAACAGCTGTCTTTTGCATCATGTGCATATATAGTACAGCAGTAGCCCATACAATACTAGCTGTAGGCGATTTCGTTCACAAATACATGATGACCTAGCAGGACAAGGGCAAAATGTGACTGAAAATTAACGTTGTGGTAGCTGTATAATTTGGGATTACCGGACTTTTCTATGACTGGTCGGCAGACAGACGAGATTTTCATATTTCAGTGAGCCAAGTGCGAGTAAATCAATAGGCTGATCCCTTAGGTACAAGTACCCAAGCAGGAATGTATTGACGAATGACCTGGGTGTTGGTATGCAACACAATGGATCAGGCCGGAGCAGACACTTCCGGGTTGGCACCAAATGTGCGAGGGATAAATATGAGATTGCAATCTTCCCCTTGACCTTATCTAGATCCTCACCTAGTAAAGCAAGAGAAGCACCAACTTTCATACTCAGCTTAGAGCTTTATTCGCGGTGCTTTGGTGGTTTTGCCTTGTTTCCCTTTCTCTTTTTTCTTCAATGCTGTGGAGCTCCTACACAGACCTAAAACCATGCCTTTCTGCTCATTTATTGAACCAGACGCACGGAAGACTAATCCCTACATATACGATCATATTAAAGACAGAAAGGCTCTACAAAGCTTTTCACTCGCCATAATTGATAGCTACAAATGGCCAGCCGGTACTAAGTTGAGAGTGCGATTTCTTCCCCGTAATGAGGGTAATCCCAACTCCATCGATGGCACCGAGGACCACAAAAACCAAGTCAGAATTCATGCTCCTACATGGACTGAGAATACCAGCATCAGTTTCAGGTTCCTTGATGACAGCTCGACCAAAGAAGACTTGCAGAACGCAGAAATTAGAATCCAATTCCAAAATGGGTCTTATGGTGAATCTCAGTTGGGAACAACATGCAACACCGTTCCTGTCGAGGAACCTACTATGCTCCTCGGTGTGCAGGGTGAGAGGTTCAAAAGCCTCATTTTACATGAGTTTGGTCATGCCCTGGGGGCGATACACGAGCATTCAAGTCCACGGGCTAATCTCACTTGGAACAAAGAGCGTGTTATTGAATCATACCGCGGAAAAGGCATACCTGAAAAGGACCTACCAGGATACGTAGAAACCAACATCCTTGCTAGGTACAACGAGTATGATGATGAAGGAAAAAGGCATACTTCTGCAACAAACTTCGATACACGTTCCATCATGATATATACAATCGATTCCAGCTGGACACAGGAGAGGGTACAAATCGATTGGCCTGATGGACTGTCTGGGAGGGATAAGGAGTGGATACAAACTGCGTATCCCCCGGCCGCTAGGACCGTTTACGGAGGCCGTTTTAGTGGGCCTGCAGTTATCCTCTCTCTGACAAAAGACAGCCCTAGGGGCCAGCAGGTAGCTCAGGATAGCCAGTATCATATTGGCTGGACTTCCCTCAGAACAGAGCGGCGTAACCCACCGTCAATTGCCCTTGGTTTGATCCGGTTTCGTCTACCTCATCCAAACATAAAAGTGGGCGTATCCGCTGAAAATGTGACGAAGACCCACTTTGCAACACATTTGCGCTCTTCAGGCAATTTGGATGGTTTCTTGTCGTGCCTTGGTAGCTGGTTCGCACCTGAAATGGACGATCGGAACTTTCAGGTAGACACAGCCAGCTTTGAGGCCGAAGACCCCAATGTTTCACAAATGATTCAATTCTCATGGGGCTTCGATGAACCACCGGAAGTAATTGTATGGCTTCAGGACATTGACATGAATGTGACTAATGCAGACCAATTTTCGGTGGATACAAAACCTGCCAATATCACTGAGGAAGGATTTGAACTGTGCATTAAATGGACTGGAGACCAAGGGAGACATAGGGCGAAGGTGTCCTGGATTGCGTGTGCTAAGAGCTTCAGAATCAAGTGTAGTAACCATGACTTCGACAACTTTACTCAAAAAAATGACTTCACTGAGGCGACAAATATAGGAACTGGAAACTACGGAATAGAAGGCATATACCACGGTATCAAAGGGTTTCAATGCAAATCGAGCCATGTCACTAAAACTGGGCTTGTGCAACTTCAGACACATATCCGCGACAGAAAGTCTAACAAATTCACCATTGTGGCCGAGACAGCAGGGGCTGATTATGTGAAGGTAGCATGTCTGGCGATATGCAAATGATAAACTATCAAACCTCATAGAAGATGTCACTTTGGTTTCTTCACATATCAAAATGTTCATTTGCTGTTACCTTGCGCCAGTATCACAGGGATAGTAGTCTATTAGCCAAAGCCTTCCTTTGACTTGTGTTTCAACCACGACTCCTGAAGAGATACCAATAGCTGTAACAGGTTTGAGCCAAGCACTGCATACAGTGCACCCATTAGATGATGATGGTTGTGGTGATTCATACGCTGACCCTTCGCCTGATGTTGTTTCCCAGCTATACCAAAATACGAGTACGCACCTAACGTAGTGGGTTATAGTCTAGAACTCTCCTTAAAGAAAGGGGTCGGCGTATGAATAAGACCAGCACTACTATAGCTAGAGTTCTTGAAGCTTTCCTGAAGTAGATAAGAGTTTGACTTCTAGTCAGAACAACCCATATCATCCTAGTATCTGTCGTTAATTGTGCCATTGGAAGTTGGTTTCGTCAATGTTGTGTACTTGTACATTCTTGGCAGGAATGTGCTTAATAAAGGGCTCTCTGGGCAGTGATGGCAGCGCTGAGGAAGGCCTATAAATTCCACCTTGCGACGATTTCTATGTCTAGGTATCTCCTTGGGTGAACTTAAACTCTTCTGAAACGTATTTAAGAAGTGGTGAATCCAGTTCTTGTCAACTATACGAAGTGAACCGTCTTTTCATTCACTGCAGTATCTAGTTGGCGTTCTGTTCAATCACCCGGGCGTAGTTTGAGTATAGAGAGTATCCAACTGACTGATCCAACGTATTAGTGCCTTCTCTTTTACATTGTCCAGGACCTTGGCTAATATAGGCCGTGAGGAAAGATTTGTTCGGCCACGAATACGCGCTCGAATCCACCGATAAGGAAGACTAAATTCACACGACAGCATAGAGTTAATTCTGTTAGCTGATTCTTCTTATTATTACTATTTGCTTTTAACATTTTAACAGACCTTTATGGCACCTATCCGAGTATATAGATTGTTTTTGAATTATGTTCTGATTCTCCGACGATGCAATGCTAGCAGTAAGCAATTAATATAATTTGTACTGACGAGATTGTCTCCTCAGGCCGGGGCGCGGCGCTTGAGGGCTCCCGGGCGAAACGTGACCGAGTGTGATATGCAACTCAATTGTTATGTTAAAAGCCGTATATAGTCGTGCAGGTTCTAGAGTAGCAATGACAACTTGTCGATGGCTTCCTCAACAGGGCGATTGGTTAGATTATCTTACACCAAATATAATCGTACTACCACGGAAATGCCAGTTGCACAATTTATATACTAGCGAGCAATTCACAAAATATAGTTCTGTTCCAGGATATTCGCAACCACTTTTAATTTGCACCAGTTGCCTTATCAGATTATCTTGCAATATTCTTGACTGAAGGAGAGGATAACGATTATGATAGGTTTGTAGATCGCACAGATTCCGAGGATGACTAGTGTAGTACTTTTGTTCTCTAGTCACTTTGTATGAATATATTCCACCCAGACTGTTATACCTAGCCACAGCTTTCACACTAAACTCATTGGCCCAACTTCAACGTTATATTTAGCTTTAGTGGACATAGGATATATATAGCTTTCAAAGCTACTGTCTAGACCTTTCCTTTCGCTTAAATCTATTCTGCTTAGGATGTATCTTCTTGGCACTATGAGCACATGAAAATCATTCCGAAATGGGAGAACAGACTGTAGCATTCCAATGAGATGGAGCGAGCACGCCATGCGTCAAACTAACGCCGCATCCGGGTTTCCTAGAAAAGCCTACCACCTTATGTTCAAGAGGAATGTTCGTTCTTCGGGCCTTCTAGTGAGGAATCAAATGTTGATATTCTAGCAGCTCGTCCCGTTCCGTTTGCAGCGACCCATGTCACCTTACGTTGCAACCTGTCAATTTAACAAAAAGACGGCCCATCGGCAAGTCTCCATAATTTAAGTAAATGCAAAAGCCTTTGGAACGAAAAGACATGGAAATATCTCGACTCTGGCGCTATCATGGCTTTCGCATCGTCAATGCGTAGGCGCACCTTAATGTTATGCTGCGCTTCACTAGTATTGTGTAGTGCAGCTAGAGATGCCACATCACACCCTGCAGCACAAAAATGGGATTTTGATGTGAGTCGCAGATTCTGTAAAGTGGCGGCTCCCTACTAATGTAGGTTAGTGGGGTTATTCTGGGATTTCGACATTTGGGCACCTGCCACACGAACGATGCCTTGCAGATCCTAGCATTCCGTTCGATATAGCCGTCCTGGGCATCCCTTTCGACACAGCGGCCAGTTACCGGCCAGGTGGGTATTGAGTGTATGAACTGTAATGTCACGTCGATATCTAACAAGCCGGGCTTAGGCGCAAGATTCGGGCCCCGGGCTATTCGAGCAGCGTCGAACCGACATCTCCCTAGTCGGGGCTTTAGTCCATACGCGGGGGTCAATCCGTACATGTCCTGGGCACGGGTATTAGACTGTGGAGATATTCCGGTTACTCCGTTCGACAATGAGCTCGCCTTGAAGCAGATGACTGAGGCGTTGCAAGAGCTAGGCGAAAGATCGGCAACGAATTCGAAAGATGGTCAGCCACCTAAGCTAATTTTGCTTGGGGGTGACCACTCCATCGCACTGCCTGCTCTTCGAGCGCTGAAGAGCGCATATAGACAACCGATAGCCGTAGTTCACTTCGATGCCCACCTTGACACTTTACATCCCAACAGCTATCCCAGTGTATGGTCGTCTCCCCAGTCCGACTTTACACACGGATCCATGTTCTGGTTGGCTACAAAGGAAGGCTTGATACAGAACGGTACCTCGGTGCATGCCGGTCTCCGCACCCGTCTCACCGGTGCTGGTTGGGATGATTATCAAAGGGATGATGAACAAGGGTTCCTGAGGCTGACGACAGAGGACATCGATGAGATCGGTCCACAGGGTATTGTGGACAAGATTATACGTCGCACTGGCACTGAACATCCTGTATACCTATCGTTCGACATAGATGTCTTGGATCCGGGTATTGCGCCCGGAACTGGCGCCCCAGAGCCAGGAGGCTGGACGATGCGTGAAGTTAATAGGATATTGAGGGGCCTGCGCCCACTTAACATTGTCGGTGCCGACATTGTCGAGGTTTCACCAGCTTATGACGACAAAGGCGAGAGCACTGCATTTGCGGCTGCTCAAATTGCCTACGAGTTGATCACGAACTGGGTGCTGAGCGGATCCGACACAGACAGGGTAGAGGACACAGTCAAGACAGAGCTCTAATGCAGCTGTCGCAAAATGGTAGATGTTATCGTCGCCTTTGCGTTTCTTTCCCGGGCTGAACTTTTTCTTCTACCCTTTTTACCTCTTTTACCTTTTTATACTATAAGCATTAGTTGATACGTTGAAGAGGAGGTTAATGTCTGTTCTAGTGCTCTTCGTGTGCTTTACCGGTATACGGTCAAAGACGATCGATTTTCAGACGGGATATTGATCGCAATCTATATATGCTTCAGAAGATTGTAACAGGTCCTAGCGAGGATAGTGGAGTATATCGGAAAGTTAATTTACAATGCTCGTATCAAATGTCGTTCGCCACTAAAAGTATCCATGGCCATTATCCCCCAACAAGCACAAGCTCAACCACGAGCTTTCAGGCATTGACTGAAATCCTTGAGAACCATGGTACAGTAACAACTATTCATTGGCAACTTCGGGAGACATGACAGCTCTAGCCAGATATGATGTCAGTGTGGCTCAGGATTTCAAACTCTCTTATAAACGGGGCCTGCCCCAGATCTGGCTACATACTTGATCATAATTATCAGTGAAATCAACTATATACCGATTTACTACTGAACTACTTCTCAAAATGTACCAGCAAATTATTGGTCGTTCCGGGAGACAGATCAGCACTGTAGCCAGGAGAGCCGGCACAGTATGCCATTCTACGTCGTTTTTTACGGCCTCTTAACTGATATGCTAGCCTTCACAGAACGATAACTCTTCTAACCGAACGCAATTTAACCCATCCCTCTTGCGCAGACAGGGTCCTGCCTGGGTTCTTGCAGGGGGCGGAATGGCTGCCACCTTGGAAGGTGTCTATCTGATGTTACGTTCGTTCCGGCGCCTGAGATACATCTAGTCTGAACCAAAGGCCGAATGGTTATATGGCGAAAGCGGGACGTTCGTGGTCCATTTCAGGAGGTGGATGACAAAAATGTCTCTTACGAATCACTACACCGTCACTCACTATACTTTGACTGTCGGAAACCTGAGACCGTGCCAACGTCATTTGAGCTTCGGAAAAAGCGAACAAAACAATATGGTAATGGAGTATTGTACTGGGCACTACATACCAAACAAAATGTTCTTATTGCACCACATACTTGCCATCTAATAAATAATTTAAGACCTTGTCATTGCCTTTGGCACTGGGAGTGGTTTGACATCAGTCCCAGCAGGGTACTTTGGCCTTCGCAAGTCTTGATTTAGTCTGCATAGAACTGGGGACGGGTAGAAACCACCTCGAACTCTGGGAAGACTTGCCACCTATTCCTGCAACACTGGCGATGGGGCATAATTTCCGACGTTCTGTGGATCCCTTGATAGCCCCTTGAAAATACGTGGCTGATATTCAGATATTTCAATCGTCGTCATCATTCAAATTTCTCTCGGGTATTCATCAATGGGTGTGCATACAGGAATTCCGATCCCGCTAATGATATACCTATCAATATTGGGTAATAACCTCTAACAATGAGCTGTTCCAGACGTTTTGGCTGCTTTCCATTCTGCCGAAAAAATAATGCCATTTGCCTATATAATCTCTGATACCATAATTGCTGCCGTGGCGGCTTAAGAACATCCGTAAGAAGCTTAACAGGCTATATCTCATAGGGAAGCGATAATGTCTAGTATGGCTATCCGGGTAGATTAACTCCTGGCGTACCATGCCGTCACAACCGATCAGCATGTAGCCAGAAAGTCCATATACTGCCGGGCCACTAGTGATCTAGTTAGCAGCTAGAAGGATCGACAGAACTGCCCGTCCCAAGTCATTGGTTGCGGCTAAATTGGTCGCCCTTCTTCAGTGAATCCAACTTAGCTATGGGTCAGGCGGGCAGGCTAAAATAGGAGTAAGGCTAAGATCAGAGCCTTACCGGACTGTACTGGATGATTTAATTCAGGCAGAAGATACGCTTTGCGTCAAATGTAGGACATTGTATTGAGAATGTCTCCAGTGGTATGTCGGAGAGATCAATTGTTTCGAGGGGCTTCTTTTGCGGTAATCCCGACGCCGACGAATATTATCGGGCATTGCAAGGGATGATTCTTGTCCCAGAGTCTAGCAGTGATGTAATGGTATTTTGTGTCATGATCATTCATACTATAGATCAGGGTCTAGAACTGGGGCCACAACTGGCTGCCGTGTCGGGGAGGTATAGAGTGAGGCCATCTGGCCTTGGCTTAATCTATCTGCTTGGCATGTTCGCAGATAGTCTATGTAGGAAGGCTTATGTTGGCCCTATCATTCTCTACTTAATGTGCCAACATAGCTTATGTTAGAGGAGTAGGATAAACACTTTCCAAAATATGAGGGGGGGTTTACCAAAACATTCAACCTGCTAGCAATGGTCACCATCCCGCCGGCCTCGTATTTTTTTAATTGCAGGACAAATGCCTTCTTGAATACCAGGATATCCCGTCCCAGCGAGTCAGATTTGAAATGCTGGTTGTTTGGCCCATGCTTTGGTCGACGGCCAACATAGTAACATGAACTTGGCATGGGGCACCTAGGGAGGCCTTGTCGAAAAGTGGACCCAAACTAGAGCCGGGAGACCTCAGCATAGGGAAATGCGGTCCGATGGACGATACCCACATCGCACTTGGCTTGGACCCGCCAGGAGCCAATAAGGGATAAAACACGGCCACAGGCGAGTTAAGAATGGCCCGCTGGTTATGGTCAGTGGGCACTAACCGGATAAATTGCGGGCTTCGATCGTTGATATGAAACAAAAAGTCCGTCCGGCAATTTAGGTGGATGATGTTCCGGAAGCCCTAGGTACCCAGGAGCCACAAGGCTTGATTCATGAAACAATAACCTCTATTCTAGGCAATTTAGTCGTTTCGAATAGAACATGCTGAAGCTCAATGCGGTAGCTATAAAAGGGACTCTGTGCCCCTGCGATTGACAGTGATCATCAACCGCAATTCCTCCAGCTCGTCCACACAAACCAGAACAACACCGTTACCATGGTTAGCTTCTCTTCTCTCCTCCTTGCGGTCTCCGCTGTCTCCGGCGCTTTGGCTGCCCCCGGTGATTCCACTCTGGTCGAGCTCGCCAAGCGCGCCATCACCAGCTCCGAGACGGGCACCAACAACGGCTACTACTACTCCTTCTGGACCAACGGCGGTGGTGATGTCGAATACACCAATGGCAATGGCGGCCAGTACAGTGTGAAGTGGACGAACTGCGACAACTTCGTCGCCGGCAAAGGATGGAACCCCGGCAGTGCTAAGTATGATACGACTCGAGACGTCTGAAACCCACAAGCCACTAATATCATCGTGTTACCAGGACTGTCACCTACAGCGGTGAGTGGGAGAGCAACAGCAACAGCTATGTCTCTCTCTACGGCTGGACCCAGAACCCCCTTGTCGAATACTACATCGTTGACAAGTACGGCGACTACGATCCCTCCACCGGAGCTACCGAGCTCGGCACCGTCGAGAGCGACGGCGGCACCTACAAGATCTACCAGACTACTCGTGAAAACGCTCCCTCCATTGAGGGCACCTCGACCTTCAACCAGTACTGGTCCGTCCGCCAGAGCGGCCGTGTTGGTGGCACCATCACTGCTCAGAACCACTTCGATGCCTGGGCCAACGCTGGTTTGCAGCTGGGTACGCACAACTACATGATCCTTGCCACTGAGGGTTACCAGAGCAGCGGGTCTGCCACCATCACCGTCGAGTAAATTGGGTCGTTTTCATTTGCAGGATACTATGGCGAACTTGCTCGTGTAGCATGATCCGTAGTTGGTGTTTTTCCCTTCCATTCTGACTGTAATTCCGAGTGTTCCATTCTGCCTGCCAACCGCCCGAGATCCCATAATTGGTGTTTCTTGCTGTTGTTGCAGTGTACATAGGTGTACAGAGTCTTATTATTTTTTTTCTTTCTCCACCTTTTAGTTAGCGAATTCCATACCTTCACTGCCCCAGTTGACCTTGCTTGAAACTTTCTACCGATCCGCGTGTACACTAACGGATCGGAACCGATGTAAGTCCACCAAATACGAGCGGAGAACGGAGGACAGGCATGCTCCATTTCCAAGCGAGTCATTAGTGCTGCCGATCGACTAGATTAAGACCAACCAGATGTCACAAGTCTTCCAATGGCAATGCTTCCACAATATTCCAGTCACTTGATTGTAGCCCTAAGGAGCCGAACCCGTCTTGAGGCCGCCCACTCGAGTCCGGAGACGTAACACGTTAATGAATTCCTAAAGTCTTTTCCGAAAGCCTAGGCAGTGCCCAAAGCACATGGTGGTTATGGTTATATAAGGTCACCATCATCGGTGCGGGGGGTCGAGTATGCATTGATTAAACAGTCTTGCCATCGCATAATCTCGCGCCACCATGGAGCTGGTCGAACGATGGATATACAACCCCCCGGCGCCGCCAAAACGGACGCGCGACAGACCGATGAAGGTACTCGCACTGGGCATGTCCCGGTCGGGGACGGAGTCTCTGTCGCGTGCCCTCCGTATCCTCGGGTATGATCATGTCTTCCACGGCTTTGAGATGTGGCAAAACACGCCCATGCTCTGGCGGTCGTGGACGATGCTCGGGCGACGGAAATGGGGCAACGCTGGTACTGCTGATGGAAAGACTGGCATTACGAGGGAGGATTTCGATAACTTACTCGGACACTGCGAAGCCATCACCGACCAGCCTGGTACACTCTTTGCCCCGGAATTGATCGCGGCCTATCCCGAAGCCAAAGTGATTCTCAACCGCCGCGACGTCAACTCCTGGTACCCTAGCCTCTGCACTGTCCTTCGCCCATTAACGACTGGCTTGTTTTACCACGTGCTGCCCTGGTTCAATGCCGACCTGTACTGGGAGGCGCAATATGTTCGGGGTTGTCTGATGCCTTTCTTTCACGGCTCTTGGGAGCAGCACGGCAAATGGGTCTATGAGCAGCACTGTGCCACTATTAGGGGGATGGCCCCGTCGGATCGGTTTCTGGAGTGGACAGTAGAGGATGGCTGGGAGCCTCTGTGCCGGTGAGTTTGTTTCGATATGTTGTGTTTTGCGCAAATGCGACCGTAGCTGAGTTCGTGGGTTAGGTTCCTAGAGAAGGACATCCCTACAGAAGAGTTTCCCAGCGGCAACACCGTGGACAATGCTCTGGAAGCCCATAATAATAATGTAGACAAATGTGTCGCCTCGGCGGTCCGTAACCTGACTATTTCGGTGGTCTGTGTTGGGGTTGCAGTCGCATATGGTTTAGGAGGTCATCGTGTCGATTGGCAGCAATGGGTCAACCATCTCAACATCCGCGAGAGAATAAACAACCTCCTTTAACGTACAAACGCTGGGGAATTGAACAGAACCATTCAGACGTAGTGGAAGGGAGAATGGAGGTCATTCAAAACAAATGTTCTATTTTACTACAGTGATCGATGACGCCAACAAGCTCCATAATGACACCATCACTTTAGCCTTACTACAAAATCCACGATTGCAGCACAACCCTACATAAAACCTATATTTCTGTAATCCACGAGATTGATCTGCATTATGAATGGACGTTATATCCAATTATTTACAGTAATAGCGGAGTGTGGGAGAGATTATGTGAAACACGCGGAGACACACGAACGAATATCATACTAGATCCTGGCAAATCCTGCACATCTTCTACCGGAATTGTTCTAGATGACACTCGTGCAGCATCATATATATACATCCGATATGATTGCACAAGGTAATAATGAGGCGCAACCTAAAACACGGTTGGAACAGGCTATAATTGATCTAGAAGTAATGTATATCTCAACAGATGGGAATGCCGTCATCCACTCCCGAAGACATGCAAGCCAGCCGAAGTCTAGCACAGCCATCCGACAAGCTTTCCTCTATACGACACACCGAGACTGACGTTTATTTCGTCAGAACCCACTCAGATACCAATCATGAAGTAGAATATGGGGTCCTAGACGGTGGAGTAACAAGTCTACGCAACACCGGTCAGCCCAACCCGGGATATCCGCCACGGTATGGGGAATTTCTCCGCATTCTCGGGGCGATGATCACCCGAACTCCAGCTCAGGACTCTGGGGACTCTGATGCCTACGGTCGAATAAGATCCTCAGTTAAGCACATTCCATGTGGGGACCCCGGGATTCTCCTCGGGCTAAAAGACCACGGCCAGATAATGTCCACAGTTGCCGTCGGGGAGGCGTACGGAGTCCCACCCTTTCGGCAAAGTATTAGATCCATGGGGCCCCGTGGGTGATGGGCCGAAGTTGTGCTTTTCGAAACTAGATGTTATTGTTATTATAGATTTGTTACGGTATCTACAGAAGCTGCACTTCAAACACAAGATGCAGCTCTGGAAACATGATTTCAGAGGCAGGACGCTCATTATCGCCATCACCATGGCGTCCTGCCAGGCGTTCTTGCTTTTGGGTTTTGATCAAGGTACGACTGCAACAGCTATCCAAGTCGTCGAATATACGACTAATGATTGCAGGTGTCATGGCAGGAATCGTCGGTGCGGACAATCGATTCGGGAGGGACTTCAACAATCCCGATGCCAACATGCAGGGCAACATCACGGCTCTGTACGATATTGGCTGTGTGGTCGGTTCGATTGTATCATACTTTATCGGAGAAAGAATGGGCCGTCGGACCATGCTTATGCTCGGTGGCTTTATCATGGTGATCGGTACAATCATCCTCGCCACTTCAAACACTGTCGCGCAGTTGATCGTCGGCCGTATTGTCACGGGTGTGGGTAATGGCATGAACTCTTCAACTGCGCCAGTTTACCAGAGTGAATGCTCGCCTGCGTCGTATCGTGGTGCTCTGTTGACCCTGCAGGGCACGGTGACAATTCTGGGTGTGGTTATTGCCTACTGGTACGCCATCTCATCTTCCGCCCTATATTCGATTTAAGATTGAAATCGAGAAACTGACCATGGACTCTCAATAGGATGGATTATGGTACAAGCTTCTATGAATCATCCTTCCAGTGGCGTTTCCCGCTCTCCTTCCAAGCCGTCTTCGCCGTCCTCCTCATCCTCCAGGTGATCGGATTACCTGAGACCCCCCGTTGGCTGGTCCAACACGACCGCCACGAAGAAGCTCGCGCCGTCGTCGCCGCGATTGAAGACCGTCCCCTCGACGACGCACTCGTAACCAAGACCATCCTCGACATCCAAGTCGGTCTAGAAGAAGAACAAAAAGGCGGACCCTTCAGATTCAAGGAACTCTTCACCTGGGGCGAGGTACAGAACCTCCGTCGGATGCTGATCACCATCACAATCGAGCTGGGTCAACAGTTCACCGGATCCAACATGATCAACTACTACGGGCCCGTCATGTTCCAAGAAACTATGGGTATGGACCGAGACCTCGCCATGATCCTCGGCGGCTGTATCCAGTGCACATACCTCGTCGGCTCGGCAATTCCGGTCTTCCTCATGGATCGTTTCGGTCGTCGAACCCTTCTCATTATCTGTTCTGCCGGACTGTGTCTATGCTTTGTTATGGTGTCTATTCTGCTTTCGCTGAACCGGATGGACTGTGCCTACGGCGCGACGGCATTTATTTTTATTTTCCAGATTTTCTACGGCGTGGGCTGGCTCCCAGTGCCGTGGTTCTATCCGGCCGAGATTAACACGACGCGTGTCAGAACGAGGATGGCGGCCATCGCATCGGGGTGGAATTGGATGGCAGTGTTTGCAGTGGTCAAGATTACCCCGATTGCCTTCGGTAAGCTCATAGGCCTTTCCTTCCTTTGGGACGCAAGCTAACCAGAATAGACAACATCAAATGGAAAACCTTTGTGATCTTCGCCGTGTTGAACGCCGCGTTCATCCCCATGGTATACTTCTTCTATCCCGAAACCAAGGGATTGGAACTGGAAGATATTCCGCTGCTATTCACCAAGGGTGGTATTACCGGGGGTGTATATAGTTCCAAAGGTGGACGCACCGTCATGCCTGGGCAGCATGCTCAGGAGAGACGAGTCGATGAGAAGGTGGAAGGGGTGCAGCAACTGGAAGATGTGAGCTAAACTGTGGATATCTATTTATATATACCCTGGGATATTGTCTGTATACTACTGGGATAGAAGGTAGTCACTGCGTTTTTAATACAACTTTACGTTTGCATTTATCAAATTGATATATCAAAACTATATTCTCGTCAGTCAATGATTCCCTGCAAGAATAATGTCCCGAATAATCAACTTCCTGTGAATCGACACAACTACATATTATGTTTTTATCCTAACTGAACTTAAGTGACATAACGATCGTCAGATTACAAACGCAGAATACATCTCATCATGACAATCTCAAGAAAGACCATAAAAGTCATAATCACCACCCTCACAGAGAGACAGCGAGATCACATCTCATCAATCTTTGGATCCATCTTATCCGGCTGCAACATCCTCTCCAACTCCTCTCGCGAAGTAAGCTGTTGCATCTTCACTTCACCCCGATCGGCTTTCACCTATCACCAAATGATCAGCCTCTATCCTAGATCATATATCGATAGACCTTGAGAGTTATACCGCCGCTTCACTCAAGGTAGCATGAAGCTCATCCCACGAGGAGGTCGGGACGCCGCGCTTTTCCGACAACGTGGGCGATTCAAAATCATCAGGGAAGGAGGCGGCGATGAAAACTATTCTTGTTAGTCTACTGGCTTCTCTCGTTCGGTCCTAGGGCAGACTGGGCGAAAGTGACTAGTCTGACATTCTTGGTTTTTGGAGCTGTATGCTTCTGGGTGAGCTTGGATTTGGTATGCTCGTGTCAGGGTGGAGGTGCGGAGGAGAGGGCGGGTGCGGATGATGGTGTTTCGGAGAATATTGAACGACATGTTTGAATATTGATCCTTGTGATGGATTATTGGGACTTATGGATAATGAAAGGGGAAGTGATAGATAGTTCAGGAAGGCATACGACATTTATAAGGGTGAGGGTTGTGATGATGTCAGCGGTGGCTAGAGGGTTACCGAATTGGGTAATGGTAGCTCCAACCCTAGTTTACGCATGTCAGGATCATAAGGTTGAGGGGTTGCACGCCTACCATGGAACATCTGTTATTCACATTCAGTGACAGGTCCCCATAAGCAAGGTCTGGACTCGTTCTTCGAATACAGCTCACGCCACGCGGAGTCCAGATGCCGAGAACTCCTGTTGGTAGTAGCTTCCAGTATGAATCAAGGATCTTGTGTATTAAACCAGGAAAGGTTCGAGTCACTAAACTAAACTGTACATTTGTCGTGTAAAAGACATTTTGTTCGCACTCGTAAGTCTATACATTAATCGTACAATAACAACGTCGCCGACCGTCAATAATCACGATAGAACAGCCTTAGTTCAATCCCATACAGCTGGCATAGTAGGTGACCGTTGCGGGCCAATCGGAGAAGATACCTCGCACACCGACCTTCTGCGCGAGCGCATCAACAATGCGATACATGTCGCCATCCTTGCTGATCGCCGAAGTAAACGACTGAACATAGTAGTCTTTTTCGGCGGCAGCTTGCGCCAAGGGAGGGAACCGCTCAAGGGACCAAGTGATGATGTCGAAGCCGGCTTCTTTGGCCGCCACCGCATACTCGGAGGGGACAAGCTCGCCATCCTCGGTAGCATTCAACAGCGCATAGATAGCGGGGGCCATGATCTTGACACCCTTCTCGGCGAGCTCGGGGAGGCTGGCAACAGCAGCTTTGTAACCCTCTTCGGTGTCGGTGCGCTCATCAAGATAAATGGCCTGTTTGCCGAACGCGGGTTCATGCTGGATCCAGTAGAAGATGTCCTTATCAAGGAAGGACTGGGGCCACACGCGGGAGGGGTTGATGTGATGGCGCTTATAATCGTTGATGAGCTGTTGCGCGTACATCTCCTGGGTGTAGTTACCCTGGAATGGCATGGCGACCTCGGGGGTCTTGAGTTCGGGAGAGAACTGCAGGCCTAAGGACTCGATCAGGTCAATGTACTCATGGTGCGCCACGGGGGTGCCGCAGGTGTCATAGAGCTCTGTGCGCCAGGCCGGTCCGCCATACTGGTAATCCTCAGGGGTCGTGGCCGATGAGTTGCTAGAGTCCATCTTAGCGCAGAGCGATTTGAACTCAGCCAATGTGATGTCGGATGTGCAGCACTTGGCCTTGGCTGGTGTGCTATCTGTCGCTGGCTGGAAGGGAACGGTACACTTGGCAGCCAGCTCAGGGATGGTCAAGATGTTGGTGGTTGTGTGAAGATCACACTGGGAATGACGGCAAACGAGCTCTCGATCCTTGGTGAAGGCGACGTCACACTCGATGATGCCAGCGCCCATGCGAGCAGCGGCCATCATACCTTGGCGACTGTGCTCGGGGATTTGCAGTGGGCCACCCCGATGGGCAATGGAGAATTGGGGAGCATGACGGATAGGTGTCTCTGCGCAGGACTCCAGCTTGCTTTTCAAGGGACTCTCGTCCATGTCATCCACGAGGAAATATGGCCGGGGGCCGACCTGGATGTTGGTCACATTGGGCTTATGAGAGGCAGCACCGCGACGACTGAACGAAGGAGCGGCAGCCACCACACCAGCCGTAACTATTAAAGAAGTAAGATGCATAATGTTGATCCTGCAAGCGTAACAAAGGTACGGAGTAATATAGACCAGCTACCCACGCAAAAAGAGCACAAACAGAGCGACGATTACTCTTTGCAGGAAACAATGCTCCTATTTATCCTAGGACCGGGGCCCTCCGTCGGCCCGGTTCCTCGAGGTTGGAGCATATCACAATTCCGTCCCTTGCTTCCCATATCAGATAAGGGCCCCACTCAGCTTCTCCGCGTGCCGTAAGGGAGATCTCTCACACGTTCGGAAGATGCCCTAGGATTCCCTTGGCAACTTGGCAACTTCTTGGCTACAGGAACGGGGAAAACGTGGTTGGCCATTCTGCAGCACATGTCGCGTGCGCGATACATGATTTGAAGCCTCTTACTGATTACTCCCAGTGCATTTTCAGGTGTTGTATGACCTTTCATCTAGGCGTCTGGGGGGATTCACTGACCGTGACAACAGGTTCCACGATATCATTTTGTGCCCAATAGCATCTTTGCCCCACTAAAGGATCCTTTCATGAGCATTTCTTTCATGTAAAATAAACCCAAATACACGAGAAGGAAAGAATCCCGCGCCGGCAGGATATTGGGCAATGAAGATGGCTGCATGAGATGTGGATACCCCCGACATTTGCTAACAGAAACTGTGGGGATCATAGAAAAACGCATTGTCTGGGGACGTGAAAATAAGAGGGAAAAAAAAAAAAAGAAAAAGAAAAAAGAAAAACAGGGCTGCTTCATGTGATTATTCTAGGGCTAATGATAAGAAGCCAATGAGCTGTCTACTACAAGCTGTGATAGTCAAGAGACCAGTAAAGATTGAAAATAAAGCGCAGGCCTGGGTTGATCCCCATGACGGCAATTGCCGCACACAATTCCCTAAGCTTTTGTAGTTCCGATGCTAGTCACAACTTCATCATCCCGGGGTATGGTCCGGCCGTTTACTCTACGCCAGATACTCAATAAGACGAGGCACCTTCATAATCCGCACATGCGCAAGAATGCAACTGCGGTTGCCGTGTCGGTCCGTCGGTCAATGTCCGGGGGAACAACGACCCAAGTAACCGCATCGGCATTGGTTCAGATAGAGGCATTGTGGGCGCATCTTCATGGTCCGCTAGATGCAGAGTGGTTAGCAGCATTGTCCAAATACCAAATTTGGAAGGTCGTTGGAAATCCATGTGGACCTTTTAATGAATACTAAGCTCCTGTGAGTGAATAAGATTATGAGAGTCGTTGGATGTTTAATCTGACAGTGGGGTGGGAGGTCGGCCGAGGGAATCCTCTTCATGGGTGTGGTCCAAGATCCCTGGTTCCGTACGGCTTACTTTCATTGTTCCTGATCCAAGAACGCCCGTGAACCAGCCCGCCCGAGCCAGTGGCCTTGTGTAAAAGCACTGCAGATCCATTACACCAACATTCTTCGTGGAGGCAACGGACACCATCAATTGACGGAAGCGTCGGCTGGTGAAGAGTGGCTGGACCGAAAGAAATGTTCGGCTTTGACTTCGCAGGGTATCTTAAATTGGTGGACCCTCATCGCGGACCGAATCAACCACAATGCTGATCTTTAACTGCTCTTGAAAGAGATTTAATCCCGCATTTTCCAACAGTGGGGATTAAGCGCGCTGGTCGATGTAACCTTAAAGAAGAAGGAAGCCGAGGTGCTTTGCCTTTATCTAATGACGCCCCACAACCATCCGTGCCGACGCGATATTGTCCTTTGTTGCCTAAATAAAGGAAGTTGATGTCGTCGTCGCTGAAAAGACTCAGTTTGTATGAACAAATAGCATGTTGGGTTTTGTGACAGTTGTTACCCTACTTTATCAAGCTAGGGAGGCGGTCTGCAAAGAAAACGCTCAAACTACGGAGTATTCCGTCAGCAATCGCGGTGGGCGGTGAAGGAGTTCTTCCATATATCAGTGGCGGTTCCGAACACCCACCGCCTTCCGCCGGTGGGTGTTCGGCAGCCAAAAGGAATTTTCAGCCTAAAGGAAGAAAATGAAGCAATTCGCATTATCACCACTAAACACCTGTAGAATCAATAAAATAAAGCTGATCACCCGATTCCCCTGCCAATCCTATATCTGAAGCCGTAGTCTCATTTTCTATACGAGGCGCTGGCGGGAGATGACCGTACGTCTTGAAATATGCCTTATCCGCTGCTTTCTTATTTTTTTTATTATCTTTGGTCTTTCTATCCGCAATAGACCGATTGGCATCCTTTATACGCAGTATGCTACTATCCCCAAGGTGTTGAACCTCTCGCTTAGATTTTTTACGGTTTCGGGATGTCTGTGCGGCCTCAATTTGTTCAAGAGTTGAATTTATAATAGTAAGCTGTTTAGATTGAAGCTTTTGTTAATAAAATAAGCGGTCAAGATAGCACTCAATATAAGAATTGTCTAGTAAATTATGATTTAGAAGCTTAAATAGCTTTTTCTGATTCTTTTCAACTTGCTGAGTACTTTTTGGAGATATATTCTCAATACTTGAAGACTGAGGATTTGGAGGTGGTGTAGTCTCTCCGTACGCGTATAGATCAGGTGCAGAGATCTCTGGTAGAGGTGGTAAAGTTTTCTGAATAGTTTCAATAACTGAAGATCTATCTGGAGAAAAGATACTGCGTTCTTTGAAAGAATTACGAATAAGACGTGACTTAAAAGTCTTCTGACGTACAGCAATAATATTATATAGAAAATTTGCTTTATCTCCCGGGACTCCACACCACTGCGCAATAAGGTTATTCTTACTGCGAAAGTGTGTTTTATATATAAGAAAAGGCTTCTTATCAAGCAGTTGACAGGCATGTATTGTATGAGGCCGAAAACAGAAAGGAAGAATCTCATATGTCTCACAGAGTTGAAGAAATTTAACTGTTTTATAAGTTGTATGACTGTCGAAGATAAGTATACGTTTTTCTCCTTTTTTTGTACGATCTTTTGTCTCCTTATGGAACTTTTGAAGCCATTCAAGCGCGATTTTATTGTTTATATAGCCTTTATCGGTAACTGCAGTATAGTAATCGGGAATTGATTTGTCGTACCAGGCCTCCATAAATTTCTTTCCTTTAAAGATAAAGAGTGGAGTCATAATCCAGCTATCTGCAGCAATATACTTAAGTGTAGTAATATTCTCTGCATACTCGGCTTCAGGAAGATTAGGAACTCTTCCTTTTGTATCGAGAATTTTTTGAGACTTTTCGCTGCCTGGTTGAAAGCCGCATTCGTCAAAATTATACACAAGACGAGGAGGAATATCTTTGAGCAAGCTGGTAAGTTGAGTATACTAAAACTGAAGCTGTCCAATATCCTCTGTATCTAAGCACTTTTTCTTCTTTGGTCTTTGAATCACAGGGCTTAATTTAAGATCAGGAGGAAGCTTTTTAGAAAAGCGATATGCTCATAATTGGCTAACACTTTGTGTAGGATTATCGCGCTGTACGGTAAGATTTGTCTATTCTAAAAGCAGTGATATAGTTACCGGGAGATGAATATCACGTATTTTAGCAATTTATTGTCTTAAAGCAGCCTCTTGATACTGATTCAGTACTTTATTTGGTGCTTTTTGATCTGTACGAGCCTTTCTCCTATCATAGACGCGGCCGTGGAGTGTACGATATGGAACCCCGAATTCGCGCGCGATCTTTGCAAGATTAGGGCTTTTTTCAAGATAAGCAGCTTTAACAGCCTCATCTACACGTAAATCTGAAATTTTAGATGTTTTAGGCATTTTTTATGGTTTGTATACCTTCAAAAAGATAGGAAATTGATAATATTCCTTTAGGCTGAAAATTCCTTTTGGCTGCCGAACACCCACCGGCGGAAGGCGGTGGGTGTTCGGAACCGCCACTGATATTTACAATCTTTGGTTACGATCAGACGAGAGTATGTTTAGCTCATGGGCAATCTGGTGAACACGCCCTCGCAAGTAAAGTGCTTCCGCCAGACACTTGTGTTTGTTCATCTGTAGCCATGCGCTATAATTATTGTTAAATCTTATGCCAGCATCTACCACCGGAAATCTTATTTAACGAGGGTTTCATGAAAACTGCATATGGTCTGATCTCGTGCATGATGAATCCTCGACAGGAATCTGAAGGCCTGCAGTACAATCTGCTACTCTGCGGTTGATTTGACATCATTCTCCATTGTAAGGGCTAAAAATATCGAAATCATATCAAGCTAAAGGGACTTACTAATTGTAGCATATACAACTTGAAGCGCTCCGCGTAATATTGAGAATATATTTAATGGCAAGCCTACTCCGCATGCATGGACTGTACATGTTTCCTCAGGTCCAAAACAGAATTCTGCTCTGAAACAGACGCAATCCCGACATTGTACCATAATAACACAATAATTAATTCTGTGCCCTCCGTACTCTAGCCGTTACGTTCCGAAAAATGAAAGAACGCCTAAATCGTACTACGAAAGGTAAACGCGGCGAAGAGAGCAAATGGAGCCCACGCATGCGTGTCTTGGGTCATATTAGGAATGCCACGCGTGGTACCGAAGCTTACGACGGCCTTGTAAGTGAAGGCGATTATCACCACGGTCCCACAGATGGTAGTCGGACAGATACTAGGAGGTGGTGAGCGACTTCGCCGGTCCCCAGCTGACGATAGTCCACCGTGGTGAGGGTTGGGGCAATAATGGCGGTGATAGCACCGGCCGACGGCGAGGAGATAGGATCCTGGTGCCGATGCAGACTGAATGCGCTATACGTGGAGCTCAGAAAAGGAATTAGCCTAAATTCATTGCGTGATAAAAGATGGAAAATGAAGTCATCTTAAAAAGTATGGCTCAGTCGAGGGTTCGGTTGTTGTGGGGAGGGAAGGCAATGTGAGTGTAAAAAAACAAAAAAACGACACCAGTGAGATTCGAACTCACGCTCCCGAGGGAAATGCCTAGACTAACACATGCAATGGGTATAGCAGGGCATCGCGTTAACCACTCCGCCATAGTGCCTTGGCTGTTGAGATGTGGCAAAGTTTACACAAAATAAGGAAACTAATTCTGTTATGGTAACAATGTAGTGACACTGGAACGAACTCCTATGTAGAACTTTTAGGTCATTATTATTACTGCCACGAATTATGCAATCATTATAGTTGGGATTCTCTTTGACATTGTGCGTTTTCCACTCTGTTTCTAACCAGCTCCCAGCACTATGCAGCCAACAAGCAACCAGCCCACCAGATGAAGTGGCAGATTCAATTGAATCCTGTTGCTTGTATTTGGCCCACCAACACCTTATACCAGACTATCACGAACCAAAACAACATGAACTTGAGAATATACCAGTCGAAATTTATTTCTTTTTATAAAACCTTCTAAAATTATGTGCTATAATAAACAAAGAACAGGAGAAGGCATTTAGAATTATAGCCCAGATTAAATAATCAGATAATAAAAACGTGTCAGGGACCTGGCAGATATAAGAGACAGCGATGTCGAGCATGCTGCCTGGCATGGTTCTCTTCCGTGACTGGACCTTTCTTAATCATTTAGATCTTGGCAAACCGAATCATATATGTCCAATGTCCCACGTGTCTAATTTTGTTCCTTTTGAACACGAGTGCTCAGACTTTAGCCAAGCGACGCTAAGTCGCATCTGTGCCATTCTGACATGTCGGCCCTGGTCATGCTCAGGCCAACTGAGAAGAATCGGCGCAAGTGTTACTGCCTAAGATGCGTTGATCATGAGCGAATCAAGCATGCGGACCTCACCAATTGTGTTGGGACCTTTCGCGACTGGTATCCCATCTATCTTATAGTGTTCTCGTTCGCGCCACTATAACAGTCAATCAAGAATTTTGTCACTACTTTGTTCAAGCAACGATTACACCGAAATATATACACAGGGTGACCTCGAAAAGGAAATAAAATCAAAACATCCGAAGCTATGACCGAGCGGGCGCTCACAAAAAATGTTGATAGAGTGTTAAAACAGGATGCCAGCAGTGTATAATAAAACTCAGCTTCGCGTTTTATTCCTGATTATGTGCTGGTAATTCCTGGGCAGGCTTTAGCAAGTTTACTGCCTTGCCATCGGCTTCATAAAGTTGTCCCATTGGTGGTTCCCTATGAGCGAGTAACTCCGCAGGGGATGATCCAGGGATGGGATTCTGTTGCCGGCGATGCCGTTTGAGTAGGTATACGCCCCCTCCCACTACGATTGCGACCATCGCTACGACACCGACCACGATGCCAGCAATGGCACCACCGGATAGGGAAGCGGAAGAGGAACTGGGCCTTTGTGTGGAGGTAGTCTCGGCATTTGTTGTGCTCGGGGTAGATGTCGAGGTAGCAGGAATCAATGACTGCGGATCAAAAGCCCAGGTGGTCGCGGACGGGGCTTCAGCGCTCAAGGAGGAGTATGTGTCCTCCAGCACTTGGCTGCTTATGTTCCCGAGCGGGCTGCGTTCGTTATTCCAACAGATATTTAGCTGTTTGTCTGCCTCGGTACACGACTCTCTGTATCCTCCGTCAGATTGCTTGCCATTGAGAAGAGCATTGAGGAGGGAAATGAATCAAAGACAAACGTTTCATAAAGACAGCACCATGTGTGATCTCCGGTGCCACAGAAACGCGTGCTGTTGTTATTGGCGCATTCGGAAGTTATTGACCAACATACATTACCAAGACCATCATTGTAGTCGCAGCAGTATAGTTTCCCTGTCGCAGGCTCGCGAGCACATGCATTCGGGGGCCGGCATTGATGATTGTTGAATGTTGGGCATGTATAGCTGGTCAAATTTGAGGTGAAATAATAGTCACTGTAATGGGTCATTTTGGTGGTGAAATGAATACCGGTAGAGGGGAAATTAGCTAAACGATCCCAACTGATGATTAAGGGGGGGGAAAGTGAGGAATTTAATCTAAAGGGAATCACAACACGGCCTGAGCGCCAAGTTTGCAGATCCTTCTGGAAGTTAGGTTGACTGTTGAAAAGAGACGAGTAGTCCACTCTCGCAATAATATTTCGAGAGCATTCATTAGCTAGATTCTGTCTGCTGTACCTGTATAACTATGATATGGTCAGGATACCGGCTTTTTCTCTCCAAATAAAAAAGAGAATCTAATCCCCCCAAAATAATACTTCCCTTTAAGCAAACAAGAACTATACTAATTATACTCTTAGGTGATAAGCATCTTATTTTTGCCTGTATTTTAAATGGTATAGATGGGGCATATTTATAGAAAGCCTACACAAAATGTTTCACTTTCTATTGTATATTATGCCGTTCCATATGGCTTATTGTACCATAGGTTCAGCTGGTACCCAAGGCATACCATATTTGCCAGCTGAAGGCACAGATTCTTTGAACTCAGGAAGTCATTCCCTACTTCGACGATAGTCCAACTCTGACGGTAGTCCTACTCTGACGGTAGTCCTACTTTGACGGCGTTGGTAATGCATAATTCGTCTAAATGTGGATCCTGGCATGTAGAGTCCTCTGTTCACAATCACTTGGCGGTCTTTTGGCATACGGAAAATCAATACTGTATATGATCTTTATTTGTTTTTATATGGACTTTCTACATGACCCCCAGATTAGTGAGGAAAAGGTACAGAGGCGAAATAATAATATTTACACTCATACTTAGAGTAAAGCAACAAACGAACCATTTTCATTGCTACCAATACGGTCAAAGTTCAATAAAACGCACAGTATTTCTGCCCTCCTTCACCTTGTTAAAGTATGAGAATTCGAAGCCTTGAGCCTATTGTCATATTTCGTCATTGTTCTCCGGCTTTCTATCTTGAGACAATTTGCTGTCCTACAGTTGAACCTGCTCACCACCTCCTTCAATACACCCGCTACTTGACGTAAATGTATTTCCACACGTTGCAGCCAAGTAAACACAGTCCTTGACCCTCTATAACTCATACGCTAAATTCCTACAAAGCATGATTGGCTCAGTGGCAACGAAGTCAACCTCCGACCAATGAAGTATCTCCTCAGCGAATGATGCACCTCATAGGCTGTTGAGACAACTGTTACGCACTTCGACCACGGCCACGCACGCAATTATCGACAAGTAGTTATATTCCTCTCCATATCAGACAGTCCTGGATATGGCTGACATAGGTTAATATGCGATAGAAGATATAAGAAACTAATGAATGTATAGATCCCAGTCCCGTAGAAAGATTAGTCCTGTGAAATAGAGCTAGAAAGATATTCGACCCAGACCAGATCAATACTATAAGACTGTTAGCTCGTCTGGATTCGGGGACTGAATATATAGGCTCTCGGCTTACAATTTATTGCCAGTCATTGATGCCATCAATTCAGTCGGAAACCAACCATTATGAATGTACGCCTGAAGACCCCAAACAAAGATCATAGGTAACTAGCTGTGTCTGGTTTATCTAAGTTCGATGATAGGCTACCAGCTGTCGGTGTCCCATTACGGTTTAAATCGTCTATCAGAGCATAACCCCAAGCTTCATTTCCTTCGGTCCCCGCGGAACCCCATGAGGCTTTTTCGACTAAGCCAATAAAGGACGCCGACTATACTGCTATAGCAGGTGGAGATTGTAGCCCTGCATATATAAAGTGTCTCCCGATAGGCCTCTGTTTGGATTTACATCCTTAGATATGTTTCTCTGATTTATCATACTCAGAGGAATTCTCTTCCAGGGGAATCTACTGCAGGGGGGCTTTTGTGATATGATGCCCCAATACTATAAGATACATCTTCTCATAATTGCTACTTCATACTGAGGCATGACCCTTCGAACCTCAGCCGCCAGGGAAATTGAGCCAGTCATCAGATGTAACATTCCTTGTTACGTTGGAAGATCTATCTCAATCTTACTCTATTAAACACAATACCCGGTACGATCAACGTTGACTTTGGTTTCTGATTAAGATCATACGATACCAATAGTCAGGAGGCGTACTAATATCATTTACTGTACTGTAACGGACTAAACATCAGCAGCATGTGGTATAATATCAAGTTGCTACAATGCTAGGATTAAGTCCGACATTCTGATTCCCTTATTTTATTTCTTCTTATTTCCAATCTGCTGTGAAAATGCTGTAAATAGGGTCTTAAGCTTGGTTGTGCGACGCAGAGAAGCGACGTTGCTAACCACTAGTATATTTTACAGGAGCATTGTAGATCCATGATAAAGTACATTTCACTCGGCGATTACTGGTAAAATTGCACATATTAAAAGATACAGAAAGCTCTCTAGAATACAAGCAGCCAGGGTCATCGCCTCAATTCCTACTCGCCAATATTTTGCACCGTCCGAGGGCACAAGGCGGTTGGAGGGAGAGATACATTGAAAATTGACACCTTCGTATTGTGCTTCTTCTAACCACGAGACACCCATTCATATTACCTTGCCCACTAAGCGTATCATAGATGCAACCAAGGGCTACTTAATGCCCAGAAAATAACATCGACCCCTAATCTCTCCTCTGCAAACACCACAAACTCCTCCTTAGTAAACGGCCGATTGGTCTTGGGATTTATAGCCTTTAAATCCGGCTCCTGCACCGCAACCACACTTATCGGCAGTTGATCGCGATAGGCATCCATAAACGGATACGCATTATTTTCCAACGTCTTCTTATAGGGAATATTGTCGGGCCCACCAACCCCGACCCCATGTTGCCCCAAAAACTCAAAGGAATCAGAAAGGTAATGATTCTCGTCCGCCCAGCCACACGGCCAGAAATTCACGTACTGAACCACATAGCTCTGACCAAAGGCTTTAGCAGCGTGCTTGGCATTCTCCAGCTCGCCGCGGAAGTACGCTTCGCAGGTGAAGTTGGTTTGCGTATTGTTCATTTGCACCTCAATGGCAGTTTCCGGGAGATTGAGGCCGTATATTTTCCCATCCAGGTCTTTCGCTAACGCGTCGAGAAGACGCTGGAAGCGGGCGCGCACATAGGGGTTCCAGTGTGCCGCTACCCATCCTCCTGGAATGAAGTTTTCCTCACAGTCTGGGGCGTCGCATTGTGGGACGCTACCATTATTGTAGATAGGATGGTATAGGTAGGATGGGACTGGGTCGTTGGCAATATTGAAGGAACGATCTTGAAGTTGGATCCAGAGGTGTTTGCCTTTGGAGGTGGTCAGGTTCAGATCACTATGGATGGCAGAGAAGTCGTAGGTGTTCTTTTGTGGTTCGAGTGATTTCCAGGTGTATAGGGTTTGGACACCGGAGATGTCAGGACGGTCGAGAAGCTTTTGGGCTTCGTTATCGAGGTCGCTGGTATAGAGCCAGTTGGCAGATTTTGCTTGTACACTTCTCAGTGAAACCAGAGCCACGAGAAGGGAGAAAAGCATGATGGGCATAATGGCAGGTTTGCGGACAGTGTTCGACAAACAAATTCAGGAGGGGGTCAATTGCTGATATTTAACGGCCAGTCTTAATGATCTTCATCTGAGATAGAGATGGAGACATCTTAAAACTTGTCGAATCACATATGAGTTTTGAGGCTGAGTCGATGTAACTTTGACCCACATTGTCTTGAAATTAACAACACTATCCACGGTGACGAAGTCTTATTCAGGAGGACTTATATTCATTCGTATTAAATTTCAAATCTCGGGACCCGCGAACCCCGAGACAATCTCTGCCTCATCCTCTGGGCTCCATCCATGGTTCACCTCTCATATTCGGCTCCACGTTTAGTTTTACACTGTTCAGTTTTCGAACACATGTCTCGACCTAATGGGAATGGGTAGTGAAGTCGATGGGCGAACCAACAGACTCAATGACAACGTGGGCTAGATTTATTGCTCTACGATTAATATAATGGAAAAATCCGGTGTATTTGGCGGGTTCGATGGTTGAGGGCATCAAATGACGGAAAGTTCAATAGCTTCTATGACAAGCGAAGATGTGGTCCTCATCGATAAATAGCTGATCACATACAAAACATCTCTTGTAGTCCTAGCTAATCGACCGTTAAGCACGTCACAACACTTCTGGATTGCGCTCTTTAGATTCTAGAGTGGTTCAGCAATACACCTTATATCTATTTTATATTACACAGATCTTGTCTAAAGAGGATTTAGGAAAGTAATACAGGATAATATATTTATTGGTTAGTATCAGTACTTGGTTTACTAGATCTATTATCGGGCAAATTCTAAAACTTCACAGCTCAGGAGAAAAGGAGGAGAATTATTCAGAATTTATACTCTTTTGTGGATTGGTATATACTCGTACCTATTTGTTCTTTACTTTCGCAAGAGGAATTTGTACCCGGTGGAGGCTGAAGACGATATTTTAGGGCTTGTTTTGGGGACTAATGTAGATAATAGTGTGTTGTTAGTAAAGAGAGAAAATCATGGATGTGATATAGGTAGCAATGTATGTGTAGCGTGTCTCGCATAATCCTAGTGTACCACTAAGGTATACTATTCGTAGGTAGGTAATGCCTTTGCCAAAATGTTGTAGGTAGCGTCCGAAAATGATCGGTAGACCATGCTTGTAGACCGTTGTATTCTTCCTCCTTTATCTTCCAAAGAAGACAATGTAAGAGAAAGGAGTAATCATCCCCGGGTATGGAGTCAGTCAAACAGGACTGAATGCCCCTGGAGCCCAGTAACACATGTGATAGACTGTAATTCCAGTCCAGGACGGGCCCACGGCGTACAATACAAGGGTATGACTCCAGTGTCATCGTGTCCATTAGTCACAGTTTGAGTGGATCTTCCCATAAGGTGTGTAGGGTCAAGAATGGTCGCCATATTTCTGACGCGTACTTGAGCCATGTAATCGGAGCAGGCACATAAGCCAGGCGACTGTGGCTCAGGGACATGTGGTCGGGAAGGGTCATCTGATTTATGCCTGTTACTAGATAATAATGCCGATGTACAATTCAAAGTCGTTGACAACCCTGCTGTAGTGGCTGCAAGACACCCAAGGTACTAGTAAGCAAGAAACGGATTAGGATATTCTGTAAGCAATCTGCAAATTGACGTATCGGCAAGACCTAGTTGAATGCTTTCTATTCTCCCCTGCTCAAACGAGATACACCTTTCGCTTGAGTATGTAGCGGATGTATTTTTATTTCTTCTTAGTACTATTGACATTCCCAAAAGAGACGTTATGCGACTTTAAACTGTTCGTGGAGGGAATATCAATATAGCTGGATCACAGGTAAGCTGAGGCATGGACATTGGCATCGTTCAGCTGCGGCCTCCAAGTAGATCCAGTCGCAACAAGAACTAGTCTCCCAAGAACCCCAAACTCGATTTTCAGCTTAATACTGTACACGGTAGCCTTCAGGGTTGTCTGATAGATATAGTAGTTCGCAGACTCCACGGCAACAAGGCCAATGTCCATGAGAACACATATCATGTTTATCATGAATAGTTCAATGATGATTTTGCGATTGCTGCGTAACGGATTGATCTTCAACATTCTATAGGTTTCCCACATGTACAAACCAGAGATACACAGTTCCTGAACACAAAATCCTGCCACTTGAATTCTCTCCATCACATTGTATGCAGTGACGTATGAATGGGAGCCCGAGAAGTTGGCGGCATATGTCAAAACAGTGGTTGGCACATGGAGGAGAAAGATATTTGCGACAATCATGTTCAAGACTAGGCGTAGAATCATCGAGTTTTGCACGACAAGATGGAGTCTGGAATACAGAACAAATGATTGTCCGGTGACCATTGCCCACCATCCAATAGTCACGAGCGTGATGGATAACCAAACGGCCGATGTGAGGTCGAAGAATTTCATAAGAAACCCGAGGGAGTATAATGGGATCCCCACGCCCGCTGAGATGAACATACTCCAAAAATAGATCCCATTGTAGTGCGTAAATTTCTTGAAGATGAGGATAATTAACTCAAGGGCGTTGTACCAGGCGACAGCAATAAAAGCTGCTATGGTAATTTTAAGCGCATCGCTATCTCCAGTATAACTGCCAATGATCCAATTCCCGGGGTTTGAAGAACTGCCAGTAGACATTTAGTACCCGATTGTCCCCGACATGAGAAGCACCCTGAGGACTGGAGCGGAAGCAATAAAGAGAAAAATTGACGAGAATCATAAATGGCGAAGGCCGTATGTTCAGTCACGTTGGTTCCATAGTTCAACAGCCCGCTAAGCCTGCGGGGTAGATTAATCCAGAACGAAGCTCGCCACTGCATGTCCCTTTCCATATCGATTGGTTGGTCATTTGAACAGCTGCACAAGGTCAAGGTATTATGGGTTGATATTCTCGCAAAACATCATAGGAGATTCTACTGCTCGCAGGAAGATGTATCCTTGCTTTAGGCCAAATGTCATCGACTTCCCCCATGGTGATTGCTGGATTAGGATTGTCGACCACTTGGTCCCCGCCACATGAAGGCTTTTCACAAGACCAAACTTTAAAGTGAAAATACATAACCGTCTCTTAGGTCAGCAGCCTCACCCGCCCTGAGGCGTGTTGGTCTGCTTCACCCAAAAGATAATTTTCATTGAAACGCTAAGGTTGAAGCGATTCAGCGTTTTTATACAACATCGCCCTGAGTATCTACCCAAAAGAACAATCTAAGACCTTTCTTATCCACCTGGCTAGCCTCTGTACCAGGCAGATATTCCCTATATCTTCCTGTTATTGTAGTTTATCGTGTCCTAAAGTTTGCGCTTTCTTCATCCGCCGGAGCTCCTCATGTCTTTCCTCTTCATGTTTGAACTGAATATGGCGTTTAGCATCATGTACATTTAAAGCTCCGGTGTATTGGATTCTTCTCTGTGGTTCCGTTCTGGATTTAAGCTTCCAGTGGTGAGGAACTAGATGGCGGCGGTGGTATAGTAAAAGTCTCTAGCTCAGGTATAGAAGATTTAACCTTAATTAAATGCCTCATAACCTCTTCCGGAATGAACGGATAGATGTCTCGTTTGTTAAAGGCTTTCTCACGTACAGCTGGGATTTCTTTAAAAAAGGCAGCTTTATCCTCAGTGTCCACACCTAGACTAGCTAGATAGTTATTTGGATCTCAATAGTAGTGTTTATACACCTGGAATAGCTGGCCATCAGGCGGTTGAATAATATGCGCTGTATAAGGGAGAGAACAGTAAGTAATAATATAGGCCTAACCACAGAACTGAAGATACTCGTACTTTAGATGAGATCCATGGCAATCATAAAGTAGTAATCGAGGCTCACTCTTTCGTGTAAGACGGTAGTTTGTATGGCGATTAAACTATCGAATCCAGTCAAAACCAATCAAACCAGGAGAATAGCCCCTAGGTGATACTCCTATACGGTATTTACCCGGAATACCTGACTAGTGCCATCGCTCCTTATGGATAAGATTGGTGAAGATAAAATAGGGTGATAGAACAAAAGCCATTTGCAGTAATACACTCTACTACAGATACTAACTCTCCTATTTCTATTAAAGAGTTGCCTCTGGAGGCTTAATTAGGCCTACTTATTAATATCTTCTGAGATTTGCCTTAGACCAAATTCAAAGTCAATTTCGTCAAAATTATAAATATTGCGTGGTGGAATCTGTGAAATAAACCCGTGTAAAATATTGTGCCAGTGTTGAGTTTGACTAAGATCTTCTGTATTTAAACGAGTCTTATCCTCTGGCTTCTGCTTAGCCAGTTTAAATTTATCTGGTAGATGTTTAATAAAGCGATAGGCCCAGGCATTTCCCACTCTTTATTGTACGTCATCTTCTGTATACCGCTAAAGAATCTGATTCGCAGCACGGTCGGTTATTGTAGAGGTAAGAGGAGTATATAGAGAATCTAGTTGACAAATCCAGCGAATTAATGCCTTCTCTTGTATATTATCAAGGGTTGCGGTTGAATAGGACGTGAGGGAGGGTTTGCTCCGCCATGAAAACGTGCTCGAAGTCGTTCATCCGCCCAACTAGGCCCTATTCTTCGCCTGTCTGATTGCTCATTAGTTAGCGCCGTACAGTATTTTTTATGATCACTGTGCGGCGATTATCATGCAATTTGTCCCACTACATGGTTTTCACATTTTGTATCTTCTACAAAGCAGGTATTTACTACCTGTCGTGGAAAGAAAACCCATTGAATCATGATGAATAATGGTAGTAATAGGCCCACGCATGAACGAGCTGTCCGAGATTAGCATCCTTTGCCTAGAAAAGAGTCAGCCGGTTAGGATAACAGGCCAGGTTCTTTACCAGAAGGTCTAGTTAGCAAGCTAGGATAGGGTAGCAATGAATTCAAGAATCAGTGAGAAATGAGGTACCTTTCCATCATCAAGACTACATATCATGGCCATCGAGCTATTTGTAAGAATCTCATCAGGAGATTAAGGGCTTGATTGCTCTCTCGAAGACCAAAACTACGAACCTTAGGGACTCATTATAGCAAGGCATTTATAAAGCTAAGGCGCTAGGCCTACTTAGGGAAAGCAAGCGTGCGGGGTTTTCCACCAAATCCTTATTAGCAGCAGTTGAACGTACGCAGTATTCAGTAAGTACTCCATATAACCGCCATCCTTTCACCACCTTTGTATAATGCTCAAGGCTCACCAATCCAGTTCACAACTTACGACATGGATACTAGTCCTCCAGTTAAGAAGCTCGCACTCGATCCGCCTCCTCTCTCCGAGTTGAGCCACGTCATTAGCGAGCGATTGAGCAAGCACTTTGCTCATGTCGCGGCCAGTATTGTTCCCTGTCCCGATCTGCGTCAGCCACCCTTCCATCTAGCTGGCGAGGGCCTCTGTGGCAACGAACGCATTGCAGACGTCGGTGGACCTCCACATCTACGACCCACTCCACGCCTGGACAAAAAGTATTCATTGCCCACCATCATGGGAGTGATGGAAATGCAGCAGAGAAGTTTTGTTTTGGGCGCAGCCGCTGGTCCATTTCATGTAATCGGGCAGAATTCCGAGCTCATGCCGAATCTGGCACGCGGGCATGATGGCGAGTGGCAGAATGAGACGCACTACGCAAAGGTCAATGAAGAGGGGCAATGTCATCTGGACAGGATTCCTGACGACTCAAAAGACTTCGGCCTGATGGCCAACCTGTTCGCTTCGGACGGTCTGTCGGGGGACGTCATTCATGTTCGGGCGAAGTGCCGGACAGGCGATTTGAACTTCACGGAAGCGATCCGGGACACTCTGAAAACGGAATATGGCGGGCAGCCCATCAGCATGGGCGGAGTCTTTCTCATTCGTAATGGAGAGACCAAACTCCATGTCATGACTGACTTCAGTCCCGATCCTTGTCCCGGTCCCGAACACGAATGGTTCAAGTATTATGACTCATCGGCACCGTTAATCTGTCTCACAGTGTTCCACTCGGTGGACTCGGAGAGCTGGGATCTACGGATGGAGCACACGCATTGCTTCTCGACACATGGGATGGGTGGGCATTATCACTACGATACGACAGCAGAAGAGGTGGAATATGAGGCCTGGTTGAACACGGCTAAGGTCGTTTATAGGATTGACCAACCCGGACAATGACTTCGACTTCAGTATATATTCATATTTCACTTCCTAGCAGCAAAATAGACCACTCGATTTGAATATATAACATGTTTGCAAAAACTAGACAAACGCGCAGCGTCCATTCCGACCTATAAAATCGGTTGCAGGCCATCGGACTTCGGACTCTATAGAACTAAAGTCCGGCCGATCCCATGGACTTAAGGGTTATCTTATCTCCGACGCATACACTTGGCTTCTTCCTGGCGTCTTTTCATCATCACTTTCTCTTGCTTTTTATAAAGATAAACCTTGTCGCCAAGCTTTGTCCCACTTACACGCTTCAAGATCTGTCATTTATTCTCCACCATGCCTGAGAACCGAAGCGTCAAAGCCGCCCTTGCACTGATCGACCAAGACCCTACTAAGATTCTTGGCTTGACAGTAGGACCTCACGCAAATGTAAAACCAGGGCAATACATCCCCAGGGCTGGTACAATCACCTAATTACCCAGACAGTCCCTACTAGCAACTAACGATGCAAACCTAAGATGCCCAATCCCACCCCACACTCACCTTCGACGTCCCCTCCCTATCAGCAACTTACATGGTCGTTAGTCTTGACATCGATGCCCCATTCCCCTCCTTCGGGGTACTCGGACCCATCCTCCACTGGATCCAGCCGGGACTCAAAGCCAGAAACGGCCAGTTAGAAGTCACCAAGCCGTTCGTTGCGAACTATATCGGGCCCGCACCGCCTCCGGGTAGCTCGCCGCATCGGTATATCTTCTTTCTGTATGAGCAGCCGGAGACGTTTCATGGGAGGAAGTATGCGCCGCCGGATGGACAAAACCTGAGTAATTGGTATCGCATGCGGTATGATCTTGATGCGTGGGAGAAGGAGATTGGGCTGGGCTCGGTGTTGGCGGTTAATTATTTTACGAGTAATTAGGACGGGTTCTACATGTGGGTTCGGTTGTTAATGGTTGCTTGGTTCATGCGGTTCAATGTTAATTAATCTTCATCATGCTAATTCTAAAGGTTCGAAGATAAAAAGGAGAAATATCCCCATGATTACAGCATGCTTTGATGTCGTGCCAGTGCTATACACCACATAGGACTGATAGTACCCTCTGCTACCAGGATGTTGAGAAATATATGAATGCTGATAGATTGGGCATTCTTTCGAGAAAATCAGATGTGATTAGACCTCGGTCAGATCTAGGCTGCTATCCAGTTCACCAAGAGAATGCCATAGGCGACAAAGCTTATAAGCTGGCCCATTTATTCCTCGGCATAAGTTCGTGAAGAATATGTCCCCTGCGAATGACCCATAATGTTCTATCTCTGTAGAATACTATGGCCAAATCAGGCTCAACCTGTAAGCGACACGCTATTCCAAGCCAGGTTGTTCCCGAGGCTCCATATTCGGATATCGGTCGTTCAAGCGGGAGGCTTTCAAACGATCAACTCAAGGCTAATTTTGTGTTTGCTGTAGGGGTCTAGAATCACGGAGGGGAGGCTCAGACTTCTTCACGGCAGGCCTAATTAATGATCTCATGAAACCAATACAATGACTCCTGGAGCCACAGCCAGAATGGATCCAATCACCAGGGAGATGGAAGCGTATGCAGCCACAGAAGGTAGCCGGAATGTCACATAGCTAGTACAACTCAGCATATGGCACGCCCACAAAGATCATCTAACCGCTCGCTCGCAACTTAGGTGCATTACGCCGCAAACTATTTTCACAATGTATCCAAGAAGGAATCATGTGAAAAATGCAGGGTTCAACTGCTTATGCCATCTGTCTAGAGTCCCAAGAATGATTGGTTCCCGTCAGGTACGTCGTCCAGCCAGCCGAGATCAAACAAGTCGCGTAGGATTCCAAGCTCATCGATTAAAAAGCTCTTCCCATCAGCGGGTGGTGGGTTGACAGATCCCTCTTGCGTCTGGTATGTTCTGTCTTGGGTTTGTCTCTGCGTGAACCTCGTTTGGTCATTACCAGCCCAGGCATTATTATCCAGTGATTGAGGGTCAGCCGGACCGCCGGTCATCGCATCATATGCCTCACTAGTGGATTTAATCAGCTTCGCTAACTTCTGACCGGCCTCTTGTGCCACCGTCCATGTCTGTCCAAGGAATGAGAGTAATTGGAGTGCTAATTCTGCTCGCTTTAGACAAGCATCTATAGGTGTTGTGCCGCGGACCACCGGATATGTCCAAACGCAATAAAGGACTGTTATTGAAGCCACGAATATAGAGTGTGCGGACAGCCATGAGCATTCCATATTCGAAAATCGATGCAGGTCCGCATAGATGGCGATAATTTCCATGGCGCTAGTGAAACACTCTTGAACAGCATCTAGGCCAGGTCGAGGCATCTGCGGACTCGGACGAAAGAGGAGCATAATGCATTGGTGGTATTTGAGTTGCAGTCGCTGAACGGCAACCCCAGAGAGCGGGCTGGAGACACCCTGCAAACGGCCTGGCTGGTGATCTTGCACCTCTTGAAGAAGAGCAACACAAGCTCTTTGCGCTTCCTGTTGCCATGCACCTACATCTGCCGGCCAAGGAAAGCGACTAGGTGACCGCGAAACTCGATACAGCATCAGCTTAATCTCTGCAACGAGGCGGTCAAAGCGTAGAGAGTAGATGCATGCAGTGTACGAGGTTGAGGCCCGTCCCGGAATGGGTCCTGCCTCTTGAGAGTTAGGATTTCGGTCCCAGTAGGTAGCCGCCTCTTCAACTTCATCGTTGCTATCGAATCCAGGGAATTCTCTATCAATCGCTTCATCTCGCAATGTGAGCGGGCGACCTAGTATCGTAGTCAGAGTACGATCCATGGAGTATGCTGACCAGAAGATTGCACTACGCAAATGCCGTATATTTCGCTGGTATGGAGGCTCGTTCTCCTTGCTACCTACAGTTACAAGAGTCAGTCATCGTTTGTGTCCAGCCCACAACTTGGGCTGGTCCCAGCTAAACTTCGATAAGGAGACGAGTAACCCACTATTATCACGGCGCTGCAGCCCAAGGTCAAGACAGCTTGCGAGTATGGTGTGCAATAGATACCACGCATTAAGGCCCTCCGGGCTGTAAAAGCTATGTTGCACCAACAGCAAGAGAATCTGCACACCCTCAATGCTATCATGAAGTTTGATCTGTGTACCGTAAGACATCCCCGTCGCAAACAGCTCCCGAGAGCCAAAGGTTCCGGATAGTTTGATTTCAAGAGATCTTGCACCAAGAGAAAGGACCAGGAATACCTGTGCCAGCGCTAGCTTCACTGGGAGTCTACTCTCCCAGACCGATGTTTTGCTGATGCGAAACACCTCCCCTAGAAGGGTATAGAAGACATCCTGAGATATGAAGGGGTAGAATGCTGATGCAGCGAAATACATCTCGGCATATTGCTGGCACTCTGCCATGGAAGGCAGGTCGACTTGCAAGGCTTCATATAGTACAGGGCCTTGACCCGGGTCGTCTAGCCCTTGATCTTGGTCATTCTGTCGCGAATACGCCAATGGCAGTCCTTGCGACTGGGGTACGCTCTCATAGATCAGACGGGCAAAGGTAACTCCGGATGATGGACCCAAATACTTGGGATCGCTGGCGTTCGTCAAAGAGAGTAAGCCCACTTCGTGGGCCAGCGGTTGGTCCCGAGTGATTCGGCTAGAGGACGAGACGGCGGGGGAGGCCCCAGACGTGTTGTCCGTTTGTGCCGTCCGACTCAATGGTGACTGGACATCAGCTAGGTGAATCGCCCTCCTAGGTCCTATGGAGTGGACATCCTGTTGTGAGACTTGTGTTGGGGAGACATGGCTGCGATGCTGTTCTTGGCGCCATAGTGTCGGCTGCGCTCGGATATTTGCCGACGGCTCGATATCTTCGCGGGCCTCCAGTTCTCTCACGCGATTCTCTAGATACTGCAATCGGCTAGAAACATTAAGCACGCAGGAACAATTACGATAAGATAAGTCTTACCTTTTAGAGACCGCTGATCCTGGTGTTCCTTCGAAACATTCCACTCCGGCTCGGGCGCAGTTCGAACAAGCGGGTGTGCCTCCGTCGCAGCGGACTTTCCGCCGTCGGCATCGCACACATGCCAGTGGACGGCGTCGGAGAGGCGAATTGAGTGAGGCAGACATGTGGAGTTAATGAGCACGCTTGCTGCAGCATGAGGATCAAAATTCGTCCAACAATAGATTTGATGGGGAAATGATGAGAGACGCTGGAGTTATCGGTTGCAACTCCGACGATATCGGACCGCGTAAATCACGTCTCTGGCGGTACGGAGTTCGGCTAAACCCCGTGCGCCTACATTGCAACATGCCCTTCATCAAATCCTTCCACACGTTTGATATTATATGAAAGTGTTCAGCTCCAAAGGAAGATTAATACCATAGAAGTTCGATTATTAGAGCAATAATATTGTTTTGATCATTAGTCAGACAGTCCCCGTCTAAGAGGGGTTTTGGTTCAAAATATATATATCGTTGGTGAGAGCTTCCGTCTGGAACCCTGAGGTACAGTAGCATAACCCAACTTTAAGCCTCTATCTCAGAGACCTTAATAATATATAAAATGTCAGCCTATTTATACTGTTTATCTTTTCAAGTTAAGTACATATCTAAGTTAGGAGGGAATAAGTAACTCAGAGCACTAGTCTCTTTCTAACTCTTTTACTCTAGGGTATTGTTATAGACTTAGCAGGGTTAGGCTAGACAACTAAGCTAAAAAAACCAAAATATCGAGATTCGAACCTATTGTTCGATACGCCTAACCACCACCTATATATGATGTTATCGTAACAGGTATCCTGTAGTATTTAGTTCTATTCAGATCCTAGATAGTAGATACTATTTCTATTAATATATTAATCTGTAAATTAAGTAAACTAGATCAGAACCAAACTAAGATCTGTAAAGGAAGTATTTAATAGTTTATCTAATATACTTTGCACAATTACCTTCACATTCTCAACACGCTCTTATACTCAGTTGGTATATTTCGATGTCCACGTATTACGTACTTTACTTTCGTCGCTGGTATATCTGCCACACTGGATCTGGAAGGTTTGGTCTCATCACCGTTATCACATAACAGGGAGCTCATTGTCAACATTATAGCAAGACGGCCTTTTCACTCATCATCCAATCCTAAGGGAACCTAGCCTGTGAGCAAGCTATCCAAAAAAGTAACAAGGCAACCAGCTCGAACGACGTAGGAGTCTCTTCAATCCAGCTTATCCATATACCCGCAGCCCCAGTGCCTGACCTAGCGAGCGTGCTTGGGCAAACGGAAGCCCAAGTACGGCAAATACTTGCCCGGATGCCAGTAGATGAACAGTGCAACGCAAGGATAGATGACCAAGGCATCAAAGACATACAAGGTCCACTCATGGGTATTGATATATCCCGTCACACCCTGAGTAAACTCCACTAGACGGTAAATGGAACGGATCTGGCGGACGTCATAGAATGGGTTAGTAAAACGCTCTCCAGCCGGATCCCGCGAACACTTACCAAGATCAGCAAAGTAGTGAAGTTAACAACACGCAGTAATGCTGGCCAGTGTTTCTTTTTCGTAACCCCATCGATGACGTAGTCGTCTTCTCCGAACATTTCATATCTCTCATGAATACTCTTGGGAAATTTTTTCGAAGTGAAATTGAACCGCACAGCGGCGACTGAGAAGAGACCAAAAGCAAGCAGTTGTACGATCACGCCGGCCTGGGCGATATGTTTTCCTCGGTTGAGCTTGCTGGCTGCATCCGTCTGAGTGGCATCAACTGAAGAAATCATGACCGCGCCGATCAGCTGGAGAAAGAGAGCGACAACATCAAAGCCCACAAAGAGTGGGGTGATGAACCTGGGAGGCACCCAACACAAGCGCAAGGTTCGTTCCTGGCGGGGAACAATCGAAAAGAGAATGCGACTGAATAGGACATAACAGCAGGCAGCCATGAGGACTGGTGCGAGAATGATGAGAGCGAATTGAAGGACGTAGACCGGTTTGTCTTTAACGTTTTGGGTTGAGATACATCGGCCAATGTAACCGACTGCCTCCACTGTGAGTGATATTAGCGTTGAAACCGACAAGTACGAAACAAAAAAAAGGTGCGTTTTACTTACTTGCGGCAGCAACGACCATGATGACCCAGACCCAGGATTTATACCTAATCCATTGCACGCAAGTCAAAATGAATGCGATGCCATATAGAACGGCCGCCACAATGGCGACCGCTAACGAGGGGTTATAGCGGTAGAATGAGACATTGCCTGTATGTTGTAGGGATCTTCCCTCGAAAACCATGACTCCCACAATTCGAAAATATTAGAGGTGGCCTTATGGAAAAGATGAATTGAAAAAGGACTCTCGACGACGAAGCGAAGGCCCACATATTATATCCTTGACTCAATGATTAGCCTGTGAGGCAAATTTCATTAGTATAATCTCGATATTTCTGGAGACAAGCCACGGTTCCATAAAAGGTATGGACTTCGTTGCTTCATAGGAGACCAGGCCGCCAAGTCCTCGATCAGTCGGCAAATGCTTTCTTGGCTAAGCGACAAACTCTTAGGAAATTGACATCTTTCAGTGCCAGCATCCATATCAACATAGGCAACTAAGCCACAGCACTGACGAAATAATTCAAGGCTTCCCTAAGACCACAAGTACAAATTGCAAGTCTTTTTCAGTCTTTCTCAAGACCACGAAACTGATACCCAATTAGGAAAGGCGGCCTCCATATCAATGCCGCGGCCGGTCACCAATCAGCCTTCCGCAGGCTCCACCCTCGCGGATCCAGCCGTCATCTGGGTTTCTCGGCATCTTGAGGCCATCCCCACGATTGTTTTCACCCCTTTTGAACCCTGGGAGGGTTTAAGAGGAATTAGGATTAACTGTGTGATCGGAGTGTCGAGCAGATATGCCTTTTTACGGTCGCCCCAGCAAAAATTGCCAGAGCTGTCGGGAGAGGCGGATCAAGGCAAGTAAATCCAAGTTCCAATCCTAGCCATATAGCGTGATGTCCACCATCAAGATTGAACCCAATAATCTAATACGAGCACCCCCGGGCTAGTGTGATCGTCTTGACCCGGTCTGTTCGCAATGCAAGCGAGCAGGGAAACCATGTGGTGGCTATCGCGACGTCCCGTCATTATTGTTCCGTGATGAGAATGACAAGACGGCTCGTCGGTCTGCGGCGGCAAAGGCTAAATCAGAAACCCGGCGCAAGCTGTTGGATAGCTCAGACAGCTCAGATGAAGGCCCGGGAAACCCCACCCACAGGTCGAACTTGTCTCGATGGACCCATGTAACCCAGCCAGACAGTACTCGGATGGTTATGGTCCCCACATTGCCGGCCGTAGTTCTTTCAACTTTGGAGGAACAGGGATTGAGATTCTTCTTCAACCGGTTTGTAAGTGCGGTCTCCGGCATGGCGGGGGATCTTCCTTCTGAACTGGAGACCTCGCCTTTCCTAAAGGCCATTCTTGTGCAGTCGCCCCTGCGTGATGCAACCATCTCGGTTGGACTAGCCGCCATGTCCAACGTCAGTCAGGACCGAGCGCTATCACTAGCGGCGCGGGAGAAATATGTGGCGGCCATTAACGTCGTTCAGAAGGCGGTTCAGAACCCTGACCAGGCGAATGCGAATCAGACGTTTCATATAATTTTGATGTTGAGTATGTACGAAGTATGAGTCCTGGCCCATCTTGTGTTCTGCGGTGCAGACCCTTCCCTTTTTTCTTGCTCGCATAGCTGATTGAATCTTGTTAGATGGTCTGTTGCGCGCCCAATGAAATCGACTCATGGACAGTTCATCTAGATGGGGTGGCGGCACTAGTCAAACAGGCTAGCTTCAGCGATGCGCTGAGAAACACCAACCCGCGCCCACAGCTGCAGTATTACTTCATTTCAATCATCAGATATTTCCTCGTCCAGGGAGTCATGCCTTCGGAGCTGGTTGATTGGTCCCCTGATCAGGTTCCTGGTACCCAGCCAGATCAGATCTCTACAGTCCGCCTGGTCGATATTCTCATTCGCTTCATGAAGCTACACTCGTCTATTCGGGAACACCCGGACCCCGATCCAAGGATAACCGCAAGCTCTGCTCTGCTTTGCGACGCAGAGCTGGAGGCTTGGGAAAGTCAACTTCCAAAAAAATGGAAGTTCACTTTGAAGAAGTCGAATGACTTCCAACACACGTTTAATGGAACGTACATGGTCTATAACGATGTGTGGGCATCGAGAGACCTCAATCACTATTTCTGGGCACGATTAATGGTGAATGAGATGATTGTTCATCATATAACAAGGTTAGACCCACCGACGGTGGACAATATTTATCAGCGACAAAGAGCGCTGGAGACCATTTCACTGATGGCGACATACATTTGTGCCGGTGCGGCGACTCAAATGGGAGCCTTTGGGTGTGGGCTTCCATCTGCGGGGCTCAAACAATTGCCACCACTGAATGGCGTGTTCATGCTGATGTTTCCTTTGGCAGTTGCAGGAGGAGCTGCTGGAGCCGGTGACGAAGTCCCTGAGTGGGTACACGATACACTTCGGAAAATTGGGAGAACGATGGGCATTCGACGAGCTTTGGAGATGATTCCCACACTGAAGCAAGTACGTGAGCGTAAAATGAGAGAATTAGGCATAGTCAAATGAGATGAAGATAGAGAAATATAGTAGAAAGTTGAGGTGGAGGAAAGAAGTACAGTAGTAGTAAAGTAACAGTACTTCTAACGTAACCGGTAAGCAACCCGCACCTGTAAGCAACCCGCACCCCAACCGCCACATAAAAAATTAAAATGATCAAAACACCATGAATTTAGACTTCTATATAAAAATAAGTAGTTCTATCGATTCGGGCAGTATATGATTTTATGGTCCTGCACACCACAGCCAGAATATTTAGATAGGGCGTGTCTAGGAATCGATTCAGTAGAAAGAATCCTATCTGTCTATACAGCTTTATCTATCTGATTTCGGCGCTCTATAAAGATCCGGGCTTCAGATACTGATATACCTTTTTTAAAAGTAATCTACTTCGTAGAGTACTTTTATTTTTTAATCTGTCTTTTGTTTTCAGCCTGGTTTTGATCAAGTTGATACTTTAATATCACTATATTATAGAAAACTTATTCAGTGTCTTTTATTATTTAATTTAGACAAGTTTTAATAGGCAAGTCAGAACTGAAATATCAATTTTTAAGTAGTTTTTTAAAGCTAGATTCTAATTTCTCTAGCTACTTAACTGTATAAAATATCTTAGATACTAAGCTGTCTTGACTGCTAGGTCTACTACTCAAAGATATAAAAGTCTTGAGCTGAACTATTAACTTAGATAAAATACACTCAGAAAATAGAGAAACTAGGCTAGTAGCTCTAAAAGTACTATAAATATTACTACTAGTAAAGATCTCTATATAAATTTTAGAATATATATTTAGAAAATCGAGTTTATTAATATAATTAAGCCCGCAGTATATTTTAGATTGAACTAGGTCTCCGTACACACACTTTAAAGACAAGAAAATAGTAATATTAAGCGGTTAAAGCTTATAAGAAACATACACAGGTATATAAATTAATATAATATTATTTTCTGCACAGATCTGATTGAATCGAGATATTAGATAACTGTCGTAACTATCTAGAATAAATAGACAGTATTTTTCTATAGATCGGCCGGTAGTAAGAGATATAAAATAATTCTGCAGTTAATATAGATTAATATTATTACTTGTCCAGTTATTAGGACTAATCTTAATTCTCTAATTAGAAGAAACTCTATTATCTTTATACCAGGCCTCTATATATACCTTGTCTTTGAAAATAATACAGAGAGATAGAATCTATCTATTAAAATATATATATTCTATAGTAGTAATCTATTTCCGGTTCTCTAGCTGTAATAAAAATAGCTTATCTAGTATATCAGATCTAGTAATAATTTTGGCTATAGTTATCAGATCTATTATAAATTCTGTTTTATCAAAATTATAGATATTACTTAAAACTATACTGTACTTCTGAATTATCTTATTTATCTGTTTAAACCAAGTACCTAGAATCTTAGAATTCTCTACTTTAGTATACTAATAATTATAGCAATATATAAAGCAGATTTTAAGCTCAGATATATACCTAGTAAAGTTATATATCTATTTCTCCTCTACAGTAATAGGGGAAGAAGTAATATTATACTTTAAAAGCAGAAGATTAGCTATTTCTCGAATATATACAGACCAAAAAGATACTCTATATTTATCTAGTAATAGAATCTATTCCTTAAATAATTTCTTCTTACTAGAAATCAATTTATAACTATTGACACGAGTATCGCCTTTAAAAGTAACTTCTTTTAGACAATTACATAGAGTAGAAAAAGATATATTAAATATTTAAGCTGTCTTCTTAATACCATAAATTTTATTATTTTTTAAAGCCGATATAGCCAGTAGGATCCTGTCTTCCTGCTCAACGTGTGATTTTGATAATTTAGGCATTTTTGGTAGTATGGCTGATATTTGAATTATCTAGGAAATTGAGGCGCGTAGAAAACGCGGTTGGGGTGCGGGTTGCTTACAGGTGCGGGTTGCTTACCGGTTACGTTATCGATTGTCAGATCGCCCGTAGTCCCGATTATGTAATTGCGCAGCGAAGCGAAGCAGATCTGGGTTCTGATTGGTCCACAGTTCTGGGGTTTTGATTGCTGAGCGGATCTATAATATCTAGGAAGTGGAAATAGTTAGCTAAGATAGGATAGTAATAAGTTTAAGAATCAGTGAGAAATGAGGTACCTTCTCTTATATCAAGATATATTGAATGTTCTAACTTTCAACTGTATTGGCTGCGTTCACAACATTTACTGTATCAGCGTGTAGTATAATAGGCCTATATCGTAATGCATCTCCACGGCTAATAGCGTGCCGACGATCCTAGAATATCCATCATCCTCTCAATCGATCTAGCGTAGATCTCGACTGCCCGGATCTTGAGGACCGTGAACTCAAGTGAACCGGCTTTCTCAGCCACGAAATCCGTATAATCGTCGCGCACGGTGCGGTTAAGGTTAATCTTTCTCACACCATATGTAATCGTCTGTTGAAAAAGCTCGTCAGACACCGGGTGTGTGCCGTGCAGGGCTAGTGGTGTAGACTTTGACAACAGCTTCCCAATCGCCGAAAGACTGATCTCACACCAAGTTGAAGGTTAGCCAATCTGCATTGATATGTGGAGATATTATAAAGCATGGGTTGCAAAAGACTTTCTAGGAAAAAGTAGCCGTGCAACTGTACGTACCGCTCAAGATCCCAGGCTTTCTCTGGCCCACCGGCCGGATAACCACCATGAATATTCCCAAAGGAAGGGGCCAGAAAATGAACACTGGTCCGACGTACAAATGTCTCTGCTTCTTCAGGACGGGTCATAACTGCTTCCATGTCCACGGTTGGCAAACCATCCTCACCACCCTCGATACGGCCCATCTCCGCTTCGATGGTGATGTTGAGAGCTTTTGCCCGGTCTACAACCTCTTTGCAATAGCGAATATTGGCCTCTTCATCCAGCGTAGAAGCGTCCACCATAATTGAATCAAAGGGCAGGGAGAGAGCCAAGTCCACATCCTCAGGCTTGATGCAGTGGTCCAGGTGGACTGCGATCGGCACGGTGGCCGCATGTGCAGCTCTTACAACGTAGCGAATGAACTCCGATCCCTGAAAATGCATGGTCCAGGGAAATAATTGGATAATGGCAGGCGAGCGCTTGCGCTCGGCAGCCCGAATGACGGCCATGATTCCGTCATTGTTATAGCTTCATGCTTGTTAGACTTCGTATTGTAACTATACGTGGATGGCATCACTCACCAATTATACGCACCCACGGCGTAGTTGTTCTCATTGGCATGGTTGAGAATGCGCCAGGTTAGATTGCTAGCGGGATATGTGTGGTTTTCGCTATTCATATTGGAATATTATATGAGTGACGGCCTTATGGATACTGGAAAAACATTAGGGGAAGGTGGTGTGCGAGGTTGTGAGTTAATAATAAACATATTGTATCTATGTCACATAGTTGTCTACACCGGCTTGTATATCTTGGCCGCGGCATACGATCGCTACTATTCGTATATCGCTTCATGTCCGTCGGCTTCGGTCCGGTTCCTGGTGCCGGTATTCAGCCGGGTTTGACCTACCATGGAAAACGTGAGTTGGACCAAATGGAGTCATTACAACGGCTTAATCTGGATAATTATTGAACGGCACATTGCATTGTATTTCTGGGTCCGCAAGGCTTGTCATAGGGCCTGGTTACTTTGCAATTAGGGTAGCTTTGAATCCCATGGGCTTACAATTAGCCGAGATACAATACAACATTATGTACTACACAAATGAAGGCCTGGGTTGGTGTGATAACTTGGAGTCTATCGTAGTACGGATTGGAGGAGGTGATGGAGGGTCATCCTTCAGCAATTTAATACAGAACGGGTATCTTTTTATATTTTTTAACATCTGTACACAATAGTGGCTCAGGATAGGGAAAGAGGGTGTTCGGATAGAGGGAGCTCAGAAACTCCGTACTGTTTAGCAGTCTCAAGGAACATCTGCTTTTCGGCATCCGCATATGGGATTCCTTCCTTACGCCGCTGTATACCGAGACGGTGCTCCGGCTCACCGGGGAAGAGCACTTCGTTGAAACCTGGGGCGGGAGTAACGCCATGGACACGTTGCACCAAAGTGTCCATTCGAGCCTTGAATTGGTCTGTCGTCATAAAAATATCAGGCTTGATGGCGATGAAGCAATGCCCGACATCTTGCGGCTTGGTGTCCTTGTATTGGTCTCCAACTTCACCACCAAATGCTGCGCCGGTCAAGACACCCGACATGACATCCATCAGAATAGCAATACCGGAGCCTTTGGGACCACCGATTGGCGCCATGCTTCCATTTAAGGCGACATTGGCATCGGTGGTTGGGTTGCCATCCGCATCCAAGGCCCAGCCTAGTGGGATGGACTCACCGCGACGGGCAGCGCGGCGAATCTTGCCTTTAGCCACGACAGAAGGCGCCATGTCGAGTATGTAAGGAACTTCGTCGTTGGAAGGTGCGCCTGCTGCAAAAGGTGAGATCCCGAGAAGCGTCTCCTTACCGCCGAAAGGTGGCATTTGTTTGGCGGAGTTGGTGAAGACAAGAGAGATCATGTTCTTCTCCAGGGCCTGAATCACATAGGTGGCGGCCATGCCAAAGTGATTCGAGTGGTTAACGGTGACCATTCCAATACCGTAGATTTCTGCCCGCTTGACAGCCTCCTCCATTGCTCTGGTGGCGACCACGAAGCCAAAACCATTGTCACCGTCCAGATGAGCCACAACGGGGGTCTTCTCGGTCAGCTTGAATTCTGGGTCTGCCTTGACGCGGCCATTGCTGACACGATCCAGGTACTGAGGTAACCGAGCCAACCCATGAGTGTCCTATGACAGAGTTAGGTCATGCTGCGAAAAGGGTCAAGGATTCACAGTAGCAGGACTTACCACGCCCCGAACATCCGCCATGACCAAGCAATCGGCCATTGATTTGGCATCTTCCGGAGAAAGCCCAGCTTTCACAAGGAGCTCTGAGGCAAACTGACCGGCGGCAGTGGGATCGGCATAGTAGCGAGCCTTCGTAGCCAAGAGACGTTAGTAAATCGGATCATCCGAAACTTGGGACACCTTACGGAGGCCATTGTGCAGTGGTTGTATGGATAGAGTTGCTGATTGGAGTTAATATACACTGACTTTCTTGAGGTTCCAAAACTCAAGAAGCACCCTATAAGTAGGAATTAGTATATACTGAGGTGAGAATACAAGGTAGCGAACTCGGATATGAGGGGGGGACGGAAGACGGTAACGGACCGAAGCCGAATTAACTCCACATATTTTGCCGTCGGCTTTTAGCCGACGACCCGCCGATTCATTAATTTCCTGGATGGTGTCATTACAAAGATTCAGAACAGTTTCCACCATTTCTTCATTCTAAACCTGTCGTTGAGATTGATTATCAGTCTAAGAACTTCTAAGCAAGGATGGCTGCTAAGTGTGCCACACCCCTGCGAACTTTGAACCCACAGCGCTTCGGACGGATCGTCGGCCGGCGACTGTACAGCAGCCAGGGCCCGACAGTGGCCGTTTTGTTCCAAGATATTGATCCTCCAGTCATTAACGGGGTTCGTAAACCTCGTAAACCAGGTGGTAAGTGCATCAATTGTTTCGTACAGTGAACTTTAGTTACCCTTGCACATCTCTTTATTATGTTTTTCTTCTGTAGCTCTTGCCCTTGTAGTTTAGTAATATCTTCATTAGCACAGTCAATGCAGATCGTCATAAGCTAACGCAACTCCTGCAGGTTACCAAGACTCGGGAGCAGACATTGCTTACACACTGCGGTCAAAGGGTATCAGCATCACCACTCCGGACTCTCCACCGCAAGTGTCCGAACACGAAGGCTGGTGCTTCTCAGATACAGAGGAAGGCATCGTCTCCGCCGTGAATAACGGCGCTACCCACCTCTGGGCTAATACAATTCTATTTGATTCGCACCCACTGCAACGATCTCAGAAATTAACACCCTATGCCTCGGATCTATATGTCGTGGGCCAGCCACCTGGCCTGGTAGAAAATTGCGACGATAAGGCATTCCTAAACGATAAGCTTCGCTCATTAGGCGGCTACACTTTACCACGGTCATGGCTAGTGTCGAAGTCTGATAACCTCGACGAGTTTGTCGGCTCAATTAAAAGCTTCCCTGTTGTTGGCAAACCTGTTCGCGGACGCGGAAGCCATGGTGTAAAGCTATGCTATAGCCCCGTCCAACTTAAACAGCACATCGAGGCACTTCTTGGGGAGTCGCCTCTGATTATGGTAGAAGAGTACTTAGCAGGCGAAGAAGCTACCATCACAGTTATGCCGCCATCACCAGAACGGCCTGAGCACTGGAGTATGCTGCCCGTGACAAGGTTCAACCATGCGGACGGCATTGCTCCATACAATGGATCTGTCGCAGTGACAGCAAACTCCCGTGTCGTGACGAACGAGGAGATGAAGGACCCGGCGTATGGAAAGGTTATGGAAGAATGTCAAGGTGTGGCCCAGCTCATTGGAGCAACAGCGCCGATCCGGATTGACGTGCGACGCTTTCGGGAGGGCGCAGAGTTTGCGCTTTTTGATATTAATATGAAGCCGGTAAGATATCCTGCGGGAATAAAGCTTGTGCGTATATAATTGCATCTAGAGGCTGACCATGATCTTTGGAATACAGAATATGACTGGCCCTGGCCGTCCCGGTCGCGAGGACCAAGCCAGCTTGACTGCCATGGCAGCCGCTGCCATCGGTTGGGACTATGGAACTCTCCTGCAGAAGATTCTGGCCAGCGCACAGCATTTAAGTGTTTTCCGTGACTACCATAGTCCGTTCTAAGCCAACGGGAGACTATCTCGGGCTGTTTGTTTTTAAAGCATCAATAGATTTCTAGTTTCAATGTACTTTTTGTCCACGATAATAAAGAGCACAAGTGACTTTATCATTCATTTACGATAAAACGACCTAATAGCGTGCGAAGAAGTGTCCGTCTATTCATATAGAATACAGCTTGCTAGTGAATACCTTAATCCACAAAATCTAAGTATTTACATGAATATCTAACATATCTCACTGGGCTTCATGGCTGTTGACTCCATTAGCATGATTCAGTCCCTTCACAGGCAAGAAATGCCACATATATTCATCTTCTGGAGCGACTTCGAAATCAAAGCGCACCAGGTCCTCTTTATAGGGGAACATGTATGTACTGGTGACCCTGCGACCATGAACTAGAATGAGTAATCTATCGCAAATGGCATTGCATCGTTCTGCAATGGTGTTACGTACCAATGATGCTCTTTGCTAGCTTGATATTTCTCTAACTCTGAGAGATTCTCGTGGAAGCTGAGGAGCGCAATCTCGAAGCCTTTGCTTCTCTCAATTGGGTCCGTCACAGACGGTCCTCCAACTACTAGACGGTGTCCTTTCACACAATCTAGTTCCTTCAACTTTTTGAGCTCTCGAACAAAGGTGTCCTTGTGCTCTCGCGTCACATCAGGACGGAACTTGAACATCACTGACGTTTCAAGTGTCAGAGGCGAACCCAGTGTCTACTAAAGAGGTAACACGGTTGTAGGACATACCCATGTGGACAATCGTCATGTTGGAAGTTTGTGTTATAAATAGGGTACAGATGTGCAACACAAAGTTATAATGCAGTATTTAGAAACTGACTGAAGTATAGGAACTAGCTTCTAGAAACAGGCGCTGGCAAGCTAAGGTGACAAAGACAGAGAGATGATGGCGAACCACTGTCTAGATTTGATTGTGCATGGGATCTACCAAGTATAAGAATATGTCTTCGGCGCAGTGTAGATTAGCCAAAGTCTGGGTCCCAGCGTGTCTCGGGCTGTAGCCGTCGCGAGGGATAGGGCGGTTAAATCCCGTAACGCTTCTGTTCATCGCGGTTCCAGCAGCGCGAAACCTCTTTCCATATGAGCACCTTTAGGCATTGCATAAAGTGTCATTTAAGTTATGCGGACAGAAACTAGTGATTAGGCTGGCTGTTAGGTCCAAGATATCTGTAATACTGTGTCCGCTTGCATACGCGTTACCCCTTTTCGCACGCTCTCCATCAATCATGCCATATGGCTGTAAGTCTCGCATAAACCTTCTGAAAGCCATATACTTCTAGGTGCGATTGTATGTATAGTGCCAGGGTTCTGAAATATTACTATAGCCGAACGGTGTGGCCGAATCTGTTCGCCGAAATCTAGCATACTCAAGGCGTAGATTAAAACATAGCATTTGAAGGCATTTCGTAGTGAGCCATAGTATTTCTTCACAGACGGAGAGAGGAAGGACAAAGGCTCTTACACTACTCCAACAATCCGTTCGCCACTATTAGTGGATAAAATATCATTGGGTTACAACTTACAATCACCCCCTTGGCCGCTAATATGATTGTTGGAGACCAGCCGTCAACCAAGCAGACGATCACGGACTCGAATATATCCTTACACTGGTCGGCTTTACAAGGCTAGGTAAAGTCCGCCTCCGTACTTTGACTTCCCCGCATTCTTCAAAACATGGGGTACATATGGCAATGTGAGGGTTTCTTAGAGCGTCTATATAATCCTCGTGGTTTTCTGGCTTCTTTGATCACAGCCCCTACGTGTCTTTGCTGAGGCTTTCCCAAGAAAAAACTCGAAGGGTTTTGTATTTTTTTTTTCTTTTCTTTCCCCCCTTTTTTATTTTACTCCGTCGACTTTATCCCACACTCATCATGCCGGACGAAGTGAAGTACTCGCTTCAACATGATGAGAAAGCCGTTTCCACGGAGAAGGGGATGAATAACCGAGTGGCTGCCGCACAGCAAATGAGTTCGGCAGAGCTTGCTGCTGCAGAGAAGAGCTTGAAGCGTAAGCTCGATGCCCGCCTCCTTCTTTCCGTATGGATTATGTTCGTGATGAACTACCTTGACCGGCTGAGTGTTGATATAACTGGCTAATATATTCAATATTGCGCCATATTTATTACGGAAATTTATACACCTCTTTCCTCCTTTTGAAGTTTCTACTAGCCTCTAACTAATTATTGCAACCCCGTTGTGCAGAACAACATCGCTACGGCCAAAGTTGCTGGTATTGCTAAGTCATTGCACATGACAAGCGAACAGTATGCTACGGCAGTGGCTATTATATTCGCTGGTTACGTGCTAATGCAACTGCTATCCAACATCTTTCTAGCTCAGATGCGTCCATCATGGTACCTCCCGGGTGTTATGACCATCTGGGGTATGCTTTCGGCCCTAGTCGGTGAGACCCACAACGCCGGGGGATTGTATGCTCTCCGTTTCCTTCTTGGCTTTATAGAAGCTGCATTTTACCGTAGGTGCTCCACTTCCAACATTACCCTGTTACAGCATTATTAGATCGCCACTAACACTTACTAGCCGGTGCCTTGTTCTTAGTCTCGTCATGGTACCGGCGTGACGAGATGGGTGTGCGCAGTGCTTTCTTGTTCTCCAGGTCTCAGCTGGGCAGTGCCTTTTCTGGTCTCATCGCAGCCGGCATTGAGAGCGGCATGAACGGAGTACGTGGCCTCGAGTCATGGCGTTTGATCTTCATTATAGAAGGCTCAGCTACTGTGTTCATTGCCATTTGTGCGGCCTATATTCTCCCTGACTAGCCAAGTAATACTCGGTGGCCCAGTCCAACAGAGCGCGCAGTTGCTCAGTGGCATCTTATTGCTGATGCCGGTCAGGTCGATGAAGATGATGGTCGGTGGAGCTATGGGTTTAAAAGTGCCTTGTCTGATTGGCGATTATACATCTTTGCGTTGACTTTCCTCTGTATACAAGTGTCGAGCGCCACGACGAACTTCTTCCCATCCGTGGTTCAGACGTTAGGCATTAACCGCGTTGATACGCTACTTCTAACTGTTCCGCCCTACATCGTGGCGCTGCTAATTTCGATAGGAAACAACTGGTCGGCAGACCGATTCAAAAACTCTTCTTACCATATCATCTGGCCATTGGTCCTCGCCATCATTGGATTCGTCATCGTTGCTGCTACACTCAATACCGGTGCAAGAGACTTTGCGATGATCGCCATGGTGGCAGGGGGCCACGGACCAAACGCCGTGCTTCTTGCATGGGTTCAAAAGACAATGCTTCGGCCACGCATAAAACGTGCATCGGCTGTAGCGTTCGTTAATGCAGTGGGCAATATTTCCCAGGTGAGTCATTAATTGGAAGCGACTTTTCCTAATTGTCATGCAAGGAGACCCCAAACTAACATACGTCTACAATCATAGATCTTCTCCTCTTACCTATACCCTGACAGCTCCTTGCCGAGATACGTCCTCGCTATGTCGGTCAACGCCGCATTCAGCTTAGCAGTCATTATCCTTACATTATTTATGCGAATAGTTCTGCTACGTACAAACAAACGTCTCGCTCGTGGAGAAACAACCGTTGAACAAGAGATGAAGGGTGGGAGTCAAGCTGAGCTGTTGGGAGTTACTGAGGAAGAGTGTGCTACGCGTAGGGAAGAGTTCCGCTTCATTGCATAGGGTCGATGCGCGATCTTATGAGAGTTATTGACGGCTGTAACCTTCCGTTCTATATGCACGATGGAATAAGCTTTGCGATGGAAGGCGCTGGGGTCTAGTATACTCACGCTGTTGTGATGATCGAAGTACTACGTGGGGGGTGGGGCATTTGTTGGATGTGGTATCATATAAACTGGAAGGACTGGATGCTGCCACTTTTTTTATATAATGCCGTCCTTTACTATATGATAGCATGTATTCGATGCTCACTGACTATGTACCATTGGAGACATATATCCACTGGAGCACCAGACTGAGAACTAATGTATGATTGATTTGGCTTAACGCTTTCGGGTATATGTTTCGACAAGAGAAAGCGATAATTAAATTATTTAGTCATGACTACATTACCGACCTCGAAACTCCCTAAAAGCCTCCTCCACAGAATATCCCGCCTTAATAGCCTCCGCACATTTTATATCGGCATCAGCAATAGCCGGAATGGCATCAAGAACCTGTTCAGCCAGCTCCTGTGGAAGTCGCACAACACCATTAAGATCGGCGATGATATAGTCACCGGGTTTAATCCACGCATCTTGGTTCTCGGAATTGAGCCGAACGGGAACATTCACTTCCGAGGGGCGACATACTTCGCCTCCAGCAGTTGTGCCCACTGACTTTGCGAAGAGAGGGAAGTTGAGAGCACGGTGTTCGTTCAGATCGCGGACACGCCCGTCGATTACGACACCGGCTGCGTTGAGGGCTTGCGCACGTAGAGTCATGAGACCGCCATATACAGCATTGACATGAGGTAGGGGCTGAGAGATGAAGACTACTGCGCCTTCGAGGATTTTGTCGATCTTGGCAGTCGTTAGTGCTGCTCACAGACTCTATTAGAAAATGGTGGGTGCATACATAGTTGCCTTGCACTTTCGGAGAAGAGATGTCTGACTTAGGGACAAACTTGACGGTCATTGCTTGGCCGACGATCTTGGTCTCCCCGGCTTGGAATTGTGGGGAGTACATGGTTAGGCCTTCAAGGAAGCCACCATTGGGATACTTCAGCTTGGATAGGCCATCGGCAACCTGGTAAAGGTTAGCTATTCCTACTTGGTCCAGGACACCGATATCGAAAAGATTCAAGTGTAACTAAGAATAGTTGCACTTTGCAGACTGTGTACTCACATCACAAGCATCCCATTGCTGCAGACGCGCGATGATATCTTTCGGATCGGACGACATTGTAACGTGCTGGATTGGTGGGCGATTCAACCAATTGATTCTTCCGATATAACTGAATATGGTCCTTGCAAAGCGGATGTGAGCAACGATTATTAGTCTTTACAGGTGCCTTCGATGTCGGATGATATCAATGAGATAACGGCACGGTTGCTGTGGGGAAGGACGGAATCCGGCCGACTCTCGGCTCGGCTATTTGCCGACGGCTTCGGATATCTCCCTGTTGTGCATTGAAGCTAACTAATGTACAATAGAAAGAGGAGCTGAGGGTAAAAGACCAAAAGAAAAATACCAACTGAGGGGTGCTAGACCTCTGGCGCTATTCACCTGACACTTTCAACTTAGTGTAATTGCACTCCAGTACTTCCTATATCGGAATATAGATTCAATGCTGAGCCACAGGCTCACTAGCTTAGATAAAGAGAAATATAAAGACCCAGAACGTACCATTATACGAAGAATATAGTGGATTTATATTCTCCGGCTTGCCTTCCCTAACCATAGAGTTTACAAGGGAACAATTGAATTACAGCCCACACAATTAGCCTTCTCTAACCGGTCATCACTTTCATTAACTTGTCTGAAGTCATTGAGAGCCCGGGCACCGTGATCATGGGCAGCTTAGCAAGCGAAGACAACAGCAGCTTCCCAAAGAAGCCTGTTCCATCAGGCGCATGGGACACCCATCACCATATCTTCGAGCCGGACCGTTTCCCCTTCGCAGAAGGTCGACACTTCACACCAGCCCGCGCCTCGCTCGAAGATTTACAGAAGTTCGCAGAGTCAATCGGAGTCGACCATGTCTGTATTGCCCATGGCCTCTCTTACGGGTTTGACTGCAAGTCACTTCTTTACTATTTGGAAGAATTTCATGACCAGGCACGAGGTATTTGTGTGTTAGACCTAGAAACGGTTTCAGATGAGCTCCTAGATGAATACCACGTGGCGGGAATACGCTCGGTCAGACCTGACTTTTTCCGGCACAAGGCCATGAACAACGTACAGGTTCAAGCGAAGTTAATCGAAGCCACAGCCAAACGACTAGCAGCCTAGGGCAGGCCAAGTTAGAGCATTCAAATCTAGCAGCCTCATCTTACGTTCTGGTCTCGTCTGCGAGACGTGGTGGACGGATGCCCGGTACCTGTTGTGGTGGACCATTTTGCCTTGATTGCTGGTAGTAGCTACCGAGTCAATGACTATGCCACCAATATCCAGGATGGTTCGTATCTGACAGAAGGAGAACGCATCGGTCTGGCAGCGCTTTGTGAGACACTCCGAAATGGCAATCTGTGGATAAAAATCTCTGCTCCTTACCGTTGTTCAAATCTGGTGCCAGGCTATGATGACCTCCGGTGGTTGGTGAGACGTTTTGTGGATGCTAACCCCAGGCGAGTGGTTTGGGGAAGCGATTGGCCCCACACCCAACGACACAAGGATAGGGTTGCTAAAGGTTCGACTAGTGAAGGAGGCCTTTCTTCAGGTTGACGATAAGCCCTGGATTGAGTCCTTGAGTCGGTGGATGTCAGAAGGTGAGTGGCAGCTTTGGTGGGTGGAGAACCCGGCTACGCTGTATGATTATCAAGAGTAATTATCTATGGTCAATGGAATCAGATATTTTGTGCTGGTTAACTGTATTCCATATGCCAGATTCAAACCAACACAGAATGAGACCCAACGCCGTATATCAGTAGACCGTAAAGGAGATCTCTATGTAGCTTTTTGTTGGTGCCATACACTGACAAAGGGGTGTTTGGATAAATATGGATTTGCTTATTCTACTGAGCTCTTCATCAAAATTAACTATGAACGCCCAAGGATTGCTCTGACCTCTACTGAAATAGCATCCGCCACCTGCTCTGTCGTAGAAAAGCCCCCTAGGTCTGAAGTTAAAGTCTTTCCCGTTTCAATCACTCGAGTAACCGCCTGTTGTATCGCCTCAGCTTCCCTCGCATACCCAGCATGAAACAGTAGCTCCGCCCCTGATAGAATCAACGCAATAGGATTAGCCACTCCTGTTCCCGCAATATCCGGTGCAGCCCCATGTGCAGCTTCAAAAGTCGAAGCACTATCGCCTATATTCGCACCGGGAGCCAGACCGAGTGAACCTGCCAGTCCAGCAGCCAGGTCCGAGAAAATATCACCATATTGATTTACCGTGACCACAACATCAAAGCGACCGGGATCACGAACAACAGAATAACAAGCGGCATCAATCATCATGTCATTAGACGGTACATCAGGATAAAGCCGAGCAACCTCCTGAAAAGTCCGGAGGAAAGGTCCGTCTGTTTCATGGAGGACATTTGCCTTGTGCAAACATGAGACCTTCTTTCGACCGTGCTTCCGTGCATATTCAAAGGCATATTGAGACACCTTCCACGATGCACTACGGGTTATCCGCTTGATTGCCTCGGCTGCTGCGCCATCCTCGAGTCTTTGTTCCCACCCGATATAGGTATCTTCGGTGATCTCGCGCATGATGACGAGGTCCATCTTCTCATGACGTCCAGAGATGCCAACATAGCCTCTAATGGGCCGTGGGTTCACGAATAAGTTCAGCTCCCGCCGGATGGCATTATTGATCGAGGGGTATGTCGCCACAGATCCGTCTATCTGCTTACAGCTGATACGGCCGTGAAGCTTTTCTGCTAGCAGTGGGGCTTTGATACAAAACTTCACTTCCTTTAAGCGTTGGATAACTTGAGGTGGCAAAGGGTGCCCATATAGTTTAACCGCCTCATCTGCAATAGGGATGAAGTCCCATTCTGGCTGGATGCCTGTTGCTTCAATAACGCGGATAGTGGCCGCTGTGATCTCGGGGCCGATTCCGTTTCCTTTGAGAACTCCGATTCGCATGATGGCCAGATAGCAATAGTAATAAACAACTTGTTGATGGAGCAGGATATACTTGCCAGAGGCGTATCATCATAAATTATTATAATACGATACAGTTGAAGGTAATTTGGGGTGAAAAACAAAACGGACTATTCGGCTCACCCGAGGTCTTCAATCGGGATCGGATAGATCCGAAGTCATGATGGAAACCTACTCGAAATGACCTCTGGTGCCATATAAAGCCCTTTTTTTTAAGAAATATTAACGTTATTCGTTGAACGAGAGCTTGGAGATCCAGGGCATAAGTGAGTTTTAGGTCTAATCACTCAATTCAAAGGCATATGAATGAATGCTGAGAAAACAGATACTCCGAGCTCTAGAAGTGAATATCTCATGGGAATGCTTTCGGCATGCCACACCTTGAATTTAAAAGTCTTTCATTCCACGGTGGGAGCGCTCAAGGAGACAACGGTAAAAACCCATCATTATTCTGAAGGTGAAGAGAAATTGGAAAAGGTAAGTTTGGTCGAGTCTCTGGAGAGTGAGCTGGTTAAAGAGCTTCGGGATGAGCGATGGCCAGTGCCACCAGACAAACTGAAAAGAGAGATTTAGACGTGCGCCATCATAGAGAACTTGTGATTCATCCTGCGGCACGCGGATGCCCTGAGCGATGTGAAAATGAGATAACGGTGAAGAAAGCATGCCTAAGCACGGATATAGAACTCTTTGGAGCTGTATTGTCGTTGATTTGCTTCAAAATGAACAACCATGTAACCCCTTAACTAGCGGGCCCAATTAATTGCAGCATGGGCCAGCAGATCCTTCTCTCGTATTAAACATTAAAATCCCTATTTTTTAGTCACAATGGAAAGAGCAGGTGGAGCTTTGACCGTGCATCCTAAACCTATCAAGGAATAGGGACTCTGGAGCCTTAGGCCCCCACCCGGTTGCCTGGCTTTTGCAGACCCATATTTAACTTGCTATTCGTGGCGAATACGAACCTAACCCGCACACCAATTTATCACAACTGCTTCAGTTCATGCCATAGAACCATTGCAGAAAATGGGTGGCTTTCACGTATACTGCGCGATATGTGGCTCAACCTTCTCTAGCAGGGGATTTATCTCAATTGATTCTGACAGTGAAATGGGTGATCATACCTATTCTGGAGAGGTTATCGGCGATAGTGATCTGGCATGGCTTGATGATCTCCGCGCACTGGGCCTTAATCCAGACGCTGTTGGAGACAGAAAGTTTGTTATCCGTTATTTCTCTGACCTGTCCTATTGTCCTAACAAGTTCAGGTCTTTTGTTACTGGCGATGGATACCATGACGATTCAGTGAGTTGTTATTGAATCTAAACCAACAGGAAGATGTTCTGATAGAGGCTACAGGGTGCTATTGATGCTGATGCAGGTGAAGGTTGTTTTTGATACACTATTACCCTTACCTTCCCATCTAACATAAAAGAAGATCCAAATGTTCCCACCGAGCCAGACCGTCGACCGCCGTATCGCTTCTACGCGTATATGTATGTCTTTTCCCCATAGAATGTCAGACCCTTGCTCAATTATCGCTTGCGGCCTTGCTGATCTTTCCTAGGGCCTGGAACGATGGGATGCAGGAACATATACCTGTTTTCCCGTTTCATAAGATCTGCTACGAGGATATCCTCCTGAGATGCTTCAAGGATGAAACACTAAATGGAGACGTCCTTTATTCCCTCTGTGGGGAACTAGTTAATGATTTCTCTCACAACGCACTGCTTTTGGATTATGGGGAGCCCACGCCCCCAGGTGAACAATACTGGGAATGCAGGAAGGGCGAAGAGGTAATTCCGCCATATCAGAAAGTGAACCCTATATTGACACGATCGTGCTATAGCTCCTAGTGACAAACCCAGTGAAAATCTCTCCGTTAACTAAATATCTGGATAAACTTCGAGACGTGGTTAATAATGAAATTGATACACCTCAGACCGAAACCGGCCCGGAGAGCGCCGACATATTCAACAACCTTCCCTGTGAACTGCGGCAGCAAATTTTCAGTCTCCTTCCCGTGGCGTCTGTGTTGGCTCTCAAAGCAGCGTCATGGTCGATGCATACGACCCAACTTCCAGAGAAAAGCTGGAAAGCAAGACTAGAATCTGACTTACCTTGGCTCTGGGAAGTTCATGATATCGATATGACTGGCTCGCAGAAGCTGGAAGCTAAGCTTTCCAAGATAATTGCTAAGCTTGAAGAGAAGAGTCAGTATAGGCATGGCAAAGTCAACTATATCCCCGGACTTGCAAATCGAAAGAGGATTTGGATGGTTTGTGAGGACATTAAAACCCTGTATCATGAAAACTTAGCTGAAATGGCCAAAAGTGAGAAATCAGAAGCTTGAACCGGAAAACTAAAGATGGAAGAGGACTTTTAGTTTAAATCAAGAAGACAATTGAACCTCAATCAACGATGTTCCTCAAATCTCGATGGCGTCTCTGGGTACGTGAATAGAGAGTGAAAGCCTGCTACGGGTACAATAAACAGCCATATTAACAGACCCCAAAGGCCGACCACGTTCAATAGCTGTCGGCAATAGAATATACCCTTGCACTTGTAAATAATGACATGACAAATAATATATGCAGACACCGTGCAATTTAAAGGAAAATAAGACTATGATGTCAGATTCTGCACGGTCATTGCGGACAAACATATCGCCATTCGACAGCCGCAGCTTTGGGCTGTGTTGGTTGACTCCTCGTCGCATGTTGAGCTGGATGATTTCTATGTCAATGCGACTAATTCAGGCCCTGATGCCACCGAGGATACGGTTTGGATTTAGAATACGGATGGGATTGATACGTACAGATCTGATCATGTTACGATCACGAACTGGGTGTATGAGGGTGGTGATGATGCGGTGGCATACAAACCGAATTCCACTAATATTCACGTTGAGAATGTGATGGTATATGGTGGACCTGGCATTTCATTTAGTTCGTTGGGACAGTATCCCAACAGGTATGATATGGTCGAGATTATAACTGTGAAGAATGTGGATGTGAGTCGGAGATTCAACATCTTTCAAAATGCAAGCACTAAAATAAGCAGTTCCAACGGTCCTTCCAAAGACCGGTGAACTCGGGAATATACTTCAAGGGCTGGCAAGTTCCCCCTTCCTCTGCATATATGCATTGGCCAACTAATAATATCCAGGATCGGTGTCAACTTTGGTGTCCCTCCGAATGGAGGTGGAAATGGTCATGGCTATGTGCGCAATGTGACTGTCGAGCATATCACATTCAAGAATGTACAGCTACCGATATACATTGATACATGGTAAACAATGGCCGATCGATTGAGAAATGCAGCTAACAGAAACCAGCTTGAGCTACCTATTCGACCAAAATGTTACCCAGTACTGCGATACGTCCACGTTTCGATTCGATGACCTACATTTTAAGAATATCAGCGGCAATGGACTTGCTACTCCTACTGACTACACGGGTAGGAATGTAACATTCGCAGTATCTATGATCTGTTCCAAGGAGGTGCCATGTACCGATATCACTTTCGAAGATGTGGATATCAAACTACCTGGGTCGTATAGCGGAAAGAGTGTTCTATGTGACGACGCTGATGTGCAAGGCCTTAAATGCAACTAGTGATCATCTATCTTTTGGAAGACTAGGGACACGCAGGATGAAAGATTCAATAAGATACAAGCGAGACTCATGTGAACAAGTGACCATGTTGGTCTTCCAAGGGATCCATGTTACATAACACAATAGGCAGATATGCGATTCGCCTTGCATCGTTGTAAAAGAAAATGTCATGGCCGACGACAATACTAGCTAAATACTCTCAAGTACCGATCCGATTTGATAAGTCAGACCTTAATACATCAATGCCAGTTGCCAATTTTAACCCCAGCATCAATATCCCGCCTCCTAGCTTGGCATGACATACCACTAACGAACATTATTGGCTCTGAGCACCTTCCTAGTTGAAGCTCCTATCAATGCTGCAGAGGGAAAATAAAGAGCCAATGAATTGTTCTAATCTTTATGGAACGCCGACAACGTTGTCAAACGGGCTCGTATTTAGGTGGCAACGGCCGAGCACCGAACCAAGGATTCACCCACCTTGCTCCGACGACCTAATCGGATTGATACGCGGTCTTCCTTGTAAAGCATGGGTACCTAAGATCTCAACCAGCGGTTTCATAGGTCCTGCAGCCAAGGTCGAAGATTACGGGGAGCCAGAGGTGGCAGTGATTTCTTGTGGGAGGATCCAAGATCGAATCCAGTGGTAAAACTGTCACAATGATGCGGTGCCCTTCGTATTCGCTAGTCATCTGCAATCCCTTGCCCAATCATTATCGCACAGACTGAGACAGGAGGAGTACATGGATATTTTGCTAGAGGTATAAGAGTACCGTGCGGTCGCGGGTGGATTCAGCGTCCAAAACAAACTACCAGAATCGACAGAACACATTCGGCACAATGTATATCTCCAAAAAGCTCTCTCTCCTTTCTATCCCCTTCGTCCTTGGGGGTGTAGCAGCAGCTGGTGGTTGTGGCGATGCTGATGCCTGCATTGGAACCGAGTATTGCACAACGGCCACCTTCACGACTCCAACGGCGACGACGATAACAACTTGTGTTCCCACACCGACCTGCTTAGGCGTCTATGGTAAGTGGCATCATCTATCGAACATGGGCCTGTTAGATTGACCATGTCAAGCGGACTGTGTGTCTGGTGGTGGAGGCCCAGTATGCTGCTCCACTTATTGTGCAGCTACAAAATGCCGTCCGACTGATCCGAAATGGCCTGGCTGCTCCGAAGACCTGGGTGTTTGCCTAGCTGATGAGAACTGCTGTTATAACAATAAGTGTGTCGATGGTCTTTGCCGCAGGGTTAAAAAAGAAAAAAGGACAGTAATGTTTTGAACCAACGATGGTCAGGGTTGAGAAAGAATGATGATTTGTCATGCATGTTCTAGTTATGTGATCTGGTTGTCTCGAACTCTACATATTTGTAGTTATGGAAAGCCCAGGTGGTTTACATTATGATTGTTCAGTGGTAAGGAAAAGTAGTCAAGTGAATACCTTCATTTTTTTCTCTCCTAATCGACTTTAATGCTATCATCCATCGTTTATTGACTCTTCGGGTTTCCAATACACCTTGCAAGAAATACTCTTTATATTTGTATCCCACATTGGTGGCCACAACTACGTTCGTCTAACAGTTGAGGTTGACGGCTATCATCGGGAGTTAGTATATGCCTTTGCACAGAAGGTGAGTAAGCAGAGTACGTACCATTAGCAAACAGGGCATAGGTGTCTGCATTCAACAGAGCCTGACTGGCACTCAAGGCGGTGGCAGCGGAGTATCCATAGCCAAGGTCGTCGGTGCCTGGGCTGTACACACCCGGGGCATGAGTGAACTCATGGAGGGTGGTAGTGGCCTGGTCCTGAGCGTGGCAGGTGCTAGTCAAGGCCGGAAGGTAGGAATAGTAGAGGTCGCAGTTGGCGATGATGTTATAAGCCGGAAGGGTGTATGCAAGCACATTGGAGCTGCAGTATCCATATACGTCACTGCAGTAGTATGTGGTACTTCCGGAAGCGGTCGACGCTGCTTCATTAGCAACGGCGCTCAGGCGAGCAGCAACCGTGCTACGGGTGGAGCTGGACGTCGTCTTGAAGTACTCCTGGAAACGGGAGGAAGATCCTGACTGCGCAGCGGTGGCAGCTGCACGTGCCAGGGAGACTGTGTTTCTCAGAGCAGTCTGGAGGGCTGACAATCTGCTGCCAGAGCAGGAGGTGACCTTGGTACGACGGCCCAGAATCTTGACTGCCTGGGAGACAGCGGCGGCCTCAGCCGCATCGACATCAATGGAGAGCTCATTCGAGGTGAATGGAATGTATCCAGTGACCTTGTTCTCAGTGGTGATAGGCACCAGACCGTTGCTGTTGATGGTGATAGTACCTCCCTCGGACAGATCACTAGTGCTTGCGATATCGAACTCGTCCTCAATAGTGGCACCAGGGGCAAGGGTTGTCAGGGCGTCGTCGGACAGGCCTTCAGTGATCAGACGTTGTTTGATACCCTGAAACTGAACCTCGGTTGCTGGCCAATGTCAGTATATGCTTGAAAGATTAAGTTCTCGAAGCATACCATTGCGGAACAGAGACACCTTCTGCACCGGGGCGGCATCCTTGAAGAAGTTTAGGTGCACAAAGGTGACATCCTCGCTGCCAGTATTTTTGACGACAGCCTTGATCCGGGTATTGCCCACCTGGCTAAGAGTCACGTCAAGTCCAGGGGCGCTGCCAGGAACTTCCACAGGAACGGCATTGAGAGTAGGTGCCAGAGCCAGAAGAAGAGAGGAGGCAGGAAGGAAACGCATCTTGGAGATTGAAGGACTTGAGGTACTGCAAAGGGCTGCTGAGCTTGAATGACCTGTTTGTGATGGAGTAAACGCTGGCCATCACAGCCCCTTTTATAGATGAGAGTTACACTCCGTACGACGTTGAATTGCATTTCAGTCACCCCTCATTTTCTCGCCCTGATGCTGCAGTACCATGGGCTACGGAGATAGTTACTCTGTGACTGACACTGTTGGCATCTTCGGAGGGCATGGCTCCATCGTGTTCACGCACGGGAAATTGAAGCAAGAATTGATTGATGCTATCCATTGGCTATGATCGAAGACGCTGTGATGAAGCGATCTATTCGACAGTGGTCTATAACGGAGAGCATCCTTGGCCCGGCGGAGAACCGCTGCAGGCTATATAGATTTAGGAAGGTCCATCTTGGGGTTAATCACGCCTGGTGCAATCGGGGAGCGAAGCCAAGATGTGGCTTGATGGTGTTTCATCAGGCACTTGATAAGAAAGCCTTAATCCCGTCGCATCTCCCGGCTTCCGTTCTTGGCGAGAGTCTAAGACTTTCTTGGCGCATCAAGAAGTCGCTGTAATCTTCGGACTTCTTATCAGAAGGACGTGGTGGCAGTGTAGAAGCTGACTATTCAGGAGAAGCTGTAGTCGTCGAGATTAGATTTTAGAGTTAATAGATTTGACACACAGATACAGGCTTTGTATATACTGAGCATTAATATACGTTTTAAGTTGTTTAAATCCGAAATGAGGAACCACTTACATCCATTTTCCAAGAGTCAGCAGATTGCAAGATGGTGTCATATCAACTAGTGCTCGGGCCCGGCACTATAATGCTTAGTCGCAGTCCAGAAAATGCCGAGTGGTCTTAGGGCAATTTAAAACCCTTGAAGAATGTAACCTAAGACTTGGAAAGCCTCGGCATTTTAAGATTAGTGGTAATTTCCGTCAATCAAAGCCTTTTGATCCCCTAATATGTGGATTGTGGGGAATATCATTCCCTGTTGACCAGTATCACACGATGCAGGGTTATCATTACCATTGGCCAGCTAATATGTTGAATGCCGAATATTAAAAAGCCGTAGTTCATCGGTGCATTCCGGATTATCCCTTATCAGGCAGCTGTGAATCTAGAACAGAGTAGGTGGTTACATATCCCTCCATGCCACAACTTCCGCAACATAGTCTCTCTTCGAAAGCACCTCCAATAATTGCTTTCACACTCTTTGCATAGCCGGTTGAACAGCAGAAATGAGTGTTTCCCCTTCTCTACAAGTTACCATCACTCCCCCCATTATTCCAGCCTTCTCCGAGCCGCCGACAGTGCCTATACAAGTGTCTGTGCACAATCCCTCCGACACGCCGATCACAGTGCTCAACTGGGGTACCCCGCTGGACCCTAGCGCTAATGTTCTGGGTATCTTCGACCTCCGTGATACAACCGAAAATCAGCCGGTGACCCTGCCAACCATCAAAGTATCCCGTCGGATGCCACCCTCGGTCGATGATCTGGTAGAAATCCCCGCGGGCAGTTCGGTCGAGAAGGAGGTTACACTGCCTCACGTTCCACTCACCATGGGGCACGAGTATTCCGTCCAGGCTAAGGGAAACTGGCATTCGGTGTGGGAGAGTCCTCGCGAAGGCGTTACTGCGGAGAAGCTGGAGCACCTTGGAGATGCCCAACGGGGCGAGTTCACATCGAATGTTGTTGCCCTACGCATTGAATGAGAGGGATGATATTGTAAATTTTCTCCAAGGTTAAATTCAATAGTCATATTGCTTTCGTTCCCTGTTCGGACATGTGCGTACTCAGACGCGATCTATGAACCTTTGACATTGCGAGATACCGTGCTTTCCTAGAGACAACAGTAAGTCCACTAGCTAGTCGGTCTGGTAGTACCTTATTGGCCTGGTGATCTATACGAAACACCTAGAGCAAATCTGGCCTCCAATGAGATAATAAGAACTATTCATCTTTCATTATTATTTTACAATATGGATTAGTGTTCTGTATTTTAATATTTTTAAACTCAGTCTCTTTATATTTATACATAAAGGGGATATAACTCGAACTTATCTTATCTTCAACAGATAACGTAGATTATTTATATATCATTCATATAAAGAGATAGTATGAAAGCCTGGTGTCATATTACAGGATATTATAAAATCTGAAGGAGGGTGCTATAGGACCAGTTGGGATATACATTTCAAGTATATCAGTTCTATGACAGGATATACGGTAACCCCAACTGAATGGTATCAAGTAAGTTCTGAAAGGGCATCATGACTAGGGTCAAAATATGTCTAGGGTCCTTGGCCAGCTGTGGAAGGTGAGGCACGCAAACTCCATCATGAGAAACAACTTAAGTTTCTTAGGTAGGATTGTACAGGTTGTTGGGACCAGCGATTCTGGACTGGGTGGTAGGTAAGGCTATCAGATAATTGTTTGAAAATATAGGATGGCAAAGAATACCATACTTCTTTATAGAGCAAGAGAAAGACATGTGGCAGAAATCAGGAGCATAGGAGACTGTTTGTGGCTCGGGGGGATCTTTTGTTATTAGCTAGTGTACGAAGCGTTATGTAGGGAGCTGCCAGCTGTAGAACAAGGGCTTGATATTAGACCACGCACATCTCTATTTGCCTTGGCAATCTTGGTAGTGTACTATGAACTTTTGGTCTCTAGCAGTCAAGAGAGTGGGAGCCCCAGCGGTGGATGGACTGTATGCCATCCATCGTGTCCCCATACAACCTCATCTGGTTGAGCTATTGAATATTCTCGGATAGGATTTATGAATATATCATGGTTTATTGATGCTCTCTTCGTATTTTATTGATATGTGTACTTCGATGACTTGTTATAGTTATGAGCGATATAACTAATTACCTCATTAAAAAGCGCCGAACAATTTCATTCAAACAAGGCTTGCACCTTTAATGGCGACATACTAACAAAGTACGAACTACTACCATCCCAGTATATACATCAGTGTCTGGATCTGGTGTCACTAGGATTAATATCTTGTTTCTGGCCCACTAGGAAAGCAGTGGGGTCAGTTGTGCGGCATACCCCTTTCGCAGTACACAATCATTTGCTATGGTCATTGTCATTTGATGCCAAATTTCTCTTCTAAAAATTGCATAACCTGCTCATTTCCACTTTGTAACCACGTACCAAGATTATAGACTTTCAGCCCTGCCAACGAGCTGGCCCTTGACAAAGCAACATATATCTGGCCCTCCTCAAAGCATTTGCTGAGATCTACAATCACACTATTCAAGGTCATTCCCTGACTCTTATGAATCGACATGGCCCACGCCGGTAGTAACGGAATCTGAGTCCGTGATAGTAAGCTCCAGGGCTTTTTGTTGCCTATTGCATGGACAATACAATCAGCGGTGATAGTCCGCTCAATGCCGTTATTGAACAAAACAACTGGCCATTCCCTAGCTGCTTCTTGCATAAAAGCAGCGATATTCTTTTCCCGGTGCAAGATATAATTACCCTCCAAGGAGGGGACCGTAATGTTCTGTGCAGCAGCATTGCAATCTTGCCTCGTCATGTTGGATGGATCGGACTTTTGAGAAAACTTCTCCCAGTCCACGACCTTTCCTTGAGTTCCATTGACGAGACCCCGCTTGACGCTGAGGTTGACCAGGAGAACAACCTGCATGCCCTCCTTAATCTCAGTGGTAGATTCGAATCTGTGATCCCGCAATTCGTGCAAGGACCCGTCTGGGGCACGAGTGTTGAATTTCTTGATTGTATGATGATCGCACTCTGTGCTGGGTTCGAATATATCACGGGAGCGAAATGTCCTTTTCTCCGTTGGTAATCGACTGAACTCAGCCTGATTAATACGACGTACCTCTTCTCGCGTCGGAAAAAGCCTGACGGCGGATTTGAAATCGGTCTTATGATTGAGTAATATATCTTTATTCTTTTCACTCAATGTTTTACCCAGTCGAATCTTCTCCAAAATGTCGATGAAGTTTCTATCCTGCTGTCTGTGGATCATTTTCAAGTAGACATATGCAAAATTGCAGCGCCTCCAGACGCTGCTCCGGAAAGCCCACTTGTCTTCATCCGAACATTCTCCATGTTCGAGACATTTGTGGATAGAACCCGCTAGGATTTTGATCATCTCTCGGCCACATTGCAGACAGTATGTAAATGGTTTAACGGGTGGCAGTTGGCAAAAGTCGCCTGTAACAATAAGTTGGACCCCACCGAATGGTTTATCCGAGTGTCTTACCTCCTGCATGATCGCATTTAGACGCTCGAAATGGTGGTTCTCAACCATGCTTATTTCATCGAATACTAAAACATCTGTGTGCAAAAGTCTCTCCTTAGTCTTTTTCATATGTGCATCTCTTTTGAGTGTTTCCAGTGGCTCTTTCATATCGATAGGTGTCCAGCCCGCATAGGTCCAAAACGTGCATCCGTCGATTTCCAATGCTGCTCTTCCGGTAGAGGCAGTGGTATCTACATGTTTCCCGCTTTCTCTGAGCCTTCTGATACACTCTTTGAGAGCTGTACTCTTCCCGGATCCAGCAGCTCCGGTGTAGAATACATTGCGGCCAGTTAGGACGAGATCAACCAAGGCACGCTGTTCCTCATTCAACTCAAGATCCGGGACTTTTGTTTCTTCTTTCGTCGGAACATCGGAACTAGTGGCAAGCATTTCTTTTCGTGCTCGCTTCATGCGTCGATTCAGGTTTCTTTTTTGGCGGCGACGCCTGGATCTGCGATTTCGCTTCGCTTTGGCGACATGGCCTCCTTGGTTTGGTGATCGAGCATGAAACGAACTTTTGTCAACTCCTTTATTTTTTCTTTTACCCATATTAGGCAATGATAGGACTGCGATGAGTTCGGACAGTCGATTGGCAGAAAGTGGTTTCAAATCAATACACGCATGCCTCCCTTCCATCCAACTTCACGGAATAAATGTTAATCCGCTGTCATCAGCAGACCGCATGCAGAACAAGTGTTTATCAAAATTCAGAATTAATATAGGTGGCAGTTAATGATCTTGTTTGCTTCAATAATCATTGTAAGAACTTGTTTATTCCCTGTCCCACTTCTTACCATCTCCTCAACTTCTCGGAATCCATAGTGCCATCTCACGTATGTTGAAACTCAGTAGTCCTGGCGAGTATATAGAGGCAATTCTTCAAGACTCGGAACAGGTGACGGTGAACGCAGATAGGTCAACCATGGGGTGACAGCTCGTGAATAATGACCGAGACGTAAGTGTTCCAATTTTGCCCTACTTATTCGACCGTTTGTTGGATGAGAGGCGCATGGTGTTGATTAAAAATTGGATTATACTCCTCAGGGCTAGCTTTGACGTATTCATGCTGTTTTCTACTCCCTACATACGACAATACTAACGCTATTCATGCCAGTGGACTTTGAGATTTCATTATACTAACATTCTATTCCAAGACACATGTGGGCGGTCCGGAGGACGCGAGAGAATCATCCTCCTGGCTCCTCAGGAAGGTTTGAGGGAACTAAAAGAGGACTCCACTGATAGTAAGCAGCGGATGAGACCTCCCAGCTTCAGCGTTACCAGAGTGGCCCGCCAGGATAACCGAAAGCACTGGCTCATTCATTAAATCAAATTAATCTACACCCTTAGCTCACTTCATTGTTTGAAGCACAATCGTCCGGTGAATTTTTGCTTCCCTTGGATCTACTAAGAAGGAGCGGCGATCATAATGCAGCTGATGAGCAGATCAATAGCGCAAACATGCTAACGTCCCTCAGTTCCTTTATACACGAGATTAGCTTCCTTTGCATTGCCACGTAGTATGACGCTTACCTTGGAGCAACGCAGAGCCTCCAGCTCGTGACATATCAAGTGCTTTCATGCAGTTATTCCGGCAGGGTTAATACTACATGCTGCCTGCGATAGACCGGAAAAATGAGCACGCGTCTATTTCTGGCTATAGCTATATTCGGATGGTAAACCTACCTTCCCACAAGAATAGACAAAATATAGAGAACAAATATGACACCAATGAGACAATAACCACTGTGTCTTTCCTTACTACTCTATGATATGAGATTGAATCGCATGTTTTGATAATCTTACCTTGGTCTGTTTATGTTAATATATGAAGTGAATGTGAGCCGAAGTCGTCTCATTTCCACAGATAACGCAAACTATTCACACATTATTGAAATTAAAAGATAGTATAGAAGGCTGGTGTCATAACACAGAAATGAATTATATCCAACCTAAAAGGGAGTTTCATAGGACAAACTCAAATATACGTTTCAGGTACGTCAGTCCCATGACAGGATATGCGACAGCTTCAACCGAGCCGTACAAAGTGAAGATTTGAAAGGGCACCATGGCTAAAGTGAATGTAAGGCCCTCGGCCAACACCAACACTACAATTAGTCATCGTCAGTATTTTGTTGTGTTTATGAATTTCCTGTTCGTATTGACAGAGTCAGCGTACTTCTCAGCTTTCCTTCCACTCTACACCATTGAAGCTGTGGTCTGATAAAATAATGAGACTTTTCGAGCCTCCAAGTCCAATAGAACACCTATTTGTCCAAGACCCATGGGTAAAGGACAATCTTTCACAGCAAAGAAAGTGATTTTCTTGTCCTTCTAGCGTTATCCCCTGTACACATGGCTTCCTTCGTCTACAAGAAAGACTCAAGTTGCGACGGAGATCTTCCGAGCTGCTGCATATGCGGTATTGGCTTCTATTCAGAAGAGACATATTGGGCTAAAGCAAGTAAAGCAATTCTCCACCGACAGGGCAGACTATACACAATACGTAAGTTACTAGAGATATCTTTCCTTGAAGACTTGGAGTGGCACTGCTTCTATCGCATCAGTGAGTCATGATACATGTTCATTAAGCACATTAACGTCACTTCAACTGACAGTAATGATAGTCCTCCACAATACTCGCAATGACACATTTCGTGTCTCTGGGGTGGCACTTAACATGGCCGTTAATTGTAGACCAGTGCCTGAAGCAGTACCGTGGGATGAAAGTATGGGTGTTATTGGGTACCCCGAAAATGAGAGGGACCGCCTGGTACTGGCTATAGGGCTTTATGAGGATGAATACACGAGTTCTCACGGTCTTGTCGGCCATCATGTCCACAACAGTTGTTGGGAGTTACTAACACACCATACGATTGGGGAAACTGCGCGCAATTTGGCCCTAGTTTCCAGGAATCCAAACCTGTTTGCTGATGCTTGTGATTGCAACGATGGAATTAACACTATGGCTGGTATGTATTTCCTAGGTTCACAATTCGATTTATCCCAGCAGCGCTGACACGAATTTCGTTATGCAACCAGATCCTGCCAATGACAAACGCATTCAGTCTCTGATCAAACAAGCTCAGATCAGAACACGCGCGCGGATTTACATAACACGCCGTGATAACAGTCAACAAAACCGCTTGTGCTACTTTCCGGTGGAGATACTGTGGCTAGTTATGGATTGCCTTCCCCCCGACGACGTTGAGAACGCGCAGATCGCCATGAAGTACTACCTTGGTGATGCGTACTGGCGCATACGCGCCCCAATAAAACTATTCCACGAAGTGAGAAGTGTCAGGGATGAAACACTGGACTGGCAATTTCTCTGCAAAGAACTCGCAAGGCTTTCGCAGACACCGGACCTAGCCTTTCGACAATATATTATTGACCGCTTGGATGGGTTACAGGCAGGTTTTGGGCAGGCAACAAACGAGTAACGTGTGGAGGGGAGCATGATGATGGTCTGGTGGAAGCGAAGTGAGAGGCGTGAAGGAAATTAGTTTCGGCACGTGAATCTAGCACAGCAGCACTGTTGCCCTCAGCTTCTAACAGCTGCACTAGGCATGGGCATAAATAACTTTGGTCAGACACAAGCTGCTTTGCTTTAAGTTGCTTTGGATATTAAGACGATATCAAATAAGCGCTACCCGCGCCACATATATGACCCTCAATGTTCTGTCCGATGCATGACTGTCCAGCATCGCAGCCAATCTAGGCGATGGTTCCATGGTGACATATCTGATCGCCCGAGACAGGATATTCGCGATCGACCGGCCGAAACGTCATAAAAAGCACGCAGTGTTCACAGTTAAGAGCTGCGAGACGCGGTCCTACTGACATGGTACGGGTTGGGAAAAGAGACAGCGCGATAGTTGACATTATATTTGGACCTCCCTTCAAAAGGCGATGGGGGGAAAAAAATAAAATATATATATATATATATAAAATAAAATAAAATAAAATAAAATAAAATAAAATAAAAAGAAAGAAAGAAAGAGAAAGAGATGGCGTGTTTGCAGGACAACCTTGATCAGGTAAAGATGTCGGACGAAATAAAAACAAAAAGATATCGTCAGCGACAGGATTTGAACCTGTGCGGGCGAACCCAATAGATTTCTAGTCTATCGCCTTAACCACTCGGCCACACTGACTAATTGATGTTAATATTGTAATTTAAATAATAGATCACAACAACAGAGCATTTCTAGTTTTTTTTTCCAAAGCCAGGCTTTGCGCTTATTTAAATGTTTGGGAAAAGATTATGTCCAACACCACATTCTCTTCTCATTTATCTCTGCCTCATATACTGTGTAAGAGGCTTTCCACCTACATAGTGTAAATCCCCTTAGGGTGTGCTTCAAACGCCGTTCCTTTCAGTTCAACCACGTGTCCACAAAAAAATATATATATGCACCATAACAATTCAAATCTAGGGATACATACAGGACTGGGATACACTCCTTAGAATCATCGCTTGACAAATACCATGGACTTCTTTGCAAGGGCAAACCTATCCTAGAATTGATATTTCGTAGATCATGATAAACACGCGTGATCTTTAACAGGATTCGACGCACAATGTAATCATCAGGGGGGATCAGGGCTCCACATGGAAGGAAACTACCTTTAACTGTACCAATCGATCGATCGAATATGACGGGGACCATCTATTCTCCGCAAAGGGCTATGACGTTGTGGCATTCTACGTAGCCTGCTGATGCAGTCGATGCAACGCCAGATGCGCGTCCGTGATACTAGTACGCTCAACTATTATCCGGGATGTGATATCCAGTTAGATTCAGTGTTTTCGAGCTCGGTAGTGTCTCACCTTGGTGACATCAGAAGCATATGAAGGCCATGCATGTCGCCACTGGGAGTATGATATAAACAAATGAGGTAAACCCAGCCCTATAGCATCCGGAGGAGCCATCAATGAAAATCTTCAGAATCCAAAGCTTGTGTCCACCTTCAATCAAAGTAAACCCAAGATGAGCGACCGCACGAACGAGACTTATTCCTCCTCTTCTTCAGATGATCTGATCCATGGTACCGATAGCCCCATCTGCACTGCCGGTGATAGAACATACGATACCTACGATGCCGACGCAACGACCAACTATGGCGTCCGAGCAGCTAAACGCCTCGGTACGAAAAAGGAAAAGGCGACTGACGTGAGTATCCACGAATACGAAGCCCCTAGTGGCGCCCGAATCAAGAGGACCAATTTTAAGAACGGGCGTGGGCGGACAACCTACAACCCCAGCACGGGAGCATACGATGAGTTGTTAGACTATAGTACGGACGATGCGGACCACCACCATCGCGAGAAACTTAACGCAGACGGTGTCTATGAGCTACGGGATGTCAATTTGCGGAAAGATGGGACGAGGCATGTTCATCGCGAATACAACAATCCGATTACGGGGATCACGACTTCTGTACAGGGAACCATGAGCGACCGTGCTTTTGAACTGGATTTTTAGCGTTTGCTGTGTTTTATCTCGTCCCTCTGTAACTGTTAGGTGCGGACATGAGAGATATAGTAATTTATATCTTATACCAATTCTGCATGTACACAATACAGAAAACAAAACACGAGACCCAGGCTACCTTAAGGAAATAATCTCACCTTCGTTGTCATATAATTATACTCTTAATAGGGACATATCGAAAATGGGAAAAGCTCTGGAAAGGTGAAGAAAAGCTTTAAAAGCCAAGTATTTTAGAGTTGATGACGACCAAGCCACACGATGAGCAACACGTAGTTTCGGGAACAGCTAACCGAATTTGAATAGAGACAAAAGAGGAGCCGGAATTAGAACCGGGCTCTGCTATTCGAAAAGGGGGATACACATTCCTGGAGTCGCTGCCGGAATGCAGAGGAAGTATGTGTTGATATTTCCTTTTGGATAAATCGTCTGGTTCTATTGTCCGCCTTGTCCGCCTTGTCCGCCATATCAAAATACCCTGAACTAATTACAATAATACCGAGAATCTATATTGTGAGTGAATTGCTCATAACTCAAATTCACGGTTTACATCTAACATGTTAGAGCTCTCCCGCCATTTTCCGCCCATGAGCACGGCAATTTATAAACCGACTAATATGACCATTCTCAATGGCCTATGAATGGCGTTCGAAGGAACATCTCGCAATGCCTTGATAAAGAGATCTATGCATATGGAATGATATGGACAGTATCTATGGTCAAAAGAAATGGTACCAACCACGATAAAATTGGGAGACATGAACGCCGATTATAATTGCTAAGACGCGTAACGCTTGTATTTGTTGTTTGTTGTACACTAATAACACCCCGGATACTGTGTTTCTTTCCAAGTTTTTTCCATCCCCATGGCCCTGTAATGTGCTTAGGACATTTGGAATGGGCCGCGCGATTCGCACCAAACGCTGTCAATGACGGGAATAGTTACTGAGGATTCGTGTCTGCCGGGGGCAAGAAGGACTTGTCGATGAGTACAATCGGGACCCCTGAGATTGATTAGGATATGCTCTTTATAGCTCGCAGTCGAGCACTTACATGAAGACTCGGCATTGTTCGGAAACGTAGACGGCTGTAACGTCTCTAATGCATTGTTATTTCCTGTGTTCTTAACCCTATTCAGTCAGACTTACTCTGCGTGGACATCAAAACATTGTTTTAGTGGGATGTTCTCGACGTGAAAAGTTGAATCAGCCGTCTCAAAGCCGACCTACACAACACATAATTAGTAAAGATCCTTTGTTGACGGTGATTGGTCGCATACAGTGGCTGTTCCTGTTGCTGCACTGCCTGTAGCCATGGCCAAGGCCAAACCCAGGAAAGAGATATGCTGGAGTCCGTACATTGTGGGTGGATGAGAATTGAGAGAAATCCGTCAGAGCTTGGTGTAAGTGGCAAGTTTCTCTCAATGAGTGACAGGCGGTTTTCACTTGTCGCGTTCTTAAGGTGGTATCCCTTGCTAAGAATGGCCAGTTGTTGTTTTGGACGTTAGGGCATCCCTTGCGTTCATGAAGGGAACACCAACCACATTCCAGTGCGCCACCTGCTCGACAGATCACCACCTCTTTCATACAATTCATTGGAGAACTGCTTCATTTACTTCCGAAGGGCTGAATTACAAAACGTTGAATGATATTGAAGGTTTCGGGGTAGGTTTATGCTGTTATTATTTGAGGTGGGTTTATAGTTTTTACGAGTACCTCGTCGCGATAAGAGAGTCAAGTAGGGAAAGTGTATCCCTTGAAGCTTATTGACATGTGCATGATTGAGAACGGACATAGGAGGGCTATGTTCTGATGATAAACGAAAGAAGCCTTTCCCTATTATTCATCCCCCTTGAAATAACTCTGTCTCCATGTCAAGGGGTAAAATGAGGCCCAGCTGTTGCTCAATGCCAGGAACGATATTCTGCATGAGCCTATTTCGCTCCGAAAGTTCAACCTTCTCCAATGTCATTTGATGATTTCTATCTAGATGAGAGCCATTGAGGCGTGTAATTGTATCCTCGGCTTTGGCAGGGTCTAGAAATCGTGTAATAGCAGACCTTTGTAGACGTGAGTCCAGTACGCTCTATGTCATCTTGTACACAACATACCCGATAGTTCTCTGGTGTGAGTCTACTGGCATGTACACCTTTCGGGTGTCTGTCGGACCAGGACTGTCTAATTTCCTGAGGAGAAATTTGATAAGCGTAGGTCGGTGGGCTTGGTCGACCACCGGTAAACCATCCAGTACAAGCAGAGTACCGATTTCCGGTAGAGGCTGGCCTTCGTGATCTGCCATCAGGATCTGTGCTGAGATCTTGGTGGAAATTAAGTCGTGGAGCTGTGCATCTCATATTCTACGCAGCATGTAAGCGTAAGCTGACGCTATTGGCTCTTGAAGGTGGGGTAATAGCCGAGCTACTGATGCGATACGCATATAGAAGTAAAGATCCGAGGCAAGATAGATTACAACAGGATCATATCCCATCCGCAGGCGATGCGCTACTTCGCCGAATTAATGCACCAGACAGGATTGCCCAGTCAGCTTAGGGACGTTGAACAAACCGGTCACTATATAAGGGGGACAGATGTGGAAGACGATGCGTAAGCAGTTACACCAGAGAGGACTTCGTCAGATCCTCTCAGTACACGCACCAATACCTACCTACCAGGAGACACTAGAAGGGGCCGGGGTCGCAGGATGGTGAGGATTTAGGAAGACGGGATTCAGGGGGACTGCTAGGTGGCAGGCGGCCTTAGTGTGATTAAAAGCTTTCGATTACTCCCTTTGTGGGCATATGTCGTTTTACGGTCGGATTCTAGCCTCCTTTGACGCACCTGCATAGCTAGACGATCAGTAGTTAGGCTCGAACAAGTTAATAGAATCTTGATTGATTGATTGCTTAATTGCATATAGAAGTCAAAGAGCGTATTAGTATGGGTTCTATGGCTCTTTGAAAAGAAAACAATATTTCTCAGTGGCTCTATTTGGCTCGTCGCATGTTTTATGAGGAAAAGCCCGAGAGGTCGACGGGGGTCGCTGGAGATAAGTTTACTAGTGCTGTCATTGAGAAGTGTTCGGATGGAGTGCCTTAGATCCTGGGTGGATACGACGGAGAGTAAATCACTACAGAAATCGGAGCCGTTTACAGTCTATAGATAGAATGTGCGGGGCGTGTAGAGGCAAAAGCGTACTGGGGAGTTCTATAATCTATACATTATCGACCGTAAGATACCATACTATCTGTTCTTTCCTATATACCCTGTTAAGACCTGGATAGAAGTATAGCCCTGTCTCATGAACATGACCAGCTCCATCTACTAGACATAAGCGACGGTGATATTGCAATCCTCCTGCCTCCTGTTTTAGTAGTTGGAGCTGTCAATAGTACCCCAGAGCTATTCGGCTTTTCCGGGGCTGTTAGTCAAAGTCGGATGTAATTAGTTAAAGGGTTTCCACAGTGCTGATAGGGAAGCGAAAGACTGCTAGGCGATCCTATGAGTGATTAGCCAACGCCAAGGACATAGTCTAGACCAGCAGCGTTGGTCGGCAATTGGAGAAGAATGGGAGGTACCGGCCATTTAATCTAGGAGTCTTGTCCCTCGGAATCTATTGTATTTCAGCCTTTTGGCCCCCTTAACTTTCACCCATCGGCCCTCCCTTGCTCCCTCTGTATGCTTCTCAAGCCGTTGACGTCGACATAATACCTCCGTACTATCCGTTAAAGACCTTGAGCATATGATGCTTTTTCAACACAAACAATAAACTCTGAGCAGCCTCATGGCGTTTTTACTTTCTGGGCGGCGAAATAAGCAACACCAAGCAATCAACAAGAGAATTTGCGTAGAATAATTGCATCTATCAGAGGCGCGGCATTGTCGCTCGGCAGTTTTAGCGCCAAAGCAAAATCGGCCTCGGTGCAAACCAGCTGATATCGGTATATTTTCACGCCGAACTGAATGACACTGGAAAACCCGCATCTTAATAATCCAGACGGAGATCCCCGCATCTCAACAGTTGGGTTCTAGCCGGCAATGGTCCTTTTGCCCAACTACCGTGGGGCCATGATCTCCACCACATGGGCGACATCGAATGGCTCGTTCATAAGGCGCTACCATTAAGCATGTCCACTCGGGAAATGATCACGGGGACCCCGCGTTTTCCCCGTATGGATCGACTTATCTGTCTGTCACAGGAAGAGTAAGTTGGGTCCGCGTCATTGCGTTAGGGCCCACTCCTTGAAAACCCCTATAGCTTGGTCAATGCCCCTTTGATATCCCCCTTTCCTGTATTTTACTTGCTGTTGTTGGAGAATTCAATTTTTATGGCAGTCATGTCATCAACGGAGTATGCAGCACCCCAGGGGCACACGCCTGGGAAGGCAGAGTCAGAATTCTTCGAGAAGTCGGAGGCAAACATCCAAAGTGTCGATGCGACCAGTCTGCTCTCTGATCAACACCGTGATTATTTGCTTCAACGGCATGGCACCTTAGATCTGGATCCAATCCCTAGTATGGATCCGGCAGATCCATACAACTGGCCGTTATGGAAGGTAAGTTGCTCCATTTTGTTCACCGTCTCGTGCTGCTGTTATTTCCTGCCGTTTTATTATGACTAGTTTAAGTGCTAACGTAAATGACCGAATAGAAAGTTGCGAATCTAGGCTTAGTGGCCTTCCATGCCTGTATGGGAACCTTCACGGCTGCCGCAATCATTCCTGCCTATGAAGCAATTTCCGAGGATGTTGGTGTCTCTCTCCAAAGAGTCAGCTATTTGACATCGCTTCAGATCGCCATTCTGGGAGGTGCCCCATTATTCTGGAAGCCCCTTTCGCAGCGCTTCGGACGCCGCCCAATTTTCCTCTTGTCCCTTATCTTCAGCTGTGTTTGTAACATCGGCTGCGCAAAGAGCCCAGATTACGCTTCGATGGCAGCATGCCGCGCTCTGGTATCATTCTTCCTCTGCCCAGCGATGGCCATCGGAAGCGCTGTCGTCACAGAGACCTTCTTCCGACGGGAGCGAGCGCGATACATGGGAATCTGGACGGTGATGGTGACATTGGGCGTACCTGTCGGCCCATTTATTTTCGGATTTGTTGCCCAACGAGTGGGATATCGATGGATTTACTGGGTTTTGGCAATCGTAAGTCATAGATCATTCTCACTCTTCGCATCACTCTCACTAATACCGATCATCACATCAGACGAACGCTTGCCAGTTTTTCCTATACATCTTCTTCGGCCCCGAAACCCGGTACATTGGCGCTGAAGTACAATCTAGTGGCTCATCTTTTAAACGAGAGTACCTCTCCTTCGGACGAATCGATCCCACACCATTCCGCCTGTCCGAGTTTTTCCACCCCCTCAGCCTGTTCACCAACATCCCCGTACTCCTCGCAGCAGTAGCCTACGCCATGGTCTTCCTCTTCGCCTCCGTCCTGAATTCGGTGGAAGTACCACAGCTCTTACAGAGTAAATTCGAACTCAACGCAGAACAGCTAGGTCTTCAATTCCTCGGTTTGATCATTGGTTCCCTCCTCGGCGAACAACTCGGCGGCTTCATGTCAGATATGTGGATGAACGCCCGCGCCCGTCGCATCGGACACAAGCCTGCCCCCGAATATCGGCTTTGGCTGAGCTACATCGGTTATCTGCTCACGATCGCCGGAAGCGTGGTATTCCTGGTCTGTACCGAACAGGCCACTGAGGGTAAATGGACCGTGGTTCCAGTGGTGGGGACGGGTATCGCGGCGTTTGGTAACCAGGTTATCACGACTGTGCTCACCACGTATGCTGTGGATACGTATCCCCAGGATGCGGGGAGTGTGGGAGTATTCATTAACTTCGTACGATCGACTTGGGGATTTATTGGACCTTTCTGGTATGTGAATAGAATGTTCCCCTGCATGGTGTTTGTCGTCGACTAATAACGTTAGGTTTCCGGATATGTTTGAGACTGTCGGTATTGCAAAGAGCTCGGGGGTGGTTACGGCTTTGGTTATGGGTGTGAGCTTCCTTCCGACTGTGTTTTTGCAGTGGCAGGGTAAGAGGTGGCATGCTAGTGTGGTTTGAGGAGTGAGGTCCGTACAAATCGATAGGACAATGACCAATGTATATAGTTAGTTTGAGAGCACCTTGAACCTGCGTCGAATTAATACAAGCTTTGAAATCTCACGAATTTACTATCCATGGTGAAAATAATTCCGTACTCCGGTCACCTATATTGAGTTATAGTAGGTAGAGTTTATTTTAATACTGCTAAAATCTATATCTACACAAGTGAGATAGGCTGAAACAACTGACCGCCAGAAATCGCTTCTCCATCCATAGTCCCATGGACATATGTTTCCCCGACCAAACTTCGTTCTTCAGTATCCGAAGAATCATCGCTCGAGGATTTCCTCAAAACAAACGGTGTTCGTGCCCCGGAAATCACCCATACCTCATCCCCAGGTCGTACAGACCATGGACCAAGCCCAAGGTACCCCCGTTTAGTACGATAAAGCAGCCGTCCTCGATAGAAATGGACGAATGTTTGGTCAAAGTCGCGGTCGTCGATCCTGACTATTCCCCGGGGTTTTCCCATCTCATCCTTCTCCCCGTATTGTTGTATTTCCTCCCAAGTTGGCAATGTGTTGTTGTCGTCGGTTTCGCGGATGAGATTGAGGTTAGCGATGGTATCTTCATCCGATATATGCGTGAGACTCCACAGGGCCCTTAGCATAAAATAGTGAAAGGAGGACCGGGCATCGTGAACTGGATTGTCCGCGGTTGAAGAGAGCTTGTTGGTCATCAAGGTCCGCCAAAGTGCCTCAACGCGATTCTCCCCTGTAGGGAGGTAGGTCTTCTCCAGAGAGGAGATTAGTTTTAGCCAACTTGGTGGATGGAAATGTGTAGCTGTTAATGTGCCAATTTGTGGTTCTACACTAACTATCTCATCGTGGAAAGCACCATTTAGCCGAAGAGTATGAGTGCCGTCGTCGGGGAGAATCACAGCTGGGGTATTGGGGCTAACACCTGCGCGGAAGCGTGGTGACCACAGCCGTGTTGTTATAAGAGGAGCAGTGAAGTTGGGGATCCACGATGGCAAGTCCTGACCATCGAAACTGCGAGAGAGATCCGGACTTTCCTGCACGAAGGAGAGTCCTTCAAGACATTCGAAAACCTCACACTCCCCTGTGTGCCATGTCTGGAGAGGCTCATCGGAGGCGCCTTGCATGAATATGTGGGCAAACTGAATGAATACTTCCGACGTAGTCTTGGAGTAATCGGCAACCATCCTCTTTAGAGGGTCGTCCGGCAGCCGAGATAGACCTATTAAAGCAAAGACTTTGTCTCTTGGGTCAGTCGCTCGAAACGACCAAACCTTACTAGCCAACAGCGAAAGACTCAGTTTGTGCTCCCATGTGGGAACCAGCGTGATGTCATTCTTCTTCACGTACTCATCTATCACAGTTCGTTCGAAGACGTGTTTTGATGTCCGGAGTCGAATATCAGTCAACGTACTCAGCTCACTCCCTCCAATGCCCCTCCACCGGGCCAATTCAAGGGCTTGGGCCAGAGACCGGCTGTTAACCCGAGAGGTGAAGTTCGGATTGTGAAACAGAATAAAGAGCTTGTGATATTCGAACTCGACGTGACCGCAGAAAATCCGAATCTGCTTCGCCAAGGCGATCTCTTGAATGATCCACACGCGCTGGAACCAGCTTCGTCGAAACAAATTTACAACGGCCTGATACTTCAGGGCAGGCTCATCTGATCCCTTCTTAGCGACGCGTGTCTCTGGGTCTTCCATAACATGATTGTTCAACACATCGTTGTACCACATGTCCATGCCTTCTTGAGATGGAAGATGCGTGGCTTCAAAGGCACGCATAGTACTCTCATCATCCACGCCCAGCCAGACGAATACCCCCGACGATTTCGTATAGATCATGGACATGATGGCTACTTGTGCGTTGCGCTCCACAATATCATCCTGATTAATACATATCGCATCAATCCAGAATTGCTGACTGTCCATCGGAGAGAGTGGTCGTGGCCTACTCCCAACTATGTGGTTGATATCAGGTCTCTCTAAGTATTCGATGACCTCAGCGTATTTTCGACGCTTACGCATCTTAGCACAGTCAAGAGGAGTCCGCCCCGAGGAGTCCCGTCGATGCAGATCCGAACCAGCCTCCACGAGTATCTTGACGACGTCGAAATAGCCATTCTCAGCGGCATAATGTAGAGCTGTTTCTCCAAACATATCTTGCGCCGCCAAGTCTGCGCCTCGGGCCATCCAAAAATAGATATCATTCGCGTTGCCAGCTTCGGCTGCCTCAATCAGGCGGGTTTTGTTATATGGTTCGGTACGCCGATCGACATACAATTCTTGAGTCTTCAGACGCTGCAGAAACTCGAACAGATTCCTAGTCAAGAAGGATATTTGTCCGTTGATCGCGACCGGGAACTTGTTCCTTGGACCGTAATCCTTGGATCTCTCGTGGTCTGGTGGAAATGGTGATCCCCAGGTATATGACAAAGCCTGGAAGCGCGGGTTGTCGTTGAGGTCGACGACTTGTATAGATAATGGGATAAGGGGTACTCCAAACACGGTAATGTCGGACTCGCCGTGGAGGAGCGAGACTACCCGGATTGATGTTGGGGTCGGAAGAGGATCATATTCAAATGTTCGAACCTTCATGTTTTGTATAATGGGATCTCGGGCAGTCAAGTTGGGATAGAAGATGCGTGAAATACAACCACGCTTTATTTTTGCTTGAATGCCTTATTTAGCCGCTAAGCTTTATATAGTATGGGTTAACGCACAGCCTACTTTACAGCCACATCGTAGTGCACTAGATTGGAATATCAGACATTTTACCTTCATCGTGCGGCCAGTCAGATTCTAGACAGGATTTACTACACCCAATTAGAGGTTGAAGATGAGACACTAGCTCCACTAATTACTAGAGAGCGGCCCGCAATGAGGGGCCAAATATTCATGCCATCGTATATGACACTTTTATTTACTCCATATATACTTCGCTGCGGTGGTGCTATCAATCGAATTTCATTAATTTTGACAGGGAATTCCATTCGAGATGTTCGAGCATGGTGCTCGTTCCGACCATTCGAGTATAGTGTACTATCAATCGTATCATTGCCCATAACCGATATATCCTAGCAAGACAGCAGTGTATTTTGACCGCCTAGCACAGTGGATACAGGATATACGGAAGAGAAACATGAATAATTGCGATGGTAGGGCGAAGAGATGAGAGCTGAAGAGAGCGTTCATTATGGCGTCGATCGCTGATGGGTCGCCAATAGATTCCTGCTACCTCGGGGCGGATCGTTTTTCCTTTCACGAGTCAATGTGTGAGCTGGTCATTGCGTCAATGATAGACCGGTAGTGATGTTGAGTGGCTAGAGCAAACGTCTCCAGAGTTTACGGGAGCTGGTGAGTCAAGGGGATAGGAGACCTTATTGGCTTCGTATATGGTCAAGGGTTGATATGTAATGCTCGACATATCCACTGGTGCTATTGCATCGCTGTGCTATTTAGAAATCATATCATTCTAGTTGATAACATACCTTAGGCGATTTGATGGTGCGTAAAGGAACAACACTAGTAGTGTCTCGTCACTGATGCGAGAAGATGCATGCAATTTTGGTTATGTATAGATGAGAGTATGCATTATTTATTTCCAAAGTAACCCTCCATGTCCAGGAGGTAACCTTTGAAGGCTCACAGAAGTATCCTGTCCAAAGGTAGAAGCATATATACGGGAATTCTTACTACGAGCATTCGCTAATGTAAATGAAGTACCACCGATGAGCATCGATGCTAGTTCCGTCGGTTCCATCGTTACCACCCGTTGCATCGATTCCCGTAACTTCAGTCACATCAGTAGTGGTCACCGTTGCCTCGTCGGCACTGCTGATATAGTACTCCGGGCTGAAGTGATGATAACCGAGTAACGTGGGTGGGAGCTTAGGCACAATATCATTAGTGTGCGTGACACGATAGCTACCACCCTTGTTTTGGTCCGTGATATATGTTGCCAATGCCTCGTTTCCAAGTCGAGGTTGTCCGTAGTTGTACTAATTTGGTCAGCACATCTGCATACCGTCACTTTCACAGAATAGAGATATACATACTAGCTCAACACTATGTCCGGCATTCCGCAGAGCAGTCGCTGCGAGGGCTGCTAACGCAGCACCGTAACTATGTCCGGTCAAGACCAAGGAATAATCGGAATGATCCGACAAGGCGGATTCCACCTTGGAAGTGATGGTGTCGGCGATTTCGCTCCATGCCTTCCAGAAACCGCTGTGCACTTCACATCCGGAACACAGATCGCTGGCATCCTCGAGGGCAAAGTTGAGGTTGGCTACCCAGTTGGCCAAGTCAGAGCTCCCCCGGAAAGACAAAACTAGCAGTTTGTTAGTCTCATCGGCCGCAAGGTACCCGGCGGGGTTGCCGTAGGATGACGATCTAAGTTGTCAGCTATTACCTATGAACTGGAAGTGCATATTTGGGGTGACTTACTCGTTAAATTCATCCAAGGTGTTGGTAGATGCCGATTCTACCAAAGGACAATTCCCAGCAGAGCATGTTAATTTAGTGCCGGTAGAGTTCAGGTTTTCAGTACAGTATGCGGCGGCACTGTACTGTGCAAAGAGGTCCAGGTTATTCAAAAGGGAAGAGCTGACATCTGAATCCGTTAGTCTGGCTCAAACGAGTCTTCATGTTTAAAGTTGACGAAGAGACAAACATACCTCTGCGCAGTGGAGCCGGGGCTGCTTGAGCCAGCAAAAATAGACCGGCAACGGTCCCGAATCGCCCGAGACTAAACATTTTGAATGCCGTGCAAGACGAGATGCATTTCGCGAATATCCCTTGCGAAGCCAGCCTATTTTATACTCCTGTTATGGCCCCTCTTTCAGCCGTTTTTCTAACTATCCCTACCAGAGGGATAATAATCTAATGGAACCCCGCCCCTTGGCCCTTATCCGGACAGGCATCATATCCGAGCACGCGAAGGTATTCAAGGGCTGTATGGCTGGCTGATTCTTCTCGCACAAGACCAACTAGTGCCTTTCCAGTATAGCGCTTCGTCAGCAATAACAGGGTGCATAACTAGTGCGTCGGATGGTTCCCATTATGCCCTATCACTGATAAGGGACCCCAACGTGTTTGTGGCTCAGCCGTGTGATAGGTGTGCCTGAGGGTCGCTTGCTGAGGCATATGCAGAGTGTATTCTAATCAAGTTTAACTAATACATTACTCTGACGATAGTATGCCTGCTCATCTCGCATAGTATCATCAGAGTTGACTCTAGAAAAGCGTAGGTCATGGGATATGCCGATTAGGGCTGTTCTGGAAGAAACTCCGTCGGATCGCCGATCACGGGAAATCCTCTCATAAAAATCGTTCAGCGACATTTCCCCTTTAGGATCAATTTCAGACGATCTTCCGGACTACTGATTGAACTATTGGATTGCGAGTTGAGTGCAGCTGACAGGTACCTGCTGTTAGCCCATTGTTGTAAAATCTCGTTATAAGCGATTGACTTTATGAAACGCCTATGGAGTACGTCGAGGCTTACTAAAATTGTATATAAAAATTTGATATCATGCCCCTTTCTGAAATGCTTACATGACGTATTTTACCTAGATCTATAAATATATTTCACAGTAGTAAAACATATTCAGATAAAATGACAAGTGTAATGTACTCATCTTTCTGAATATATGAGTAGTGTCTAATGAAACTAACGGAGAAAGGTCCAAAACTCTCATCTTTTGCCTGACACCTTCTTACCCCGCCTGGTAGGGCTTCACCCCTCACAAGACTTAGCTTGGCCATGTGCCAAGTCAGCTGGCAGTGACGACTCGGTCAATAACTGGAGGAGAATATCAGCCACCGCGTTTGTAAGGACGAGTCTGCCAATGGAAGTTCAAGGATCATTTTTTATTGTAACATTTATGGATTAAACACCGAGTCTCCGCTAGGACGTTCGGGAAATGTTCCTATCTACAGTAGAGTGATTTCATAATAGATGCTAACTCGATAGCACCCCCGCTTGGAAAATATCAAAAACAGCGTTCGCTGATAAATCCCTAGTTTTCTTGAAGCGCCGACTCAACTCTTTCCTTAGGCCCTTCCTTCTAGATTGACCGTAAGCTAGTTCCCTAGGGTAGTGAACATGGCCTTGAATTTTGCAAGCAAACCTTTCACTGGATTTATTACTGTCTTATTCCTTGAGATAGGAAGGCCCTTCTCTCTAGAGTAGAGAACGTATGGATACCAGCTTTGATGTAAATAGATTTACCTAATCGAAATATCTCAGATTATTTTTGCGCTCCTCAAAATCATTACGGATACTTGTCCATGAGTACAATCGCATCCTATAATGGAAATCCATCAAATTACCCTACCGCTCTTCTCTGTGCGGATTAGTAGCATACGGGTACTACAAACCTGGGCCCTTCCTACTTGGATTTGGGATATCTGGTATTCATCCTGGCTTAATCTCTAGCAAGAGTGGCATTTCCCACACTCCGAGAACGCAATGAGTGATAGCCGCAAAAAATTGAATAGCCTGACTGCGTGAATCATTCAGTGATAAGAGAGTGTGCTCCTCTACTCAATGATTATCGCTTTTCCAGAAGTACTGGGGAAGAACATGCTGACAAACTCAATTGGGATGTCGGAAATTTAGCCGCTGACCATCCCATCGGTTGTGACCACTAGCGGTGCGAGTTGTAGGATCCTTTTCAATAGGTACTTAAGCTTAATAGAAAATGTACTGTGGCGGATTGGGACTAGAAAGGGCTATTGGTTGTTGTTCCGAATACCTGTACTGTAGACCCCATTTTGGAGATCACTGCAGTGTAACAGCCTTGGTTGGTGTAACGTGGGTAGGCAGCAATGAATGGACAACATTTAACTGGCAATTGACAAGATAGAATTGTTGATAAGAAAAGGAAAGCCAATAGAGGTACTATTTGGACACCGTTCTAAATGAAACTAGGAATGATTGGGTAGCAATTCCACAAGGCATTGCTCGGTTGGGATACATATCATGAAATATGGAGAAAGAAAAAATTGCTAGGAAGGGATTGTTGCAGGAATTAAGAGGAGGGTAGATAGCAGTTGAGCCATAGTAGCGTCTCTTATCGAGGTTATCCTTCCCTGCATCCAGTGAGGCCAGTTAGGGCAGGCTTCCCAAAACGGAAAGGGGATGTTGCCAATCAAAAACACCTGATTACGCAGCTAACGTTTGAGATTCAAAGGTACAATGTCTGTCAGAACAATTCCATTGCTTGCGAGAGTTCAGTGCAACCCATGGATCGAATCCCAAGTGACAGGCTTACTGATCATTCATTCATGATCTAGACACGAGAAATGACGTCATGTAAGCGACTGTCGCCTGAGGCATCAGATTTTATGTGCTTTGGTTGGCGACCTCAAAGGGTAATGACACTCATACTCGTCATGGATTCCACCGAGTTTAATTTCCCATATATGGATGGTCCTCCTCGGAGGGTCGAGGCTCACCTTGTTGCAATGCATATACCTAGCAGCCTGTAACGCTTGCTATCCGCCAGTGCATCGAAACCCGAGAAAACTAGTATAATAGTCTGCATGCAGAGGGACACAATGTTCGCCAGACGACACAGTTGCCAGACAGCTCTCAGAGCCGGGCGTTCACTGCTTCCTCAGTATCATCCTATGACCCAGCCGGTTCTTCCAGCTTCACTGCGGACGATGCAAACAGTGATCAACCTCCAAGCGAAGGAAAACAAAGAGGAAGCTATCGATTTCGAACGTCAAATACTGAACCCCGAACGAAATGAAACTTGTAAATCAGGTACTGACGATGAAGTTGGCCACCACAAGTGCTCCTATGATCCGTCCAAGACCACACCCGAAAGCGAATATCTCGCCGATGAGGAAGAGTCCTTACTCGACGGCAAAGGCCATCATCCGCTTTTCGTCAGCCCTGCGAATGTAGAAGTCAGCCATTATATCGATCCCATGTCGGAAGGGGCAGTGCACGGTGCTGCCAGGCTGGGCCCTAGTGCGCAGGGCTGGACTCGGAAACATAGGGTGGTGCATATTAAGGATGTCCCTGGGAGCCAGTATGAGCGTTATGAGAAGCTTTTGAAGGAATTGAGGAAAGCCAAAACAAAGGTTTGTTTCTACCCAGTGTTCATATTGCTAAATGAACACCTTGTGAGACCTGAGTGACTGTGACTTAGTGAAACCCGCTAATCGAGGTCGTCACTTTGTACTGTCCGTTCGCGCGTTCGGCTACGACGGTTTGACGAACGATGGCTTAAGTTGTAACTTGCATAGCTCGGTGGATTCTGTATACGGATATTAAGAGGCAGGCTCCAAAATTGTCCTTTTGTTTCATGATTCTGGAAGATTAACGGATGGGAGTCTTACTAGACATACTATCTACCTATCTCGACAAGCCAGAGTGACAATATTCATTGTTTAAGACTTGGGGGAATGGGATACGCACTTTAGGATCTTTTTGTCTTTCGTTAACACTACTACTGGAACACTGAGTAATTCTGACCCAGATGTGATGGCTGCAAAAAGAAAATATTGTTACAATTTCAAAAAGATTCAATAGGATATGAATAATATTGACAGTTCTTTAGACTGTTTCTCATCCTTACTGCTACCTTCAGTAGCAAGAGAATATCCAGTAATCTTCAGCTTCATACCATAAAGCCATCCAACTCCAACCACTCAACAATAAAAGCAATAAGCAAAACACTACAGTCCTCTACAACATCGAGATCCAAATTCTCCCCAGTATCATCCAAGGTATGCCACACCTTCGGAAAGTCCCCAGTATCAGGATTCACATCAATCAAATGCAGCACATCCACACCCCGTTCCACGAACGGCACCTGGTCATCATAGATAGGAAACCTGTTCATCCCAACCTTGTCTCTATCAGCATCAATTAACCAAGGCCCGGTGCCACGCGACTTGAACTGATTCAGCCCTCTTAACCGCTTCTCAAGCACAGCAGCCCGCCGATACACGCCATGTGTCGTATTGAAATATGACGCAATCTTCGGCTCCCTCGACCCAAGAAGATCCAACAAGACAAATAACGAGATGGCCATGATCCGACTCGAATATGTAGAAGACGGCGGATACTGTGTATTTTCCCACTCGGCAGCTAATGATCGCGCCCCAAATAACATCTCCGGCCAGTCAGGATCAAACGCTTCCTCTCCATCTGTGAAGATAACTTGTATACCCTCTGCCTTCTGTAGCGTAGGTGATGTGGCCCATTTCCGACTCAACGCTGCATCGATACTTCTCACGCTGTGCATGATTATAGCGCAGGGAGCTGCACTGTCAATTGCTCCGATGAGCCCCTCCGGGGAGTTTTTGCTGTCGTAATGGGCTACCAGGGTTAATCTGCTGAAGTTACCCAAAGGAATGCTGGGCGGATCACGAGTGGCGATGAAGTTGATGATGGGTATTTCCTTGGTAGTGGATTTGGCTGTGGAGCTTTGGAATTCGACTTGCCAGTGTGGGAGTGTTCTGGAGAAGAAGTTGGTGAAATGGGATCTGGTTGCGTCCGAGCCTGGGCTTCCTGGGACGCGGGTTCGAAGGATAGGGGAGAGGAGTGTGCCGTTGTATATGTTGAAGTCTGTGTTTGGTCGAGGGAGGTGAGTGAGAGTGTTGTTGGATATGGGCTGGTATGTGAGTGTCTGAGTGACGATAAGTATTAGAGAGAGAGCTGTTTGTATGAGGATGCTAGATTTCGGTGGTTTGGAATGCATCGTGGATGGTAATTTGTCGCTATAAGTCTAGACCGTGGTTTCTGAGACTGGACTGGTATCTTAGTTTTCCTTCGTCAGAACCAGATGACCAGCACGGAACGAGTCAGGTAATGAATGAATAATATCCGGCTATTTAAGTGAAGTGTGGTAGCAATGACTGCTCTTCCAGTGGTGCGTTAAGCATTGCTTTTAGCCAATTGAAGTTCTCATGGAACCTGACACTTGGGAAATGTATCTCTGTATTGAATAAAGGCAAATTCAAGGCTTTTTCTATTGATACCAACTGACTATTGCTTTCCTTGCCTACTAAATACCATCCGTCCCTGCCACTGCCTCAGTCGTTTACCGTATACCTGCAAGAACACCATGAAAAACACCGACACGAAGGTGATAGCCGCCTGTATCCCTAATGCCTTGGCAGGTCCAATCCGTGTCACCCAGTCAATCTGAATATAAGTAGCCATGAAGCCCGCCCAGTTGCGACTGGCCGTTACCCACGCACCCACGACGCCCGAACCCTCTGGATAGGAATCAAGGAGATAGGCATTGATAGCCGTCGTGACAATCATGACACCGATACATTGAGTAGCCGCGAACACTGCGATGACCATGTAGTGCCAGTGATATTGAAATGCTAGACCCAAGATAATCAAACTAACGCAGCAAATGATGGTGGCAGGGTACGTGATAATTAACCGAGCTTCGGGGTCTAGTCGTCCGCGGTGGCGTTTGATGTAGTACTGTCCAACAGCATCGTGAAGGAAGTGTCCGGCGAACCAGCCAAGCAGGACGCCGATAATGCCGAAGAAGTAGAAATATCCTGGGTGGAGTCAGTTTATTATAAAGCAGTCGGGAGTATGTGGGACGTTAGTTACCTATGCCTCTCGTCGAGAAGCCGTATATATTGGTCAACCAAATCCCGATCGTCGTATTAACGCCGATGACCCAGGCGAAATTGAGGAAATAGTATACAAGGATAGTGAGCACCGGTATCTTAGTTATGGCTATAAGAGGCAGTGCAAAACACTGAACGAGGCTTTTATGTTCCCAGTACTTTGCTTGATGCGCGCCAGTGAGACGACTGATATAGGACCCTCGGGACGACGGCGGGTGCTTGCGATCAAACAATGATTCATCCAAGAAGAGGATCAGTATAAGGCCCACTCCAGACATGATTGTGCACAGCCAGAATGCCCAGCGCCAACTGACCCCGGACACGATGAATGAGGTGATCAAAGGGCCAAGGTACGGGCTCATGATAATGGAGAACTCCACATAATTGATTACCTTGGGGTGCTCGTGGAAGAAGAAGAGGTCCTTGATCCACATTAGGGCACCTCCTTGACCAACACTACAGAAGAAGCCGTTGATGATGCGCGCGGCTAAATACGAGGGAAAGCTGGTGGCTGCGGCCGACCATGCACAGGTGCCAACCATAACGCATTGGAAGAAAAGGGTGACGGGCAAGCGCCCAAAATAATGCGCCAAAGGCACCACGAAGAGACCACACGCGCCTATGGTAAAGAGATTACCGACCACTGCTCTCTGCACCGTAGCTTGAGCTAGCTCCCACTGGCTGGACTATCGTATCAGCTGTACATTCTCCATAAGTAGTGAGTGGGTGGATTACATGGACTGTGGAATAACAGTAATAATAGCAGTCCCTCCAGTGTAATCAGCTAAAAGCGCAATATAAGCCACTATTGCCACAGCAAACCATTTCTTCCGAGATGGCCAATTCAACGGATCATTGGGTGTATCGAGAGGTTGCGGAATCAGAACGAAGCGACCGTCTGGGCTAGTTTTCAGGCGCGCTGCATTATCGGGATATTGACTAGGATCAACAACATATCCTTCGAGAGCTTCCAATTCCTCATCAATTTCAGTATCTTGGACATGAGGTGGCGGCTTCTCGGCCGAATTCTGGTGTGGCATGGTGTTACTACAAACAAGGTATTAAACCACCCAGGATAGGGACGGAAATCAAGGAACGAAGAGAGTGACAGGAGGAAATCGATCCACGAAAGTTTGTTCTTAATAGAAATGTTAGGAAATGCAAAAAGACTTTTAATTTGCAAGGGCAGCTAGGTTTCGCCTAACGATACACTGAATAGGATATCCCCGGGCCGAAGTAACCCAATCCAAGGCAGCCCAGTCTAATATTTGCAACATTAGGAAAACCATGCCAATTTGAGAGTAACACAAGTCAGTGTCGGTGAGTTTCAATTTAAATAGTCAAGTCGTACTACGGCAACCGCTAGACAGGGATAGAAACTAAAGGTGCCAGACGTGGCCTCTACGCTTGGCACAACGGCCATGCAACTAAGACTTTTCGCCGGCGGAGGACGTAACAAACAGGGGGTTGGATGGGCAGTACGGAGTAGCCATCCTCCTTCATCCCGGTCTCTTTTGTTTTTCTCTCGTTGTTTTCACATGTAGTGTTAATAATCGTCGCATATTATATTGGACAGGGATGGCGCACCAATGCAGGTGCTAAGCATGGGTCCGCGCTCAACCCTAGCCGAACTAAGCAACCAGCGGCTGGCCCTAGTAAATTGGCCAAAGTTGGGTGGAGAAAACGACGTCGTATTCATTTATTTGGGAGTGGACGTAGTACTTACTAGGGGTTTAGTCTTGATGTCTCCGGTCGAGATCGACGCGGAAACAACCATGTCCTGACCCTTGTTCGGGAAGACACATCACACACTATGATCTAAGGAAAGGATTAGAGCTGTACCGAGTCTGTTAGGGAAAATTATACCCTAGGGAACAAAGAGCCTCTGCTTAAAGGTGGCGCATGGTACATCAATCCATGTAGTTCTTCCTGTCGTGGGGTCAAAGGCCTTGCTGCATCTTCAATGGCAGAGCCACCGGGTCCAGGGCATGGAGGAAAAGGGTCACTGGTGCTCGGAGTCACCTGGGCCGAGGCGGGTCTGGCATTTATCTTACTCGCATTGCGAGCGAAGACTGCCTCTCTCTGTCCGCCTGGTCAGCCGGCATTCGGTATTTTTGGTCTACGATGGGATTTTATTTGGGTTGTCATTGCACTGGTATGGTCCCATGGATACTCGCGCCGAACGGATGCTGATCGTATCAAGGTCTTTGCTTTGTGTGCGCAAAGCTTCATGACTGTGAGTGTATGGCATGGCCTTGGAGATCACCAAAGTTTGTTGTCGGCGCACAATATCGTGCAAACGAATCTGTGGAGTTGGATGGCACAGATCGTAGCCATCCTCTGCCTCGCTATATCGCGGATCGCTGTCATCGCATTCCTCTTATCCCTTCAGGGCCGCACCAGTAACATTGGACGGATAGTGCTCTATACGGTTGGCGCGGTACAAGGCATCATTAACGTGATCGAGGTCGCTCTGATCCTGAAGCAATGCGATCCGACAGAAAAGCTATGGAATCCGGCGGTCGTGGGAATGTGTGATCGAGTCGTCATATGCTCTCAGGTTGGGTTTTTGCAAGGCAGTATGTACATAAGAGAGAAATTGTTCACACAATTCAAACTAATTAATTATTATTTAGGCATTGGAGCGGCGGCTGATCTCTTTCTTGCCTTTTATCCGGTGCACATCATCGGCCGACTGCAACAAATGAAGCTCCGTACCAAGGTTGGATTGTGTTTGATTATGAGTGGAGGACTCGTGTATGAGATGATCTCAACACTCTACAATGGCCTTGTTCATACTAATGAGTATGCAGAGCAGGTATCGCCGGCATCAACAAAACAGTCGCAATTGCCTCCATTACTCACGATGACCTGACGTACGGAATCTACAAACTTAACACATGGGTGCTCACTGAAATGTGGTTCATTATTATCTTTGGATCGATCCCAGTTCTTCGTCCGTTCTTCGTGCGCTTCACGCAGGATATTAAAAATGCCGCCAGATATGGTCATTCTCGAAGCCGTACCAATCCCTCCGATTACCTGAGTAATGGCCGCAACAATCGTGAATCGTGGATGCAACTCGATGACCGGTCGCATAGTACTTATGTGACGCATGTTTCTACCTATGTGAAAACGGATTCAGATCTGCACCGTGGAGAAAATGAGGAGTATACCCTTGGGCAGGAACAGTCAGGAAGACAGATTATAGTGACGAGGCATACAAGCGTGGAGTCGGAGAGATGCTAGTATTCACTGTTAAAATCAGCTGAGCCCAAAATAACTATAAGAGATCTGCAAAGCCCATTCATGGGAGTGGCAGAACCTAAATTCAGGGATTTTTGAATCGCACCCTCTTTTAAGTTCTACAATATTATAGAACTATACATTGCATGAAATCTATATATTCTTTACAGCTATTAAGTCTCACTCCATCCATGATAGATACAAAACAATCTCTTGATATTATTGCAATTGAGGGGCGCGGTGTAGCAAAATGACTGCCTCGACTCCATGAATAGGATATTTCAAGGTTTCCAGATGTACTTTCCTTCCCGCTGTGCAGGGATATGCATGATAAAAAGAGAATAATTAATAGAATACTGGGCAGATTGAGTCACACAGCGAAGATCTCAGCACGTTTCAGGGAATCCAGTGGGCTATTTTATGGATGGTAGCATTGGAACAAGGGTCTGATATTCCAGCCCCACTCACGATATATGAATTGCTCGTGCCGTTTATCCACCACCCTGCAGTAGTCTCATTTCGCAATGGAACCTCGCCCATCCCGCGTCTACTTAATATAAATAAATGATACGGTGTCCCCGAACTAAGGAATTGGCTTTCGCTTTATTTTAGACCGGAGCCCTCGCCAGTTAAGGTGGAACCGGAACTCGGAACCCTTCGAGGCAGAGCGAAAGATGGATTGGCTGGGTTTACCTCGTTTAATCATCATAGCGTCATGGCACTCGGTGGGAAAAGGAGTTAAGCTGGGACGTATAGAAGGCTACCGGGTAATATAACTTTGACCTATAATTCCGCACTGCAATTCAACTTTACTTCTCGTTTCCATGCCGTACCTCGCCTCCTTCCCAATTCTTTGTTTGAGACCTCGAATCACACGATAAAACCTCAGAATGGCAGTGTCCAGGGAGCTCGCAGAAGTCCAGAGGCTTGTTGCAGCTGAGGCAGCAGGCGACGCAAATGCACATGGAGAACTTTTGAGAGCAATTCGCCAGTTGCAGCTAACGGTAGAAACACCCGTAGAGACGACCTCGCGATTTAATTTCCAGGTATGTGTTGCGCAACGCAAATTGCCACATAACCCGCTCATCTTCTACAGATTATGCAGAATATCTCGATACGTGTCGCCATCGAGAAACAATTTCTTCATCTTATTGCAGCCAGAAATGGCGGGCCTATCACAGCGTCTGAGATTGCAAACAGAACTGGAGAGAATCTATTGCTGATAGGTAAGGCCAGATGCTAGGGGTGGTTTTCTGTGAGAGTATTTATTAAATGCATAACGATTCAGTACGTGTCATGCGTGTCCTGACAGCCATTGGCCTTTGTGATGAGGTGGATAATGAGACCTATGCCGCCAACGAAAAAACACATTTCAAGATTTTGCCTGGATCCATAGCTGCCGAGAAGCATCAGTATGTGATCCTAGGACTCCAGAAATTTACCGCTGAACATGAGACTCACCATACACAGTTTTGATTTGGACTTTGGAATGGTATGGATGGGCTGAAGGTCTGGTTGACATGGATCGATTTACTAAATCGTGGTAGGGTGGTAGGCTTGTCGACTATATGCGAGGCCCAGGCATTCAACAATTTGCCGATGAGCCTGGGGCAACCACTTTATTCAAGTATGCCCATGGCACCGATGTTATCTTCGGACTATTAGAGAAGAACCCGGAGCAGAAGCAAGCATTCGATGACTACATGGCTTCACGACGAGTAGCCAATTTGCCCCAGTGGTTCGAAATATATCCCGTTGCAGAGAAGTTTGCCAATGCCAGCCAGGACCCTAACGCCACCTTGATGGTTGATGTCGGGGGAGGGCCCGGCCAAGAGCTGATTCGATTCAAGGAGAAATGTCCAGATATTCCCGGTCGTCTAGTGCTTCAGGACCTGCCCTTGACCCTTCAACGAATTGAGAAATTGCCCGAGGGCATTGAGCCGATGGAATACGACTTCTTTACTCCGCAACCGGTGAAAGGTATGTGAAATGGCCACTGATATAGCGACCGTGTAGCTGAAGCCTGGTTCATAGGAGCTCGTGTATACTTTCTCCGCGATGTGCTGCACAACTGGTCTGATGCGAAGAGCACCCAAATCTTATCGCGAATTGTCGAAGCCATGGACCCCGAGTATTCGACATTATTGATCGATGATTACGTCCTGCCTGACACTGGGGCAGATCTTAGGGCTGCCGAAATGGACATTCTCATGTGGCTCCACACTGCTGGGTTGGAACGTACAGTCTCCCAGTGGAAGACCCTCTTCGGTACTGTTGGCCTTGAACTAGTGAAAATCTGGCACTCCCCCAGAGGTAATGAGTCCGTCTTGGAAACTCGAGTACAGCAGAAGTAATTGGTGTATTGTTTCGTTATGAACGCTTGACACGGCGAATGCGTGTATAATATAATTAGACGAGTTAACCTCTTGCAAAGTACTGTATATCTCTTCCCATGTTCCTACTATTAAAATATATAACATACTAATGAAATAAACTACACCCGGTTTCTATCGAACCTGTCACACCGACAATTATAGTTCAAGCATGCGATTGGTGCTTCTTCTTCAATCTACCTACTATTATCTGGATCGATACTAAGCTGGTGGAGTGACAAAAGGTTACCCGCGTCAGCGCAGTTTCCCAACCTATATTCTCTGGTTGGACCTCCTAGTATATGATATTTATAGAGTGTATATGCTCAAGGGGGATGATCTGATGTGGGTCTTAATCTAGTCACGGGATCGATATATGACAACTTATCTTAGCGCTTGTTAGGTCGTGTTAATCTCACCTTGCCTCCTGGTTTATCTCTTGAATTCCCCGAACTCGAGTGTGATTCCCATTAAAACCACCAACATGACGTCTGAAACAAACTTTCTTCAATCGGTTCTCATTACCGGATGTAGTGCAGGTGGAATTGGTTCGACATTGGCCGAAACATTCCACGAACGCGGATTGCACGTTTTCGCGACAGCACGCTCGATGTCCAAGATGGCACACCTGGAGAAACTGCCCAACGTTACTCTCCTGGAGCTCGACGTGACCGACTCGAAGAGCATTGAATGCACCGTCGAGGCCGTGACCGCCAAAACAGGCGGCAAGCTGAACTATCTGATCAACAACTCAGGTCAAAGCCTCATCATGCCAGCTTTGGATACGAACATTGAAGATGCCAAGAAATTGTTCGATGTCAATTTGTGGGGCATGGTTGCTGTCACGCAAGCCTTCTCGCCCCTGATTATCGCAACCAAAGGAACAATCGTCAATGTCGCATCGCTTGCTGCCTTCTTCCGTTCCCCCTGGCTAGGTTCGTTTCCACTTTATCCGCATTCTTGAACCTTGTTGACGACGGTTAGCTTTCTATAATGCCTCCAAGGCCGCCGTAGACGCTTACAGCCATACTCTTCGTCTGGAATTGGCTCCCTTTGGCGTTAAAGTCGTCACTGTAACCGCGGGGACAGTCCAAACCAATATCTTCAGGCCTGTAGAGGAAGTTCCCCTCCCTCCCAACTCTATGTATAAAGCAGCCTCGAAAGAGATGGCAGCCGTTGCAAATGGAAAGTTTGTCCAAGGATCTATGGACCCGGCCGAGTTCGCCAAAAGGGTTGTGGATGATGTGCTCGGTGGAGCGACTGGAGTGATTTGGAGAGGAACAATGGCAACCATTGCACGGATAATGTACACCATTCTTCCGACTTGGCTTATGGTAGGTGGTTGCCCTTGTTTCCAAATGCGGGTCCATTATGCTCACATCTGGATGTTTAGGATCGCTTGACATTCCCTGGTTCTGGTCTAGATAAACTGAGCTGAGGAGACGTGCGAATGTCATATTTTGTGGAATGTGTGTTTTGGTCTGTTTTTCTTTTGTAAATACAGAAAGTTGGGCGTTTATAGTAACACAACAGTCCAGATATGAAACTCGAGCTATGTGCTGACAATTGAAAGATTATGTCCAATTAAGACCTGGTACGCATTACCTGCACATTCATAGATAGAGACATCTACTCGAGGATGGCGGTAACAACACCACTACCGATTGTCCTCCCACCCTCATAGATGGCAAAACGCAGGCCTTCTATGATGGCGATCGGCGTGATCAGCTTAATTGTGATCGACGAGGTATCACCTGGCATCACCATGTCCATGCCTTCCGACACCTTGATCGAACCTGTCACCTCCGTCGTGCGGATGAAGAATTGCGCCTGGTAGTCGTTGAAGATCGGCGTGTGACGGCCGCCCTCTTCCCTCCTCAGCAGGTACACAAGCGCCGTAAAGGTCGTGTACATCCTGATCTGGCCCGGCATGGCCAGCACATGACCGCGCTCGACATCCTGACGCTTGACACCACGTAGCAAGATACCCACATTTTCCCCTGCCTGGCTGTACTCCAGTGACTTGCGGAACATCTCCACGCCTATGCACGTCGTCCGGATCACTGCGCCGAAGCCCACGATGTCAATTTCGTCGCCGATCCGTATCATGCCGCGCTGCACTCTGCCTGTGACTACTGTACCGCGATCTGCAATTGAGAACACATCCTCCACCGGCATCAAGAACGGGAGATCTACCGCAGGCACGGGAACCGGGATGTACGCGTCCAACGCCTCTACCAGGCGGGTGATGGCGTGCTCGCCCAGCTCGCTCCCCTCCAAGCTCCCTTCCAGCGCCTGTTGCGCCGAGCCCCTGATGATCGGTAGGTTGTCTCCCCGGAAACCGTAACTACTCAGCAGGTCACGGACTTCTAGTTCCACCAGCTCGAGCTGATCCTCGTCGTCCACCATGTCACACTTGTTCAGGAATACAACAATGTACGACACACCCGCCTGCCGTGCTAACACAATCTGCTCGCGTGTCTGCGGCATCAGGCCGTCCGCAGCTGACACGACCAGGATCATGCCATCCATCTGCTCTGCGTCGCTGAGCATGTATTTGATGTAATCGGCTTGGTTCGGCCAGTTAACGTGCCTATATTGGCGAGCCTCAGACTCGTACTGGACGTGGGCGATTGACATGGCCATACCATGGACCTTCGTCTCAAGACTGTTGTCAGTATGGTCGTTAGCTACGGGGGTCGAGCCGAACTTGGCGGTGATGGCAGCCGTCAGGGTTGTCTTGCCATGATCAGCATAACCAATCGTACCAACATTGATATGGGGCTTGGTAAGCGAAAACATGTCACTAGTATTTGATTAGAGACTTTATAGCGGTCATGGGCTTAGCTAATGATTAAAAGGGAGGTGGGAGGGTGTCCACAGCAGAGTTCATATGCAGGGCAGCTCTGTCGAGTCCCGCCTCCTTATTTGTTGTCTGTGGACATTGTCGATCCCCCACCAAGTGTCTATCAACTAGCCTACAAGCAGTTTAGCGTTGCGAGATTCTCTTCTATGTTTGTTGGATCAAAATCAGCCGTGCCATTGTTGGAATGAAATACCTCGCCTCTGCTAACCAGCCCAACTCGGTCCAGGAGGCTTCCCATGTGCTTATTACTGTATCAAAGGCCATCAGGATTGTCCCTATTGCCCGCAATTACACTACACATTCTAGACGAGGGCATATTCATGCAGTATACCAGAGCTAACTCTAGCTGATGCAATCCTGATTCCTCTTCGTGAATATCAGCTGCAACGAAGGTGCCACCAGCGTAAAAGTATCCAGCTGGCCCTCCCAGAAGGCCTTGGCCGACTGCCCTGGTGCTAAGGCAATATCGTAATCATGGAGTATCATGGCGACGACACATCGCAGTTCCATCAAGGCGAGTCGTTTCCCGACACATGCGTAGGGTCCTTCTCAAACGGTAAGAGGGGAAGTGAGTAAAATGGGAGGAGTCGAGATACTTACCTGAGCTGAACGGAATAAAGGCAGAACGATCCTTCACAAGCTCCGGATGACTCGTCCATCGTTCGGGAATGAATTCATCCGGGCGCTCGAATGCACGGCTGTCTATGACCAGGGTAAAACGAATCAATACTGATCGGCTGTATCGTTATCGAGACATCCTTATTCTTCATGACTTACCTCGATACACAGTATATGTCGGGACCTGTACAATAATATTCCCAGGTATGAACTTATCGCCAATCTCCAGGCCTTCCGATGGCGTGACACGTTGAAATCCAGACGGGTTAGGAGACTGAAGCCGCCATGTCTCGTTGAGGATAGCATCAAGCAAGCTGATCTGGCCCAGTCGGTCAGACTCTAGATCGGGGAGTGCGTCTAGACAAGATTGAAGCTCTCTCATGATTGATGGGTTACAAGCAAGGTGGCAGAACACGTTGCTGAGCGATGAAGCTACCGTGTCACTAATATCGTTTAGTCATGTCACTGGTTGATGAAGCTTTAAGCTTGGCCAGATGTCTTTTGATGATATGGTTGGGGGTCTTGTTACATACCTTCCAGCCACGACGATAAGATGAGCATCTCCGTGTAGATCGAGGGTGTCTTGGTACGACTGTGGTCCCTGGCGATAAGCATTAAGGATCCAAGAAAAGACGTCGGGTCGCTCGGGCTCGCACTGTTGTACGGCAGTCAGCACATCAGTAGCATATGGAGTCTGTCATTGATGGGGGCTTACCTTGGCTCTCTCGGAGATCTGGTCAGCTATCCATTTCCAAAAGCGGAGGAAATTGCTATTCAAGAACGGCACTCGTTTTGTAAAAGGAAAAAGCCAAGCCAAGTGGCTGAAATACGCAACCCTGGACATGTCTGTGCGAATGGTCTGTAGAATGTAGGATTCTTTCCCATCGACCAGCATGTTAGAAGTTTTGCCGAAGGCAAGATCGGTCATGACGTCGAAGGAAAAATAGTTGAACCACTGGGTGATATTTATCGGCTTCCCCAAATTGCTCTGAATCACTCGGAGAAGATGCTCGACGTGTTTTGAGACTCTAGGCTCGTAATCGTGGAGTGCTAGTGCGATAGCCAATGATGTTAGACCGATGGCTTCATGGGAATTTCGATAAGGGTCCATTTGGTACCTTTAGTGTTAAACCCCTGGTCCCAAACCTTTCGCCGGCGTGCATGCTTTTGCTTGTCTCTCTCCATGAAGAGAGGCACGCGTGGTTCTAATAACGTGTACCAGGGGCCTTTGGTCACTGGAGACTGGCTACCATATATCGCTTTTACTGCCTGTGGATCCGCAATGGATAGTTCGCAAGGTCCTGAGATCAAAAGCATTAGATGGGGTGATATTGCTGTAATCAGGTACTCACCTAGTCGGATATAGTCGCCATACTTGCGGTGAAGCTTTTGAACTTCTATGGGCTTTTGTAGATTTATAGATAATGTTGTGGCATAGAAGTTTGTCAGCCGGCCAAAGAATGGACCAGGGAACCTGCGGAGTCTGTGGAAGAATAATCGATAAACGAGCATGCTACAGTAGACGCCTAAGAGATGGTAGCCACAGAGACTCGAGAAAGCCGCGGGTGATAGTTCGAGTCCATTCCATCTCAGTAGGCTAAAGTGAAGTGCCAGATTACCACCCACAAAGATCAAGGTATGAATCTGCACAAGCAGCATGGAAGTTGTATCCCATTCCCCAAGTCTGTATAAGAAGGTATGGAGCGAAACACCGCTAAGTGTCGCGATTAACGGCAGCGAGCCCTGTGTGGACATCTTTTTGACTGTTTACCAACCCGCACCGCTGGGTCTTCAGAGAGCGTTAGGCTGCCTTATGACAAATTCTCTAAAGCTGCTTAAGAATATATGGGTGTGGCAGCCTTGGCCCTGAAAGTTGGGTGGCTCCGTCAATGTTATGCATGCATCGTGTTTTGGCCTAGAACATCTATACGCTTCACGTAACGGTGCGGCTGACGGCGGGGATGCTCGGTTATTTTCCCACAATGCTCTGCACTAGAGGATGATTTTCAAATCACCTGGTTAAGTCCCTCAGCCGCAATTCTGCAGCTGGGTTCTGTGTGCCTAGTGGCAATCTAGCCCGTAAAGCAATAGCCTGAAGCTGCCAAGAGCTATGAGGACTGCATATCAACAGTGGGTCACCATACCAATTAGAGAAACGCACTGAGACCCCTCACCTTTCACATCACATACAGGGATCGTAATGGCATGGATATCTCGCCCCTTCGGTCCCACCTCTGATCTTGGTGCCCAGTACTTGGTTGCTAATGTGGCCCTAACGTCTTGCCTGTACCAATAGACATCTTAGACATGGCTAGCGTAACTTAAGTGGCAAGCTCGATCTAGGAGCTGTCTTCCCTAGCCCTTCCATAGCCCTGGAATTAGTTGCAGGAAAGTAGAGACGGCCGTGCCCGAGGAATTCCGACCTTCTTCACGAGTGTTGCAGAAAGGCACAAAAGGCGTCGAATTGGAGCAAGGCCACTTCGTCATCACGTGCACCAAGTCTCTATGCTCCAAGGCCTTCGTAACAGTAAAGTCACCACCCGTGTCTTTCACTCCGAACCAAAATTTTGTTCGTAATTCAGCAGCCTGTGGCATTGTGTGCTCACGACTAGCGCAAGGACCAATGAGAGACGACGGAAATGGTCTCAGGACTGAAAGTGGAGACAAATGAGAGCCAAAGGAACTAATACCTCAGTTTATATTAAATAGGTAGGGCTTGTGGGTCCAATCCGATCCTGTAGGCCCAAAGGCAAGATGTAGCTGAAGCCTACCTACCACCGCCAATATGTTATACGCGTGTGCATGTTATGTACAGCCGAGTGATTTGGTTGGCGATCGTGACGGATGTCTGCTTGGTCGTACGCCACTAGATGCTTTTCGCCGTCGTTGTTCATTGATCTTTTTACTCACATGTGGCTCTTATGGTGGTTATGTAAGTCTTGCCGGTGCTGCCATGATAATTTAATTTTGTAGAGAAATATATAAGGCTGCTGGACTGAAATTTATTTGATACAAGGTTGTCATGAACCTCACACGCCATATGTACTTTCAAAGAATCCAGCAAATATGGGCTCCTCGTCTGAAACTACAGAACTGCTAGGGCAACACCTCTGCGAATACACAAGAAAGGAGGCAATCCCTTCAATGCGAACAAATAACATCCCGCTTAAGAACTATGGCTTCTCGCTACACGTAAGCAACAGAGTCTACCCATGTACCAATAGCCGGCAGTGCTAATATGCAGATCCAGTTATATATTCCAAACTTCGGAGTAACCGAGATACCAATCCAAAACCAAGCAGGGCAACCCTCCGTGAAGAACACCGGTATCCAAGATGTCCTTTATTCACATCTGGGATTTAGGTATTCTACACCGTCTGAGAACAACAGAGACGAGGCATCAATTCTACAACAATGTATCAGCGAAGTTAGAACGATCGCTTTGTTCTTCCCCGACATACGGGCCACCAATATCCGGGTTTGCATGGCTGCTTGGCTGGGAACGTTATGTTCCATTGATGACTTGATCGAAGATATGATGCCCAATGAGGCGAGTGCTGTTTTATACCGTTCATTACAGGCTCTACAAGAAGAATGTAAGCGACTCGACTACCATTGGTGGAGGCATTACAATGCTGTGGCTTGGGAAGATGCTGACAGTAAATATATTAGGCTCCCTTACCTCTCCCCAGCATGCGGTTGTTGAGTATTTCATTGCATTCAAGCGACATTGCTCAACATACTTATCTCTGGAAGTAGCTCGACATTTCTTCGATAGTGTTTGTATTACACTTGAGGGGCTGCTTGATGAAATAAGATTCAACCAGGGTTATTTGCCATACAACCTGGAGACATATATGAGCATACGTGGGCGTACGATTGGGATTAAGCCCTTTTTTACACTGATCAAAAGCATACTCGAAACAACTGACCACCAGTGGTCGACAGATATAATAGGCATGGAGAGGGATATTTTCGCTATTATTGGTCTCCAAAATGATCTAATTGGGCTGGAGAAGGATATCCGAACCGAGCAGCAAATGAATGCTGTTATTGTTAATGCAGCACACCTTGCCAACAAAATCGCATCTGCAGAGAAGGATGCAGCTCTTCAAATTGCCACAAACAATATCTCTGCTTTGCATAACCAACTGATAGAGCATGTGTTAGAGAAACGTGCAAAGATTCATCAGAGGGCTATTGGGAAACTTGAGGATACTCTGGAGTCTCGCTTTGCAGATATACAACTGCTGTTTACAGAGACGCATCTGAAGTGGTGCACATCCGCGAAGCGATATACGTTAACTGCCGCAGAGTTAAACACGATGTAAATAGAAACGGTCTAGATAAACAACAGTGATATTTGGTATTCTTTTCTGTTAGACGGAACAATCTTACGGGTAGTCTTGAACCACTTTTCGCGAAATACATAAAATTCGAATATTATTTGACTATCACTTATCCATTACTCCATTATGGAACAAATGAAATCCTTCCTTTCATCCAACCTCGGCAATGATAACGATAGCACAATCCACGATAAGATTAAATCCGATAAAACTTATGCTTATCACTGATAAGGTGCGGCATCGGCATGGCCCGTGGACCGGGATTGTCCGTCTCCGAGAGCATTGGCGAGTATAAGTGGTGGTTCGTGTTGACGTCCTAACTTCAATCTGATGAATTTGGACTGCTTTAGAGCCTATACAGAATTAAATCATCATGCCAGCAACTATACAACCACTCACTCCCCCAGCGGGATCAAACATTAACTTCGGCGCTGTCATTAACAACATCGATCTTGAGAATCTAACAGGTATGACCCTTCCATCCCTTCCATCTCTTCTCTCTACTCTAAAAGAAAAGAAGCTTATAAACTACAGACGAAACCTTCTCCACAATCCACTCTGCCCTTTACAATCACCAAGTAGTAATCTTCAAAAACCAACACCACCTCTCCCCGAAAGCCCAATACCTCCTCACCCAACGCTTCGACCCTTCATCCACCCAATACGGACACGGCAAAACAATTGACGCAAAGCGGAGTATCCTGCACCCAGACCTGAAGACCGTGCCACATCAACCCCAAGTTCAAATCATTGGTCATGGCTTCATCGACTCCTACGAAGGGCTATCCAATTTCCAGTTGAAACACCCACATCACAAGACTTTCCACCGCGATGCGATTCCTCCGGAAGAAGATTATGATTTCACCCGGTTTTATAGATGGCATATTGACGCTGCGCTATATGAGTACTATCCACCAAAGGTGACGACGTTGCTTGCCGTTAAGGTACCGAAGGGTCGACGACAGACGCTGCGGTATGATGATGGCTCGGATGAGACGTTGGATGTGCCTCTCGGCACGACGGCCTTTGTCAATGGAGAACGCATGTTTGAGATGTTATCCGCTGAGGATAAGGAGTTTGTGTTAGGGAGTAAAGTTGAATATGCGCCTCACCCGTATGTCCTTCCTCAAACCCTTCCCAGGATTATTATAATATAAGCTAACAACACCCAGATACATCTGGATGAGTCCCGCCCACTCCCGTCCTACAGGACTAGGCCTCTGCTCCGAAGGCCTCGAACTACCCGAATCCGAGCTCCCGCCCATCGACCAATCAAAGATCATGATCCTACCCATGGTCTGGAAGAACCCTGTGACAGGAAAGCCAGCGCTCCAGATCCACCCCTCGGCTGTACGGAAGATCCACCAGAAAGATGGATCCGTTATCGATGATCTAGCCCGTGTGCGGGAGGTTGTCTACCGGTTGCAGCGGCCGGCTATCAGCCCGAAGCATGTCTATGCGCATGATTGGGAAGAGGGTGACCTAGTTTTGTTCCATAACCGGGGTGTGTTGCATTCAGTGGTGGGGGCGTTTGGGGATGATGAGGTGAGACTGTTTAGACAGTGTAATCTAGCGGCGGGAGAGGCTCCGGTTGGGATGAGTGATTAATTATAATGTATTCTGGATGAAGCGATGTGTGTTTATGATATAGAATTTGGAACTTTTAGATTTCTTTTCTCACTTGTATTCGAGCTGATGTTGGACACTCCTTGATATTAATCACCATTATATTTCATTAATCCCTCGTCCACTGGAAGTGCCAGAAACGCTAAAAATAAGGGTATACGATGCTAAATACAAGCTGGTATCAAGGACATGTATGTCTATGTGCTCTATATCCCAATGCAATTAAATCCCGGAAACGGCTCATGAGACATTAGTCAGGTCATGAGAACGTATTTTCAACACAAACATCAAAGCATAAATCAATGCGCAAGTTCCTGCTGGTTGTCAATCCTCTGAACAAAAACAAGGGGGCCTCGAAACTTACGCTAGCAAGCTTGCTCTTGGCTCTAATCCTGGCCCCGTAGAAGGACAAGACCCATGGTACAAGTGTCAGGGCGGCTCCCTAGGAACATTAGCTCAACGTTCAAAACGAATACAAAAGTTGCTTGCACTTACAATTCCACCCAGCAAGCTAGAAGCAGCAGGGTATCCCAGGTTTGTGAACAAAGCATGGGTCACAAGGGGGAAAACACCACCCAATAGATTCCGGCCTGTTCATTGCGTTAGAGTATCCTATGACTGACATTATAGTGTAACTTACAACAAGACTGCGCGGCAATCGCTGAGCTGGCAAAACGATGATACGTATCAGCCAGATAGTTAAAGACCGCCAAATAAATCGACAAAATGCCCATGGTAGCACAGCCGACAGCCATAGCCGGAGCGATCCAATGCACAGACGGGTATGAGGACCATCCGAACCAGAACAGGCCGGCGGGCATGAGCACTGCCTGGACACAGGCGAAGTAGAGACGTTTCTCTGGGGTGTTGGGAAGCTTCACGAATCGGCTCACGACTCTTTCCTGGTAGATGCTGATGAGGGTAGCGATGATGACAGCGACACACATCGCTATTCATGTTAGCTTTGTGGTGAATAGTATGAGGCAGTTGCAACCTACATGTGAAAACAGCTCCCGATTGCTCAACGTTGAAACCATGGTTCGTCTGGAAAATCAACGGGACGGAGCCGAATTGGAGATACAGAACGGCCCAGCTGAAGGCTGCCCAAAGGGAGAAGAAGAAAACCACCGGTTCGGTGAAAAGCATATCTGGACAACAGTTAGCTCTCGGGGTTTGTGCATAGTTGCTAGTGCAGAACATACGAAAAGGCCGATAGAGGGAGATGCTGATCATTTGCCCGAGGGAGGCCCGTTGCTCATCGCTTTTGACCTTCCAGCGGATCCGCTTCGTGCGCTGCTTCTCTCCAGACTCGTCTGCCATAATTACGCCGAAATGGCCTGCATCTTCAAGTGCTTCATAGTATTTGTTCAGTGCGTGTGCCTTGCGACTCAGAATGACGCTGCCACGGGTTTCTTTGAAGAAAAAGTAGATTATCACAACGAGCACGGCCGACACGATCGCATGCGAGTAGTAGATCCAGCGCCATGTGGTGTGATAGACGATCACGCTCGACAGGAGTGGCGCGAGACCAGTACCAAATAGTGCAGCTCCCGAGAAGAGAGCCATGGGAGTGTTGCGATCTTCCGCATGGTAAATATCACTGATGACACCTCCCACCATGGTTGAAAATGTCGCTGGCAACTTTGTTAGCAACTTACCAAAAATAAGGGATAGATAAGAGGCGACATACACGCGCCAACACCTTGGAAGAATCTCGCTACTAGAAGTCCAGCAAACAGATGTGTTCCACCACAAGCGATGATACATGCTAGATAATTGCAGGTCAGAATCAGTTTGAAAATAGTTGCTGCGACTAACATACCGGTGAATACAATACCACTGACAACGAAAATTGGCCGTCTCCCATTGAGCTCCGAAAACGGAGCCAAAACCATGGGTGCCAAGGCAAACCCTATACAAAAGATGGTGATACTCAAGTTGTATACCACGCCACTGATTCCCCATTCCGCTGTTAGCTCTGCTGAGGCCGGACTGACTTCACCTGCCGAATAACCAGCCAGGGCAGTCACGGCGCAAGAAATCATGGTCATCATTGTTTTTCTCCATTTGGGCCAGAGAAATGGGGAAATGTATTGCTTCATATCGGGACATTCTGGCGCGGGGGACTGGTTGGGGCCGGGCGGCAATGTGATCCGCGGCGTTGGCAACGGCGTTTCGAGCTCGAGATAAAGATATTCAATTTCCTGTGTTGGAAGCGCATCTTTGCATTCAACGTCGACATCTGTAGAACAGATGGTTTCACCAGAGCTTGAATGCGGACTGGGGCGCGACAGTCCCATGGCTACAGGTGTAGGAAATCGTAATTCTCCCAGGGCTGAATGTGTCACATTCTAGCTTAGGGGCTGTCCAATTTATAATGATCTACATTTTTGGTCTAGATTTTACGCCTTCTGAGAAAAGGACCCAATTTTGTGCAAAATTGGAGAAGCTTGGACGCACGCTTGGCTCGGAGTATGCCCTATCGTCCGTAGTATATCGCCGGGATTTGAACTATGTGAGAGTCACTACATTGTTTCCCTATGCTCATCATGGTTCATAGTATATCATACACGCGCTATATAGCTCAACAACACCGTTTTATGTTCATAACCAGCTACGTGGTTGTTGTAGATGGTATTGAATAGTGTTCTCTGGTATTGCGGCTGAAGACACAGGTAGGGATATGAAAAACTGATTTGGGGCAGAAGTTTCCCCACATCTCCAAATCGGAGACGACAGGGTTAATAATCCACCACAAATCCTTGAGTCACAAAAGGCCGACGGATGAAAAAGGAAAAAATAAAGAGATTTCTCAAAATTCTCCGAAACCACGTCATCGTCTGCTTACCTACCCACGGTCTTTCGCAATTTGGGCTGCAGAGGGAAAATCTGTTCCTCCACCTTGACGTTCCCATATACGTTCTCCCAGCGTTCACGCAAAGGCTCCGGTGTCGCCCACGCATTTTCGGGATCCCGCAGCCACAGTCGCAAAAGATGGCGTCTCCATTCTTGTCAGCACGATAGAAACCGCCAAATGTAAAAAAAGAAAAAAGAAAAATACGAATGCACTTACTCTTTGTCAAGCTCATCCCGAAATCCCTTCCGCGCATGGAAAATACTCAGGTTGTTAATATACTGGACGTCACCCTTTTGGAAATCCAATGCGGCGCTGTGTTCCTCGGCTAGGAAGTGAAGCGCGTCAAGTGCCTCGGCCTGAGCCTCAGAAATCGGGGGAATGTTGGTCGACCGCGGCTGAGCGAGGAATCCGGTGAAATAACGACGAGCGTATTGGATCAGAACACGTTCGGGGGTGGTATCGGTTGCCTTTTGGTGGTAGAGAAGGGGACGAGTGGTATAGGGCTTTTCGGGGTCATTGAATCTGGTTTCCTCGCTTTAGCGACCGACACCTTCCTACGAATCTACGACGACTCACCCATCGACCGGCCATGGCTCCGACAACGTACGGATCAAATCCGGCCTCTCTTTAGCCAGAATGTTATATACCAACCAACTGCTGGAGATCTGGCTTTCACCTCCTTCGGCTGCGGGGTGGAGACAAAGGAGGGAAATGATATCGCCGGAATCCGTGTGGAACACTTGTTTATCCGCTGTGTTGGACGGGGCGCCAATCGCATTCGCTTCACTCGTACGTGTCAAATCCTTGATATGCGACAAGACGACGGAGCCACCCTCTGGCGTAAACCGCCTGTCTTCCTGGCGCCCGCGAATATTCCCGATGTGCGATGATACACCTGCATAGATGATGATATTTTCTTCCCGAGTGTAACGATCGATATCGAGTCCACGGAGAACGAAGAATCCTCGTCCCTTATGGATTTCGTTCGAGAGCGATCGCAAAGTTGGACGAAGTGTGGGCAACGGGAATGTGTCCTGGTTGATATTTCCCAGGGTCAAATTCTGGGCTATGAAGAATCAGCACGAATCCTTGTTCATGCGCTCTGTGTGTATGATCTGCTTCGAAACGCATTGCTGGATGGGATGGGAAAGTAAAGTATACCCTGAAAGCTCTTCAGCGCAGCATCAATCTCCTCCCTCTGCGCATCATTCAACCGGTAGATCCAATCATCCCGCTTCTCGACATCCTTTCCCTCCCAAACCAAGGGCGACTCTAATTTCTGCGGAAATCCATCAGGTAGGGTCTTAGAAAGCTCCTCGGTAGCCTGTCTGCGCGCCTTCCGCGCCGTATACTTTTCGAAGTCAGGGTGATACTGGATATCAGGCTGAACGAGAGTCTGCACGGCGACCGACATTGCTAAGTGTAGGAGATCTTATTCGCAGTAGATTTGCTATGCTAAGAAATCAACGAAAGATAGACTCCTTCAAGCTTTATCTACGAATATAAGACGTTGCATACCCCGCAGCATACAATCACATCATCAAATGGCGGCGCAGCAAATCATTGCGCCATATGGCCCGAAGATTAGCTATCGCGGCACACCAACAATCACAGTATTCGTAGAATAACTTCTGAAACCAGTCAGATGGTGTAATCGCCTGCATTTACCCCATCGAGAAGAAGAAGACCATCATGAATGGTTAGGTTTCCCTGTCACTAACCCTGGTTACGTTGCCTGGATTTCTAAGCAGCAATAGCATCACATACTATATGAGCAGCTCGGTTAAAGTGTCTCGGATATTGGGCGAAATGAACGCTCGTGACTTCATCGTTGAGAGCCATAATGCATAAAAATTGACTAGTGACTATTCCTCCAGCCTCCTTCCGTCAATATCAATGTCAATCTTATAATACTTGAACTTCCGACTGGGGACCTTTCGTTCGAAAAGAATGTCCAACTCCTCAAACGTCCTCCCCTTGGTTTCTGGCATACACCAGTAGCAATAAATAATACACAGTGCACTGAGTCCAGAGAAGAGGAACCCGATCTTCCCCTTCCAGTCGGCCTGGTCTTCATTCATAGCGTACGGGATAGCGACCGCGAAGACTACCGACCACACGAAGCAGGCCACGGTTGCTAAAGCGATCGTAAACCCTCGCAGCGCGGCGGAGGATACTTCGGCCAGAAGTACGTAGCAGAATGGGCCGAGGCTGAGATCATATACAAATGTGCAGACTAACATCAGACCACATTGTGCCCATACCGTGTTCGTTTGACGGGGTGCGAGGTCCACGGCACCGATTATAAACAACAATAGTGCTAGCGAAGAGCAGCCGAAAAGGTACATGGTTCGCCGACCGACATACGATAGCAACAGCCAAGAGATACAGGTCCCCATGAACCCAATGGCAGTCAGGCCGAGGTTCATGGAGAAGGCATCGGATGAATCCAGACCAGCCAGTTCCATGAAGTGCACGGCATAGTTAATGAAAAACACGTTGCCGGTGAACGCCTGCATGCTATACGCCATCACACAAATCATCAGTCGGCGAAAGTTAGGCCCACGGAAGCATTCCATGTAGTGGGGCCGGTCGCCCTGGAACTCCTCCTCGAGACGGAGTGTCTCACGAATATGCGCCAGCTTTCGCGATACGTCTATGCTGGGTGTGGCCAGGCGACGCAGGGATACGAGTGCTGCATCGTGTCGGCCCTTGCGACACAGCCAGTACGGGGGATCCGGACAGAAGAATACCAGGAGCAGCATGACACAGGGCAAGGCCCACTGAGTGGCGATAGGGATTTTGTAGGACAACTTGCTATTCATGGACGCCGTCCCCTTCAAAATGCCTGAGGCGATCAGGGAGCCGATGGAAAACGCCAGGTTCGTCATAGTTGCGGCAAACCCGCGCAGGACGAGTGGAGTCACTTCGCCGACGTACGCCGACGCGCAAATTGGGTAGAATGCGATCACCGCGCCGTTGACAAGTTGCCCGACGAAAAGCTGGGCCGGCGTGTGGCTGAAAAACTGGATGAAAATGAAGGCAATGGACAGGCACGAGCATATGGCGATCATAATACGGGGCCCGAAGCGGTTGTAGGCAGCTCCAGAGCAGAGGGCGCCTACAATAGCACCGAGTAGATTGGCATAATTGAAGGCCGACAGCCACTGCGCGGCGATCATATAGGTTCCGTTGTATTTGTAGCCATAGGTCTCTTTAAACACGTCCAGACCGACGAGACCTTTCACCACGCCCCCGTCGATCCCCTTAAGAATAGTTGCCTATCGCCTTGAGCAAAGTGTGCAGGGAGTACTGTTGTTGGAAACTTCTCACCAGATTCATGAATAAACCCCACCCCACCGCGGGCCAGTGCAGCCGCATGGCGGTCCAAAAGCCCTGGTTATGCTCATCCTTCGAAAACAGAAACGAAAGCTCTGCATCCTCGATCGCTGACGCCGGGACCGATTGAACCAGCGTGGTCTGCTTGTCTGCAGATTTAGTCGTCATAATTCTGAGTCGAGGAGGGGTTACAGTTAGGGCTTCCATTTGCCATCTTCAGAAAAATATATACCGACCATAGGCTTGGCGTCTCCCGGGAATCCAATCGTTGGGCCACGATTAATCACCCTATCAGATCAAATCAATCACATCCATTACATAAATTATTGTCCCACGGGTCCTCGTGCCAAGATTTCTTTGCGTTTACGGAGTCGAGGGAGTGATATTATATCGAATAGTACTCTGTACATGGTGAAGTGTGCTAGAGATTGTCTACTGATATTTGTCTTGCCTTGTCGCAAGATATATATGCGTGGATGTCATGACTCAAAAGTCGGATATGTACAGAGTATAGACCGTCGTAATCCCTGACTGTACTAGATAGATATAGTTCCGTATGCAAGTGGACAATAACAATCAAACAAGCTTTGCACTATGAGTAGAGGCACTTTGTTCTAAATGATTAGCTTCGTCAATTTTAATATGTTAGTGGACCGGTCGGATCCTTGACACTTCTTAATACATCAGTAGTATCGGCACATCCTGGATCGGAGACTATGCGCACATCACCACGGTCAGTACGCTGTGGTTCACTCACCATGAATATTGATTTAGACACCGACGACAAAATTCTGGTCCACACGTGGGGAATATACATAAGTCGGGATTGATCTGGATCGCTTGGGAATTGACAAACTACGGTGCGGTGCATATATCATTCTATTGAACGAAGATATCCACTAGCGCATTGGCCGTTTTGTACCTCTGTTGGTAAGGGGTTTGGCGTGAGACGCGGAGGGAGCTTGTCATCATGCTTAGGGCTCGCATGTTGTCTTGCAAAGCCACCGCCTACAATAAGATTTTCCCAGTAATTTCTCTAATATGGACTTCCCAAGTCAACTAGCAAGGCCGAGATTACGCTCTGCAGACCTCAACCTAGCGGTGAGTGATAACGCACACTCAAAGATGAAGAACTCCACATGGCACAGAAGGCCATACTCCGGAGTAGATGCCAACTCTAGTTAAAGCCCTACTCTAGTTCAAGCGGCAGAGGCTTAGACCCCACACTCCACGCCGTCTTCATTCTCAACGGAAAATTCCAAGAAAGTTTTACATGTTAAGAGGTTAAAGTACTGCACTGGTAGCTGGGGGGGTTCATGTATGCTGAAGGAGATAAACTTTTGTGCAGCGTACGCGGGGAGTGCCTGCATTAGAGTTGCACCGCTGACTATGATGTAACTTACGACGAATGCAACTGGTGCTGCAAAGATGCAGCCGAGGATCATTGCAGTCTATGACCCTACGTGGCCGACTCAACAGTCCAGTCACTATTGAACCGTCTTGTGGGGTGCCCCCACCTTGCTTACTGAACCGTCAAACGCACGGCCGGCTTGGCTGCCTTGTCATCCTCATTTGATCAATCACGGCACTTGTAGTACGGGAGACCGTGGATAGTCGAACCACTGGTAGCAGTTTTAGGGGCCATTGGACTTCGTATAAATGAGCGGAGTCGCCCGTTGTTCTCCAGTTACGTTACCCCTCCACCCCTCTGTTCTCAACATATTGTATATACGAATCAGCGAGAAATTAATTCACCATGTCGTCGTTGGATATCACTGTAACGTTGGCCGCAGAACTGCTATAATGCTTCTCTCTAATCCCGTCACAGACCTTCTACAACGTTATTAATAATGAACTGACCACCACCGCCGAAACGCGCCATGGCATCAACCCCGCTAACCAACAACCCAATCCCGAGGTCCCAGTTTCAACCGCCGCGGATCTGGACAAGGCCGTGAACGCTGCTCGCCAGGCATTCAAGACATGGTCGCGGACATCTGTGGACGAGCGTCGTAAGGCGCTGAGCGCTTTTGCTGACGCTATCGAAGCGAACAAGGACACCTTGGCCAAGCTACTGACCCAGGAGCAAGGAAAACCATTAGACCAAGCATCCGGTGAAATTGACAACACCGTCATCTGGGCACGAGCTATCCCTAAGATTGAGGTCCCCGAGACGGTGATTGAGGAGAGCGAAGGACGCAAGGTGATCCAGAGACACATTCCCATCGGTGTGGGAGGTGCCATCGTGCCCTGGAACTTTCCCATCATGTTGGCGGTCGGAAAGATCATCCCGGCCGTATATACTGGTAACACTATCATTGTGAAGCCGTCGCCCTTCACCCCTTACTGCAACCTGAAGTTAGGAGAGCTTGCTGCCCGATGCTTCCCACCAGGCGTGGTCCAGGTATTGAGCGGCGGCGATGACCTCGGCCCCATGATCACCGAGCACCCAGGTATCGACAAGATCAGCTTCACTGGTTCTAGTTTGACCGGTCGCCGAGTCATGGCCAGTTGCGCCAAGACGCTGAAGCGAGTTACTTTGGAACTGGGTGGCAATGACCCTTCCATTATCTGCGACGATGTCGATATCGATGCAATCATTCCCAAGGTAAGAGAGACATCTTTTTTCCCCCCCATCTCACGAGCTGTGGCTAACTCGAACAGATCGGTGTTCTGAGCTTCCTGTGCTCGAGTCAAATCTGCATGATGATCAAGCGTCTCTATGTGCATGAGAAGATCTATGACGAATTCCGTGACAAGCTCGTCGCATTTGTGAAGAACCTGAAACTAGGCGAAGGCACCGAACCCGAAGTCTTCTTCGGTCCCCTTCAGAATAGCATGCAATTCGGCAAAGCCCGCAACCTTATCGATCACATTGCATCCGAGGGCCTGAACTCTGTCCTGGGAGGTTCTATCCCGGATTCGAAGGGCTTCTTCGTCCCGCCGACCATCGTTGACAACCCACCGGAAAACTCCCGCGTTGTCCAGGAAGAGCCCTTCGCGCCTATTCTGCCCATTCTCAAGTGGTCCGAGGAGGACGACGTGATCGCACGTGCGAATGACACTGAGTATGGACTCGGAGCATCGGTGTGGACCAGCGATTACGAGCGCGGCCAGCGTATTGCGCGCCAGCTTGAAGCTGGTAATGTGTGGGTCAATGCACACTTTGCAGTGCAGCCTAATGTGCCATTTGGCGGACACAAGTCTAGTGGTATTGGCTCTGAGTGGGGTTTGACTGGATTGACCGGCTGGTGCAATACACAGGCTTTGTATTTCAACAAGAACGCCTGAGTAGATATGACTTGCGTATATGTCGGAGTGAACTTTAAGCGATAACAATATCATTGAACCTCATTTGCTTGGTACATACATATCATCCATGGCGTAGCCATATCTAGTAGACTGCTTATTCCACCGGCCACCGGGCCTTTACTCGATCGTTCAAACCGGCTCTGGCGACCACTTCTTGACTTCTTCTCTGCGCCTCCCGCACGATCTCCTGTTCGTCCATGGTTAACAGCTCTCCACTACGTACCAACATTTTCCCATCCACAACTACGATATCGACATCCCTACCGGTAGCCGTGTAGACCACCGCACTAACGGGGTTAAACCAGGGCTGCAAGTGGATACGGCGAGTATCTATAGCCACAAAATCGGCCTTCTTGCCAACCTCCAGACTACCGATCCGATCTTCCAATCCCAAAGCACGGGCGCCGTTGATGGTCGCCATCTCTAGAACAGATTCGGCCGGTACCGCGGTGGGGTCATAGGATAAGCTCTTATGGATGATACCCGCTAGCTTCATCTCCTGCAGAAGGTCGCAGGTATTATTGCAGGGGGCACCATCGGTGCCGAGGCCGATATTGACGCCGGCTTGCTGCAAGTCCGGCACGCGACAGATTCCAGACGCGAGCTTGGCGTTGGAGGTCGGACAATGCGCGACGTGGGTTCCTGAACCTGCAAGTCGCTTGATGTCGTCGTCGTCTAGATGCACCATGTGTACTAACACTGTTGAGGGCGAGAGTAGGCCGACCGAGTCGCAGTACGACATGGGCGTATGGCTAACGGATGCAAAGAAATCACGGTCGGCGCGCACCTCGGCACAGTGCATGGTAATGGGGATGCCGTTTTCACGAGATAAACTGGTCATCTCACGATACAGAGTGTCTGATACCCTATCCTCCTGTTAATGGAAACTCCAATACCGGTTTATCAAGGAAGTGCTTACCCTCCAGGGGTGCGAGCACCGAACCACACGCGAATGCGGTCGTTGGCCTTGCCATTCCACTTCTCCCACATCTTCAACGTACCCAACAAGGATGTCTCACGGTCTTCGACCAGTCCGGGATGCATGGCCCAGGCATCATCCTTGGCATACCGGGCAATGTCCATGACGATCTTACCCAAACAGCCACGGATGCCACTCTCCTCAACGGCTCGCGCCAGACCATCGAATCCGTACCGGTCCGCGAACTGTCTTGATTAGATCAATTCCAAACGAGGGTGGCATTTGTTAGAACTACACACCATACTCTCTAGGAAACACGTTGTTCCCGACTTCAACATCTCTCCAATACTCAACCGCGCCGCGGCATATCCGTCCTCGGCGGTAAAATTGCCCTGCAGCACCCAGATCCGTTCACACAACCAAGAAACCAACTCGAGGTCATCAGCAGCACCGCGAAGCAGCGTCTGAGCCGTGTGCATATGGGTAGAGATGAGGCCCGGAATGACTATTCGGCCGGTGAGGTCATACTCCTCATCGTCGGGGTATTTAGTTTTCAAGGCTGCGGTCTTGCCGATGTCCGCGATTAAGTCATTCTGGACGCAAATGGCACCGTCCTCAATGATGCGTCGGTTTGAGTCGACTGTGATGATCGTGGCGTGAGTGTAAAGCATATTGTTCAATTTTAGATTTCTTGTGGGTATCTGTCTAAAGACTTGCACCTTCTCTTGGAAGGTTGATATATACAAAAGTCCCACTATCTGGGCCCGACTTCCCCACACGGAGACCTCCGATGGGCGGGGAATCGTAAGTTTCCATGATTGATAAGATTGGGCTTGCGGATAGAGTTCCCATTTAATCACCAAATTAGATGATAATTCATCTTCTGTTGTTAGCTCAATGTGGGGTGCAGGAAAGTATTGTTATTTACTGGCATTTGGCTCTATCGGACATTCCGAATGATTTGTGCCTGATCATGAAACCGAGGCTTCCAGGTGAAGAAAAGTCCACGCTGGATGGTTTAGCCCTCCTCACAAGACCGTATTTGCAAGCCTATCGACACAGTGATCGTTATCACTTGCATGTCGCCATACTTGGAATCTTTGCTCTGTCATTAACAGACAGCCGTCTCGATTTCCTTGAGATGCTCTGCTAGAATCTATCATTGCTATCCTCAAATCCCTGTTTCTCTCGCCTAAATACAAACCGCCCAAAGATGCATAATTGGCAATGTCACAGGACAATGCGATTAGTATTTACTTGAATATCAAACAAGAATAGGGAAGGAAAGCGTATCACATTAAATTAATTACATTCATACATAGTTCTGATGCCACGTATAATTTGAATCCTCCGACAATAACCCTTGAATGGCATCACGAGGCTTCGTAGGCTCCCTACCCAAAAGCTCCCTCATCAATGAATGCGTCGTAGCCAACTCGCCCTTCTCAATCCCCTCGTACCACGTCAAAGTCTGCTGGAAGAAAGCCTTGGGCTTCCCTCCCTTGTCATTTCCACCGTAGATTTGGATATACTCCTCGGGGGATACACGCTCGAACTTCACCTGCCGACCCGTCGTGTTATTGATGATATCCACGATCTCCGAGGGCCGAACAGTCTCCTCGGCTGTCAACAAGACGGTCTCATTCTCATGGCCACCTGCGATCATCAATCGCGCTGTCGCTTCACCGAGCTCTGACCGCAGGGTCAATGCCATTGGGCCGTCGGATGGAAGAGGCACGGTGGTTGAATCGGGGTACCAGTTAAGGAGGATTGGGAAGGCTTCTGTGTAGACGCCTTCTCGGATGGAAGTGTAGGTGACTCCTGATCTAGGGGTTTGTTAGTTTTGAACATCCCTGTCGTGGTTGAGCATACTCGACTTACTTTCTAAGCATCTCTTCAGTTTCTAAATGCGCCGTCTGCACGGCGGCTTTTGAATCGGACTTGAATCCTCCAAAAGCAAGAGAAGTATACCACACCTAACAGAATGATTAGCCATGATCAGAAAAATGAATACCAAGAATAAATAAACAAAAAGCAAAACCATACATGCTTAACCCCATTCCTCTTCGCCGCATCAACAAAATTCTGATGTTGCTTTCGGCGCTTCTCATTATCAAACGTATTGGTACTAACAAAAAGTACATTCTCGACATTCTGGAACGCGGTATCTAAAGTAGCAGGATCATCATAATTAACCTGTCGGAAAGCAATGCCACGATCCTCGAATTGTTTTCGATTTGACTCTCTCGACGATGCAGCTGCAAATTCCTGCAACGGTTTATTGGCCACGAAGTAGTCAAGGACATATCGTCCCAGGCCACCTGTCGCACCCGCGATGAGGTATTTGAGGGTCATGTTGGTTTCTCTCGGGGTGATTAAAGTAATACTGTTATTAATGTCTCGTTTTCTTTGGTCAGGGTCTAATTGATTAATGGACCGGAAGCACATTCCCATCGCCACGCAGGATTGACCCTATATTTATATCCATAAACATATGATCCCTGCTCATGGATTGATTGCTAATCCCCCGATTGATAATCCAATCCAATCCATATCCCTACTCCCCTCCTGTTCTAAGAAATTCTGTTACATCTACCGTGCTTCTCTTGTGTGGAGTAAAGGTGACTTCGTAATCATTGAGCTAAGACAAGTTGTTGGCCCATACTACGGATATGATTGGTTGCGCTGGTCCAAGGTAATGAGGTTTTGGGGCTAAAACTGCAGGATTAATAATGTCTGATTATGACGTAACAAGGGGAATTCATTTAAGTGCTGGGCTCGGACTTGGAATTGTCCCTTTGCCGATCGTTGTGGTTTTTATCTCGTATTTATAGTGCTGGGATTGGTTTGAGCGGTTGCAAGGGTTTTGAGGGGGGAGGGCCTGACATGTTAGATAGCTTTGTTGTATAGTGACCGGATAAATAGTGACAAGGGGAATAAATGTCTATTTTTCTGGTCTTTCAGTGTTAGAGAGATAGAGTAGTTATATTTCTTCCATTTATAACGGTAATACTAGTATTAAGATGCGATCGAGACGCAGTCATGGCCAGTTCAAAATTGGGAGTTAGAATGACCAAACGCCATCCCAAAGGCTCCAATATGTATTACCTCCTTCACTTTATTGTATGTACTTTGCCCTGACACGTCTGCCAAACCCTCTCTATTCAATACAGTATAACGTATAGTGGTTGCGCCAACCTTCTAAAATCGACCTACTTTGCTAATTGACACCCGGAATCGCTTCCTAACTGTTTCAGTCAGACTCAGCCACAACCGTCTAGAAGGAGTTCTAGAAGCTAACGATAGGGTCTTACGAAAGAGAGTTTCGTGAAAAAAATAAAATAAAATAAAAGCAATGGTTATACTATTGGTTGCTATCCAAAACCAGGCATCACCGCAACCAGGGCTCACACCAGTTCTGGAAACTTCTGATATATAAGAACTCAATTCAACCCAGCCGAAAATCCAATTCAGATCCTACCAAGTCCAGCAAACGGGTACGTGAGCATTGCGATGATAGAAAGTGTAGAGCATCTGCGAGCATTCAAGGCCGTACAATCGCAAGAGGCCGAGATGGTATATGTCGCTAACTGTGGCTTGGGAGATCAAGGAGTCAGGAAAGGAAAGCCAAGTCTACTACTGCCATAAGCTCTGGGAGAGTTATTTTCATGCAGCGATAAAAAGTCTCCCTCTGTTTCAGGCTATGTGGAATGCGAAATTAATCGACAAATGTTCTAGTGTCTTCTGGACAACGTCAATCGAAATCAGATGGAACTACAAAGTATACGCAGACAAGAAATCGATTGGAATGTGGAAGGGCTCGATGATCGCGTCGTGCTTCGGGGGCCTTTTGCCCTTCCCCCAAGTGTGGGACCGGTACATAGCATCCTGGACTACATTGGTAGTGGTCCTGCAGCTTCAGGAATTTTGCAGACGGCTCAGGCAGTGTATGGGGAAAACTTACAATAGATCCAAGTGGGCAATATTGCGAACCGACCGCATATGTTTGATGTAGTACCGACTTACCTGATCAACCATAGGCCCATTTGCATCCTGGGTACTGGAGTGGGATGTTTCACGGTGCAGGATTGGAACAACGAGCTGCCGGAAATTATGAAGATGATTTCCCAGATGCATATCGCATTCCCGGTATTCACTGTTCCTCTGAGCGAGGTTGCGTCTGCGTGGGAATCGGAAGATACTTTGACCAAGAGGTTGGTTTTGCTGCCTAGTGTATGAGTAGATAGCCTGTGTCTGTTCAGTCGTTTTATATTTGTATAAACACTCGTCTGTATAGAATTTATTCATATATAGGATGTTAACTTTCGCTCAATTGATCTTTCACGTTGCCAATCGCTGCCGGATTAAGGTCAGATGAACGAGATGTAGCAAGAACAACGTACAGCAATAGAAGTTCTGCCTCAGTTCGTTCTCCATGAAGATCATGGTCATGCTAGAAATATCATTCTGTCCAATTCTATACAAAAAGCCCAGTAATACATAATGCTTATCTGTAAAAAAAAGAATATACCAACCAAATGGTCTAAACTCGTGTTCACCGATCGCGTCAAATCATTAACTTTAATTGACTAACTGCCGACTTTGTTCGACTACGACCCAGGCAGGCTAGCAGGGCTACAGCGGTCAGATCCTGCCCGCGCAGGTACTCAGGCCAGCAGGTCAGCTTCAGGCAGGGTGGCGGCCCTGCTGGAGTGGCATCCAGGACCAGTACCAGGCCGTTAGCCTCCAGGGACAACTCACATCAGAAGAGTCCCGGAATGAGCCTCCATGGCACGGTCTTACAGTACGTGGTCCATTGATCCCCGTACTTCGACGAGCAACGGGCGTCATCGCGCAAGGACCGATGAATCAGGAGACTCGCCATAAAGCAGAAATATGTCCACGGGATTATATGTGAAAATCCACAGCCAGCACAAGTGCAGAACGAGAAAATCAAATCTCCGATATAATTGGGATGACGGACCAATCCCCACCAACCTGTTGGGCCATTGATTAATCGCCGCAAACATCGTTAAAAGAGGACTGGATTGAATGGGAGACGTACCGGAGTAGAGAAGCATAGATGAGTGTGACGAACCATCAGTGGTTTGGTAAGTTGCTCGAATGATTGCAGGCTTTTGGCCCCAGATCAAGCTGGTTCCATTTGACTGGCGCGTACGATACTTTTGATGATTTGCATCACGGAATATCACATAACCTGTAATTCCGGCTACTAAGAGTAGTGTGCATTGTAACCCGGACAGTTGTATTGGGTGATAGGCAAGATAGTGTGCCTGAGTGGTGTAAATAACGGGGAGCCAGACAGCGGAGCCCCATGCCAGGTTGAAACCGAAGTGATCCAGGGCAATGTCTATCGTACTTAGATACCTAGTTGGAAAGTGTTAAATCCTTCAATCGTTCCAGGACACTATATATTAGTCCTGACACTCACCAGTCCTCATTGACGAAAAAGTCTACCACATACAAGGCATGTAGCAAATTAACAACTACCATGGTGTTGGTGAGGTAGCCAAACTTCTGGTATTGCAAAGCAGCAAAAGATAAATCCCTGATAGATGCTACCGTTAGGGGCTGCAGATGAAATCTTATCTTAAGGAGAAAGGCAGCTTACACAAGCACCCAGCTGTTCATACCAACACGTCCAATTTGGAAGAGTTTCAAATCCCAGTACTTGCCCAGGCGGGGGTTAAGCTCCACTCCGGATAGAAAATCATGGATGATGGATCCTTTCAATCATAGTCAATCCTCTTGTTCATCTTGGAAGACAAGGTGTCTCATTGCATACCGCTAAATCGAATATCTCTCGTGGTCTGCGTGCATAAATGGGACTTTGCCACCGACGCAGCCGTGATCAAAAATCCGTAGACATTTGCAATAATAATGAGTTCCCCCTGGTGCACTGCGACAAACGTGGGGTCCAGTCTTCCTGCTTTGACGAGGCCAATAAATACAGCTAAGGTTGCAAACCAAGACCAGAGTCCGTTGACTTTATATGGCAAAGAATATCCTCCGGGAGTAGGGGGACCGGACACAATTCTCCCCGGCAGGGCTTGGTATAGGAATGCTTGAAATCCGAGCCAGGAGATGTACGCTATGATACCCTGCGTGGTCAAAGATGGGCAATATTGCGTGATCAGTGGGAGGGCACCATGAGAATACAAGCCGCCGAGCACCTTTGTAATTGAGCCATCATAATGGGTGAGAGCAACAGAAATCAGTAGGACGAGAAGAGGCGCTCCAACCATCAGCATCATACTAGGCAGGCTGGAAAACCCGGACACATTGCGTCGCCTACCCCAGAGGGCCTTTTGACGAGTAGTCCCTGATTTCTGGATCTGGCCTTTTCCGGATGCCAAACCGGACAGCCCGTCAATGAGCTGTGCCGTGGCCATTCTCAGCAGTAAGCAAATAGAGCGCGGAATAAAAGAGGAAAATAAATGTCAAGTGGGATCATGGGAGAGATTGGGCTTCAAACTCTTTATCTAAATAAGGCCTGATCAGCGGCAGTCGACATGGACTGTACGTATCATGGTATTGGTGGTATCCACAATGCTGGCTAGTCCTGAGTTTTTTCTCCCCACTTTAAGTCCCCTGACTTTTCGTATATGGAATATATTTTCAAGTTGTGGTTTAAAAAGGTATCTTTACGTAGAAAGAATACAGAGGTAAACATGGTAAAACCACGGCAACGTGGATTCCATATAAAGCACACCCTTTTTTATAAAACTTCAAATAACCTTAATAATTAATATACACAAAATAATAGTCAGAAGTTTAAGTATCAACTGGTTATAGGAGTCGCTCAAGGTTAGGTTTCTATAAAATACCAAAAATACACGCGCAGTTTACAGTACACAAAGGGAACAAATCTTGAAGTTGCATTCCGAGTACCAAATGTAAAAGACCCTTCGTTATTAAAAACATTTGCAAGGTGAAATCGTGATACTACTGATATACGAAATATAGGCCGGACCACACGTGTTTGAACATTACATGGCATTATAAGCCAAGGTTGAATATTGACGAATCATATCCCTATTTTGGTGGCTGACGATTATTTCTGTCTTGAGCTGTCTTGAGTAAAGGCTCAGGGAGCGCAAGCCATCTTGATGCAGTGGAGTTGAGGAGGAAGAGGAAATCAGTCAGAATTTCACAACATGGAGGGAATTGGCCTACCATGACTTGGAAGAAAGAACATCAAACTGGCGATTGGGTCAAATCAACCATCTCAATCCGGTAATGCTGCCGACTTCATGTCAATATTCAATCCAGAGCTGTGGTCGGTGCGTGCTTTGACCCTGCGAGAAATGCAATTATAGTTATTTAGGTTTAGTGAAGACACTTTAGGGGAAACGAAAGGCCCACCAGGACTTTACTGAGTACAGTACGGATAAGGTGCGAA